ATTAATTTGTTTAGTTTTTAAAATATTAAAAAATAATTACAATATAATTATTTAATAAATATTAAGTTAATTACACATAACTATATAATTTAAATTTTATTATTAGTGAAAAATTAGATTTATAAATGTAGTTTCATATTTTATAATAGTTTTCAATATATAACTTTTTATGTATATTATTATATTAAAATATATTAATAATTAGTTAATAAAATTGACTTTCAAAAATTTACTAGAAATAAGCATTTTTACAAAACATTACAAACAATATTAACTGTAACTTTTAAATCTTATTTTATCGATTTATTGATAATAAATGATAATAACAATAATAAACTTATATCTAAAAAACCCAATTTTTTTAATACTATACTACAGTATAGTTATTATCGAAAGTCTGATTAAATCACTTTTATCACTACTAAAAACTGTTTATATCAATATTTTTATTATTATGAATAATTAATCATTACATATTAATACAAGTTTTATAAAACTTTGAGCAAATAGTTTATAAATAATAAATATAAATTATATATTATATAATTAAAATAAGTCTCAGATAATCTCATAATTTATTTAATACTTATTTACTTTCAATAGCATAATGTTTCTAACTTTAATGTTTTTTTTGTTGAAAAATCATAATTAATTTTTAATAATTGAAATAATAAACATTTAAACTTTTAAACATTATGTTTATGCAAATACGATACAATATAATTAAATTGATATATTAATAGTTATTTTATCTAAACTATTATTTAAGTTTATTTTAAGTGACACTTCCTATGACTACTAAATAAAATAGTAAAGACCTAATTAAATGAAGTTTTATTTTTGACAAAATAATTTCAAGAAATAGTTATATTTAGTGTCAAAAAATTTAAAATTATAAATATCATTAAAACACGAAATGTCAAAATTTATATTTGATATTTCAATATAGACACTGAAATGAATGCCACAAATAAAAGACAACAAATAACAGGTATTTATTAAAATGAGTGTCATTTGAGATATAAATTATTGATTTATATTAATATTTGTGAATGAATTTGTTGTAGATATTGAACTGTAAAATGTATATTATATTACAGGTATTTATTTATAGTTAATAGACTAAAATAATATTAGATATTAGATATTAGATATTAGATGGTGACTCTATGAATTACAAGTTAGTGGCACTGGTATTGTAGCACTGGTAGTTACACCACTGATGAGGTCAAGGGCGAGGATACACTACATTTCCAGTGCTTTGTTGATGACATGTCTTTATTGGCTTAGGATACCAGTGCTGTTCACTACAGTTATCTGTTAGTGGTTTAGCTGTAGTTCCTGCTTAACGGCTCTTCACTATGCGATTCAATACTCAGTTTTAAAACTTAACAGACAATACTGTACTGTAATTAGGGTTCAATCAAATTCCATCTCTCGTTTTATTTTTCAAAAGTTTCTTATTTTCATTGCTCACCGGGAATTCCCAGGGAATTTATTTCCTTGTGCTACCACTTATTGAACCATAAATAACACATTTTATTATAATGTTTGAAAAACAAATATTATATTAAACTATATTTTGAGTGGTATTGATAAATAGCATCACTAAGTTTATCAAATTGAAATTTATTTTTAAATATTTGAGTTTTGGTACTCTTTATTTTAATAATATAAAATATATTTTCTCTTTCTAACAATAAAGGAAGGGGAAATAAAATTGGAGGAATTTTAGAAGGGAACTTCCCTCTCTGTGTTTTTGTTTGAACTCTAACTGTAATACAGTATTGAATCAAATGTATCACTAATGCAGACAATCCCTCATTCAATAGATTAGAAAAGTTAAGCAAAAGCTGTTTGAAAACATTTACTATTTATATTAATATGGATACAGTTATCTGAAAAATTTTATTTTATTATCATATATTAAATATACAGTCTATTAATATATTATACATTATTTCAAGTCATACCAAATAACAGACTGGTGTATAAAATACTCATTTGTATAACTAATTTGAAACATCTCTCAAAGGCATCATTATTACTAAACACTGATATCTCTTATATGAAAATATTTGGTCGCATTTGGCACTCAGTTATGACATACCTGTGATCACACCTCAAACCTTTCTTCCTGTTTTGATGTTACTATTAATAACAAAAGTTATTATTATTACTATATTTCTATAAATACAAACATCTTATGACAATAATAGTGAAACAATTTTAAAAAACGTTTTCAACAATTAGTGAACAAATCAATCTGTAATTAATAATTACTAAGTATTAGTTATTATGATTATTACAGTATTATATTATACATTAAAATACATATTGATATTATAATATATGAATCTCTTAGTATTAAATTATTTCAATTTATTTAAAGTCTTAATAATATTAGCCTAATATACAGTATTTAATTCTTTTTATATTAAAAATTAAAATTTATATAAATGTTTTGTATGTTTATATATTAATACATAACTGTAAAAAAATTTATGTAATAATAAACAATATTTATATTATTCAGTATATCGATAAAATATATATTGCATAACTATACACTAGTATACAGTAGTACATAAATTGTTTAGTTGTATATAAAATATTTAAAATTTATATAAATATTGTATACAATATGTGTATAAAAATATCATTATATTTTTTGTTTCATTTAAAAATTTAGACACTTTCATAAAATTTAATTTAAATGAATTTCATAATATCTGTTTAACTTATTAATAAAAATTAACTTTTAGCCTACAATTTGTAACATTATATAAACCAGTAAACTCTCTCTCTCTCTCTCTCTATTTATATATATATATATATATCTAAATCTAAATAATTATATCGGGTATATTGAACGTATATAATTTTTAATGATTAAATTAATTTTTACTGATAATCTTGGATATATTGTAAGACAAATAAAAGATAAAATAGTTTATAAAAGTGAAATATAGCAATTTAATGCAAATATTAAGCCATTTATAGATATTTCAAACAATGAAAAAAACAAAAAAAAATCACAATAAATAGTAAACTCGTTTTATTTTGAATCAAATTTAATATACTGTATAAATATGGTATTATTGTTAAATAACATTACAGTCAGTATTGAATCAACCAATAGAGGATGAGGTAAAGGGTAAAACTGGGGGGAAAATTATAATACATATATATGTCAAGCAATGGATTGCGCAATACTATTGATAAAACATTACACTGAAAACAATTTGTGTTGACTAAACTAATCGTTATTATTAATATCCACATTATTAAACATCTATTAGTTCGGTGCTTACTATCAATATATTAGTTTCATAAACTAATTTATAAGCATTTATTTCATATATAACATACCACTATATTTTTAGTGATAAGAGATATTAATCTAATATTTAGATATAATTGATAAAAAAATAAATTATTTTGGAAAGTTTTTCGAATATTTCGAAATAAATGTAATAAAATGTTAATTAATAATTTAATTTAAAAGATAATTATATTGTCTTAAGAAATTAATATAAAATATTAAAATCATATAATTTAACATAAAGTAGAAATGAAAACATAGACAATATTGAAATAATTGTCCAAAAATAAATACTTGAATAATATTACAATCTACACATAAAATTCAAATTCAATTATTTTTTTTACTAAAAGAAAATATTTTAAATACATATTGATTTATTTATTTTAATAAATAAAAATATACTATTTTAAATTTATCGTTAATTATAACAAATTAAAACAAACAATAGTTTAAATTGATATCACATACAATCACATCTTTTTAAAGCAAATGTTTTATTCAATAAAAAGCTAATTTAGTCACATATATATACATTATATAAACTCACTATTTATAAATTATAATATAAGACATTGATATCATTATATGACTTTAATGATATGTAAAGTATAAATACCTTATCCTTAATATAATTTTAAATATAGATTTTAGTATAAGTAAACAATATTTTAATTAACAAATATATAGAAATTTAATACTTTTTCCTTATTTAACAAATAGAATATTCACTTTCTTTACATTTATTAGCCATCAAATACATGAAAACTTAATGTATTTTTTAGTAAATCTATTAACTCTTAACCCTATATACTGTAAACGATACGACTAAAAAAATATTGCTAAATAAAAGTTTAATAAATTATAAACTATCATATTTGTTGATAACTTTCAATTGACATCAATGGTCATCCATAACGCATGTTAGGTCATAAACGTTACGTTTAAACATTTATGTCAATTAAAGGTAATCAACAAATGGTTTATTATTACAGATATATTCTAATATTTAGACATAAATCAAACATAATATATCATAAATTTATTTCAATAAATATTTTATTTATATAAATATTAATAGATATTATAAATCGAGAATTAAATAGAGATATATTTTTAATTAATTACGGTAATCCTATATTTAATATATAAAAAATATAATAAAATTAATTATTTTTGTAAATATAATTTTTAATAGTGTGATTTTTGTACACTATTAATATTCTATCAAAAAACTTAAATACAATTTTTTACAATATCAACACAAATATGATATTTATATTTATAGCTAACTATAATTTATAAAAATTAAATGTATAGAGTATTAGTCTATCTCAAGGGTATCCGGACTCACAACTCGGGACTCACGACACGGGACTCACGACACGGGACTCACAACTCGGGACTCACAACTCGGGACTCACGACACGGGACTTACAATTCGGTTGACTAAAATCATTAGTGAAATAAAATTTTAAAAATAACGTAAAGTTAATTATATTTAATTAATATCTAATATAATTTAATTTTAACTCATGTTTTAAATAAATATTACAATTATATGCCATAACTACTGACATAACATTAAACAAAATGAATTAAATGAAAAAAAATGTTTAAATAAATCAATTGTTTGACGATATGTATTGACTGTCACAGCATTGACGTCATGTGTTGTACTGTTTGATGAAAATGTGTTTTAAAAATGTATTAAATGTTTACTTAAAGTAATATTGATATGAATTCATGTGATTTTAAATGTCGATTAAATATATAGTAAATGATATAAAGTTTGTTTTCAATGAATTTCTAAACTTTAATATAATATATATTTAATTGAAATCAATATCTCGTGTCTTAAGTAATAATAACAATGAGTGGTGATAGTGATGATCCCCGACAACTGATCCCACAGTTGTGTCGACAGTTTTACGATTTGGGTTGGGTATCGGGAACGGGTGGCGGTATGTCTATACGTAAAGGTGACCACATATATATAGCACCGTCGGGGGTACAGAAAGAGCGCATCCAAAGTGATGAGCTGTTTGTGATAGACATGAATGAAGAAGTGTTGGAAAGACCAGATGGTGGCAAAAATCTTCGACAATCTGAATGTCAGCCTCTTTTTATGGCCGCTTATAGGCTGAGAGGTGCCGGTGCTGTGGTTCACTCTCATTCATTGAATGCCGTGTTGGCCACTCTGGTAACAGATGGCAATGAGTTTCGTATAACACATCAGGAGATGATTAAAGGCATCAAAAAGGGATCAACTAATGAAAGTCATCGCTTTGATGATACACTTGTGGTGCCAATCATTGAGAACACGCCGTTTGAAAAGGATTTGACGGATCAGATGGTTGTGGCCATCAATAGCTATCCAAATACTAATGCAGTTCTGGTCAGACGTCACGGCCTTTACGTTTGGGGTCTGAACTGGAAGTCCGCTAAAACTATGGCTGAATGTTATGACTATCTGTTCAAAGTTGCCGTTCAAATGAAATCATTAGGTTTAGACCCAAACAAACATTAGATCCATTGATTGACCCAAAAATATATAACAAAATTTAATTATAATTTAATTAATTGTTTTGCTCTCGTTTTTAAACCCTTTTTTAAATTAGTTTTTATAACTTTTTATATTGATATATGAGTATAAATAAACCGATTTATCATTAGTTTAAAATAGTTTATCAAAAAAGTTCATTTTTGTTCAATAAGTTTGATTTATTAAAATCTCATTTATAATTAAATATTAAACATAATATTGTATTTGTTCTCAATTGACATACAGTTTAATAGTCTATTAAATGTTTTAAAATTATATTTTGCTATATTATAGCTAAATGTTTTTTAGCAAATGATGATTGAAAATTTATTTAAACAATCGATATACAAGAAGTCAGTCTAATTTATATCACATTTGCTTAAAAGCAAACGAAAAATTTATGAGAAAATAATAAATATATATAATTTGCTTAAAAAATTATTTTCAAAAGTTGTTATATATTAGACAATTTAAAAGATAAACACTTAGCCAATGATTAGTTATCATATAAATACTTAGTATATCATATAAATTGAGATCTAATTTGTCGATCAAATTCATGGAAATTGTTATCGACTGATAAAAGGCGTGACTTTATGTAAATTCAAGGCTAAATTCATAACATTTTTTATTTAAGATATAAACACGAATATTGGTTTGAATTAAATTATATTTTGTTTTATAAATAATTTTTAAAAAGATGTTTAGCGGACATAAATTGGGTTTAACTTATAGAAAGTTGGATTTAAACCCTCCTTCTCTTGAAGAGGTTAGTCATGTACTTAGAGTTGGCTTAAAGGAAGACTTTGAGGTGATTGATGTGTCGGTAGTTGAGTGTCCAGATTTGAGACAATCACCATTTCATTTGGCACAAAGAGGTTTAAGTGGCAATGAAAAGATTGCAGATATTGGAGGTGTGCCTTATTTGGCACCAATTGTTCAAAGAGACAAATATTACTCATTCAAAGACATGGTATCTGTGATGGAAATGAATGAAAAAGCCTTTTTCATAGGAGCCGGTGCCGGACCTTTCAAAGAGGTTCAAACTAATTGCGAACTAATGCCTAACATATCATTTGAAAATAATTGTAATGATATTACAAATAAAACACATTTTGCAAAGGTTTGCATTTAATTTTAATTATCACTAATTGTTTATTATATTATCAATTTGATATTATCTAATATTTTTTCAAAAAATATGTGAAAAATATTAAATTTTAATCAAATTTCATTTTCATATTTATATTTAATATGATTACTTATAATTTGTTTCAATAAGTACTATATCGCAGACTTTTATGATAGTTATTATAAATTTTTTATTATTTGTTATTTGAAATTCATAACAATTTTGCATTTCACACAAACATACATAGAAAATGAGTGAGTGATGGCCCATAAATTAAGTTAATTATTAAGATTAACTTATGTTAATTAAAGCTATTGATATTTTTAGTAATATTAATGATTAAAATAATTGAACGTTAAAAATGAATTTTAAAGATAAGTTAGAAATATTGATCTATAATTATATTAAACAAATCCTATATATTATTTAATAATTGAAATTTACTGCTATTAAATTGACATTAATTGCATTCATTAATACCAGTATATATTACATGTATAAAATAATAAAATAAATATTTGAATTTTATAATTTATTAAATGTTGAACTTATTTATTTAAAGTTTAATTACCAATAAATTTATTTTAAATCAATAATACATTTACATTTTGAACAATTTTAAGAATTTGTTATAATATCGAAGAAAATTTGGGTCAATTGACTGAATTTTCATTAAATACTATTTTACTGTTATTTTGTGAAAATATTTTATATTAATTGATATTAAATTATTACAAATATTTTTATTAGTAATTATTGTAATTATATATTGAATAGATTGACGAAAAGGGTGGATGTGAGCTGTCATTAGTAAAGACTATGGATTTTGCTCTGTTATGTAATTTGTTTGCATCTGAAGGCCAAACGGGTCCCGTAATTAAAGTATCGGCCAAAAAGAGGATCGGGTCTAACAATTTTGTTTCAACTATTAGAGAAATTTTAGCCAAACATTATGATAAAAGACCAGTTAGTTTAGGCGGCGTTTTCTTAATTAAGTCCGGTTCCGCTAAACTTCATATTATGCCTGACTTTAGTAAAACACCGCTCAATACAAATGAAGACGTGAATAATTGGCTTAAATATTATACAATGGACTCACCATTGATCTGTTTGAGTGTCTTTCATTCATTTGATCCACAATTAGATCTTCGTATTGAACACACTCACTGTTTTAGTGATCATAATCAAGGAGGACATTATCATTATGATACTACTCCTGATGAAGTCGAGTAAGTGCTACCTTAAGTGTTATTTATAATAATTATAGATATTATTTAATTCAATTTTTTTATTAAAAACATTGTTTATTAAAAATATAGAAATGAATATAATGGATATAATATTATCATTAATAGATCAATTAATTTACAATATTATAAAATTTATAAATATTTTTCTATCAATATTTCATTTCAAATTATAATAGTATTTTGTAAATGATTAATTTATAAGTTATACTGATTTTTATATAATATAAAAATATTTTTTAATTAAAACTATTTACAAATTTTATTAGATATGAAGCATATTTCAATGTCGCCAAACAGATATACAGAATCGATTCACCCGTTGTTACTCACAATATTGGAAGAGATTGAAAAAAAATTTGATTCAAATTTTAAGAAATTTAATTATCAATAAATTTATACAATATATAATTTTATGAATATTAAGAATTAATTAATTGTTATACTATTAGTAAAATAAGTATATTTGCAAAAGAATATCTAAATATATTTTATCACAATATTACAACAATATAATAAATAGTGATATGATACTGTATTGTATATATTTTAATTGTTTATAAATACATTTATTATTAATTTTCATTTTACAAAATTGTCTTAAATTAACAAACATTTTTAAGGATTACGGTAATGAAAATTTTGACAATATTTTTTGACGATTCAAATGTCACATAATATAAAAAACATTTATTAATTAAAACTATTTATAAAGATATGCAATTAAAATAAATGATATAAAATGATTGTGTGAATTGAGATGATTTATATCACAATTTTACATAATTTTTATATTTTTATATTTACATTCATAGTTACTTATTTTTAATTCAAATATATTTTATATAAAATTGATTTTTGTTTAAATAAAAACTATAATTAATTTAATATTTGAGATATCATTGCATTCAAAGAAATTAATTTATATAAACAATAAGTAAATTGTCCTAAAGGATCCAATTTAATAGAAAATGTCAATAAAAATCTCAAATATTCATTATAACTTATGTTTAAATATAAAATATAAATCAATTAACAAAATGAGTTTGAAATACACAGTCAATGTATATAATCAATAAAAATACGAATCTTTGGATTAATTAATATATGACTTAATTTAAATCAAAACCGATTATGATTTATATAATAACTAATTTTCAGTATTTATCTCTTAACTTAACCAATAAAACATTTATTTGAACACAAATACTGAACCACTACTTTAATAATGGACAGTATTCTTAATGAAACGCCTTGGAGGACACCGTTATATTTAAGATACAGAAGCTATATGTACGGTAGAAACGGATGGTATTTGCATATAATATGGATTTTCATTAACACACGTGCATTGCATTGGAGACATCTTTTTAGGAATATTTCTCAATCGTATAAATAAAAAGACTGTCACTAAACAAGAGAGGATTAGTAGTAAAAACAGTAATACCAGTCCCGCTGTAAAACCAGTGGTCGACATACAAATCAAATTATCATTTTTAAGTAATCTGTTTGATAATACATCAATAAAGTTAGTCTCATTGTCGGCACTCAATGGCAAAGTAAATGCCACATCTCCCGGTGCCACAACTTGAATGATTCGTTGAGTTTTTATATCTTTCATTTGAAGCGTTTGTCGTTTCTTTCGTGAATCTAATTTAAGAGATCGAGGCATTCCTCCGGTTCCTGCAATACTGTAATCTCGACTAATATTTGATTTAATCGATCCAACTATCTGTCCATTTTTAGGTATAACCGTTGGTGTTATTTCTCCCTTTCTGTTTAGAAATTGTGAGTTGGAATTAGGCTTTGGACCACTTTGTTTGTGACCCGAAACAGCATAGTTTGGTTTACTTTCACTAAATTGAAGTGATTGGTCTCGTGGTGCGGGATTGTACTCAGTATTGACATCACCATCACAGGTGGGTTCAGGACATTCAAAACGGCAAACTTGGATTACACATTGAAAGTGAACATTCATAGAATCGGGAAATTTGAAGGCTTGAAAGTAAGCATATGAGACAACTGTAGCCGAGTGACCAAAATTTTTAACTTTTTGAAATCGTGACATAATCTTAGGTCTGACAACACAACCAAACTCATCAACCAATTGTATTGGTTGGTGTTTGCTGTCATGGGCTATACAATTGCGGACTAACATATCAAACTTGTTTTCGTCATCTTTAATGGCCAAAACCATTGTCATGGTTTGCCCAATTTTGACAATACCGGCCACTTCACTGGCCCATGGTCCCTTTCCTACTTGAATCTGCATCCAACATTGAATATTATCACCTAAGAAGTTAGCAGTTACGGCATCTAACATATCGACATTGAATGGACGGAAGGATACGGCTTTTTCGTAGTAGTCATACCACGTACACCGTAAACGTCTTGCTTGATCCCATATTTCTTGCACCTGTGGGTCGTATTGTATTATTATAGTATTTTCGATGAATAAGCCAACACCCGGACTACTGGTTGATGTGGTGACGGCTGTATTACTATTCTGTTCACTACTACTCATACCACAACCTCCGAGATATATCTCAAAATTTGCCTGTAATTGACCGCTACCTGTATTTAAAACAAATATTTGTTAAATATTTATCTATTTTATTAATTTTTATTTCTAGTGAAGTATACCTTGAGGTAAATGAACGCATTTAGGATCGCTGGTGGATATAATATATATTAATATAATTAAAAATTTATATTAAGTAAATGTAAATATATTAGATTTAAATAAAATATATTTAATTATTTTTATTTAATCAATAATAAAACTAAAAATAAGGTTTATTACCTGTAGTGGCCTTTACTGAAAATAAGCCCAAAGAAAGGTCTGTCAAACTCGATGTTAACCTTCATTAATGATTTCTCGCATTTTACGTTTATTGCCTAAAGTATTTAGTTTTTAAATAATCAAATTATCTTTTATCGTTATTTTAATTAAATATATAAAAAWATATATATATATATAAATTATTTATTATAGACAATTAAAATTTTAATTATAAACCTTATGTCTAAAAAACATTGTAATTTTCACGTCTAACCAATATTAAAATTCAGTATATTGTTATTAATATAAATAACTGACACTTTTGTTGAAAAAATTTTAGTTAAATTTCCCATAAAATTTTGGATTAAAATAACCTAAATATATAACTCAATAATAATAATAATAATTATGAGAACATTTTTAACATACTTTCTATTAAAAGCTCTGCAATATTATGCAAAAGCCCTTAAGACTATTGTGGTCTATATGTTACTAACTTATAGATAAAATAACTAAAATATTTCTAAAATATTATTTTAATGATTTTTAAAACAAATTATTTTTTATTCAATACATTTTACTCAACATTAACTATTTTTCGAAATATAATTATAAAATTATTTATATTTATAAAGTATAAAGTTTGTAACAAATTTCGAGATTTGGTTTTTTGACAAAAATATATATAATTTATATGTATTTTTTGCATATAAAATCATTAAATTATACAATTAATTATACAATAAGTAAAACTATTATTTTCAAAAAAATATTGCAGTAATAATTATTATTGAAATGTTTAACATTTTTAATATAATTTACATTAAATTTTAAAATTACAATATTTATATTCTAGAAAATCAATCACTAAAATATGGAATTTCTTTATATAAATTAAAGTTTTTATACTATCTAATTGTATTTACAATTGTATATTACTGTAATAAAAATATATTAATTTTAAATACATTTTTTACACTGTATGTAGATTATACTCAATTAACAGATTGTATACAACTTTTTATAAATTTGATAAATATAATATACTTAATTAATAACTCAAATTAATTATGAAATTGCACTATATTGTACAAAATTTTAAATGCAATAGTCTATATATTAGAAAATTAAAACAATATTAGATATATACATTATAAAGTGCTATAATAAATATAAAGTGCTTTACATAAAAATAGTTTTTATTTAAAACTATGTCAAACATATTTTTAAAAAATTAAATTTAAATAATACCTTAATTTGATAAAATTAAAGGGTGTAAATAAATGTTGTAATACAAACAATTGAAATAGATATTAAATAATTTAGTATAATCATTTAATTTAGATACTGTTTATTGATCATTTAATGATGATCAATAGTTTCAACATTTATTATAAATAAAATAAACGATTTATTAAAAGTCAATAAAATTTGATAACAACTATAGATATATACAACTGTAGATTATAGACTATAGATGTAATGGACTTGAATCTATGTTACATTATGCTAAATTAAGTATTACTATAATGCATAAAGTTATAAATTTTTAGTAATCAAACCTTTAGCATAAATAAACCAAACCATCCAAATCTATCAAATCTTTGAATAATACAATTTATAATAAGTCAACAATAATGATGAGTATATAATAAATATTATAATCACAAAGTGTGACTAGAATTTCACATTAATTAATTGAATTTTGTGTGAAATTCTTATATTATTTGCAAACTATTTATTTTGTTGAAAATATTTTTAATTTTATAGTAAATTCTCAACAAAATGAGTAAAAATACAATTATTGTGGTAAAAGTTCACTAAACTTGTATATAAATTATTTAGCTAACAATTATATATATATATATATATATGCTTGCAATTAAATACAACAATTAGAATTCAGTAACTAATTTGAAATATTAAACAATTAATTAAAACTACAAAAGTTATTATACCTTAATCTGAGCGACATCTGGTCTTCCTACAGGCCAGGGCTCATTGGCCAACACATCAGACTGACCAGCACTGGGACCGAGAGTTCCGTGAATGCTTGGGTGAGGAACTATTGTCTCGGGAAACGATCGGTGCTCTGCAGTCATAGTTAATGTCTCTTCCTGTTGTAAATCCTGTTTACTATCAATTTCTTTGGCCCAAAACGGCTAATTAGATTCAAATTTTTATATATTTAATATTTTTATACCAATATTATAATACTAATTGTATTATATTTAATTAGCAATTACCAAGTTCTCAATATTCTCATTATTTAATTAACTTTTAAAATTAATTATAAAGTTGAATAAAAATTCTCGATAACAAATTTAGCCATAAATTTAATTAGTTTCTATGTCTCACAATTTTTTGACAAATGAATTAACGAATTAAAATTTTATTTCATTAACTAAATTCATCAAATAATATCAACAAAAATAAAGGTAATGTACATGTGTTTAATATTTATAAAATATTGCGATATTTCTGAATTTAAACCACATTATACACTAAATTTATATGTATTATTAAATATATGGACATACTGTATATTGTTATTAGCCAATATTATCATTAATAAATGAGATAAATGGTACAAATGATATATTAATTATCTTACAGTATATTTGCTTCAATTTTTATACAGTATAACTTTAAAAATACTATTTTATTAAGATATATATTTGAATATTTATGTTAGTTATATAACTAATTGCCAATAACTAAAGTTGAGTGAATTTTGCCCTAACTATACTAACAACTAATAATTACTTAATAATTATGGCTTAAAATAAAATCAGTATTATTATACAATTAAAGTTATGAAGCAATTTAAACAATCTAGAGATAATTTTTAAATTGTTAAAATAAAAATTTATTTACTTTATATCAAAAATAATTATTGATTTTTATTTAGTTGATTATATAATAATGTAATTTAATGTAATGATTTGTGTATGTGAACAAACCTGGACTAGAAATAGAGTTATAGATATCGCAAATGTATACATAATATTGAATTTGCTTTTAGCCATTATTTTGGTCGTTGACTAAACCTGTAGGAAATAAATACATTTTTATTTAATCAATTTAAATAAATGTTAATTTTTGTCAAATTATAATTTATTATCAACATACACTTTTTTGTAATTAATATTTTATATTTATCTATATTTTATGTGATATAATATTATAAAATAATTTATAATTGTATTCAGATATGTATAATTGCATTCAAAAATATTTTCAATTCCAAACGATTCAGTTATGTTAACAACGATTTGTTTCAATTAATAATTAATATCATTACAATAAAGTATCTTAAATTATCTAAAAATTTCGTATAACTCAAAACATTTTAATAAATTAATTTAAATAATAAGAAATAATTAACAGAAGAATTAATAAGATTATAAATTATTACTGAATTTTATTTTTTTCCAAAACACTTTTATAAATCATAATTAATTTCCAATAATATAAAACAATAGTTATCAGATATAAGATACAACACCTAATACTGTATTTACGTTAATTATTGTTATAATTAAAATGCTAGTAAATATTTTCACATATATAATCTATAACAGTATGACTTAAATTAGATGAAAAATCATTTTTCAAAATTATGTTTATATAATTTTATAACAGTAAAAAAAGTTTATATTATATACAGTATATACAGTAGTTTATTTGTGTATACTATAAAATTAGACCTTTTAAATTTTAGTTGAAAAACTGTGTACTAATAGTGGTTTATTTGATAATTTTCTGAAGTTGATAATTATCTGATAATTCACTGATCTATACAATTAATATATAGATTTTTATCTTTAATAATGTTATATAATAATTTCTAAATGTATATATACTATAAATTATAAGTAGTTTATAATAAATAGATATTTGATTTTCTTATTTTTAATAGTATTTATTAAATTATTGAGTTGTATATGAATTGTGAGAAAACAATGAAAAGTTTGTATTAAATGAGACAAATTGAGGTCAGTTTAGGGGACAGTCTGTCACACACTTTGCTCAACACTCGAGTRTTTTCGGTCTCAATCTGAGGTCATTATCAATGAGAATAACTGTTGATTATAATTGAATTGACACTAACAGTGATATAACAGTTGATAATGACCTTAGATTGAGACCGAAAACACTCGAGTGTTACACAAAATGTGTGACAATCTGTTACCACAAACTGTCCTCAATTTTAGAGTTTTAAATCAAATTTTGTTAAATAATTTTTATTTTTATAATAAATATAAATGTATTTATCTATTTTCTAATAATAATATCTAATTCATCGACACTTCTTTGTTTATTTATATACAATATTATTTGATACACTTGTCAAACAAACAAGAAATTTGTTAAAAATAAAATATGACAAAAATACATCCAACATATGGACAGTTAGCCACAATTTATTAACAATACCAGTATATATACTGATATATATATGTATATACTATACATAAAAATGACCCAAAAATATGAATAAATCAACGAAGCGTTCAATTCGTAAATTATGAAAATCGTTATAATCTTGTATTCAAAATATATGTAAACAAAAAATAGATTTATGTTTTCAATAGTTTTATAAAAAAAATGAATAAAAAATTATATTTTGCTAAAATAATAAATCTTACAAAATTTTGAATCTTATAAATCCAAAACTAATTCCCACAGCTTTTATGAACCATATATTAATTGTTACAAAAAATCAATTAAATGAAATGATTTTTATAATTTTTTTTTATAAAATAATGTTATAAAAAATTATAATTAATTATATAATACCTACAAATTTTGAATAAAATATATCTTTTAAATAATATAAAATTATTGTTAATAACAAAATTAATTGCTAATCTATATCATATATAGTTATTATTAGAGTAAGAAAGACTAAGTATATAATTTATATTTTTGATAACAATAAATTCATTAATAATCTAAAATTTTGTATTTACAGTATTATAAAACTTTTTGTTGTATAAGATATATAGTTTAGTGGTTAATAACTACAGTAGATTAACAATGTTTTCATACTTTAGTTATTTATACTAATTTTGATATAAATTAAGTAAATTTAAGTAATGGTAATATGTATAATAAATATAACATATAAGCATTAATTTTATATTACTATAAATTAACATTTTATAAACTTTAAAATAATGTATAATATGTGTTTAATTATAATAAAATATATAAATATCTTAATAACAAAAATATATGAAAACTTACAGAATATTGAAGAAACAAAATGTCTTTTTGATGACAAATAATACAATTAATGGTAAAAATAAGATTCCATTTGATGACCAAAAATGTGAAATAAACAGATATTTTACACAAAACTTATTTATCAAAAGTTTATTATTAGAAACGTTAGGAATGTATTGAAATATATTGAGTAGTTGTCTGAGAGTTGACTGAAAAACTTGTTCTTACGGTAAGTCAATGTTTATGAAGTGAAGCACTGGATTGGGAGGCATTGGGACAGTCAGTGTTTAAGAGGTCAGTAGGCATATGTTAGTTGTGTTAGTTGTGTGTCATAAGTAGTAATGTTGTAAACGTAACCGATTTGGTCGGTTGACTACAAACGTTAAGGAATGTTAGCTTCAAGAATACATGTTTAGACAGTTATAGCAATAGATAGATAGATAGACATGTAGTGTAACAGCTATACAGTTGTCAATGCAATGGCAAGTCTTCATGTATATCATTGTGTCATTTGCTATGTTAGCACAGTTAGCACTTTACGATCAGGAACTGTATCGGGATATTAGCTCATTAGCCAAAAGGAGAGCACTATCAACATTCAGACATTCATTGCCAACCTATTCATAACCAGTCAATTGGTGTTTGTCTTCAACTAACTTATGGCTCAATAGACCTGACAATCGATTAAACAATTGACTACAGAAAAGACATTATAAAGCAATTGTAGATAATATTGTAAATCTATTAATGATTTTAGCAGACATAGTGTATATATATATATATATATATATATCATATTATGTGACACTAAAATTATATTGAAGTACATCTGACGGAACATATGACTTGAAAATCGACTAAATTTACATAACATAACAATACAGACATACAATTGCTTTATTGAGCCATTAATAATCAATTGTTTCAGTTGTTTGTCTCAATTTTTGCTAACTTGTTATACCAGTGATGTTTGCGCCTCAAAGCAAATAATGAACTGTATTTCGTTTAATAGCATAATCTTAATACAATTTACATAACACTCTATAAAAACTTATAAATAGATTTAAATCATTCAATAAGTAACTGTTAACAACAACAACAACAATATTACTATATTAACCCATTTTTATAATTAGCATTACTTGAAATATAATAACTAATTTACACCAAAGTAGGAGTCAGTCATTTAGAAGAGCTCTTTATGAAAGAAATTAAATTTGAAAGCAAAGCAAATTCAATAAATAATAAATTTATTCAAAGATTTATAATTTAAAATTTATATCATAATTATCATAATAGTAAATAACTTTCATCTTATGAAACTAATTTAAGTATAATGAAAATAGTTTTAAATACATAATTATTTCTAATTTTATGAGTTAACTGTATATTGTTATAAATTTACAGTAAGTTATAAATTGTTATAGATTTTGTGTAGTTATACTGTATATTGAATATTAATCAATTAAGATGAAATTACTCGTATTTATTTTGGACTTTTAAAATAAAATAATTTTAAAAAATAATTGTAAATCTGTAAATTTCATTCATACATTAAAATGTTTTTATGATAAAGTTTTTTAATATAATAAAATAGTATATGAAGAAAGTCATGAAAAAATAAATATAAAACTAATGTTTTTCTAATTCTTAATTTATTTTTAAATGTTTATAATAAACTAAATTTGTTTGTTGTGTTGCTTTTAAAATTGTTAGTTTGATTATTATTTTAATTAATTATTATATATATTGTTATATAATGTGAATTAATTTCTATTATAATTGATATAATACTATGCTATTTATATTTTTAATTGTTATTTATGTATATTAGTATTTCATAGCCTATATTAGTTTTATTAGTTTTAAATCTTATTATATTATTATTAAAAATATAACAACTTTGGATAAACATAGTGTATATATTTAAATATAAACCTATGTATTTACTGTACCATTATGTTATACTGTATTATACAATATTTATTATTATTGAAATTTCATTTTCTCTTTCATCTCATCTTATTATTATAATTTAAAATTACTTTATATATTATAGTTTTAGTAGTAATATATGCCAACTAAATTGAACATTGTTAAGGGTTTTTTAATTGAAACAATATTATTTTTAAAATATATCTATTGTTAAATTACATTGATTTGCATGAATCACAAAATATAGTATAAATGATAGCAATATTGTAATAACGGGATCCTGTTTTGAAAATCAAGCGGACTGTGAAATATATGAGACATTCAATTGAAGTTCATTTGCCGGCTCTTAGTCTTTAGCGGAACTGTTTTAACCTTATTTTCATATCTACTTTATAACCATATATTGCGCGCATATATTACAATATATGTAACTTTTAATATATACAAAAAAGTTTATATTGTATGATAATAGTAGTAACGCCTAACTCTATTACTTGCCTGCTTAACAATATTTAGTTTTATTTGTATTAATATGCACATGAAGTATGATCCATTACTATGTTTGCTAAGTTTCAATACATTTTTAAAATATTCAATCATTTTTTTTGTCAATAAAAGTTATCAAACAACTTATTACAACAGTATGTGTAACAATATTATGTAAATATACTGTATATGCTTTATTTAATACTATATTTAACGATAAATTTATATTTGGTTCTAAATTACAACTTCTAATCTATAAAATTAAAGTCGATAATATATTTTTTAATAAACTAATAAAAATAATAGCTGTCAATAAAATTAATGATTTTTTATAATACTGGTATTATTGTAGATATATCAATATTATAATACATGTTAATTAATGTCCAACTAATAGATTTATTGGATTTTTGCCATTTGATTACTTTATTTTATATACAATTGTGTGAATTTTATTGTACATAATTTAACTATGATAATTACAATTAAAATTTGTTTTAAAATTATTTATTATAATGGTTATAATTTATTAATAAAGTAATTAAAACAAATATACTGATATATGTTATAATCTGTATAAATCTATAAATATTTAGTATAAAAATTAATTATTTCTAAACTAGCTCATTTTTGAACAAAAAAGTGAATAAACTAATTCTATTATACTCTACTAATTTATATTCAAATGAAATAAGAAAAAATACAATAAAATAATAGTAGCGAAAAAAATATGTCAAATAATTTACAAAATCATAACATTTGCATACATTTAATATGTCACCAGACGTTTAAAAATGGGTTGATTTATATATAAAAAAAACTATGTTTTCAATACCAGTTTGTGCCGTCATTTAAAGTTATAAAAAAATATTTATACAATAAAATTTAAACTCTCTTTCTGTTATTTAAAAATATTTTTGATGATATTGTAATTATCTATAAATAATTTAATATTATATACAAATTAGATAATAAACATTAACAATTTATATTATAATGAGTTATTTCAAATTATATAAAAATATACGCTATATGTTATAATATATGATATTTACTGCTTTTAATAGTTTGAGATAATAATAATAAATACATTATATATTTAGCTTTGAATCAATTTTTAAAATTGTCCAATTGTAAAATTATATTATTAATAGTTTTCAATTTATGTTTAATAATAACAATAAATAATTTATATAATACATAATTATGTTTATTTATTATAATTATTAATTATTAACAATACAATTGACAAATTAATAATATGATTTATTTTTAGTTATAATTATATTTATATATAATAATAAATAACGATTAATTAATGATTGATAATTACGGAAATGATAATCATATAAATATTTTTATTAATAAATATTATTGTTTTAAAGTTTATGCTTATTGTGATAATATAAAATATGTTGAAATGTTTTGTTTTTATATAAATATTTTAAATACTTTAAACACAACAATACAACTATCTAACGAATTTAATGTAATTATTAATTAATATTTTATACCTGTATACTTCTAAACATAACATTACTATTTAAAATTATAGTTTATAACTTATAAATGCATATAACAAAAATAAATGCATGTAAAGGCTAATAATTGTATAATGCAATTGTATAAAACCCCAGTGATAATGAAAATAGACTTTTATAGACTAAGTTTATAAAAGTTGGAAATAACTATATAAAAATAGGTCAAAGTAATTGAACAAATTGTAATAATCAGTATAGTTTTAAAACAAATACAAATGTATTTATTACAAACCTAACGGCACTGCTTTTGGTAATTAAGTATTTTTTGTGATTTGACAAACGCTTACATAATTGTAAAATAACGTATACCAGTATTTAGTAATAATACTAATAAAATAAGACAATTAATTGCTATCTATTTTTTATTTGTTTTTAAAAGTTATTTGATGTACTATAAGTATAATGTTATATAATATAATCAATTTTAATTTACTATTGTTATTATATTATTATATCATATTAATAATTTAAATCGTTTTGTTGAATACTATTTAAATTTTATTAAAACACTGTAATTATAATTATTACAGTATTGTAAAATTATATTCATTTACTTTATAATCCTAATATTATCCTTTTGTTAAATAAAAATATATGTTTAACAAGATTGTGTTTGATTTTAAATATTTTATAATATATATATATATATTATATATATATATATATATATATATATATATATATATATATATATATATATATTTTTAAGTGCATTCCATATTATATTTAAGTACTTTTATTGCCGACAACTATCCATTTACACCTATTCCTGGTATGAGCGGTCATTTGGGTCATCCTATTGACACCATTTGATCGTTCTAACCGTCCAACTGTCTTTTATTTGAACTGACCAATAGATACCCATTTAATACCATCACATACCTGTACCTCACACACACTATAAAAACCCAATGTACTGCTACACTACCATGGAGAGAGTGTATACCTAACCGCCAAACTGTACTTACATTTTATACAGTAATTCATACCATTACACTCACTACATGTGCTTATAATACCTACAGTTAACAACCATTGTATTCTCCATTTTTATCTTATTATTAAATAAAGTGAATTAATATTAATTGTGATTAAAGTCATTGAAATGTCACATCACTAGTTCATCTACTGTTCCTCTGGTCAACTGAATCCCGAAGTCTAGAAGTCATTCAGGTATATTAGGATCTCCTCCTTGGCCTAACTCGGGTCACCACTACTGCAGATCTGTCTATTGTCTGAGTGACACATACCGTGGCATTCAAGCAATCCTCTCATCAACTGTTAAGTCAATTATTGGCCGATCAGTTGATACTACAATCAGTTGTTGGTCTCAATCAGACACACGCGAGACAACTGTTACTTTGATTAGTTGGAGTGTCGAGTACTGGTCTCATACCGACCCACGCAGTGTACCGACCGGTCAATTAAGACAATTACTGTCCTATTGACCGATCTAACTAATCATAACCAAACTACCTGTGGTTGGGAAGTCCCTTAAAGACAATACAACCGCAACAATATATATATATATATATATATAATGCAAAAATATTATTGTAAAATAATTTCTGACTATATTGATTATATAATTATTTATAAATAAATAAAAAAATATAGTAATTAATAAAATACTATATGAACTAATAATAATATGTGATTTACTGTATAATATATAAGGTATTGCAAGACGTGATAAGACGTGACAAACATGAGAACACTAGTCACGTACTTAAAGGATATTTTATAATTTATAAGTTATAGCAGTGAGACGTGAGACTGTTTAAGTTGTGAAAGTTATATAATTTAATAATTAATTAATTAATAACTATTTTTTAACATAACGTGTAACATAACATATGAAGATTATAACAAATAATTAAAATGTATTTAATAATTATTGTAAATATAAAGATAAATGATAATAAAGCACAAGATTTAGTAAATGCAAAAATATAATTGATTTTAAATATAACATTACTGGTAATTATAAATATTATTGATACAGTTGATTGTCATAAACATTTAGATATTATTTATGATCATAATTTATTATTTAATCATCACTTCAATAATATTATAATAAAATCTTAATAATTTGTAAATATATTTAACTAAAAAATAATAAAATACCATAAGATATATTGTATTATTTTATTACTATTTTCTAATATCTACGGTATAGACAGCAAAATATTGAAAAATTTGATAATTTTTATTTTATTATTTATTATTCAATAATTATTGTATTAACAGTTATTTATATAATTCTCTTACTATAAACCAAAGATATTGTAATAACTTTTAATTAATTTGTAAAAAATAATGTAATCTTATTTGATTAAAACACTTTTATGTAATCAATGCTTTTAATGCTTATTATTATTAATTATTATTATATTTAAAATAATTCATAAAAATTAATGTAAAAATTGCTAAATTATAAATATAATAGTATTCAATTATTTTAAGAATTTAGATATAATAAATTTATTTAATATTACAGTTTGATAAAGATTWTTAACTTTGTGTGGCAATTAAAAAATACACATTATTATAAATAAATACTTTAGTTTATTAACAACAGTTGTTTGTAAGTTATTACTTCAATTTAAAAATATCAAAAATTTATATAACTATAATCAATAATAAACAGCAAAATTAACAAATAGATTACATATTAAAATTTTGTGTGTAATCGTATTCAATGGTAGGTATGACTGCCTGAACGAACTTAAGAAATACAATTAAATAGCTGTGAACCGGTAGATCTCGTCCGCCTTCTTCAACAGTCTGTATTATTTTCTTCATTACTTCTGCGTGTCTGACAATTGAATAAATGTTTATTTTTAATATACATAACATTAGCTTAAATTTGCTAATTTTAATATTCAAATAGTTAGCCACACCTGCAGGGATGTACAGAAGCCATGGGTCCACCGGGAATGTGTGGATGTGTTTCCATTGTTACTGTTTTCTTGGCGTGATCCTGACTATATATATAGTATTTATTATAACATTATTATATATTATAAATATATAACAATTAACTAATAATTAGTTTGTAAACATACCTAATATCTTCATACATCTGATCAATAGTGAGTGGTTTTTGATTCTCATTGTAACCGCAGAGCCAGAGTCGAGGTGTTTGATAATACTTATCATAAGTGATATTCAAATCATAAGTTCGTGTCGGAACTATATCTGATTCTAACTGTTCATCACTTTTGGAAGCGGTATTGGCTTTAATTTCATTTAAATCAACCGTTGCCTAAATTAACAATTACCGTACGGTAAGTAAAAATTATTTATTAATAATTTTATAACAATAACGCTTAGACTGACTATACCTCATCTCTTTCTTCTAACTGACCCGAAGCTAGATATTGATCCATATCTTCAGCTTCTTCATCATCTTCTACAACATTTGGCTTATCATTTGAATTGTTAGTATCTTTAGAAGTGAGTGTCATTTCCATAACTTGTTCGTTAAGATTTGCGAAGTGATGAGTGTCGACCCAACCGCCGTCTGAGTCCTTCTCTTCAATTATCTTCTCATTATTCTCCATATACTCAATATCTTTACAGCGTTTAAAACAGGGAACTAATAACAAAGTATACCAATTAGTGTTCATTTATTAAGTCAATCGTTAAAATGTAATAACCATTTCTTGTAACCAAAAATTGTTTGTCTTTCGGTAAATAATCCCTAGATTTAGATTCATCTCCTTTGGCCCACTTCCAGGTCGGACATTGATGGACCAGTTGTTCACCAGCGATCACAAACTATATCATAACAAAACATCAAATGCTTATCAATTGTCTTCATAAGCTATACAAACCTCTTCGGGTGTCAAAACTCCCGTCTCTTTAAATTTCGACTCCTATTTAAAGACAAAAACAATTACAAACAAACCAAACATATCATAACATACCTTAAGAACTGGAGTTAGATATTCAGCAAACTTAATGATCATTGACATTGTGGACCAATTGACACAATGGACACAATTGGATGCAATTTAAGACAACAATAATAGACGAGATYTCAGTTGTTATCAAACAATTCAATATAACGTCACATAAGTTATGATACAATCAGTGACTAAACAATACATGTCTTCACAACAGATGGCACTCAACGCACATATAATACTGTTTAGTACATCAAATCATACAAGTAGTACATGTTTGCAGTGCCAACAATATGGTGGGCGTGACCACAGTCAGACATAACTGTTATACCTATTAAAATAATTCTATGGTATATTCCAAACAATATATGCAAACAAATTGTGTTACTCATGTGCTACATGTGTACAAGTAATGCATTGATTTGATTGGTTTATAGGTTTAAACCAATGATAAAGTGGTGAAACTTTGAAAAATTAAAGCCAAGTATTGAATGCATTTAAACGACATTTAATTGTCTGATCTCTTAATGTTAACAAACATTTGATTTATTTAAACAATTTTTATAATAATTTATTTAATAATTTTTAGGTTTGTTTATTAACTATTTGTTTATTTTGTCATTAATTTAATTGAATTGAATTATCAGTTAATTAATTGTTTAAAATCATATGTTATTTAATTATATAATTAACAAATAATAGATGATATGATATATGTTTAGCTAAAGAAGTGGCAAATCATCAAAATGTTGAGACAAAGAGTTTTCACAAACTTATCAAATGTTAAGACAGAGACCAACTCTCTGAAGACTAACAAAGCCATTAAACGCACTCTTGATGTGTCTCTTAATAAAGAATGTCTGAAGAAGAAGAATAAGTCTGTAAATACAATAAACAGTAATTGTATTGTTGATCAAAATGACGAAAACAAAGAAATGTTTGATCCAACGCTTACAATTGAGAGAAAGGTTAAGGCCATTGACATCGGATCCAATGTCAAAGAAATAGACATCGAAAGGGAACAAATGGCAGACATATCAGAACAAGAAGAATCACAATTGAATGACCAATCATTTGAAGCCAATACCATCGACTTTCACGATCCGACTACTTATTATTGTCCACCAAAAGATATTCCCGACTCTATTGAAGACTTCGACAAAAGTCAGCTCAAGAGCATAGACTCGGAACCACATTATTCGGCGGATATTTTCAGATATTACAGGGAAAAGGAGGCCAACAAACCAATTAAAAAGTATATGCATTCACAGCCAGAGATCACCAAAGCTATGCGGTCTGTTCTCGTCGATTGGATGGTTGAAGTCCAGGAAAGCTTCGAGTAATGATTTTACTTAAGTTTTATAACATATTTATTAATTACCAGTAATTGGTTTTATATTTTATTAGATTAAATCACGAAACATTATATTTAGCCATCAAACTGATGGATCACCTCTTAACGAAAGAGCAGATACCTAAAGTACAATTTCAATTGGTTGGCGCAACTGTCCTCTTAATTGCTGCAAAATTTGATGTATTTATTTGATTTGAAAAAGTGATGATAAATCTATAATCTAATGTTTATTAATCATAGGAACGCATTCCTCCTGCAATTGAAGACTTTCTGTACATTTGTGACGACGCCTATACCAGAAATGATGTTATTTTGATGGAAATGCGAATCTTGAAAGCAATAGATTTTGATTTATGTTTTGCCATTTCTTATCGATTTCTTCGCCGATACGCTCGGGTATTGTTTGTAAATTGCAAATAATTAAATATTTTTTTATTAATAATAATATTATATATAAAGTGCGCCAAACTATCAATGGAAACATTAACTTTGGCCCGATTTATATTAGAGATGTCTCTAATGGAGTACGAAATCATAGAGGAGGCGGACTCTCGAGTGGCGGCCGCAGCTCTCATGTTAGCTCTCAGAATGAAAGGACAGACTGATTGGGTATTTGTTTGTTTGTCTTAATTTGATATCAATTTATTAATTATTTTTATATAACACTTTAGAACGAAACTCTTGAGTATTATTCGGGATATAAATCAAGCGATCTCTTGATTTTGATGTACAGATTGAATGAAATAATAACAACACAAACGAAAAACAAAACTATAAGAACTAAATATTCTCATAAGTGAGTCAATCATTTCTAGTGTATTGAATATTGTCTTATTGTTTAATTTTAATGATAATAATTACCGGTATATTAAATATTCAGAATATTCTTCGAAGTGGCCAATATATCACCCCTACCTCGCATTAAACCCGAAAGAATGTGATTTATATAAAAGAAAATCATTTAACAAATTAATTAATAAATGCATTTTATTATATACACATATATTTTTACAAGTTTTTACTATAATTATATTATTTTTATTTTGCAATCATTTTAAATGAATTTTAATAAATGGTTTTGAGAAAACATTTACGGTATACTAGATTATGTCATTAATGTTTAGTTTATTAACAAATCATATATTTTTAGTTTATTTTAATTATTGATAAGAGTTATTGAATCGATAAAACAATTTATATGTTAATTATTAATTAATTTAAATGACTGGACATTTGATATTTATTGGCAATCGTTTATTGCTCTATAAATCTTATGAAATATTCGATATATAACTATCATATATAATAAAAAATTAATTATTCAATAAAATATACTAAACATTAAAAATAGTTTTATTTTGTTTTATTGCTTAAAAATTATAATAAAATATATGACAGATGTCTCTATATATTAATAATAATAAAACGTATATTCAATGAAATGACACCATATTATGCAATCATTGTTATTATACTGTAGTTATAGTCAATGTTTTACTGATTAAATTAAACATTGATTTCTATGATATTATATTTGAAAATAGTTATAATTGTTTGAATACATATTGAATGACCAGTAAATATATAGATAATTCATATAATATAATATGATTGTAATGTATAGTAATTTACTATATATTATATGAGTTATACAATTGATTGTCAATATTAATGTTGTTTTTGATGTTGTCATCAGTTTGTTATTCAATGATAAGTCTATTGACTTATAATTTATAACTTTGTTTGTCATAACAATAGTAATAATGACTTTTAAAAATAATAATAAATATTTGTAATAAATAGTGAAAATATGTGGTCATTGATATCGATGTATGTATTGATACTATGGGTCATCATCTGTCAAGTGGTGATCGCATCTAAAGAAAAGCTAATTGAAGATAACATTAATGGTTTGATCGCCGCTTTTGGTGACTTTGATTCTGACCGCTTTACCGATGTGTTTGTCATCACTGATGACGGCAAGAGTTTTGAAATATTTAAAGGCTATCCCACCGAACCCGTGCTTAGGAAGTGGCCATCGCTGATGAAGTGCACATTTAACACCACCACTGACACTATTGTCGGTCTAATTCCGGCTGATTTTAGTGGCAAAGCAATGATGGATGTATTAGTGGTGACCACAAGTGATAATAAAAATGAAAAGTTTAGTATATATTTAGTGAGAGGAACTACCAATCAATTGTTGTGTAACTATACGACCACTCCTTTAGTCAAAGATGTCAAAAGTCATCCATTTATTCTTGACTTTAACGGTGATATGATTTCAGACTTTATTGTCGAGACGGACAACAAGTCATGTGTTCGACAACTTTGGACTTTGTCAGGGCTTCAGCTTAAGCCAGAATGTCCTCATGAGATACAAAACGAAAACAATTTGTGGTATTTTCCTAACTCTAATGCATTTATCAATTTGAATGACTTTGTCGATGATATGACTGCAGACATATTCATCAGCGGTCAGAAACATATGGAGATTTATAACAATAGTAATGGTTTTAAACAAAGAAATAAAAAGTTTATTCAATATCCCGAAAACTATGAACGTTTCGGTCAATCGGCATTTGTTGACCTCAATATCGACGGCAAAATGGATCATATTATGCCTGTTTGTCGTCAATATAAAGATTTGAATTGCAAAGACCCACATATACTGGCATTTGATTCAAATGAGAAAAACTGGAAAAATATTTCTGATTTTACTGTTGGCAATGACTCTGGTCTTACATTTTCTGAAATTCAATTCAATAAACAATTTCTTCCTATAACTCTAAGACATGGAGACATTGATGGCGATGGCTATATTGATCTCATAGCTATTATGAGAGATAATAAAAATAAATTTAAAGCAGTGGTTCTTAAGAATGTTAGAGATAATAGTGAAGATAATCCATTTAAACGTCGGTTTGTAATTGACTGGACTAGTGATAGACACGTGGGATCAGATGTAGACGTATTTATGGTTGGATTTATTGATTTGTTTGAAGACGGAAAACTTGATTTATTAATGACAACAAAAGATAGTAATAATAAGTTGACGACAATAGCAATTGTCAACACCTGGATGATCGACGCCTGTTTCCTTAAAGTTCTAGTCACTAGTGGTTTATGTTACGGATCTACTTGTCCTCGAGGCAACATTCCTTACGGGACCAATCAATACGGCCCATATGTTTGTTATCAATTACAAGACATGGATGGCAATATGCAAACAGCCTGTGCCGGACAACTATCACAAGCAGCACATTCTGCTCTTCAAATGCCTTATTCAGTGTTTGGTTTAGGAGAGACTCCAAACTTTGTTGAGAACGTTCACGCGTCCATACCATCTGGTCGTATACTTACTCGTGAATCCAAATGGACTCAAATAGTACCGGACGCTCAAGTGGTTCTCATCCCATTCCCCCCAAATGACACAAGCAATTGGATCGTCAAATTATTTTATACTCCCAGTACTATAGTTTTCTCAACACTAATCACTTTAGCCTCAATCTGTTGTTTTCTTGTTCTCATTATTGGAATACTTCATCGCAAAGAACTATTAGAAGATTTGGCAGAACATGAAGAATATAAGAGACATTGGCCTGAAAGCAGATAACAAACCATACATTGACCACCATTTCATTGAATATTGTTTTTAGTGATACATCAATGAAATTATTTATTGTTTTATTATAGTTTCATATTTTTAGTTGTGGTAATAAATTTAAATCATTTATTATAATTTCTCAATAATTAGTCATTTCATAGTTAATGCCAAACAATTGATTGATTTTAAAATAAAATTTTATACATACAATTTAATTTACGGTAATTATTTTTAATTACCGTTAATCATAAATAAGTTTACCGTAATATATACAGTATATTAAACTACAAGTAAATGTTATTTTCATAAAATATAAATCATTAGAATTACTGGTTTTATTAAAATATATAATAATTATTACAAAATAGAATATTATTGGTTGTTATGAAACATACTATAAGTTTTGATACATTTTTTGGGAATATATACTACAGTAACAAAAGGTATTATAGATAATACTAATTATTTAAGACATACTAACAAATAGGTAAACCATTTGAATGCAATACAATTGTTAAGGTTTGTGGTCTAATCTCACAGATTATCTCAATTTATATGCAAATCATGTCTTCAATTATATAATGAGGAAGAATGAGATTATTGAATGATATAATAATGAGACCACAAGTTTTCATTTTCAATGGACTATTAAAAAGTAAGTTCATGTAGTTATAGCTAAAGTAATAACATAATGATTGTAAGTTACAATTTAATGTCATATAATAGATCATTATATAAAAAGTTTTGTGATAAAAGGTTAGAAGTGGGTATAATAGGTGAAGGTTAGGTACAAATAGAGAGATCAAATAGTTTTCATAAGTTTTATACATGTATTTTACTTATAAATGTCACAAATTATTTCATTGCATAGATTTTTTTTTAATTAAAGAAAAATTAAATAATAATATAAATATATTGTCTTAACATTGTTATCATAGTTTAGTATAATTTTTAGTACCTCTAATACACATTAGTGTACAGTATATTATTGTAAGATTATTTATGTTTTACAGATTGTATTAATTATATTAATTATTAATACAATAAGAAAACAAAATTATTAAATAGAAAGTTATTATTTGCCAACTTATACTTTATAATAAATGTAATTAATATGATATTTATATTTAGTTATAATCAAATTAATTTACAGTATTTAATATCTATATTATTTTATTAATTATACTTTATTATACAGTACTTATAAAATCAATTACATATTTTTGATACTACAGTATATATTGACAGAACATTACATTTTAAATCAAATCAAATAACAATACAATGTTTTTCTCTATAATGATGTGAGGCGTGGCTTATGTTATGTTATGTTATGTTATGTTGTGTTTTGGCATTCATTGCATTTGAGTTGTAATTGGATTGAAATTGTCATTAATTGTCAATAATATCAACAAAATAATTGATTCAAATAATTGGTAAGTAATATGACATTAATGTTGATAACAATTGATAAGACATGTATAATGTGAAGACAATGGCAAAGAATACACTTAACAGTCAGTTCCGGAAGATAGACGTTGACTCATATGGTGACGATGTGTTCAAAGAAGAAGATGCCACCAATGATGGCATTACCACCAATGGTGTCGATGAGAGACAAGTATCACATCTAATCAATTCAGGCAAACACGTGGACGCACTCAAAGTGATGCTAAACAACAGTGCCATCAACTCGAAGAATACGGCGGCCAAAGACAATGTTTTTGCAATTGTTTTACAGATATTAATGAGTATTAGAGTGACTGATATTGACAAAGCAGTGGACGCTCTGTCCACAGATCAGATCGATGTCCTCATGAAATATATTTATAGAGGCTTTGAGTCGCCGACTGACGGAAGCAGTGCTCACCTCTTGATTTGGCATCAAAAGACTTACGACAGGGGAGGTGTCGGTGCCATAGTTCGGGTGCTGACAGACAAGAAACGGGTTTAGATATCATGGATTTGTAATGACTTCTTGTAATTTGAATAATTCAATTCAATTGTTATTTTTTATCATTAATATTACTAATTTATAACATACTTAACAATAAATTTGATATTTATTATAATAATYATTATTATTATTATTATTTATTTATAGTCTAAATTTATTTTTCAAGATTTATATTTCAGTAATTTACAGTAATCACTAATTAGTAATCTACTTATGTTATCAATATTATAGTTATTTTTATACAGAGTATTATATTTAAAATATATTTATGTTTCTATTAAAAGTATAGAATAATAAGTTATAATTATATTTGCAATTTCTATTGTTATATTAATTTATACCAAAATAACATCAATTTTAAAATTTAGTTACGTTTACTATATATAACTTAAATTTGTCAATTATTAAAATATGAATAAATTTTAGTGCATATAATTAATTTTAATTAGTATCAAACAATTCATATTAAGTTTGAATATAAACGTGTTTTGAATAATTTCTAAACATAGAGACACTTCAAACTTGATTGTATATATTATTTTCAATGAACTTTGTTTTTTGTAAAATCTATTTGTGTGTGTGTCTGTGTCGTAGTATTTTTAGTTTTAAAACTAACAAACTTGAGATTTGAATATAACATTAAAACATATTATTTTCTATTTACAAATAATTTTTAAAAATTCTATTATTTATAAATTATTTTTTATATGAGTCGACCAATTATTAAGGAAAGAATTAGGTAAATAAATAGGTAAGCGGTGTATATATGTATATATGTATGTATGTATGTATAAGGGTTAAGCAAGGGGTAGGGCCTAAATATCCCCCTAAGATCAATTTTTAGATTTTACCCCCAGACCAAATTGTACTTAAAACGAGTAGAAATGACCCCCAAAAAATTCCACTCCAATTTTTTCAAGTATTTAAAATTATAATTCTAATTGATAATTTTTAATTAAGTGTTATTATGTTTATATAACTTATGTGAATGTAATTATTGAGGAAAAATAGTTAAATCACGTTAAAATTAATTTAAATATAACTTTATATTAATTAAAATATTCAACTAAAAAATTAACTATTTGTTGGAAAGACAGTAATCATATAACAATTTAAATAAAATTTTAAGATAAATAGACTATTGTTATTAGTTATGATTTTAATTTAAACTTTATTTGTTAAATTGTTGAGTAGATTATACTTTTAGACTTTTATTTTGGTAATGCTAAAATTCTCAATTGGTTTTATCTTACAGTTAATTTCAATTTTTTAAATAGTCTACTAAATAAATAAACACATTATATTAACTATACTGTATAATAAATACAGCATTTGTATTGGTTTTTATATTTATATTTTTAAATTAATAAGTTATATGAAAAACTCATTTTGAATTGTAATTTAAAAGTATATTTCCTACATTATATAATATTAGCATTACTATATAAATTATATATGTGTGTATGTGTTTATAAATACTTAATTTATTAAATTGTAGTAATTATTAATAAATAATATATTAATATAAGAAGAATAATTGTAAATATATCAAAATTAAAAATATTTTTATAAAATATAGTTTTTATAAATTATATTAATAGTTCAAATTAGAAATTAGCATTTTTTTAATTGTTAAAGAATTTAATAATAAAAAATTTATATTTATTTTCAATATTTATATTTATAATAATAAAATTTATCAAATTTATTGCCTATAATTCATATAAAAACAAACCTTATATAAGATGTATTCAATAATTTCATACTTTCACTCATTAACCCAATTCTCAGATTTAGACAATCAAATGTACGACACATATACTTGTAGTTTGTTATGTAATTCATAATATAATACTTATTTATAAGTGAATAGTTGTTTCACATAATTGTCATCTTTTAATAGTTTTTAAGTTTAACTTTAACTCTACTTTCAATGAATACTCTGAGAGTGTAATTATCAACATTTTGAAAACTGTTTATATGAATACAATATTAAACTAGTGATTAAAAAGATTTGGATAATTCATAGGTTAGGAAAATAAATATTTTAAATAATTATAAAGATTAATATTTAAATAATAATATAAAAATATAAAGAATTCAAAATTTTTAAACAGATATTATGATAATTGAAAACAATGTACAAAATATATAGCATTTCCCACTTTTAATCTAATGCTAAATCTATGCATATATAGTGAACATTAATTTATTTCAAATTAATAAGACATCAGTTTATTGTGAAAATTTTTATAAATGTGTTGTATATGTGATGTATTATGTATAAATAATTTTAATAAATTAAGTAAATTATCATTGCACATTTATCAAATATAATTTTTAACTTATTGATATATTGTATAAAATAAAAATACGGTTTAAATAAATTTTTTAATTATTCTAAAATGAATTCAATTTTAAGACTATAATTATTATTTAAGAAAAGGAAGACAACTAAGAGGTATAAAATAGTCAGACATTACTTATAAATACCATTTGTTAAGCCTATTGTTTAAATTTAAAAAATAATTTTACAATTTATTGTAATTTATATTTTTGTTTTCTTTTTTAACACATTTTAAGTAATTTTAATATAATATATTATTAAACAATGTTTACTTAATCATTGTTTTGTCTATTGCTACTTCTTTACGTTTAAAAGATATTTTAAGCAAAATATTTTAATTATTATATTTAATGTATAATACTTACAATAACGTTATTTCTATGAATAATATAATTTAAAATAGATTAATTTGTAAAATATTCAAATTATAAATTATAGTTTATTTTACATCATTTAATTCAAATCTATCGAAAAAATCGATTCAATATAATATTAATAGTTTATTGGTTTTGTAGTACTAATCAATATATTATAAAAATCGTGATTTATTAAGATTAGCATAAATATGTTTTATCTTATACTATAATTATATTATGTAATACTAGATATCATAATTATATATACAGTTTATATCAATCTATATATTACACATAACTCAAATATGATTTAATGTTGTTTTTTAGAATAATAACATGTATTATATTTCCTTAAATTATTTTTATTTTTTTACTTTATAATATAGTTAATCTATACTCTGAAAAATATTGCATATATTAATATATTTTTATAATTATATTTGTTTAGTTAATCATTTATAACTTTGCAACCATCGAGACACATAAACATCAAAATCTTTTACTGATTTATTAATATTTTCAAATCATATTTTTAAATTTTAAAAATAAAAATTGTATTGTAATATACCGTATAAAGGCTTTATTGCAACATTTGTAATTTGTAAAAAATGATAATATACTTTAACAATTAAACAATAAAACAATAAGTTTTGCAATTAACTATAAACTATATAATTAATTTGTGCATATTCAACCAATATTATATTAAGTAATACAATATATTATAATATAGTTAAAATTATAAAACCAATAAATAAATTATTTTATTTGTCTGCAATTTTTTCAATGTTTTAGTTAAGTTATAATATATTAATAAAACAATTTAATTGATGACTAGTTTATAATTTTATATGATAATTGAGATAAATTACTTTTTATGTTAACAATTCACAATTTGTCTTTTTAAAACCCGACAATTTGGGTTAACATATAATAAATATATATTTAAATTAAAATTATAAGTTTTACTAAAGAGTAATATGTTATAATATTGAATTAGTCATCTCTAAAAATGTTTGTCTCATAGATATTTGAAAATTAAATTTTTATTTAATATAAAAATTATGTCATCAATATAACAAACATTGCTTTGATTTATTTTTTCTAAGTTTTTTTATAAAGAGACCACAAATTGAATAAATGAATATATTTGTGATTTGAATGATTTGTTTTAAGACTTGAGTTCGTGAGACCACGAAATTCATGTCTGATTTATATCAACACAAATACAATAAATAATTGTTGGTCTACTCATCTATTGATAATAATTTATGATACGTTAATGTATTTTTTATTAACTTTTTAAAACTATTATTATTATTTACTAAATATCAGTTATACATGATAAAATAATTTTTTAATTTTATAAAATTTTACTTGTTGTATTATATGAAATATTAAAGTAATCATACTGATTTTAATTAAACAATCAGTTACAATAATATTTAATTATTAATTAATTATATTTTTATTTCTTATTAATAAAATTTCTTATTTTTTTTAATAATAAATAAAAATTAAGCAATGGTATTTTACCAATTATTATTTATTTAATAGAAAATTAACAATATATACAAAATTAAAATTTTATATTCAATTAATCCTTTTATTGAAAAATATATTTGAATTGAATAACATATTGAATTACAATTGAACAGTATTTATATTGTTTATTTTTGTTAATTATACTTTACATATTGTATAATGTAATATATTATTATTTTTGCGCAAAAATAGATTATAGAATATTTGCATAAAATTTCATAATATAGATTAAAATATGAATAAATAATTTAATTATATTAAACACCATTGTTGTCATTCATGACCTTTAATAGTAGCAATAAAATTTCAATTTATATAATATAAACAAAAAATATATAAATTAAATTTAAAAAAAAGCATTGAATTATAAAAAAATATTATTATATTAAAGTGAAAGTCATTGAAAGTTTATAAACAAACAATAATTTTTATTATATAAATTTAACTAATTTATGTATTTTTTAATCTATTATATCAATAACACAATCATTTCATAAATCTATTCAATTCACTGTGCTTTCATATTTTATCACTGATTTAATATAATTATCTTTTAGTTAATTAATAATGTGATGTGTGTCTTACAATTGATATAAAAATTATGATTATTAAAATAAAAGTGAAAATAAAGTGCTTATCACAACAAATAATAAATTTTGTGGTAATTTTGGTTATTGTCTGTGGTTTCTCAATGTTTTGTATTCATATTCAGTATAATAGTTAAACAGTATGTATATTATAGTCGACCTGATTTAGACCCAAATAGCGAGTGGACATTAAAAAGTCTAACTATTCGTTGCCCTAAATTTACAATTACTTTTAAACACATATGAAATTAAAAGTTTTGAAAAATACACTCAAAGGAGGCGTTTTTCTTATAGTAAATGAAATTTTTTTAATGAGAATATAAAAGACGAGACTTTTCGTTGAAATATTACTTTTGATCCTTACTTTAGTTGTTGACAACAATTGTATATATGATTGACTTGAGTTGTGTCACAATGTTTAAGGTATAGTTTGTTTCAGTTATGCTTTTAGTTATAAATGAAAAAAAAGTTTAGAATTCATTTGTGATTAAATACAACATTTAAACAACAATTTTAGTTTATATACTGTATATATAATTATTAATAATTCATATGTGGATTACTGTTTAAATAGGTGCTAATTTTGGCCGCAACTACTTTAATAGCCAGCGCTCAATATAAAAAATTTGTCGGTTCTCCAGGTATTTATAATTTATATTTAATTAGCAATATTATTAGACATATAATTTCATAATCAATATTTTTATAAATCAAAACTAAATAAATTTAGATTAAAAAAATACTAGTTGGTTAATTATAAAATTAATTGTGGTATAAATAATTTACACAATTTTAAAATAAAAATTAAACATTTAAAATTTATATATTTATGACTAATAACATTATATTATTGTATTACATATTTGTAAATAATTTTATAAATTATAACCGTAATTTATATAAAGCTTAAATTTATAATATAAATTTTATATCTTAATAAGTTATATTATAAACTATAATATAAAATATAGAATTTCTTTAAGTATTGTAAATATTTTATTTTAGAGAGTTTGTAATTGTATAATGTTTAATAATTAAGATATATAATTTTTTAAATTTATTTAAACTAGCATATTATGGATATGCACCTGAAATAAAATCACCTATTTATGCCACTTATACTGATACTAAACCTGTATATGAAACATATAAGGTAAGTTATTAGTTAAATGTTAAAATATTTAGCATTTAAATTTTTATTATAATATAGATTTATCTATTATATAATATTGATTAATTGATCTTTATATATAGGAAACTCCATCTCCCTATTCATTTGGATATACAGTAGACGATGGTTTGATCTCAAAGAATATTCACATATTATTTAGTAGTTAATTATTATTTGTTATAAACCATAGGTTACGGTAATAAAAATCACAAAACTGAAGAAGGAGACGCATATGGCAACAAAAAAGGTTTATTTAATTTTTTATTTATTAATGTTTAGATAATATATTTATAATTAAAAATTTTGTATAAAATTATAGTTAAATTTATAAAAATTTATTAATAATTATTATTCTATTTATATACATAATAAGAATATATTAGTAAATATTTTATAGAATATTAAGTTCTATAATTTGATAAATTCTTTAATAATTATAATGTTTGTATCTTTTATTAAAAAAGGATCGTATGGTTATACAGATGCTTATGGAGTATATAGGTTTGATTCATAATTATAATTAACGTTTCAAAAAATTTAATAATTATTTATATGTTAAACAGAAAAGTTGATTATATAGCCGATGAACACGGATTTCGGGCGTCCATATCAACCAATGAACCAGGAGTTGGCTCAGAAAGTTAGCTAAGTTTACAACTATATATACTTTTAATAATAAGTTATATACTATATGTATAGTCATAGAAATAAATACAAAATAATAATTTTATATAAAAGTTCTTAAAGACAATTATTTTTACTACTGTTAGAAATTCTTAAACAAACAATTATCACATAGAAATTAATTCTATAATTATTATGATTTATCAATACAATAATATATAGTAATATAATTCAAGTTATTTAAAAACATAAAATAAATATATTATTTTATAAATTCAGCTTATAATTAGAAAACTTTTTAATTTTATAGGTTGCAATTAATTTTAACATTCTATAAATTTTAATACAATTTTTAAAATGCAATATTTAGATATAATGCTATTAATAATTATATTTTTAGTAAAATACTATATTTTATAATTCAATGCGTTTTATAAAATTATGACACAAAATTAAAATCAAACTAACAAAATATAATTATTATAAACCAATTAAATTAAATATCTTAGACAATTAAAAATAAAAAGTACTAATTCGACAAATCTAAATAATTTTTTTATTATAACTATAAATAAAAACAATACAAAACAAACTTTGACATCTAATTGAAAAATATAAAAATTTTAATTTCCGTTTATTTATTATTTTTAATTTTTAAGTTTAGACATTATATAATGTTAAAATGTGCTTAGTTATTTCATAAAATTAGTTACAATAATATTATAATATAGTAAAACAAATGTTTTTTTTATTGTAGGTCCAGCGGATGTACAATTATATGCTAAGGTTAGTTCATTTACAATTGAATAATAAATAAAATATTCTTATATATTATTAAATAAGAATATATTATAAGATGTGTATTAATAATTATATAATTATTTGTATTTATAAGGAATCGCCTCCAGTAGCGCCATATAAAGCACATAGTTATGGGACTCCTATTTATGCTGCGGTTTGTATTATAGATATACATATATTAGTAACTTATTTAAAATAAAATATAAACAATTTATATTACAGGTGCCAAAATCTTATGAATCGTATCCCATTCCTTATTATCATAATTACAAACACTATTAAGTTTGTGAAGTATTTTAAAGATAAATAGTATGACAAACGCTTATATTTTTATTTCACTTATTTCACTAAAACATCAAAAAATTAATTATAAAAATTATTAATATATTACTGTATATAAATTTAATTTTATGTTTAAAAAATTATAGTGAAAATGCAAAATAATATAAAATAAAGTAAATTTAAATAAATTACATAAAAATATTTATAATAATAACTAATAATTTTTTAAAAATATATATAAGCAAATAAAAATTTAAATCTTGTAAAATTAATTATTTTTTTTATATTTATATTTCTTTATAAAATTATTAAACAATTTATTTTATTTGAATTTTTTATACAAATAAAATGTTTAATAGTAATGTACTGTAGTGTAAACAATAACTATTGAATAAATTATTATAAAAGACATTATAATTGTTATTACTTTAATAAATAAACCAATTAAAATTTTTGTTTACTTAAAGCAAAAACATATAAATTTTATTATTATTTTAGAAATAGCATTTAGAAAAATAATTAAAAATATATTAACTTAATAATAAGTTATAATTAAAAAAGATTATATCAGACAATCTTTTGTTGGGATTTATACATATTTAAAATACAATTAAATAAAACACAATTCTAAAAGTTTAATGAAAAACACTGTATTTAAAAAATAATATAACATTTAAAACTTGTATTGATAATTTCAAACGTGTTAAAATCTCAACGAAAATATTAAAAATTTTACATAATTTTATTAATTTTTTATTATATAATATGAGAAATTTATTGTTGGTTTTGATTTTTATTGTAAATATTAGTAATAACTAAATCTAAAATTTACTAAAATTAAAACATATACAATGTATATAAATATATTAGAATAAATAAATATATTAATATAACCAATGGGTTATAAAATAATATTATCGATCAGTAATGGTAACTGAAATATATTTAAAGAATTTATTTTAGAATTCTTTTTATGTTAAGTATAATGTATTAATGTTAGAGATATTAATTTGCTGTCTATTTTAAATTAATTTTTAATAATAGATTATAGTTAAATTTTAATTTAATCAGTTAACCATTTATTAAAATTTGTAATATTACAATATTTTATTATTAACACATTTCTGCAAAAATATTAATTAAGTAAATTTTTAAATATCAATAAAAATATATATAAGTTTATGACATTTGCATTTTTAGGATAAAATGATAAAAGATATAAGGAGTGTTAAATGCTCCAAATTATATTACCAATTGTTGAATAACAGGAAATTTAGATTTAATTTTTGTTTATTTTTGATATTTTATTAATTTTATTTAATTTAAATAAGTCGTTTAGAATTTTAGTATCAATAACAAACATTAAATATTATTTTTTATCTAAATAAAATGTTCATAATATATTTTCAGATATTTTGCTATTGATTATAAAACTATGTTATATTGTATATATTTTTATAATACTGTAAATAATAAAACAAGTGTAATATAATAAAAGTGCATATATTGTAACAATTTTATTAATATTAATTTTTATTTGTTATTTTTAAAATGTCAATTATTCATTTGGATTTTTATTTTATATATTAAATATTAATATATAACAATTAAATATATAATTAACAAGTTTTATCATCCTATGTAATTTATGTGATTTTGGCACTATCATAGAAAATATTTAAATAGAAAACATAGCACACATATAAAAACATTTTAATAAATATAAGTTATACAGTATTATAAAATTATAATGAATGTTCTGTAATTACACAACGTATAAATAAATTATAAATTAATATAAATATATTATTATAACATATACATTATATGCTTTATGTAATTTATTTCAATTATAATATTTCCAAAAAACCTTTTATTGAGGAAAGTAAATATCTTACAATTTGAATATTAAATATTTGAAAAAGTTAATTATTTCGATAACAATTCAGATTTAAAAAAATTGTTTGACAAACAAAATACATTAGATTAAAATATTAATACAGATATATAATAAGTTTATTAGATTATCTATGAATATATAAAATTATTTTTGTAATACAAGAATTTCGTAAATTTTTCTTTATATTATTTTTGAATAGTTATAACAAATTTGATTATTAGTAATCATTGATAAATTTAAAACAAGTCTTAAGGCATTAATTAATGTTATGTCAATTGTATAAACAATAGTAAAAATAACCGAATGGTCTCATAGCCGATGGGGTCTTAAATTTAATTATTTTGACTCAAACGGCGCTAATGGGGCAGTGGGTGAAAATCACAGCTTATGGCTTATCGATTGCATATTATAATTGGGTTTTAGGCCATGGCTTTGTATGCCCTCTCAATTTGTTTACAATTCATTAAATTACCTTTTATCATTATTATTATTATTAAAAACCACACTTTACCATTTTTGTATTATATAATTGTAAAATTACCTATATTTAACAACATATAAATTAGTAAATATGTAATGCAGTATATATGGTAATATGTATCCTAATAGTACTATAAAATAATAGATGTATTTGTTAGAAATTTGTATAAATTTAAAATTTAAAAAATAAAACTATATTAGTTAATATTACAGTTTAGTTAATTTGAAAGTTTTTATCAATACTTTTATTGTCTACTGTTATAAAAAGATACAGTAAAACACATAAATATTATAAAATAAGAACCACTCAAACAATTAGTTTATGAATTGCAATATTTGCTTTGAACAACAATTATATAAGTATTAAAATGTATTATTTAATATAATATATATTTTAATAAACGTTTAAAATATAGTATAGTATATAATGGAATATAAAAATTATATAAAATAAGCTTTTAATACAAACAAATTAATTAGTAATAGTTTACAGCATTTAAATGTTAAACTGTTTGTATTTCAATTCGCTTTTTAAGGAATTTATACAATTTTGACTACAAATTCGTATAGTATTTGAAAAAGTAGAATAAAATTGTATGAAATTGTTTTTCAGTGCTTTTTAAGTTTTTTTTAAATAACTACTATTTTCTTGATTTTCTATTAATACATAAGTTTTTTGTCAACAAACTTAAATTTAAGAATTAATTCACTATAATTTATAATAATTATTTATTAAGTAATTTTTAACAAATTATAATTTGTAAAAATACAGTATTTTTAAATATTAAACTTGTTTTGCATTTCTGAAATCATAATAATTATTTGTTTTGTTTATTGTTTATTGTTTATTACATGTGTACATTGTGTACTACATGTTTATACAAATATTAGACATTGTTTATAATTTTGTATAATTAAAAATAATATATTTTATATTATTATACTACTATATAGTATATACTGTATAATTTACAGTGTATACTGTATATAGTTAATATAATATTATATTGTTTATTTTATAGTATAACTTTAATGTAATAACTAATTTTAGTTTCTTTATTTTTTTACTTTAAGAAACACGAAATTATATATAAAAAATGTCAATAATTGTTAAAAAAATTATTTTTATTTTTTATACTAATTGTAACAAATAACTGATAAAGTATAATATTCTGAAATTATTAATAATATGTATTATCATATCATATAACTTCACCTTGTTTAAAATATACTTTAGGGGATTGACACAATTTGTTATTTTTCAATATATTGAATATTATTGCATATATACTGTTAAATAATATCAAGGATTACACATTAGTACATAGAAAAAATAAATATTAAAATTTAATTATTTGTAGATTATAATAAATTTATTTATTAACAAAATTTTTTATAATGCAAAACAATTAATATAATATAAATAGTAAAACTATTATTATTGTTACTTTTATAATTTCCACTGATTTGTAAATTTATTATAAAAAATTAAGTATTGTGATAAAATTGTCATTTATAAAAATATCTAAATATTATATAAATTAAATTACTAACTATTAATATTTATAATTTAAAAAAATATTTAAAAAAGTAAAGTTCAATATAGTGTAAAAATTTGGCGTAAAAACAATTAATATATTTTTTATTTATAACTTAATTAATTATTTATATAATAACTGAATGCATATATTGCGGAAATTTAGTTAATATAAGAATTGGTAATTATTTTCTGCACGAATAAGTTTATTATGAGTTCAATATTCAAAATAGATTGTTATCAAAATATAAGTAGTTTTATTTTAAAACTCCATTGTTGTTAATAATTTAATATAAATATTATTACCGTATTATTATTATTATTATTATTAGTATTATATCAAATAAAATTGCTTTTGTAAACTAATTAAAGAAGATTTCATTAAAGTTAATTTTTTACAAAAAAAATTATAATAAATTTTATAAATCAGATACATTACACCTACATATTTATTATTTTGCATAATTGCTTTGATAATCAATTACAAAACAAAAATTAGATAACTTATTGATACTGTAATAATATTTAAATATAAAATTGGGTCTTTTTATAATAATTATATAATTAACATACAATATATATTCCATTTCATATAAAAATATAGAAAAAGTGAAAAAGAATTTAATTTTTATTAACATTACTTATTATATAATAATTAACATTGGATTGGATTGTAGAAAGTGATCGCATATTATAATAATTTGAAGCACACGGCCAGCTATAGTCGCACCCAAACCTCAAGCAATTGAGTCAAACCGCGCCCAACAAGTTTGGCAAATGACCTCAATTTAGTAGACCAGTGGACCTCACATTCAATTTTATGACAAATCAAGTTTTGTGTCGATACATACCTATATTTTAATTGGACGGTCAGCTATATAAATACCGATTCAATTCAATCGATTGTCAATCAACTCATTCATTTGAAAGTGAAACTAAAAGTTATTACAACTTTACAACTCATATCAAAATGATTCAGGTATTCATTAATTCAATTATATAAACATTTTATGTTTTACCAATGGATTAAATACATATAAAGTGAAACTTATAATGTGTTAATAAATCAAATATAAGTTTTTAGATAACGTGATTCAACTCTTCAATTAATAGTTAAAATTCTGTTTGTTTTATTAAATCATAGATAATATTATTAGCATTATTGCCAATTGCATTGGCACAGTATGGCGGACATGGATATGAAAGCAGTCATGGATATGAAGAAGTATTTTAATTTTTATAACTTTTTAAAATTAATTAAATGTTTAAAATTTATTAAATTACGTGTTGTTATCTTAAAGTTTTTATAACATTTTTTTAAAATACTTAATTTGATAAATTGTTAACCGGTTTATTGGTTATTAACATCATTTTTATATAAATGTTTTATATATAATTATTTTTAAWATATATATATATATATATATATAACTAATTTATTGCAACTATTAGCAGCATTATCAGCCACAACCATATAAATTTGGTTATGATGTTAAAGATCGTAAGTATTTATATAAAACATCAATTATTAAATAAGTGCTAAAAGAGTGGTAATGTAATGATTAGATTATGGATCAACTCTTCAACAGAAAGAGGAGGGAGACTCTCACGGAAACAAAAAAGGTATAAATTGTTAATCAATTAATTTATTATTTATTATTATTATTTTTTGAAACAAAATTATAATGTTATTTATGATACTAAAAATAGGTAGCTATGGTTATACCGATGGACACGGAATTTATCGTCAGGTAGACTATGTGGCCGACAAAAACGGTTTCAGAGCAACCATTAAGACCAATGAGCCGGGAACCAGTGATCAAGGTATAACTCATTACAATATATCAATACATTTGACTAATTATAATATTGTTAATTAAAACCCAGATCCGGCTGATGTTCACATTGACTCCAGTGCTAGAAATGTATGAATTTTTCTATCAAATAAGTTATTAATTTATGACAAAAAATAATATTATTTAATTTATTTTTAAGGATGACCACTACTCAGCCCCACAAAAAGCACAATCATACTCAGCACCGGTAAGTTTGCAAATTATTAAAATTATAATAAATCTAATGGCAAATAATACCAGTCCTATAGCCAGTACGCCATTCCATCATATGGTCATCAGGATAGCTACTCTTCCTATTCATTGAATAGAGACAGTCATGGATATAGCAATGATAACGACAACAAGGGATACGCCATCAGTGGAAATGCTGGTTATGCCAGAAGCCACTCAATTCCTGCCGTCTATTACGCAAAGGGCTATTAAATGTCTGGTATTTGGATCTGATATTAAACACTACTAAAGAAATCTGTAAATTATATTAAATAATATTTCGTAAAATAACATAAGAGACAAGTTTAGTGCCAATTTTATATTATTATTTTTTTGCTATTTATTGCATTTCTCGCTCATTAAACTTAAAAACAAACTATTTATTATGTTTTTTAAATAGTTTATTATAAATAATGTTGTGATTTTTAATTTGTATTAAACTATTGTTGTTAAATAAAATATTTTTCCAGCAATTTTAATATTTTACTAATTTATATAATTAAATTAAACATAATAAGAGAACATTTATGTCCGGATTCAATGTTTTTTTTTTATTTAAGGTTTTTATTTTTTCATTAAAAATTATGGTATTAATAGTACTGCACTATTAGACAATAAAAACTATAAATCTTATGACAATAAATTGTATCAAATCTATCGCTCACCAGTTCATTGATAATTACTATAAATACTGTAATATTAATATTGTATATAAAAGATAAACATTATATCGTTGAAGAAGTTTGAATGATTTAAAAATTGTGAAAAGACTATAAACTATCAATTAATGGTTGATATCGTATAAAATATAATATTTATTAGTAACTAATTTATAGCTACAAGCTTTGAAATAAAACTAATATTATTTATAGGAAAAGCAGTCATTTAAATATTCACCTAATTTATTATAGTAATTATAATTTTAGGACATTTAATCAAATTGTGTTTTTAATTATTAGTTCCTTATTTTATGATAAATTAATTTAACGATTAAAATTAATTTTAGACACTTGGTTACAACATTTAACCGGATTATTACTATTGAACCATAATTTGCATTTATAACATATAACATACTTTTAGTATTAATATACTTTATTTTAATTTGAAATTATCATTTATTTTTTTCTATAAAAATAAATAAATTTAAAAAAATAATATTTTAGCTTATTGTTTTAGCAATATGTTGCTCATTATTCAATTATAAAGTTTTAATATTGTATTACAAATTGTATATATTGTCAATGACAAATTTTGGATAATACAAAATATTAAAATATTACATTATTTTGAAAACATTTCTAAAACAAAATACTTGTCATAATAAGATTACGTTATTTTTAAATACTGTAGATTAGTGTAACTATTTTGAATTATTTTGAAAAAATAATACAATTGTGATCAGTGTTGGCAGAGATACAGTACAATACAATGTAAATTACATGATAATTTTGGCTTACAAAAAATATTTACAAAAATACTAAGATTCACAAACAAATACATATTTTGTAATAATAATTATCTTTTTATTTTGAAAAAATTTGAAATTAGCTATTCAATCTAATTCTGGTATTGAAATATATTAATAAAATAATTAATATTAATTTTTATTAGTTTTAGAAAACAACGATTTTAATAACGATATTGAAATCATGTAATAATAATAATTTTAATAAAAAAATAAATATTTTCTCTTTGTTAATGTAATTTATCTATAATTGTAAAATACATCCAGTACATTGTATTTTACAGTATTTTACAAAGCTAAAATTGAAAACTTTGTATTTTTCCAACCCTGATTGTGATACAGTAGTAATATTTGACAAATTATTGAAATTATTGATAATATTAACAAATATTGAAAGTTTTATAATTATCTAAATGTCGTTATATTTTAATTAAAACGGTGTAAAAATACTATAAAATAATCGTAAATTACTTCACAACTTATTTTCTTTTGATTTCAGCAATAAAACAAAAAATTAAGATTTTTAAGATATTAAACATTTTAAATATTAATTTTATGTATTATAGCTACAAATATACAATTATTATAAATTAAAATTAATGATTTAACTAAAATGATTTAATTAATATATGTAACCAATTGTGTTAATTCACATATTCATAAATACTGTATTTATAGTACATTTATTTAAATATTATTATAATTTACAGACATTTATTTCACAATACATTTCTATTTCATATTATTTTATAACAAAAATTAAAATATTAAAAACAACAGACAGACAGACAGACAGACAGACAGACAGACAGACAGACAGACAGACAGACAGACAGACAGACAGACAGATACGAAACTTTTCATGATTTGATAATTTAAAAAAAACGATTAATATTTTAAGGTTTATTTAATAATTTTTCCAAAAATTTATAATTATTGGAAATAAATTGAAATTTAATTTTTGTTTAATTTTTAATTTTGAATTTTGAATTCAATGAATAAAATGTCAAATCTTTATATTAATGATTGAAATGTCAGCTATTGTTCAACTGTTGATCACTTGATGTCGCTGTCAGTGAAATGAAGATTCAATGAAGTGATTGAATGCCTTAACTCTTGACTTCCTTTTCCTGTATTGTCTGCCAAAGTGTTGACATACTGTGTCTTCAGTGCTCTCTTCGGTTGATTTAAACACTTGTTGTCATTTGTGGTCAATTGATATCTTAGAGACAAATCAATTAACAAAATGATTATTTATAAGGATATGTTGACCGGTAAGTCTTCAGATGACTTTTAAAGACATAATTTAATGACTTGTAATGTCTTTCTTACAGGCGATGAGATGTTTACCGACTCATCCAAAGTAAGACTGGTTGACGACAACATATTTGAAGTGGAGTGTCGGGTATTATATCATTGGATCCATTTGTCAACAATGACTACTATTTTGTCTTTGATTGACAGCTCGTCACACGAAAACAAGGAGATATAGAGATCGCCGGATTCAACCCATCGGCCGAAGGAGAAGATTTAGAAGACGGAGGAACCGATGAAACGATGGAAACGGGTCTCGATCTGGTACTCAATCAAAGACTCGTCGAAACGGGTTTTAGTAAAAGTGATTTCAAAAATTATCTGAAGACTTATACCAAAGCGTATGTCAATAAATATGACTTTTATTGAATCCTATCATAAAAAATGTTTATTTTTATTTATAGTCTTCAAGAGAAGTGGAAGAACCTCGAGTGGACCGATGACCAGATCAATGTGGCAAAGACTAAGTTGACAGAAGCAGTCAAAAAGGTTTTACCGAAGATAGGAGACTATAAGTTCTTTTTAGGTTAATTTAGTCACTATTAGATCAATTGATTGTTTTATACATATGTTATCTATTGTTATAATAGGCGAGAGTACTAATCCCGACGGAATGATTGGTCTTTTGGATTACAGAGAGAAAGAGGACGGTTCGGGTGAAGTGGCGATTATGATGTTCTTCAAACATGGACTCGAAGAAGAAAAAGTTTAATTATTGTTTATTTATATAAATAAATGAATTAATTATACTTTTAGTAATAATAATGAATTAAATTTTCTACGGCTTTGTCGGCTTTTATTGTTATCTTATTCTTTCACAACAAACAAAAAAAAGATTAAACAAAATTGTCTTAAAAATATTTTTGTATAACTTTATTATATTCAGAGTTTGCGTAATAATATATCATAAATATCGGTTCCCAGAGAGCTCTGGGCGCAAAATCAATGGCTTAAATGTCAACAATACTGAAATGGCAAATGTCTTCAATACTGTGCTCTGACTTCACAACAGTATTGTGTCGGAGGAACTGAACTCATAGGGAGTATTCCTGAGCTGACTATCTTTACATATATTTACTCATAATTTATATGTTTGTTAATTACAATTTTTAATTATAATACGAATAAACATTTTATATACCAAAATCTATAATTACCATAAATAACAATTTGGATGAATAGTATTATTTCATTTAATAACTTACTGTAATTACAAAGAGGAACATATGATATATTGATGGATAAATCAAATCATTTATCAGTAATTATTAGTTACTTTCAATGTCAGTATTGATTATCTTATGTTTTATTTACAGTTTGACGACAGGGAAGAAATTAGACGCCGTTTGGCGTTTGATTCAGACAATGAAGATATGATTTATGGGATGAGATCATCGAGAAAGTCAACTCTTATGAATAGACTCCAGAATTGTCAGAGTTTGCAGATTTGTTTCATGAATGAAACGGTTAGTGAAACCAATAATCAGAAGGATAATGGATCAGTTGTTGATAATAGACCTCAAAGTAGACAATTACTCGACAATTCACACATAACTAAACCAAATGAGAGTCCAAACAATAATAGCTCATTGAATATAAGCGATTCATTGCATTCATTGAATATATCCAAACATCAAACTACTGTCAAACGTCCCAATCATTTGTTTAATAAATTGGACTCCGAGTCCTTTGATATCGATAACTATGATTTATTTTCATACATTGAAAAACCAATTCAAAAGAGTATGTTTGCAGACTATCACTCAAAACTTCATAATGAAGCCAGACTTGCCTTAGCACAGGTAGGTATAGATAATATTCAATAACACAATTAATTAGGAAAATAATTTATAGTCAGCTATCAATTGTCTAAGTTTAAGAAAATATTTTTTATATTAATCACGATTTAAATAACATTATATCAAAATACATCATAATTTTAGGTTAATCTTAGAAAATCATAAATTTATACATGTATTTTAGTTTATCTTATAATCAATTAAATACTGTATGTTAGTAATATTGCTATTAATAAATTTATTGCCATTTGAATTATTTGAATTTAAGTATAATACTGTATCTATATATTCTATAAAAAACCAAATTTCACAAATTAATAATTATAATTATTAGCAGAAATTTAAAATTACATTAAATAAGTTGTTAAATCAGTCTAATATTTTATTTCATTTTTATTTATTTAGAAAATCTATCGTATTATTAAAATTATTATTTGTTTATGCACTGGTTTATGTTAAGCATTTAACTTATTAAATATATCTTTAATTATTATTAAATTAAAATAGATGATTAATTTAATTTTACTATTTATAATTAATTTGTAATGAAAATTAATGTATTTTTCAATATATATAGAAACTTTCGAAAATGTCATACTTAAGAAAGTTTTTTTAAATTTTATTTTTTAGTCTTAATTAATTGTGTCTTTGATGATATTATAAAATTAATAATTTTTATAAATCTATGATAGGTTAAGAAGATTGTTAAGAAACAAATCGAAAGAGAGAGAGAAAAGAGAAATATTAGTCGGAAAGCAATTTATAAGTTAATAAATGTTGACATTTCTGATGACAACCAAATGTCTAAATCATTTCTCGATAATTTAAATGTTTCACAATTGCAAATCATTGTTAACGATATGCTCTCTCAAATTGAATGTTAGTTTAATATACAGTATTATACGGTATATACTGTATTATCATTTACTGTAAAGTACTGTATATATGAATAAATAATATTAAAAATTTTGTTATATTATTGACTAAAAGGTTTGAATTCAGAATTAGTCCAACTTTTGATGAGAAGAGATGAGCTCTATATGTCTCAGGACTCAGTTCTCGTCGATATTCAAGATCTGACTATATTTTCGTGAGTTATCATTGCTTTTAATAATAATATATAATATATAATAATTGATAAAATATTAATTAATTRTTATTTAATATTATTATTATTTTAGGTGCTCTAAACAATAAAGAGCTAATCTTATCAATTATACTGTATATTGTTTTATTCAATTTTAATATTTTCAATTTTCACATTTGTTATGAAATTAATTTAATGTAAATAAAATTGTTTATATTATTTAATTTACGATAATTATAAGCATATTATTATTATTTAATGTAAATTGTTTTAATAGTTATTATGTAAATATAACGCAAATTGACATATCAATTACAAATGTATTTAATTTAACAGAGATTTTTGTAGAAACCGATTATCTTTAAAATATATTATTTTTAAGATAACTTTATTTTAATTAAAAAATCATAAAAATATTTACATAAATCTTTTAATTCTTATCAAAAAATATTGATTTGTTTTATTTATATTAATATAATCAACACTTTAAGGTAATAATACTTTAAAAACTAGAGTAAATCACAATTTCTCTCATATGAATTGGATAAAAATTATTAAGAATTGCATTTTAATACTAAATATTAATATCATATTATTGTTTAAATATATTTTCATTGGTTTTCAATAACAATAATTGCTTTTCTGTAAAATATTTAGAGTAATRATTTGCTATTAAGCAGTACTTCAATTTAAATAAAATTAATTCATATTAAATCTAATTTATAATATTTTGTTTATGTATTCAACCAAATAAAATAAATTATATATTTTGATACTTTATTAATACTATTAACAACAATTTATTATCATTGTTTATTAAATGCAGTCATTGAACTTAAGCTTGAAATTATATTGTAATGACCTTAACACATAATATCACTGTTAGTTTTTAAATGAGAAATAATTATCTTATAAAGTTGCTTACAGTATATAAATTTTATATATAATATACAGTACAGAATATAAAAATATTACATAAAAAGTATAAAATACAATATAATAAATTTTTTTATATATTTTATGTATGTATATATTATAAATTACAATATTTTTTATATATTAATATTTAACTTTGTCTTACATTTTAAGTTTAACACATGTCTATGGCTATAAATTAAAATATTGATAATAGCCAAAATACAATAATCAAAAATGTTATATTTATTTTTAATAATTATGTGTTTTTATAAACTTTATAAAAATAATTATTAGACAATGAATTGATGATAAAGTCAATTTAGACTATTTTGAATTATATTAAAACATTTTTTAATCTATAATTATTTACTTTTGCATAAAGTCTTGAATAGTTTTTAAAAAATATATTGAAAATTTTTAATATTTAATAATTATTCACCATTATCAAGTACAATTTTATTCAATGTTTAAAAAATATATATTCAATATTAAATACTGTATAGTCAATATTAATTGACAAAATATAATATTTGTATATTTATACTAATTTTTATACTAATTTTTAACTACTATATGTTTATTAATAACTAATGTAAAATGAATTGCAGTTATTTAATTATATTAATTCAATTACGTTGAATGTAACGATCAATTGCTGAACATTTGGCAATTCTATTAATGGGTTATTACTGTTCAATATGTTAATCAAGTTAATAACAAAATTAAATACAAGTTTTTTAAACATAGACATTGCAAAAATAGACTCAAGATTATCAATATTTTTATCTGATTAATAACAAGCAAATATTTAAAGACTCGATTGTAGACAAAATTTTTGTCAAATTAAATTTTAATCAATAAACTGTTTAATAAGTATTTTGAAAATAGTTAGTAAATGGGAAATGTATGGAAAACAGTAGTGACAGTGATGTGGAGTACACAGTCTCACAACTCATCCCTACTATAAAACATACAATAAATGTGAACCATTAGTGACATTCCGGTGCATAAAAAATTGAGACTTATATTAGTTGAGTCCATAAATAAGTGTTAGTATTATAGTAAGCCTTCACTCGCTTTTTATATCACAATTCAGTGGGCATTCATTTGATGTTTTAGTTTTCAAGGCTTTTAGTGATCAGAGTTTGAATTCATTGAATTCATTGCACATCTCTTTAAAATAAATATTTTTCATTTCATTTTGATTTGCGATTTGATTTCCCCATTCAAAGTAAAGCATCGATTATGAGTTCGGGTATGAAATTAAATTAAATGATATGATTATTGATTTATTGACATTAAAATAAATAAATATTATATATTCTTTAAGAATAATTTATTAATAAATAAAATAATGTATTTTTCATTAAATTACAGAMGCGTTCGTAACTCTGGTCACAAATGACACCTATTCTTTGGGTGCATTGGTTTTGGCCAACTCTTTGCGGTCAACAAAAACGAGGGCAAAATTGGTAGTTCTCGTCACACCAGGAGTTACTGATCACATGAGGTATTAAACCTGAGTTTATATTATTTTATTTAAAAGTATTTGTTTTATAATATAAAAATTATATTTTTTTAACAGAAATAATCTCCAATCGGTGTTTGATTTGATAGAAAATGTAGATTTAATTGATAGTAAAGACACTGAGATATTAGAGGCAATGAAGAGACCAGAGTTGGGCGTCACTCTCTCAAAGATTCATTGCTGGCGTTTAACGCAATACAATAAATGTGTGTTTTTGGACGCAGACTGTCTGGTCATTCAAAACATTGATGAACTCTTTGAAAAAGAGGAACTGTCAGCAGTTCCAGACATCGGATGGCCTGATTGTTTCAATTCAGGTGTTTTTGTATTTGTGCCATCAGATCATACATTTAGAGGTCTGCTTAAAGCTGCCATTGCTAACGGAAGTTTTGATGGCGGAGATCAGGGTCTTCTCAATACATATTTTTCTGATTGGCGAACAAAAGACATTTCTAGACATTTATCCTTCATTTATAACATGAGTTCAATTGCTGTTTACTCATACCCTCCCGCTTATAGACAGTAAGTGTTTCATTATTAATGATAATAGCTTTTATAACGTGACTAATATTAATGATTTAACAGATTTGGCAAAAATGTAAAAATTGTTCATTTTTTGGGTTCATTGAAGCCATGGTTATATGCATACAGTGTGGCAACAGGTCAGGTATCTCAACCAAAGAACAATGAAGGAATGCATCAATTAATACACGTTCAGAACTGGTGGGATATCTTCATGAGTAAAGTACAACCATTACTATCTACTGAAGATGTAAGTGAAATTAACTCAAGTCTTAAGCAAATTATTAGTAATAATAATAATATTACAATAATTATTAATACTAACAATAGTCTAACACTCGGAATAAACTGTTGAGAGAAGTAATAAAATGTTGAAAAATATAAGAATATTAATATAAATTAATAATTTACTTAATAGGCAGGACTGGCATCCAGTCTTTCACAAATTCATTTGTCTAACGAATACCCGGGCTTTGAGGGCGAGTCAGGTGAACAGTTAGGTCGACAACATGCCTGGGAAAGGGGACAAATAGACTACTTAGGCGTCGACTCATTCGCTAACATCCAGAAGAAGATAGATGAGGCCATAAATACCMGAATTGGTCACTAATTAGTGAACAAATTCAATATCCATAAAACCATTGGTGTCTTATTCTAAGTGCCTTTAAGTTCACATTAATTCTTTTATTTGCTTTGAAATTGTCGTTTGATATCAATATTTATAGTTTTCTGATCTTATTTTAATAATTATTATAGAATTTTCTAGATTTGTGTGCAAATTGTTTCACTTTTAACTATTAATATAATTATAAAATGTTTTATTTGATAAATAAATTTTAAATTTACAGAAAGTTAACAAATGATAAAACGATTGTATTATTAAATAAATTAGAGATGAGAGACGGATGCCTTGACTTCTTCATCGGTTTCGATACCAATCTCTTCAATAAGTATTTTCTTAGACTTAGGATACGAGTCGAGAACAATATCAATGATATTAGTGGCCATTCGTTTACGTCGTTTCCATTCAGTGACCAATTTTTGTCGCTCGTCTTTAAGATTTTGATTGACTTTTGGATCGATATCTTTAACATCTTTTTTTATGACTTGCAATCGTTTCTCCATATCGTTAATGTCTGTCATGACATCTGATATTTGTTGACTGATTTGTTCAAAACCAATAGAGTTCTTGAAGACCGCAAGTTTCGACTCTTTAGGTTTGATTTGAGTCTTCAGGTTATTGTATTCGTTGTCCAACTCATTCAACTCCACTTCCAATTGTTTCATTTGGTGATCACCAATGTCTTCATCATATTGAATGGCAAAATAGATCTTTTGTTTTCCATTGACTTTCTCAATGATGTCATGTTTTTCGGCCAATTCCTCCAAAGCCTTAGTGACCGCCGTTTTACTCAATTTGCTGTCTTTGGTATTCAGATTATTAAAGACATCGTTAGCACTGAACGGACGACATGTCTTCTCTAAATAGTTCTTCACTAATGACTGCATTGAATCTTTTGATTTACTCATCATTGGATGTGTTTGAGTGACAATCAATGGCTTGACTGGTGATCACAAAGTCATTGATGTAAACAATGAGTCAATAATTTAATCGATTGTTTTGACTGACAATTGAATTGAATTTTGAATTTTTTTACTACTTATAGTCTATAAGTACTGACTGTACTATACTTTAGACTCTAAAGTTTAGAGTATTAATACATAACATATTATACGGTAATACTATTACTGTATTAATACTGTATATGTTATTAAAAGTTTAAACATTTTTCAATATTATTAAAACATTTGAATGCATTGCAAATGAGCGCCAATTCAATGATCACATGATTGATGACAACAACACGTGTTGACTATAACTTAGTTTCTGATGAAGTGATGGCCAAAAACAACAAACGAAGATATTTACAGCAAAAGCGAAACAAATTTGAAGACAAAAACAAACAATCAAAGAGTGTCACTACAAATGTGTTTGAATTTCACAGAAATAAAGTTAAACACAATGTCATCGGCAGAAAGTTAACCAAATATGAGTTGTCCAACAAAGCTGTGTCCAGACATCGATCGTATGACAAGAGGAAGAATACCATTCTTCAAGAATACAAATCAAAGCATAAGAGTGGTAAAGGTTTACAGGATTTAAGAAACAATGACGACAGACGTTTGGATCAAAACATTGAGTTGTCTTACAATGAAAACACTGTTTTGACGCATAAAGGAAAACATTTGAATGATTTCATCGATGATATTATTGATGAAGACGAAGATGAAGACATCGATCTTTTAAGTCGACCAGACTTTGTTGAAGTATCACATTTTGGTGGCGGAGAACATGGCATTCCAAAGTCAACGACCGAAATATTGGATCAAATTAAAGATGAAAAGAAACAAAAACAGATGGAAAGAGCCGCTAATATTGAGTTGACTAACAAATTGGATGACGACTGGAGTCATGTGAAGAATATTTTAAGACACAAATCGGTTAAACATGAAGTGACTGATAATAAACACGAAGATTTTGATGTATTACTAAAAGAACTTATGTTTAATCCAAATAAAGGCATTGAATCTGAAAACAGAATCCGAAAACCCGTTCTCACAACTATTGATTCAAATGATATGAATCAGTCTAATCATAAAAGTATTGAAAATCAGTTGAAAGAGTTGTTTGAAAAGATTAATAATGAGAACAATTGGACACAAATGCTATATTTAATTAAGACTTCTAACGATCTCTTAAAACAATTATCTGACGATTGTTTAAGCATTTTATCTGAGAAATTGGCGACAATTGTTGAAAGAAAGTCTGTATTTAATATTCATAATTTAGCACTTCTTATAGTTGGAACTCATTTTAAAGAAACAAAACTAATTGTTAAATTGATTTTAAATCAAATGTTATCACAAATGAAGTACAATTCACTTAATGATATTGCAATTAATTTGATGATTATTAGACTTTTAATGATTACTTCAAATTCAGCATTTATTCCTCAAATGTTTAACTCCATCTCAAATATAATTCAATTATCTTTAGGAAATGAGTCGTCAGAAGTAATTATTAAAAATAAAAAGTTAAGACCTGTTCTTAATATTAATGAATTGCCGATTGAAGAAAAGTCTTTAGATTTCGATATAAAATATATTTTTGATGAAACATTTAATTCAAATATATTTAATGAAAAACAAATGAAATCAATGCTTATTTCGGAAGCACTTAAATGTATGGATCAAATAATTGATTTATATTCAACACTTCCATCATATAATGAATTAACAAATTGTTTAAAGACATCATTGAATGATTTAATAGAAAATAATTATTTGAATAATGATATAAAAGAGTTAGTGAATAGATTAGTATCTAAATTAAACAGACAATTACCTAAAGAAGTAATGACATCGAAAAAACGGAAACCATTTATGTTACCAATGCTTGAACCAAAGTTTGACGACTCTTCTAACAATAAGGAGAAGAAGGATATGAAGAAGAAACTAACGAAGAAATACAAGAGAGAACTCAAAGGCGCTCAAAGAGAGTTGAAAAAGGATTCAACTTTTATGAGAAATACTTGGATTCAAGAGATTCAAGATAATGACGAACTAAGAAAACGTAAAGTCAAACAACTGTTTGGTGAACTAACTCAACAGCAAAGTCTTTACAAGAAAAAGAAATAGTGATAACTAATTGATTAATACTTTTAATATTACAGTAATTTTATTTTATTTGAAATTATATTAATTATATGTATTTGATTTAAACAAATAAATAGTTATTAAATAATAATGAAATGAAATGTCAATCATTTGAAGCACACAATGGATGGCATAACTGTTGCCTCAGTTTTATAACGTAAAGAGTATTTGGTTTGACGTGATTTGTGAAGAGTTTGAATGTTATTGTATTGAAGTGAAGTCAGATGGATATGAATGTGAGTCCAGTCGGTCCACAACTGGTGTCCGCTCGACGGCGAGTCTTGTATGCCGTTGTGTGCGCCACGTGTCACGAGAATGGCTTCGTTAGCGCCGATAAGCCATCGCTCGACACTTTGCTGCAAATGATTCAAAGTATTATCAAAGAGATAGGAAGGAGTGCTCAGGCCTTCTGTGAACTCAGTGGACGTACCGAACCACTGGTCGGCGATGTTGTTATGGCTCTCATTGAATCAGGACTCGACTGCGACCAAATAGCTGCTTATGCAATGCGGCCAAATAGGGTGACAATACCGACACCACAAGTGATGGCCAAACAGTCGACACCGCGTATACTTCAAGCGGGAGAGAAGAAACTATTGTCGTCTTATATTCCCGACTATTTCCCGTCATTTCCAGACCCGCATTCATATATTCGGACGCCAACACACAAACAGCCCGTAACCGAATACGAGGCAATTCGGGAAAAGTCGGCCACACAGAAACGGGACGTCGAGAGAGCGCTCACTAAGTTTATGGCAAAAACTTGTGAACAATCGACAACACACAGACTGTTTGCCGAAGAACACATGTCACACTTGTTCCCACTTATTGTACTTAAATTAGAGGCCAATCCATATCTCAATGCTTTGCTTCCCAAAGACCAGGTATTTGAAAACGAAAGTGAAGAACATGTGATCCGTAAAAAAGATTCCGACAAAAAACAAAACAAATCGGTTACCAATACTAATGAATTATCAAACACTTCAACGACTGATAATGTGGTCAATGATGAAGACAATATTGAGACTAATAATGAACAGATGGCTAATAATACTAATACTAATGATACAAATAAATTAACCAACACTTCAAACATTTCTGTTTGTGGTAACACTGATACCGATGTGTTAGACAATCCTTATTTAAGACCTTTACTTAAGTTATCTTCAAGAAAGAGAAGTCGGAAGCAATTTGAAGCATAAAAGTATCACTTCTTGTATTAAATTATCATTTTTGAATTGTTTGTATTTTTTGATAATTTTTCAAATTGATTGCAATTTGCATTAGCTTTCATCAAAAGTAAAAGACATTTAAATAATTTGACTTTTTATTAAAATCTTGAATCCTTATAACTAATGTATATATTAATTATATAATTTGTATGTTTTTATTTAATAAAATACAAATTAAGTTTTTAAATAATAAAATTTGATTCTTTTTTTAATGATATAAACTTTATATAATGATTTTTATTGTCTCCGATTTTAACCAAACTTATACCATATATAATGCCTGAAAAATAAAAAATTAATACAAAAATTTTGATGACATTGTGATGGTGAAGGAAATTACAGTATTTTAAATAATGTAAACTTCTTTTATTTAATGATAACTTTTAAATTACAAATGATAATTAAAATACTCTTTCACTAATAATTACTTAAAAACAATATTTTTTGACTAATTATTCCAACTATATRTTAATGAATAATATATTGAAAAATAATTAAAATAAAATATATATAATTAATTTTCACTTCATGTATTACCCTTTGGTTATCGAAAATGTTTTTTAATTTTTAATAGAAATGGTGAACTGATTTTCAAACATATTTACATTTTGTGTAATTGAACTAAATTACAATATATTACTTAAAATAAATAGTTTTTAACAAATTAATATATATTTAATATATACTATACAATATTTTTTCTATATTTTATAATAATTATACTCAAAATTAATTATTAAATTTAATTTTAAATAACTGTAAAAGACTGATATTATAAAAGTATGTAAAAATATTTTATAGTTAAAATTAACAATTATTATGATTAATATTAAGAATCAATCAATACATTGAACCAATTGATTTGACTGTTTAATGAAATTTTTGAAATAGAAAATTAGTTATGATTTATAAATTATAATTTATGAAAACATTAATCACTTTGAGTTCTCATAATATGAATTATATTTTTAAAATTAAGTATTTTTTGTGTGAAAACAAATAAAAATGCTATAAAACTATTAAGCAAACTATAAACTATAAAAAATATGTGTCTTATACTTATTATTTCAATGATATAAGTATTTCTTTTTTTATAATTAGAGCACAAATTAACATAATGTATAGCTTTGGGGCTCAAGAGTGTACACAACTTTGTACGGAAAATCCTGTTTTATCTACACTTTATTATAATTTTTATTATTTTTTATTTATTTTATTTATAAATATTTATCATCGACTTATTTACTTCTGACTCTTAACAATAACATGAAACAAAAGTTCACATATTTATTGAACATTAATTAACAACAATAAAATTATTAGTAAATATTATATAATAATAATAATAACATCTTAAAGAATATATACTATTTTTGGTAATTTTTAATTAAATTAATGAACATTTTTTTATTTTTATTTATCAAGATATTATTTTTTAAATCAAATTGATAAACTATTTAAAAACCAAATTTAATTTGTAGTTTGAGATAAATGTTGTTCATTGTTACCAATTTGTCAAATTCATTACATTTGACCAATTTATCTATAGTTGATTTATATGTCGTATAAAATTTAAAGCAATTTTTCAATAGTAAGGGCTGTAAGGCATTACTATCTACTGAATTTAATAGATAGTACTCAAAGCTATTAACAAAATATGATTTTTGAGTATAATCTGTTTCATCTGTTTATATTAATACTAGTCTTCCTATTTGTTATAATATAATGTATTTAAAAGGATGTATTCATAAAACAACAAATATTTATATATAAATTCTCCAAATTCTTGACACAATCTCTTTAAAGAATTATAATGTTATATCTAAATAACAAATTACTTACAAATTAATTAATTTATGATAATTGTTTTTTATATTATATTTTGCATAAACTATTCAAATGTTTTACGTAAATATTGTATACAATAAAATTGCAGTAGTTAGATATATTAATTTTATTAAATTAATACAAATTTGCATAAATGTAGTGTATATGTATATATTAATTTCTAATGCTATAAAGTAGCAATAACTGTATTTAACAAATCAATATCATAAATATTGCTCAAGTAAAAACATATAATCTTATATTTTTATAATTAAAATTTTAATGTATGCAAATTTTTCATAACCTCAAAATTTACTTTTATATTAATAGATAAAATTAATAAAATTTACCCAAATGAAAATAAGTATTAAATTATATTATGATCATAACTTATAAATTGAATGAAATTCAATTTTAATATCTTATTAATTAAAATGTATATAATTTTTAAAATGCAATCATATTGCTCTCCTAATACAATGACTTTTCAATTACTGCAGATAACATTAGGCATAAAATAATTAAATGATTTTATTTTGATTAGCAAATATGGGTATGGAATGGATAAATGGATGGATAAATGGATGGATAAATGGATGAATGGATGAATAAATGAATGGATGAATGAATGAATGGACGGATGAATGGATGGATGGGCTATGTATTGGTCAATATATGTCAATATATGTGTAATTTAAAATCGGTCGACAAATATGTGGGACTGGTTTTTTAGAAATAATTTCTATATTGAAAAATATTAATATTTTATCTGTAATTATGAATTTCGATAAGATTTACTTGTTTTACCTAAATTTAATGATTTTAAAAAGTAGTATTTGTTAAAATGGAAATTATAATATTTCAAAATACTTAAGTGATGCATCAATTATCTTAATACCACATTTTTATAGTTTTAAAGTTATTTGAATAAATGTTTTAGCTTTTAGATAATATTTGAATTTAATAGTTATTGAATATTGAATTGTTAATAAAACAACATTTTAACATCTTATAAAATTATTGTATCAAGGTTCAGCAGATAATTTAAATAAATTTTATACTCCAAAAAGAACTTATATGTTTATTTAAATTTGCTTGCTTATTTAGAAATTGATATATTTATGAAATATAATTTTTTTTTAAAATTATAATTATCAGTCATTGAAATTAAAAATATTATTTAATGTGTAATTTTAATATGAAAATTTTTGTTATGAATAACTCAAATTTTATAATAAATAACCTAGCAAACTAAAATAAATTGTTGGAATAAACATTTTTATATAAGTAAGAAGTTATGTCCCAAAAAACCAGTCACATCTATTTTGCGACCGATTTATATATATATATATATATATATATATATAATATACAGTATATTCTCTATATATCTGAGCTGAATTCAAACTAACTGCCGGCTATGTAACCAAAACTGGAAATAATTGCGGAGCTGTCGTTCCCCAACACGTTTGGCCCCAAACAGCCTGAAAACAACTTGAGACCCAACACACAGTCGACTCTTAAAGTTTTAGTAAAGCAGTGCTTAGGCTGTGATCACAACTTGAGTGCCTTCAGTGCCTTCAGTGCTAACATTTGCTTCACTTTTATGTCAAGTCTTATCAAAAGTTTTTGTGTTTCTCTAATAATGTATAAATATATGACACAAACTCGTTATTATTTTTAAAAATATTTTTATAAACTAAAAAAATACGTTAAATTCAACAATATATGTTTATTTATTCATAATTATATTTAGACAAATTTTAAATAATGATTTGTTAATTTTATTTTATTCAAGGTATGTATATATATAAAAATTATTTATTTATTTATATTTATTAAAGTTGTAATTTTTAACTTAATTTAACTAAACTTTTTAATTAATAAACTAAGTTTAACTGATTTTAATGACAATAAAATTATTTGTTAACTTATGGACATCAGTTTAGCAAAACAATTGAACTGATAATCATAGACATACCAGTGCTTAAGCTATACGGGAAGTCGGTGTTTTGATTAGACATTTAATATATTACAGTATTATTGTTTATATTGTTTATAATAATGTTTTTTAAAATAATGATGTATTAAAAATTAATTATATTTACGTTATAACTAATAGTTAATAACTATGCAATATTTTTAAACAAGTATTGAACAAAATTTTTAAAATTTTTAAATATTCGATTATTTAATGATAAATATAAAATATATCTTAAATTTTAAAAATATAATCAAATGTGTCAGTCAAACACCAACTTCCCGGTGACAATAAAGCACTGGTATGTGACTATCAGTACAATTATGTGATGAAGATTTTCAGTGATCAACGAAACAATAGTATTCATAAGTCAACAAATAATTATTGTTATAAGTATTGTCAAACTCAGTTAAATATATATTTTTAATTAAATAAATGACTTGTACTTTAAAAAAATAATTAGTTTAAAATGTAATTTATTTGAATTTTACAATATTTTTTAATGATTTTAATTTATAAATGAAATTGATTAATTTCCAAAAATAATATATTTTATATACTTTTTATTTAATTAAAAAAAATCATACATATTTTATAACTTAATAATATTTTTAAAATATATTTATTTGCAGACAATTAAGATCAGTGATTATGAAAGAAAATATAAGAAATTTGAAGTCATATAAAATAAATCATATCATCCGTCACTTCTTAACACTCATATGTTTTAAAACGGTATGAAATCATTTGTGTTTTGTCTGGTTTTTGTAACATATTATTAAATATTTTATAATAATTATAATATATATATATATATATGATATAAGTTTTGGTAAATTATATTTTGAGTCAATTATTGTTTGGATTCATATCCGTAATGAATGTTCACTGAAGCGATTGTGTGCACAATAGATATGCAGTAATGTATTATACAGTAATACTAACAATAATACAGTAATAACTGTTAACTTATAATAATAATATATCTTAGAATATATAGTATTTTCTGTTTATTTATAAACAATTTTCATATATTTTTCAATTTGTAATATATTATAATGCATTAAATGATAATAAAAAACAAACAAATATAAACAAAATCATTAACAAAATAACTTTAAATAGGTTTTCATAGTTGACATTATTTGTCAAAATTTAAATTGAAATAATCAATAAATATGTAATCAGACTAATAATGATAAAGATAACCAAAAATATTGGTTATGACAGGTAAATAATAAGCCAATGTATGTTATAGTCGTGTTTGAAAATAGGACACAAATATAAAAGCTATTATTCAACCAAAGCCAACAATTTTTTTTGACTGACCTTTATTTGGATCTATATTTGCCATATTATATACAATAATATACATTATGTATTTGATGGTTGCATTGAAATTCTTGTAATAAAGCAATATATTTATAATCTTTATATAGTCTCATATGATTTAGTGAATTTATATTTGTTTTCTAAACAAATCAAATTTAGACAAAATTTGTTAATTTATTACAGTAAAATAATTTTTTATATACACTACATATTACTGTATATATAATATACAGTATTATTACATAAGTAAGGTCAAGGTTAATTTTATTATTATTATTCACTGCTAATGAGTATCAAAGAAAAACTAAAATTAAATAAAAAGAAAAATTTCTAAATTAATATTTTTAAATCAATAATAACTTATTCTTCTTTTTATATATATTTTTGTTTATTTTATAATTTTAAAATAATTGATTAATAAAAATAATATTGTAATTAATTGGTGCATTTAATTCAAACTTATTGAGTGATTCTCAAATTGTTTCCTTGAAAAAAATTGGTTACTCAAACTTTTTCATTAGACTTTATATACACATTATATCTAAACTATAATACTATTTTAAAAGTAGTATAAATATGTTTAAATATTGTATATTATTTTATTACATAATTATACTTAAGTCATTATTAGAAATGTATTAATGCATGATTACACACATTTGTATTTTTATAATTTTTTAGTCATGAACTTCTTTATATATCTGAATCACAAAAATCCAATTATGTTGACATATATTTGTTTTCATAAATTCATAATTTTATATAATTTTAGAAATTATTGCCTATTTTTATTATAACAAAATTTTGATGAATGTTTTACTTTTAACAATTCTATACTGTATTATACAGTCTGTATACTAATAGTACATTTTAAATGTTATGTACAATATATTGTTAAACGATAAATAATTCAAAATTGTTGCATAATTTTTTTTATAAAAATGATTGCATATATGCAATATATTTTGTTTGCTAAAACAGATAAACTTGTTGTTTATAAGTTCATACAGTAGTTATTTTAGTCTTTATAAGAGATAAATAAAAGATAAATTATTTTAATTTTTTGTCCCCATAAGAAACTAAACTCAGAAACTGTATAATAATGTACTAAAAGATAATACTTAATAGTTTGAAGCATTTTTAAATGGTTTAAAGCTTTTCAAAATTTCCAATGTTTTATATTGCTATTAGAAGTCAATAAAATTTATTAAATAATGTTATTATACAATTTATATTATTTTTGTTTTTGTTTTTATTTTGTATGTCAAACAATAAACAATTGCCAAACAATAAAATAATTTAATTGAATTTATTTATTCTACTGTATCTCTTGCCATCAAATTAGAAACTAAAATATTAAACATTTTTTATTTAGTTTTATTTTTTTAGTTGGCAATCAACAAATTAAATGTCATTTAGTTTGAATTAAATCAAAATATTTCAGCTGCATTTTTATAACATATTGCTATTAAATATTAGTGATAATATCTTAAAGCCTTTTTAGTACAAAATTTGTAATTATCATCAAATAAAATTATTATATTAGTTGCCTTACAATATGATATCTTTTAAAATAATTATCATAGATATACACTAATATCTATAAATAGTTAACTAAAAAATATTTATACATAATTTAATATAATATATGTATCATTGCATTGATTTAATGAACTTATAAATTTATAATTAAAGTCTTGAAGGCAATGTTTAATAAAAAAAACTCAAATAATGTATTTTTAAAGCTTAGAATTGAATAAAATATTATCGCATTTTAACTTTAAAAGCATTTATTGACTTCAATGCAAATATTGAAGTTTAAGTTAAAGGAAGAGATTATTAAAGTGAGGCCACTGTTGTTGTGTTTATTATTTGGTATTTTTTCGCATAATTATTGCCATTGATAATAAAAAAATTATATAATGTAATTTTCTAAAACAATTTTATATTCAAATTTTATGTCTTGAATTAATTATTATATTAAAAATTTATTTATAAGACATGTTTTAAAAAAATTTACATCACCTAAACCTATATATTAATTTAATGATGAATATTTTTGATGAGAAATTTCACGATTTTTCACATCAACAAAAATGTTACAATCAATTGCAATTTTTTGTTACTTAACTTAATTTGATATTTATACAATTCAATGATTTAGTTTTTTAAATCATATAAACTTCAACTGAATTTGTTTAGTTTTTTTTAAATAATGTATTACATTTAAATATAATATTAAATATGATAAACTGTTTAAATACTTGCGAAACTAAATTGCAGACTATATATTTATGAAATATGTAATAATATTTATTATAAAAATAAATTATAACATAATTATATTTAAGTTTATAATATATTTATATAAACAATAACATAAATGAAATATAACTTAATTGAAAGCGTGTAAACTTAAAATTTATTTAGACTATAATAATCAAGTAATCAAACTAAAAAGTTATGCAAATTTTTCGGTTCAACTTTTATTGTTATTGGATACACAATATTTAAATATATTAAGCAATTTTTAAATAAAATCTGTTAATAGTTGTCATAACTTATAGATTATGCTAAAAATTGTTTTTAGGTCTTTAATTAATTAATATAAATTAATCTTATATTTTAAATTATTTTAAATTAAAAATTTATTAAAATATATTATAAAAAATCATAACTTTAGGTTTGTTTGGCACATGAGTGGGCATCTGAATCACCTCAAGTATGGGCTAAAGAGCCTCAATATAGTGGAGCAAAGATTACGGCATTGGATGTGATTTGTGGTAAAGAGTATATGACTGTTAGGGCAGAGTTTAGTGCGCCTTTCAATGGGATTATATCATCGAAAGGCACGTATGGACAGAATAACTGTGTTTATATTAAACCATTTTCAAGTATATCTCACGCAACCTTTAATGTTAAATACGATGAATGTGGTACTAAACCTGATCTTCAGGGAAAGTATTATGAAAATACTATAGTTATACAGTACGGCACTGACATTATTGAGGCCTGGGATGAGGCTAAACGATTAAGATGTGAATGGTTTGAAGCTTATGAAAAACCCGCAACTTTTAGACCAGCAATTCCTGTAAATTATATAACAATATTAAATCTAATTTATATTATAGTAATAATTTTATTGTTATCACCAAATAGGTAGCTGACCTGGATGTGATCGAAATGAATTTCCAAGGAGATGAGATTGATTGCTGGATGTCTATTCAAGAGGGTAAAGGTCCATGGGGCCGGGAGGTGTCCAGAATTGTTGCAGTCGGTATGCCATACCATTTATCAAATAATTATTAAATAATAACTTATATTAATATAAATTATTATATTAATAGGCCAACCAATGACTATAGTTGTGGCTATAAATGATTATAAAAATCAATTTGATATGAGAGTGAAGTCATGTATGGCTCACGACGGTGTCAAACCTGCCATTCAATTGACTGATGAATACGGTTGTGTCTTACGGCCTAAAATGTTGTCATCTTTTAAAAAGATTAGAGATTCACGAGGAAAGGCTACCCTTATATCTTATGCACAATTCTTAGCTTTTAAATTCCCAGACAGTATGGATGTCCAGATTCAATGTACTGTTGAAGTGTGTAGACATGGATGTGCTGATGCCTGTCAAGAAGAGAGTTCACAAAATGTAAAAAATCCATCGATGCAAGTGTCGGCTGGAATGCCACACGTAGTACCACAACATACGACACCTAATCACGACCCAAGAGATTCATCTCCGACTCGACCCGTCAGACCAGATGAAGAACCACAGCCAGTATTTCAGAACATTGACTCTTCAATGACTGCCACTATCGATCATAACCATCACTCAGATGAAGTGACAAATGAAGCAGTTGATGATTACCAGGCGGTTCCATCAATTCAACATTTATCACACATTAACCAAAATTTTGATCAAATGGCTGAACACGAAAGTCAAACAAATCCTGTGTATAAACCACCTGATCATCAAATTCGTGACAAAGACGTAAATGTGAATCAAAAATTAAAAATACCAAATCTATCGGATTTAAAATTAAGACCCGAAGACATCAATATTGCAAACAAATTATTGTCAGCTCATAGTCTAAACAAAGACAATATTGATTTAAGCAATTTGGCCGCAACTTTCACACAAGGATTACAACATCAAGATATCATGTCTTTAATGCAAACAAATAATGTCAAAGATTTGATCTCAAAATTCAAGAATCGTATGGAAGAGCAGCCAATCGCTGCAGCGCTTCAATCAGTTAATACTAATAACGATATAATTAAAGACATAAATCATAATATATCGCAAACAACTTTATTAACCACTGAACAAACCGTAACCAATTCATACAATACTTTAAATACAGAGCAAACAACTGTTCAGTTTCATAACGAACCTGAGATACCTCTTACAGTTAATACAGATTTTAGGCACCCATACAATCACAATCACAATCAAAATCAAAATCAAATACCTTTTAAAGTTTTTAATAACAATAATAATCAATTAAACAAAAAAACATCAAATTTAATTGAACATCAATTACCAAATAAACCTACACCAGTAGTTCAAGTACTTGACATTCCTCTTCAACCAGGTCTACCATTTTTACAAATACCAGTGCTTCCTAATAATTTAATTAATAACAATTTAATGAATTATCCACAAAATCCAACATTACTTAATAATAGTCCTTTAAATAACATTTTAAAGCGTGTCATTCATCGTCCACCACATGGTTTTCCAGCTATTCTTCCTAATAATCATTTTATGAAACGAAAAGAGCAGCTCTATAATGAAAGAACAGGAACTGGAGGCTCTCATATACCATTTGGTCCCCGATCTCTTAGATTTAAAAGATCAATCAATCCAACGGCCAATGAAATCGGATTAAAGAAAGGCTTTCAAGTGGTAACGTCTGTTGATTTAGATTTCTTTCCGAACATAACCACAGATACGGCGCCAATATATTCCGGTCGAAGAGATAATAATATTATTTATGGTGTTTGTCTTCCAGTCGCCCATTTGGCCACTGGACTCAGTTGTATTTTATGGCTAATTGTAGTCTCATTTTCTTCGTGTGCTTTCATTATTTATAAATTAGATAAATCCAAAAAGTCATTTCTTTCTAAAAATTAGTTTAATATTTTCATTATTTGTATTATTAGTGTTAAATGTTTTATTATATATAAAAATTATATAACGTATATATATACAGTATATATATATATATATATAAATTAATAATTTGTCATTTATTTATTGTTGAATAAATTGTGCCACTCATCCAATTTAGATATCAAATAATTATTCATTCATATTAATAATATAAACTTGTTGTCAAATTTAATAATTAATCAATTTAATGGATTTCAAAATCAACTTAAACACTATTATATTGTATATATTGAATACTTAATGATTATTACAATTACCGGTAATGATTATAAAAGCTTAATAAACAACAAATTATAAATCTAATTTTAAATAAAAGATAACTAATAATTACTGCAACGACTTTGTGAGTTAAATAAATTAATTAACATATGATTTAATGACAAAAAGTAATAATTTTATATCAAATAAAAATATGAAAAAGTTATAATTATTGATTTTTTTGGTCAGTAATAAAAAAGTCAGTCAACGACCAGATTAGATGACAAAGAATCGATTGACACCAACTTCGAGTTAATAGACTTTGTCTGATAGTTGTGTCCATTGAGTTGATATTAGTGTAATCGGGAGGCAATTCAAACAACTTTTCTAACTCTTTTGGTTCAAAACTTTTGTCTTCGGATTCGTTTGATTGAGATTTATCTGAGTTTGATTTTCGTGTGACATTTTGAGACAATATGTTTATCAAACTTATATATTTTTCTTGAATTGTTTGTGGAAGTGGTCTAATTTATAATAAATAATTTAATAGCGTATTTAATATTCTATTAAATTAAATATAATGTAATTTATTGTAACACTTTGTATTTAAATTAACTAATATTATAATTAACAAACCTTTTAATTCCGGGAACATTACTCCAATAATATCGATTCCGATTATGTGAAACATCGCTGGCAAATAAGGTTATTGGTTTGCACTGAATTTCATATTACAGATAATTTTAAATAATTCATATAAATAATGTTAAGTTTTTTTAATCATACCATAAATAAATTTGAAATAACATCTCTTTGTGTTATACTTAATGGATTAGAGTTCTCACATAAGAAGAAAATATGTCGACTTTTATTTGTTAGGCGAAGCAAATGCAAGACATGATTGAAATATAAAAAGTAATGACCGCTACCTTTATTTTCTGTATATAAAATATATACAATTTGTTAGATTTACAAATATAACTAATTAATTGCAATTCAAATAACTACTATATATTTATTTACAAACCAATTAGACTCTTTCGAGTGGAAGAATTTAAAGAATATTCGGGTGGCGAAGAACCGATGACTAAATCAATTGGACCCATGGATGCAATCTTTATTTTTTTAAAAATAATAATTTATTAAAAGTTAATTATTTTTATAGAAACAGAAACCTTTTCAAGTGTTAAATTTTCCATAGAGTCTACAATTATAATACTATTCTTATAGTAATTCTTTGCGATTTCAATGGCAGTTGTATCCGATTCCGATGCATAATATGCTTCCACTTTAATACCTAACTTATCAAACGCTAGCTTTGCTGCAAATATACAATATATGGTATAAATATTAAAAATAATTAAAAATAATGTTAATACCTGAGGAAATGCCATCTATCAAAGATAATATTCTTATCGGTTTCTTATCATTATTTATTTCTTGGATTAAATTTAACGATTTTAATCCATTAACAAATGAATCGAAAAGAAGTTTAACATTAAATCTCCAATTGGATTGAATCCTCAAGAGTCCCATTTCTTGTTTAGGATTACATATAAAACACTCCCACTTTTCGGTCTCTAATATCTTTTTTAAAATAAGTTTTATATTACGGTAAATATAAGTACAGTACATATAAATACATTTATTTTATTTAAAAAATACCTTTAAGTGAATTCCAGATCCAATCAAAAGGTCAATACATTTCAAACAATAAACTCTAAAAATAAAAACAATTTAAAACTTAAAACCATGTATTATATCATATAATTTAAATTATATTCTTACCGATGACATATGTTATTTTCACAAATTGCAAGTTTGCCCAATTGGCCACAAATTGCACAAAAAGACTAACGTAAACCATACATATATAAATAAATACTGTACTATAAAAAATAAATACAAATACAACAAATAATGCATACATTTTTGTAATCACTTCCCGGCGCATACATTGTTACGCGTATGGAGTCATGACAGAGACGACATAACCCGCCCTCAAAAATCGGGTGTTCGAGAAGTGCTTTTGAATTGGTGTTTGCAAGAGACTCGGCGTCACAACAACAAGCAATACAAATGTGATAAATTGTGGTCTCATTATTCTTCACGCGATCTATTTGTTGTACTTTATATTCTGGCAATTCATGCAATGCTTCATTACTTTCTCCTTTGTCTACTTCATAGTAAACTATTTGTTGAAGTCTTTCATCTGTCTTTAGAGCTTCGGAATACACTGAATCTAATGGTAGATATATTGCTGCTGATGGAGGAATAGGATTAAGTGGATTAGCTTTGAAAGCGGTGTTATGGGATAATCCAGTCTTTAGTTGAAAACCATTTCTAGCCCACGAAATGAGTGCACTTTTTTCTTCATCTTCACAGGTACTACTTGTGGCCGCATTTTCATCTGATTCAATGTTAACTTCTCCTCTAACAGCCAACACCTGAAGCGCTTCTTTAACTCTTAAACTAGTTAGAGAAGAAGTGCCTTTACTCAGATCAGTAAAATTGTCGACAAATGATTTAATCTTTGATTTAGAAATTTCCGAAACCTGATGGTCACCAAACCAATAGACCCAAGTTTGACCCTTTTTTGGCACTTTTTGCTTACAATGCAAATGTGATATAATAAGTGCCGGAAACCATGTTTTATAATTAGGTAGTGTCGCCCAAACTATATCTCCGATCTCAAACTAAAACACAAAACAATTAGTTATATAAAAACATTTAAAATTCTATTAAATACAGCATTACTTCAAATTTTCCAATTGTTTGCTTGGATTTGATTGTTTTCTTATGCTCTGTATTTAAATTATTAACAATTGTCTCCTCATTGGCAACCAATCGGGAAGACTCCTTATATATACGGACGCGTCTATCCTCTAATATTGACTTAATTAAAAAATATTTACAATAAAATAAGTATTACCGGTAAATTTTAAACTTAATTAAGTTTTATTGTAATACCAAATATTATTATTGTAATAATTGATTGTAGATAATTTTTTGATAAAAATAATTTCAATTACAATATTTATTTAATTATCTTTTGTAAATAAAATTTTTAGAAACTTCATAAAAATTTATATAATATTGTAAGGTATTTACAGCGTTAAAAACGTTACAATTTGGAAAAAATAACTAAAACTAATAGCTAATATTTAATGTAAATTTTGTTATATAAAATTGATTACTAGAAAATTGTTAATATTGTCAAATATTAAATTAAAGTAATATTTTTCAAAAATATTTGAGTTTTTTGGGAAATACAGTTCTTGAAAATAAAATAAAATAAATCATATTTGATAAGCAACTACAGTATAGTTTGTTGAGAGGTATACTACCGGTATTGTACTGTAGAGTAATGTATTTAATTTCTGTACTTATAAGGGATACCAATATGTTAGGTAAGGAAAGTGTAATTTCAAAAAATTATATGACATTGTATTAAAATTTTATAAATAGCATTACTGTACTGTAGTTTACATGTAAATTATTATACATGTATTATGTATTTTTTCAAAATGATAAGATTTGTTTTAGCATTTTAATAATATAAATAATATTATATAAAATCATCTTGGTCATTAAAAACTTAATACTATTTTACTTATAAATTAAAAGTGTTTTGGTATTACCGGTAATTTTAATAAATTATATAATCTTTATAAAAAAACGCTTTGTAATAGTACTAAACCAAACTGTATTGTATTACAGTAAAGTATAATAAATTGCAAAATAAAATTATTAAAATAATGTATATTATATGTTATTTTTTATATAAAATAATTAAATTTTTGGTTCATTAGTAAAAATCTTAAAGTTGAAATTAAAATAATATAATTGAAATAAAAAGATATAATAAAGTATAGGATATTCATTGATTGATTTCAATATCTAATATCATATCATATATAAAAATATCAGTTTATGACATCAAATATGATATTTAAATAAAATATGTTTAAAGTGATAATAAAATTTAATAAATACTTGATAATAGTCGACTTGTGTGGGCAATAGTCTAAGTCCATACCTTCCCCTTTGTAAAGGATTGACATCTTGACTACCGGTGCTATAATTATCTGATCTCTGTTTCTTAACGGTCGCATCAATGACATTGTCTTTGATATCACTGATAACCTTCTGGATGTCATTTCGTGACTTTCTCTTAAATTTTCTACTCTTTTCTCCATTAATTAGGTTTGAATTTATTGATACTTTAGATAAAAATCAATTGAAAAGCATTTAGTTATTGAATGAATAAATGAATAAATGATGAATTGATTTACATTTAGTATTATCTATAGTCTTGTCTTTGGACTCATTAGTCAAATCTAACGGCACTTCAGATGACATATCAAATAATAATTAAGTCGTAAGACATCTGCAATCAATTAATACGTAATATATCGCAACAATTATAATCACAACAATTAGTATCAAACTCTTACTTGTAATCAATATTGCAATCAATTAAACCAAATGTTTGTCCAAAACATAAGTCAATAGATTATGATTTAAACCAAACTTTTGATTTTGTTATCAATTCAATGATTTTGTCATTCAATTGCATTTAAACTATGTTTACAGTTATGTCAGTCATTGACAATACATCTCTATTACTCAATCCTACTGTACTTAATATATATTATTTGATTCTATAGTTTACTACAGTATATATTCAAATACAATACAATATATATCTATAGTATCAATGGTTGTTAAACGTCCAGTACTTAACTGAATAATCCATTTTTGGAAAAATATTATTAAAAATTGTATTAAAATATACAATAAAAATAATTATATAATATTTTTGAGTCAAATTTTATAATTTGTATAATTATATTGTTTATTTAGAAAATTGTCCAGTATCGCCTAATAATAATTTAACAACTCTTATAAGTTTATCACAAAATCAATAGTATTTGAAATGCCCTCTTCATTGAGCTAATGAAAAAATATTTACTAAAAAACTTTAAAATATTTTAGTTAATATTATTTATAAAATATTAAAGAGATTTAGTTAAATATATATATATTTATAATTGACAAACGAAAGTCAAGAACAGCCTATAATTATTTAGATTTATTTATAAAGGACTCAAATTTACAATAAACAGTTGTTTAAGAATTAGTACTATTTTTGTAACAATAATTGTAAAAAATATGTACTACAGGTAATGATACACTATGTATAACTAATTTTAATTTTAATATTAAAATTTAAAAAATAATGTCAAGCAAATATTATTAATAAATGATTTAATTAGTGTTAATTTACATAATTATAATTTAGTTATTCTATAAAATTTATATTATAAATTAATAAGTTTTAATAAAATAAGTTTCAATAATTTCATTTGAATTATATGTGGATTGAATGAATGGAAAAAATATATTTGGATTACAATTTAAAAATGAGAAATATATGACAATTATTAAATCAATAAAATAAAATATCATAAAATAAATGTAAATATATATTATCCACTGTATATATACCGATATATACTGTATATATTTTTTAAAACTAAGAAATTCGTGAAATAATATATAATTTTTATTTATTTATATATTATAAAAGATTATATACAATAATAAATGATAAATAATTAAAATTAGAATTAATATACAATTACTGTATCATAAATAACAATGTTTTCTATGAATATAAATCATAATTAATAATGTATTAATAAAATACAGTAAATCTAAATAATTGTATTCTTGATTTTGAAAAGTTATTATAATATTATAATCTTTATTAAATTTATTAAATTTATTAAATTTATTAAATTTATTAAATGTATTTAATATATAAAGTTTGTATTAAAAACTGTATTAAAAACGTCAAAATGAAAGCACTTTAAACGTAATGTTTGGTAAAACATTAATACATTATTAATAGACTGTATTTAATATCAGATATAAATAACATTATATACAAATTGTTTTACATGTATAATACATGTGGTAAAATACTGTAACGTAACTAGCGTTGCCAGCTAAAAAATAGTAAATACTATATATTTTATAAATTATATTTTAATCATTATTTAAGAGCTCTAAATCCTTTATTTATTATAATTTATTATTATTATTTATTAATCTGTAAAAATAAACTAAATTATAAATATAGTAAATAAATGAAAAATATTTATTTAATTATATTCACAAAAATTTATTATACAACTATTTTATTATATAATACATTTATTTATACAGTATTATTTTAATAAATTATATATTATAATTTTAATAAGATATTATAATTAAAATAAATTTATTCAATTCCTTTTTATATAAAATCAATTTTATATTCAATCGGACACAAATCATTATAATATATAACATTAGTATTAGTATTATCAATAAAATTAACATTGTTTTTAACAATTGATAATTTATGTATTAAATAAAAATTATTATAATTAAGATATTGAGCTTTAATTAAATACTCAGATAAACATGAAATTTTATATTTATTATTACATATTTGATGTTCCATTTCTAAGAAATCAATAGCCACTTCGATTGTAAGTTTATTAATCATATATATATATCAGTATATTAATAATATAAAATTTTCAAAAACAAACTTAATATCCATAAAAAACTAAAATAAATAAAATATTAATTATTAAAACTAATAAAATTAAAATTATTAAATAAATAAAATAACGTACTTTGAAACCACAATTATAAAAAATAAATTATTCTAAACATCTTGTTTACATAATTGATTATATTATATAAATATAAAATAAAAATAATCATTGATTATTATTATCACAATTTTAAAAAATTGTTTTTATGTTAAATGTTATAAAAATAATTAAAATAAAAATTATTAATTTATAACTGCTTATGAATTAATTGATATTTAAAAACTGTATTTATTAATTTTTAAATTATTAGATTTTTTTTTTAAATTTGTTTTTGTTTAACCATTAAGTCAATGGATTATTTTTTTAAAATTTATTTTTCATCTACATTGAATTATACAAGTCAGAGACAAGGTCTGATATATAGTATATAAATAATATATTTTTATAAAAAAATAAGTGTAAATTTTTTTTTTTTGGCAACACTATATAGTATACTGTGTATTAATAAGTCAATGCATTGATTTATACTGTATGCTTGTATGCACTAATAGTATATGTGATGTCATTTTTACCTCTACATTGATACCACATCTGCTATTGGCTGAACCACCTCGTAGTGCTTTACTTAATACATTATATACAATATTATTGACAACTCATGTTTTAATTGATTTGTTGTTAATTATAATAAAATTTAATTGTTTAATAAATTGATAAAATGATGCGTTTAGTTGTGATCGACAAATGGGAAGACAATGGTATAGACAATGGTATAGACAATGGTATAGTCAATGGATGCGCTCCCGTACTCTCACATCAACATAACTTTTTGACAAAGTTGGACAACATTTGCCAAACAAATCAAGTAATGTATTATTTAATCTATTATTCAATTTATATATCATTTCAATGATTTCATTAATGACAGCAAATTCAGACATCAAGTGATAAGAGGGATGACTGCGAGGACACAACTAATAATGAGATAACTCTTACTAAAGACTACCAATTGATGGATCACTTCAATGACTTATATGAGGTTTTCATTGATTTTCACTAATTTTTTATTTTCAATAATTGAAACAAATTTTTAAAATGTTTTTATAATTATATTATTTATTACTTTATATTAAAGTTTGACAATTGGTTTGAAAGTATTGAAAGTCAAGTGATTAATGAAAGTGATTCACGATTTAAGTGAGTAATCAATTAATTTATTGTTTATTTGATTTAATATTTTAATATTCAATATTTAACAGAAAACTATTGAATTATTACTATGAATGCTGTGAACTGTTAGATGAGGTGAAGACAAGTTTATCACATTTGGATCAATTGCGTCAACAATATCTCTCGGTGTCCAATAAGACGAAATCATTGCATACATCGTGTGAACAACTTTTACAACAACAGGTTTTTCAAAATATTTTATTAAAACAATAATTAATGATTTGTTTGTTTAAAGCACGGCCTCATAGTAGCGGTTGAAACAATTAACCAAAAATTGACTTATTTTGATGAATTGGCAGTCATTTCCAAAGTAATAGATAAATGAATGAATGAATGATATGTTGAATGTTTGGTTAATTACAGAAATTGTCTGCACCGACAATGCTTGTCCTCAACGAGTCATTGATGCCAATGTTGTCACGTCTGGATGAATGCATTTTATATTTGGAGACAAAGACAAATTACAGAGAGTCCGAGTCATATCTGAAGCAATTTCAACACTTGCAGTCACAGGCTTTGTTGACTATCAAGAGTCATGTCATCAAAACACTGGAACAGACGGCTCAACAAGTAATGCCCGAAACAAAAGACTCGTTGACACCAAACGACAGTGTCTTCACATTATTTTACGGCAAATTTCAAACCAATGCTCACAGAATTAAGACTTTAATGCAACAAATTGAAGAGCGGACGCAATTAAAATTGTATTTAATTTACTTATATTTTATTTATATTTTTAATTTTACCGGTAATACAATTTCTAAGATATCAGCAATATTTGTCTGAATGTCATCAATGTTATTTTAATGTGAGAGAGTCGCTAATTGGTCCAGTATTGTCACTTGCTATCGATGAAATGGTTACTTCATATAATCGCAATTATTGTTCACTTATAAAGAGTTCATCAAATATGTTGATCCATATTTGTCAGGACGAATACCAACTATTCTTTCAATTTTTTACGAAAAATACTAATCTTTTAGAGTCAGTAATTTACTTATTATTATTATTTTTATATTAACATATGGTATAACATAAATCAATTGTCATTTAATATTAATTTTTTAGTGAATTTTTAACAAAGAATTGTCAAATGCTTTACAATATATTAAGACCAGTAGTCATCCATTTGGAGCATTTAGAGTCACTTTCAGAGATTTGTTATATTTTAAAGAATGAAATGATTAGCGAGAATATTATGAACCATTGTATGTATTTATTATTATATGATTTTAATTAATTTAATAACGAATTTAACATTTGATAAAACTTATTGGTTGTCATTAAAAATAATTAAAAAGCACAAGAATTGAGTCCTTTTATCCGTTCAATGGAACGATTGCTTGAAGACACACAAGAAAGACTTGTTTACAGATGCAATATATACATTGAATCAAATATCATCGGTTATACCCCCGGTTCGGGAGATTTAGCTTATCCTGAAAAACTAGAAATGATGAAAGTATGCTATAATTAAATTATTTAATTAAATTACAATATTTATGTTTTTGTTAGAATATTGCACTAAATTTAGTCGAAAAAATCGATAATCAAGACTCAAACGAAGAGAATAGTGATTGCAGAAGAAATCGATCAGATTCTGTCTCTTCATGTCTTTCAGACATATCTTTTGCTACAAACGAAAGGACTTACGCGAGGACTAAGAAAGATATTAATAGTATTAAAAATATATTATTATTATTATTATTATCAAACATTATATCTATTGTTGCAATTTATTAACAAAAACTAAGACAAATTGTATGTTAAAATCAGAATCACCGGCAGATTTGCACGGCATGTGGTACCCAACAGTCCGTCGAACTCTTCTATGTTTGACTAAACTTTATCATTCATTAGATGTGAGTTTAATATCTATTATCGGTACACAAAAAATCAAATATTAAAATTAATAATTTATTAAAATAGAGACAAACATTTCAAGGCCTTTCACAAGAAGTATTGGCTGCTTGTATTGAATCACTTGAATTAGCTCACAATCAAATCACCAAAAGAAAGGTTTGTTTTATTTAGATTACATTTATTATTATTATTACCGTATGAATACAGTTGATATTTTTATGTAAAATTTAGACTTTATTGGATGGCTTAATGTTTTTTATAAAACATTTACTGATAATTCGTGAACAGATCTCTCCCTTTCATATAGAGATCACACTAAAAGAAGTGTCACTTGATTTTAGTCGAACTAAAAGTTAGTTTTGAAATTTTGTTTATTTTATTACAATATAATAAAATGTAATTTTTTTTAATTTTTTTTATATTAAAATAGACGCCGCTTTTGATTTAATTCAAAAGAGACAAAATTTATTCACTTTGACTACAAATAATGCATTATTAAAGTTTTTATTTGAGGTAATTGTAATTTAATTGCAAACTTTAAATCTTATACTTAATATTATCTCAAATGATAGGGCGCTCCTCAGGTAACTGAAAAGGTTGTCGACTCACAAAAAGCTGTCGACAATAAAATAAAGATGAAATGTGAAGAATTCATATCACACGCCACACTACTATTGATATCATCTCTCATTAAATTAATTGATTTGTCAACAGTTCTCCTTAAAGCAAATCAACTTAAAACTCATCAGACATTTAGTAGTGCAGAAAATCTTAAGGTTGTAATAAATGAAGTGATGAATGAGTACAATCAAAATCTGGCAATTGTTGAATCAAAAATGGCTTTATATTTAGCTAATAAAGATACTCAGGCTATCCTTTTTCGACCAACAAAAGTAATCACTTATTTTAAATTAATTAATTTGAAAATGATTTGTGCATAAAAGATAATTTTGGAAAAATAACATTAAAACCATTCATACTTTCTTTTATAAATAAACACTAAATCATTAAATTAAAATTAAAATAAGTGATTACTTTTGTGCTAATATTTCATTAAATTATAGGTGAAAATTCAACACTATTTCAATCAATTAATTAAATTAATTGAAAGTAATTATACGGAATTGGAAAGACAAACGATAGGATTGTCCCAATTGGTTGAAGTGATTACAAATTTAAAATAACAATAAAAACATTTTGCAATTTATTTAATCATATTTATTCTAAGCAACAATTTATTGGGAATGAGTTTTGATTTCGATGAACGACTAGTTTTTGTTATATAAGTATAACTTAAACAATATTTTTTTAAATGGCAGTGAAATATCTTTAAATTAATGCGATTTATATTACATAACAATTATAATTGATAATAAATATCTGACCGGTTTGGCAGTGGTTGCTGTCCGGCAGTGAACAGTGATCTTCACAGGGTTTATACATAATAAGCTGACATAATATCATTAAAAGTCCTATAAATATCTCATATCACTCGGTTTTTGATTATTTTAAATATATATATAAATTTTACAAAAAATTAATAAATAATATAAATGACTACTTGACTGGTTTTAACAAATAAATCACTCAAACTTTTTTTTTTTAATACAAATTTAGACTTAAATTAATGAAAGCACTTGAAATGCTTTACACAATTATGTTTGTGTTGAGACATGAATATAGTTTGAATGTTTGTTTTGATTGCAATAAAGCTTTATCTGTACATTAAATTTGGTAATAAAACAAAAGTAATGCAATAATTGGTTAAATTGAAGAATTGGTTCCTTAAGTAACCTAAGCTATAGTCTGGTGTTTTTGATGCAAACCGAACATCGGCTCACTTTTGTCCTCAGGTTTCCTGCTTTCAGTGTCTCACTAATGGGTCTCTCAAACTGAGCCCTCGATTCAATAGTTGTCAACCAAAAGCTAAATTTATTGGCGAAGTAATGACAGGTCCCGCGGGCGCCGTTGCACTCTATGAATGGCGTGGCTCTGAAATCTTCTAAACAACTGCCAGGACTTGATAGAGATTGACCGCCACCTTCAGCACCGGCAGCCGTATGCTATTTGTAGTATTATTTGAGAATTTTATCCATTGTATAGTATATTATTAAAATATGTATACAAACCATAGCAAAACTGTAACCAATCCATAATGAAGTCCATCCTCCGGGACAGTCAGGTATATCAAGTGACTGACTGTGAATGGCGATCACATTTGCTGGCGCTTCACAAACAACGCATCGACTGATGTATTGTCTAATGGCTTCTTCTCCGACCGGCATCATAGGTATGGGTGCATTGGTTGACAACCAATAAGACTTATCATTTCTTGACGCATAATTACAGACACTATTAAAGTCACAGAATAGGAATGGCATTGTACTGAATCTCCGGAGACAAGAACCAGCAAAGCCTATAAACAAAACAAATAGTTAATCACTTAATATAAATAAGTTATAAGTCATGACTCGCACCGAGATCTTGATTGTGTGCCTTTTCATTGCCTTCAATATATAGTAGACTATATCCGTCCCACATCTTCTCCATAGTATTTGGACATTCAGGAGCAGCAGCTGATTGACTGTGACGTACCAAAAGTATACCCATTAAGTAATCCCCAGCAGAATCACCTGGAGGTCCGGGATAACCCGGTGACCCTTTTAGTCCTGGCAGTCCCGGAGGTCCCAATAAACCTGCAATTCCACGATCTCCTTTGATGCCCGGAAGACCGGGCAATCCGGGCAAACCTGTCGTTCCCGGTCTGCCGTATTCGCCTTTAATACCTTTGTTGACATAATTATAGTATTATTAAAATTTATATTAATTTACTGTATATTATACAAATACTGTATATCTTACCCGGAAAGCCTGGTTGGCCAGGTATTCCTTTAAGTCCTATTAAATATATATTGTTTATAAATAAAATTATTGTATAAATTGTTATCATTTGATGACATGCCTTGTGGTCCATAATCACCGGTCTGTCCTCTCTCTCCTTTATCTCCTTTGATTCCTTGTAAGAGCTGTCCCGGAGGTATATAACCTTTTTCTCCTATAATTCAACAAATAATAAAACACTTCAATATTTTTTTTTGTCAATACTTTTAGTTACCTTTTGGTCCGATTACGCCTTTTATTCCTATAAATCAAATCAATATATTATAATTTTATCTAAATATAACAATTTATTTTTTACACTGACCTGGAAGTCCTGAAATACCTGGAACTCCATCATAACCTCTGTCCCCTTTTAGACCGGGTAATCCGGGTAAACCGGGGAATCCAGCCGTACCTTTATCGCCTTTTGAACCGCTAAGTCCAGGATATCCTATTTTTTTAAAATTAAAAAATTAATACACATTTACATAATTTTTTATGTGTCAAACCAGGTTCTCCGGGTGGACCTCGCACTCCACTATCAGTACTTGGAGGACCTGGAAGTCCTCTATCGCCTAAATTGATATATTTTTATTAATTAATATTTTGATCAAAAATAAAACTGTTAACCTTTAGTTCCGGGGAAACCGGGAAGTCCATCATCGCCTCTCTGTCCTGGAACACCTGCACGTCCCGGCAAACCTGAAGAACCGGGATATCCTCGATCACCTTTAGCACCCGGTTGACCTGGTTGTGTTGAATCTCCTGGAAGTCCTCTTTGACCAGGAATTCCTGGTAATCCCTGTTCACCTTTTTCACCTGAATAACCAGGTGGGCCATTAAAACCATTAAGTCCAGGTGGACCGGATTCTCCTTTCTGACATATTTCACCGGGAGGTCCACGGGGTCCATCATCACCTTACATATTTAATTTATTAATAAAAATGTTACAATATAGACATTGTGACTAATACCAGGTTGACCGGGTTGACCATTAAGACCTGATGGACCATCAAAACCAGGTGGACCTGAGTTTCCTTTAAGACCTGGAAGTCCTGGCAAACCATAAGATCCTCGATCACCTTTAAGTCCAGGAAGACCCGGTAGACCAGGAAATCCAGTCAATCCTTTATCTCCTTTGTCTGCTCTTTCGCCTATTAATAACTCATGATTAATATACAAAACATATGGTATATATAAAATATAATAATAATATATTAAATATAAATTTCAAACCTGGGAATCCTGATTCACCCTTAGGTCCTATCAAACCGGGTAAACCTGGCATTCCATCCAGTCCTCTGTCACCCTTTAATCCTGACTGTCCTTGAATCCCAGGTTGTCCACTATGCCCTTTTAACCCAGGTAATCCGGGTGGACCATCAAAACCTTTTGGACCAATTGGACCAATTGGTCCAATAAAACCTGGATTTCCGGGCTGTCCAGGTGTGCCCTTCATATAAATTTTAAAAATTATTATATATTATTTATATAATTAATTTGTTTAAGAAAACCTTATCTCCTTTATAACCAGGAAGTCCAAGTAAACCACTGTCTCCTTTAATTCCGGGAAGACCTGGTAATCCTGGAAAACCATCCATACCTCTCTCGCCTTTGATTCCATGAGGACCGGGTAAACCAAGACCAGGCAATCCTGGATCTCCTTTGATTCCGGGTAAACCGCCTAAACCTGTTTTTCCTGGTGGTCCGGGTAAACCAGATAACCCAGGTAGTCCCACATCTCCTTTATCACCCGAAAATCCAATATCTCCAGATAAACCGGGTAAACCAGGTTGTCCAGGTAATCCAGAATCACCTATATTTCTTAATTATTAAAATATTTTTTATTTACTATAAAACTAACCTTTAAGTCCCATTATTCCGGGTCTTCCTTCAATTCCTGGCAATCCATTGTCTCCTTTATCACCCTTTTGTCCGGAAAGACCAGGTATTCCATCAAATCCTTGCGGACCGGGTAGACCGGGAAGACTATCCCCTTTTGCGCCTATTGTTTTGAAAATTAAAATTTAATAATTTTAAGTTAGTTTAGGCATCATATATAAGACCTTTAATTCCGGGTAGTCCTGGTAATCCATCCTGTCCTGGAAAACCATTGTTACCAGAAGGTCCATCAATTCCAGGTAATCCTGGAAGACCAGGTATTCCACTAACACCTTTAACACCTGGTAACCCTGGTATTCCTGGTAAACCGCTGTCACCTTTGTATCCTCTTTCGCCTTTAATTATTTTTATAGTTTTTATTACTTAATATATATTTAATTTAAATTAAATACCTTTTGGTCCATCAATTCCAGCCAAACCGGGCGCACCCTCTGGACCAGGATATCCATCTCTTGCCGTTTCACCTATAGTTTAATATTTATTAATGAAATTTTTATAAATTTAGTTTATTATATACCTTTATCTCCTTTATGACCGGGCAAACCAGGTAAGCCAGGAAATCCTATTTCTCCTTTCATTCCAATAATTCCTGGCAAACCTCTCTCACCGGTCTGTCCCGGAATACCAGTCATTCCTTGATCTCCTTTAGAGCCCGGATAACCAGGCAGTCCAGATTGTCCGGGTCTACCAATACCAGGTAAACCTGAATCTCCTTTTTGTCCTTTATAAATAAAATTTTAACATTTAATAGATATTTATACTTATTTATATAATAATTATATATATTTATTAAGTAAAATACCTGGAAGTCCTGGTAATCCCGATAAACCAAATTCACCTTTCAATCCTGGTTCTCCTGGGAAACCCATTGAACCTATTTCTCCCTTATCACCTCTATCTCCAGGAAGACCTTAATTAAAAAGCAATTAAATTTTAAATCAATAGTGTTTTTAAAACAATTTTTTACCTCTTAAACCGGGAATTCCAGCCAAACCATCTTCCCCTCGATCACCTTTATGTCCTCTTAATCCTGAAAGTCCATCCCTTCCCGGAGCTCCAGGAAGACCTGGTAAACCAGGTTCACCATTAATACCTGGTTCACCGGGAAGACCAGGTGGTCCCACTGGCATTGTTAAGTTTTCTCCGGGACGTGGAAGTCGTCCTACAAATAAATATTATTTAATAAAAGTAAATATTTATTAATAATATATTAAACCTGGTTCTCCTTTTGGTCCTATTCTACCGGGTAAACCAATGTCTCCTTTTGGACCGATTATTCCTGGTAATCCAGGTGCACCCGGTCTACCAATTCCGGGATCTCCTTTCATTCCCGGAAAACCGGGAAGTCCTGGCAATCCTTGTCTACCTGGCTCTCCAGAAAATCCGGCGAAACCCTTATTTATTAAAATAAAATTTTAGTATAAAATAACATTGATTTATAAATACTTTGTCTCCTTTATGTCCTTTAATTCCTATAATTCCAGGTAATCCCGGCAGACCTGATGTCCCGTCACGCCCTGGAATTCCCATTGGACCAGTTTGTCCCAATTCACCTTTTTCGCCTAAAATTTATATTAAAATTAATTTTTGTTAATATTTATATTAAAAAATTTACATTTAAGTATTTAAAATATAATACCTTTACGAGGTATCAAATCTATTGGTACAAAAGCTGAGTCTCCTTTTTCTCCCGATTGACCATCTCTTCCAGGACGACCTGGTTTTCCCTTAAATTTATTGTTTAAATAAATATTTATTTTAATAAAATAAATAATATTTCAATTAATACCTCATCTCCTGGTAATCCTGGAAGACCTGGTATGCCATCGTCACCTCTGACCCCATGTGGACCAACCGGTCCTCGATCTCCTTTTTCTCCCTGAAAACCTGGTAATCCATCCAAACCTCTGTCGCCTTTTTCTCCTAATATATAATATTATATTATTAAAAATTATTTGTGTTTATATATGACTTAAGAACAATACCTTTAAATCCCGAAATACATGAGAGACACGAACCACCTTTTTCTCCTATATTTATAAATTGTATTTAATATATTTTATACTATTTAAACAACTTTAGTATTATTTACCTTTTAATCCGGGTACTCCTGATAAACCTGGTCTACCGGATAGACCAGGATAACCCTGATCACCTTTTTTTCCGGGTAATCCAGGCAAACCAGGTATTCCATCAATTGAGTCACCTAATAAAAATGTTAATGTTATTGTAGTTTTATAAAAATAATATATATATAATAATTATTAGGAATTATTATAATAACCCGGAGCTCCTATTTCTCCTTTTGTTCCCGGTTCTCCTTTTTTACCGGGTAAACCATTTAACCCAGGACTTCCATCCAAACCTAATTAATTATATATAAGAAGTATAGAGTATTTATATTTTTACAATATTATAATATAAATAATATACCTTTTGATCCTTGAATTGAAAAACCAGGATTTCCTTTCGGTCTTATAAATAACTTTTATTAATATTAAATAGTTATAAATAATAATAAATAATAATACCCAGGTTCTCCTTTAGAACCGGTAAGTCCAGGTAGACCAGATGGACCCGTTAGTCCTGGTAGTCCAGGGTGTCCTTCATCTCCTTTTACTCCTATTATTAATTTTATAAATATTTAATTGATTAAACAAAATTCAAATAAATTGTTACCTTTTTGTCCAATTGGTCCCTCCCTTCCCGGTGGTCCTGAAATACCAGGACCTCCTGTAAGACCAGGTGGTCCTCTTGGTCCAATTTCACCAGACAATCCATCAGCTCCTGGCAGACCAGGAAGTCCAGGAAAACCTCTTGGACCGGGTAATCCTCGAGGTCCAGCTCTTCCATGAATTCCCTTTTAACATATATAATATTATTTATATAATTATTTTTTTAAAATATTTTTAGTGATGTTAGTTAAGTGATTTAAACATAAAAAATAAATTTTAATATTATTAGTTATTTATTATTATAAGTTTTATAACATTTAGATATATATTAAATTGTTTACCTTTTATTAAAAACAAATCATTTTTTCTAAATGACTATTGATTTGTAATTCATTTTTAAAAAATTATTATTCTATTTAATGAATTGAGATTATAATTACTATTTTAGAATAAATCGATTGAATTTATATTTTGGTTATGATTTATACAACAATGTAATCTATACTTAGTGTCTATAAAATACTTTAGTTCAAGTGTTTTACACAAATTATTTTTTTAAAGTTAAAAAAAACTAGTTATATCAACCCCTGGAGGACCTGGCGGTCCTTGTAATCCTCTTTGTCCAGGAAAACCAGGTGGTCCAGAATCACCTTTAATACCATGAATGCCATCTAAACCTGGAATTCCAGGCTCTCCTCGATCTCCTTTAAAGCCAACACTTCCATGTGGTCCGGGATAACCCTCTTTACCCTAAATATTACTATCTTTTAATTTTATAAAATAAATAATTATATATTTTAAATAATACTCTTGGACCAGGATGTCCAGATAATCCTTTTTCTCCTTTAGGTCCAATATCACCAACAGTTCCCTAAATTTATATAAAAAGGTGTTATTTTAGATTAATTTAAATTCACTTAAATTAACATACAGGTAGTCCGGGTAAACCATCATAACCTCTTTCACCATAAACACCAATTTCGCCCTATTGAATATATAAAAAAATAATTAAAGTATTTTATTAAAATAATATTAAATAATTAATGATATTTTATGTGTATTAATACCTTTTGCCCTTTATTTCCCGGTTGACCCTGTGGACCAATTATCAATCCCGGTCTTTCTATAGCATATGTATAATTACAATCTTTCCCGGGTAAACCGGATACACCTTTATCTCCCGGTTCACCCTTTTGTCCGTCATAACCAATTCCCATATTTCCTTTATTTATTAAATTTTTTAAATTTTAAAATGTTTTTATTTTTAGTTTTTAAATACCTTTAGGGCCAAGAGGTCCAGTGTCTCCTTTGTGTCCCTAATATAAAATTTTACAAACAAAATATAATTATGACATTGAAACTCGTTTTAATTACCTTAGAACCAGGAAATCCCATATCTCCTTTTGCACCGGGAATACCATCAGCGCCGGGTAAACCAGGTTCTCCAGGAAAACCATTTCTACCCGACTCACCTTTAAGTCCCTTAAGTCCTGGCGGACCTATAGCTGGTTCACCCTTTTGTCCTAAAATATGCAATAAAATTATATATTTGTAAAATTATAAAAATTGACAAACCTTTTGGACCGAATCTCCCTTTTAATCCATGTGGTCCATCATTACCAGATGTACCCGGCAATCCAGGTAAGCCATCTGTACCATTACACCCATCAAGACCTGGTGAACCTCTGGGTCCACTAGAACCAGGAAGTCCCTGAAAAATATATTTGTTACTAAAAATAATTTAACGTAAATAAAAAATAGCTAACAGGAATTCCATTAATTCCGGGAAATCCAGGCATTCCCATTTTACCACGATCACCTTTGATTCCTCGAGGTCCTGCAGCTCCAGAATCACCTTTTACTCCTGTTTCACCAATCAAGCCTTCAGGTCCGGTATGTCCCTGAAGTCCCGGTGCTCCTATTGGTCCGGGAAGACCTGGTGTGCCCTTAAATGTATAAAAGTTGGAAATAGAAAATGAATTCATATAATCGGTGACATCTAACCGACCCGCGAACCCTTCTCTCCTATGCATTTACACTGGTTTTGTATACAACCCACACATTGGGTGTTATTGTAAGTATACGATTGATGGGATGGGCTCTGGTATCTATATCCTCGTCCGTAGTTTGGCTTAAAATAGACATCAAACTTAAATTACTCTTAAATATAAACTCAATTAAAACACATATTTAGAAATAAAATAAATAAAAAATTTTGTATAATTTAGTTTAATTACTTTAAATTTTAGTACACTTTACAAAAAATAAAATAAAATAAAATAAAAATGATCCGAATTCATTGTAATTAAAGTTTATCATTAAAGTTAAATATATAACAATTGAAATTTATTTACGTTTCATATTAGTAACTTAATGAATTTATAAAATTTAATTAAAGCTTAATAGTATATTTTATAGTTAAATTATAACAATGTTAATTATTGTTTTAATAAATAATGTATCATCTCATTTTATATAAATGCAAAAATATAATATTTTATGATTGTTTATATAAAACAATTTTAAAGTAATTGTTAAAAAGTAATAAATCAATTATTGAGGTAATTAATTAATCGCTAGTAGCTAAACATTAAACTGATTTATTGATACAAAAAAGCAATTTGTTATGTAATAAAATTTTTCACTTTTAGTTAAAGTCTCAAAAATGCATAAAATTATAGGAGTTTTGCAAAAAATGAATGAAAAATATGAATGAAGTGCTCATTAATTAAGAAAATTTATATGAATGCCATGTATTACATGTAGTTTAGGACTTATCCGACTTCTCATCAATTTGTAAACTCTTATTCAAACTGTTTTGTGGCTTAAAATGTTGTCACAAATCCAAATATATCAGCCGTTTATTGTTATTAAAGGTCACATAAGCTAACTGTTTAACTACATGTGGGGTGAGAGGGGCTATGTTTTACATTCCGGTGTTAAACTGTTAACAACAAATGTCAGTCATATATCTCCACCAAAAAACATTCAGCTCTTGTCATAAATTATTATCTAAAACTTCAATCAAAACACTTTAAACTAAAAGAAAGTTTTTGTTTGCATTGAAAGTAACTTCAACTCAACAACTATTAAGTGAAAACTCTTTTATAATTACAAATCTATTATTTACATTATAAATGTTTAATCATTGAATTTAATCATAAAAATCCAAATCTACATTAAAATTCACATAATTTTTATTGAAAAAACCGAATGATAACGAAAAATTGGTTCAGACATTCATTTTACACAATATATACTACAGTATATATATAAAATTATATATATATTATTTACACTATATATCATATATAATGTCAATTCAATGATAAGTGAATGATCTGTGATCTGTTTCATACTGTAGTCATTAAATCAATAGGAGTTTTCATTTAATTTCTAAAATAATTATTAGTTTCACTTTTCTCAATGTAAACATAAATATAAATATTTGTGAAATAATTTGTATTCTTATATAAAATATAATGTATTTTATGTTTTCTCAAAAATATTTCTTTTAAGAATTTTTTTAAAGCATATATAAATAAATTGTGCGAAAAATAGAGCCGTAATTATAAGTATGAAAATTTATATATAAAAAATGGTTTATTATTTTTCCGATTTGCTTAACGACTAAATATTTATAAATTTTAAAATAGCTTATCGTCTATAATGTTATCAAAATGTGATTCATATGAATTGTATGCAAATCTGGTTTATTTAAGCATAAATTGCATTTCTTTTAGTTTTAATTATTTAAAAATTATTACACTTTTGTTTGTTTATAATTGCTTTCAATAAATGAAAATAAAGTTATTTCAGTCTATTTGTATTATATATAAAATGCCAATAATTGACTTTTAGGCAACAGATATGCAAATGTAATGTATAGTCAATTGGAAGCATCATTTGAGTTGAAAATGCCTACAAAATCATACATTTCCTGGAAGTCTATCAAAATAAACAAAAGTCTTTGGTTTAGTAAAAGACACGCCAAGAGCTCAATGTTCTGTTCTGACGAACTCATCATTACTAAAGTCTTGACTAAAGTCTTGACTAAAGTCTTGACTAAACTACTTCTCTAAGTCTCATAGCTTTCAAGTATACAATAACTAACTCTAACTTCTTAGGTCTTTACAGACACTACTAACACCCCAAACACCCTCTCATTACTATTACTATGACTTAAAGTATAGTTTATAGTATTTACTTATTTTTCAATTTACTCTCATTTCTCACAACAAAATTTTGGCTAAAGACCGGAAAATAGTGAATTGAAACCCAAAGTGAGCCAAAACAAGCTGTTTGTCGACACAGACTTCACAACAAATTATTAGTTGTCATTTGTTTCAATCAATCTTTTGATAACTCTTTTATCATTTTATTTGACATTATTTCAAAATATTAATTAAATAAGCAAAACATTGATTGTTTTTTAAAAAATTAAACAAAAGCTTAAAACTAATAGTGAAACTTGAGATGCAATTTGCAAATCACTTACCACTGTATCTGAATATTGTGCGACATATGGTTTAATCACAGATAAGATGAACAAAATCCTAACGATTTGTAAGAAATGTTTGAAATTCATTCTTTGAGAACCATTTTAGTACATAATTTTGAAAATAAAGGACAAATTTGACCAAAAAAGGTGTTTAACAAAAACTATTTCAATTGTAAAGCATATAAGATATATATATATATATATATATATTGAGTGTTTAGATTAGAGTCGAGCAAACTATTCAAATGAGTGTAACGTTGGACCCAAAGAACTCATATACAAGTCATACAAATAGTGGTATATTCTTGAGTGAAATGTTTGAGTTATTTATATCACGTGCGCTAACAGTTAGTCGAAACCCTCCTTCTTGTTGTCCGCACCTAAATCTGGTCCACAGAGGAAGGAGGGCTTTCTATACATTGGCGCACGTGATATAAATAGCTAACTGAGCTCTAAGACAGAATGAAAGATAGAGAGCCTTAACAGTATCTCTGTTTGTGTCTCTGAACGGGTCCAACACTACCAACACAACACTTCTCTCATTTGAATATCAAATCTCATATAACTAACCAAAAAAATCATTCATTCATTTATTTATTTAGTCATCAAAACAATTATGTGACAAATGTTTTTAAATTATGACTTTTAAAACTTTTTCCCAATTAGTTTTCATTTTATTAATAATCAACATATTTGTGATTAAACCAAAATTTGCACAAAATTCAGAATCAGTGGTAAGTCTAATGAATATCATGTTTCAAATGTATTAATATTAGACTAGCAGTAGAATAGTATCTTATTTGACAATAGTTTATACGATATGTTATGTTATGTTAAACGATCTGTGATTGTATCACCAAATCACTGAAGGAGTGTCCACTTTGTTCATCCCTTCAGGGCTTTTATACATACAATCACAGTGTATGACACAGTTGTGACCCAAAGGGCTATTAATGGGTGTGACTTCTTTCAGCTCAAAGAAATTCACATTTTTCTTATTTTTTTCTCTTTATATATACTGTATGTCTATATTTACCAAATACTGTATCATATCATCTGTGTCTCAAAAGAGACATTTCTTAGATTTATTACAACTTTTCATAATATATTCAATTATTATATTTTATTAATAAAAAATCGGTATATTTTTGAATATAAAACAACTCTAGAGATACACTAAAATATTATTATAAAAGTTTGAATAATAGTAATATCTTAATAAATTTTTTTTAATAAATTTTAATATTATATTTTTCCATACATTTGAGTTAAACATTTTATTTATCATACGATTTCTCTACTTTTCCTATATGTTTATAATACAGTAAAATAACAAACAGATTTGCTATATTTTATAGTATAATTTTTTTTTATAAATATCAGCTTTTAATAATAATATATATATATATTTATTATGTTAGTTATTGATTCAAATATTGTTTCATAAATAATAAATTTGAAATATTTCTATATTAATGATTTATATTACATAAAGATTAGCTCTCTCTCTCTCTCTCTTTCTTTATTTCTCGCATTTTTGTCTGGTTTACAAAATATCAAAACATGATACGGCAAAAAGTTATAGTAATATTGGGATATCATAAAAACAAATAAATAGTAAATATTATTTATTTAAAAGATATTATTTGTCAGTTTTAGACTTTAAAATTTAGAGTAAATACATATATTATATTATATGCATTATATATTTTGCTTAATTATAATTATACTGTAGTTATAGTGAACATACGCTATGCTTTGAAAAATGTTAATAATTGAATGATATAAATGTTTACATTAGTTAACCCATAAAATATATAAATATATTATCTATGAATATAGTATAGCATTCTAACTAATAATCATATTTATATTGTTATGTTTTAATTATTATAGAAATAAATAAATATTAATATTAACTAAAAATTACTATTTAATATTTAAAATTGCTAATTTATAAAATATAAACATTTAACAACATAAAATTTAAAGTATCTTTATTAACATTAAATTATCTAAAATATAACTTACTATAATTTTTAATAATTTTTATAATAATTATTTTATAAATTGACATATTTCGCTAAAAATGATAATATATTTACTGTGAAATTAATAGTTAAAATAATGACTAAATTATAATAAAATTTATTTATTAAATAATATATTAATATATTTATTTTATATAATTTTCTTATAGTATACATTCTATTCTATATTACTGTATAGTATTTTAATTTATAAAATTATTTTCTTTTAATTAATAATTAAATTATGACATTTATATCAATAAATTATTGATATTTTATGTATTAATAATATAATGATATCATAATTTCTATAATTTCTAGCGCTGTAAGGGATGCACAGTTAAGCCTTGTTTATGTGTGGGTGAACCAGGATCTCCTGTATGTATTTTTAATAATAGTAATTTTTATTGTACTAGTTAAATTTTATTAATTTATATTAAATTTTAGGGATATCCAGGAATATCGGGATTACAGGGTCCACAAGGAATACCCGGTCCAATTGGTCCGGAAGGTCCAATCGGACTAAAAGGAATTAATGGAGATATCGGAGATTTGGGAATAATTGGACCAAAAGGTTTGTAATATTTTACACAACAATTACAATACATTAATATCCTTTAGGGATCAGAGGAGATATCGGTGCCCCCGGATTCACTGGATTACCCGGAATACCTGTTTGTTATATTTAAAAAATGATTTATGTAAAAATTAATTAATTAATATTTAGGGTCTACCCGGTTTAGAGGGAGAATTGGGAGAACCTGGATTAGATGGTTGCAATGGTATTGATTTATATAAATTGTAAAATATGTATAATAGATACAAAATTATTTATTAAATAGGTACTGATGGAAGACCTGGATATCCTGGACCACCTGGTTATCAGGGAAAAGCAGGTCGACCCGGAGAAACGGGAGATAATGGACCAAAAGTATTATAAAAATATATTTATTTAATTAAAGTATTTGATTATTTTTATTTGCAAATTTATAGGGAGATCCAGGTTTACCAATTTTATTAGAATTAATAGTCAAAATCAACATTTTCTGTATTATAAAGGAGAGGGAGGAATAAATTCAGTCGGTATTAAAGGAGAACCGGGTTTAGATGGAAAACCTGGATTTACTGGTATTCCAGGAAATTTTGGTTCTCCCGGAGATGCGGGAGATTTAGGCACTATTGGGCTTCTGGTTAGAAAAATATTAAATTTACAATTTATAAATACTTATTTATATTTATAATATTATATTAAGGGTATAAAAGGAGATGTTGGTGATCCCGGTTCACAGGGTCCTCGAGGTATTACTGTTATATATTACTGTAATTTTATAACTAAATTTATAATATGAAATTATTTAATAAAATTTAAGGTGAAAGTATAATTGGTCCAAAAGGATTAAAAGGAGAAAGAGGAATGCCTGGTGAACCCGGCGTCTCTGATAGTATGGAAATCGGTAATAATGTCTATTATACACACATATTGTATTCAATTGTTATCATAATTAGTATTAATGTTAATTTCAATTTAGTAAAACCGGATGATATTGAAATACAGCCGGGTAGAAAAGGGTATTCAGGCGAAAAAGTATGTTATTTACATTATTATTATTATTATATATAAGTGTATATACAGTATATATATATATATATGCGTTATATTAGTATTTTAAAATAACTGCCGATAATTATTAATAAATATTTAAAGGGAGAGAAAGGAGCCAAAGGAATGCAAGGGTTGGAAGGCATCGAAGGGTTTCCGGTAAATATTCAACAAATATTAATTTTTTTACATTTTATGCAAATAATTAATTATATTATTATTATTATTAATAATAAAGGGTGCTAAAGGAGTTCTCGGACCCAGAGGTCTAAAAGGAGATATTGGAGAAGAAGGTCTTCGGGTATGTTTTGATTATTTGTTTTTTTAATAATAAATTATATAAAAACTATTTTAGGGAAAACGTGGAAAACCTGGAGTTGCAGGAGCACCGGGAGATAAGGGATTCAAAGGAGAGCATGGCTACGATGGAGACTTTGGACGACCCGGTCTTAAAGTATGTTATTAATTATACATAATTTTATAAATTTAAAAATATTGATCAAAATTAGGGTATACGAGGCGATGAAGGTCTTTCCGGTAGACCTGGACCTCAGGGACCACAAGGTGTTAAGGGAGAACTTATTGAAGTGGGAGAACCAATAGAAGGATCACCAGGATTGCAAGGTGATCCTGGAGATCCTGGACCACCTGGTAGCTTTGGAAAACCTGGTTCACCAGGACCAGTTGGATACCAAGGCTTAACAGGAATACCTGGATTACCTGGTCTTGAAGGACAAATTGGACCGCCGGGACTGTCTTATAGAGGCGATACGGGTGATGATGGTATGAAATCATTTGATATATTTTAATTAATCTATTGTATTAATTAAAATTTTATTTACTTAAACAAAAATTATTACAATATTTTTAAGGCTTTCCTGGTATTCCTGGATCAAGAGGTCGACCCGGAATACCTGGACAACAGGTAAATAAAAACATTTTAATGACAAACATTTTTTATTTCAATTATTATTAACACACTTTAGGGTCCGTATGGAGATAAAGGAGAATCTGGAATCGATGTTGTTGGTCCACCGGGTGAACCAGGTCGTCCTGGATTTGATGGTATTCCCGGTTTACCCGGATTTCGCGGTGAACCTGGACAACAAGGTTATTTGATTATAAATTAATAATTTTAAAATTAATCTTAAAATGTCTTTAAAAGGTGAAAAAGGTTATGCAGGACAGGGAGTGCCAAAACAAGGCAAACCAGGAGAACCCGGTTTACAAGGATATCCAGGAGAGCCAGGTTTGATGGATAATAAAATTCTATTAATAATAAATTTATTATTCAATTATAAAGGTTTCCTTGGAATAGATGGTATAGATGGCGCTCATGGGTTACCCGGTCCTAAAGGTGATGACTGTCCCATATGTACCCCGGGTTTACCCGGAAATAAGGGTGATCGTGGAAATGATGGAAGACCCGGTTAGTTTAAATTTTATTTTATTAATATAAAAATCATAACATGTAAATATAAATTTTAATTATTAAGATATTTTAACGTTTTTAATGTCCTAAGATATTTAATGTGTGAATGAAATGATTATCATTTTTAATATTTAATTATAAAATTAACTGTTATTTTAATTTTATTTAAAGGTTTGATTGGTAAACAAGGTTTCATTGGAGATGTGGGCCATTTCGGTCCGAAAGGTGAACGAGGATTACCAGGAATTAGCGGAATTAAAGGCTTTATTGTAATTCATATTTTATATGATATGTTAAATAATGGAAATTTCAAAAATATTATTATTATATATTAAAGGGACTCTCAGGTGTTGATGGAGAACAGGGTTTGTATGAATAATAATCAATAATTCAAAATATTAACTTTATATCAATAATTTAGAAAACCTTTTATTTTATTAAGTAATATAAGTAAATTTCATATTTTCTATGTGATGCTAAACCCAAAATAAAAATTGTTTAATAATTAAAGGAAGATTTGGTAAAAAGGGTGAACCGGGAGAACTCATATATCCTGATATATCTCCAGAATCTCTTACAAAAGGAGAACCGGGAGATATTGGATTTCAAGGACAACCAGGAAATCCAGGACTGCCAGGTATATTGCAAACTGTAAATTCTATTTAACATAATATTGATTGACTTATACTTGATATCTATACATAGGTCATACTGTATTTTTATAACAAACTAAAATTATTTTACATTTTAAAAATTGATATATTATTTTAGGTTTGTCCGGCATTCCCGGTATTAGTGGAATTGATGGTCCAAAAGGCGAACAGGTAAATATAATTAAAAATTATAATTATTATATTAATTAAAATTACATTAAAGGGAGATTATGGTGATATTGGCCAACCTGGACAATCAGGACTACAAGGTTAGTCATATTTTTTGTCAATAATAGATTATTTTATAATTTATCTTAAATTAAAACTACTATTTTATATGTAAAGGTCTGCCTGGAATTCCCGGTTTAAAAGGAGAATTAGGAGAAGCCCTCAATGCATTGCAAGGGTTGCCAGGTTTACCAGGAATTAAAGGAGAAAGAGGAGATTTCGGATACGATGGACCTCCCGGTCTGTTTTATATTAATTTTATTATAATATAAACGTTTTATTTAAATTTTATAATTTAGGACAAAGAGGTGATCCAATAGCTATGGATTTATTGATAAATATATATCGCGGACCACAAGGCTTGCCTGGAGTTAAAGGTCAACCGGGAGATGAGGGACCAGCGGGTGAGTGCAAACAACTTATATTATAATAAATTCAAGTATATATTTATATTATTGATGATATGTGACAGCACCACCCGGTTTGCCCGGAAAAGATGGTTTACCCGGATTTGATGGACAAAAAGGAGAACCCGGAAGAATAGGTTATTCCAGTCCCGGACAAACTGGTTTAAAAGGATATCCTGGAAGTGCTGGTGATCCTGGAATTAGAGGTACACCCGGTCGTCCTGGAAAAAGAGGTGATGAAGGTCTACCTGGTTACCCCGGATCAAAAGTTTGTAATTATTATATATCATAATTTATAATAATGTTATACTAATTTAACAATAATAATTTATTATAAAATATAAAAATGCTAAATATTATACAATAAATATAAAGGGAGAAACTGGTGATCCAGGTTATGATGGATACAGTGGACCTTCTGGTCCACCTGGAATTCCTGGAAATAAAGGATTGTTAGGTGATATTGGTCAGCCTGGCTTAAGTGGATTGACAGGAGATCCAGGTTACCCAGGTCTTCCAGGATTTAAAGGTCAAAATTATAATAATAATATTAAATTTATTATCTTAATATTAATAAAAATTTATTATAGGTTCTCCGGGATATTCTGGAATGAATGGCGCAAAGGGTGATAAAGGAGAAGCAGGAGAACCGGGTGAAGGCACTAGAGGTCCAATGGGAAGACCAGGCATTAATGGTTATCAGGGTTGGTATATATTACAGAATTTTAATATATTATTGAATTACTTTAAACATTTACAGGACTAAGAGGTGATAAAGGAGAAGCAGGAGAACCGGGTTTACCTGGACTTTATGGATTCAATGTATTATATTCTTAATTATAATTCAATTAATATTGACTTTAAAATTGTTAACTTAGGGAGAAAAAGGTAATGAAGGGATACATGGGTTGTCAGGCTTACCGGGCAAACAGGGCTCACCAGGACCACATGGAAGACCCGGACAAAGAGGATTACCCGGATTACCCGGTCAGTTATACACAGACATTGTATTTATAACTAATTTTTTATCTAATTTATATTTAAAGGTATTAAAGGAGATAGAAGTGACACTTTTGTTGAAGGAGTGAAAGGTCAAAGAGGACCATCCGGTCAACCAGGAATTCCAGGATTATCTGGTAATTCTAACATTTTTTTGTTTTGGTTTTAAGTAAACTAACAATAAAATAATAACAATATTTAATGTCATGAAATGTAAGGTATGAAAGGAGATTCCGGTTATGATGGTTGGCCCGGTAGAGATGGACCTCCAGGTTCTAAAGGCATACGAGGCGAACCTGGTTATAATGGTTTGCCCGGAATAAAAGGATTTCCAAGTGTTAAAGGAGGTAAAGGTGTACGAGGAGAACAAGGATTGCCGGGTTAGTAAAAATTTTATTATTTAATAAAACAAATTATAATTTATAAATTTTTATTTATAATAAGGATTGGATGGTTATGAAGGTTTACCGGGTTTGATTGGTTTACCCGGTCTTAAAGGTAGTACTTATTAAAAATTATAATATAAAATATTATAACAAAAATGTATTGTTTATTAACATTAAAACATAATTTTAATTGAAAGGACCAAAAGGTGAAGACGGTATTGCATTGTTAGCAGACCCGGGACTGGACGGCGAAAAAGGACACAAAGGAAATCCAGGTCTCCCGGGTCTTCCGGGTTTGAAAGGCTTAATGGGAGAAATTGGATTACCTGGTAGTCCAGGTTTTGTTGGAGATACAGGCAATATGGGAGCTCATGGAATGCCTGGATTACCGGGTAGACCCGGTCCCAGAGGACAAAATGGAAATCCTGGATTAAATGGTATTTATGAAAATAACAAATTATTATTAATAAATTAATTGTCGTAATCTTTTCATTTATAGGAGTATTTGGAATCATAGGTGAAGCGGGAATTCCTGGACTTATGGGATTAACTGGTGTTATAGGTGATCGAGGTTTTGATGGTATGCCCGGAATTATCGGTAGAAAAGGTGACCAAGGAGATCCAGGTTGGATTCAATTTTTAATATGAAATAAATAAAATTTAATATATTTATATAAATAGTAAAATTAAAACAATTAATTACGAATTTTTTTATAAATTTATTCTTAGGTGTGCCGTCTTGGGAAGGAAGTAGGGGTGACGCTGGAGATCCCGGTCCTCCTGGTTTACCTGGCATTCCTGGAATCAAAGGTTATGATGGTCTTCCTGGACAACCAGGATATATTGGGCAAACTGGAGACAGAGGTATTCCAGGCAAACCAGGTTTACCAGGAAATTATGGATTGAAAGGACAACTCGTATGGTTTATTTAAAATATTTATATCTTTCAAATAATATATATTATAAATATATGCATAAATAGGGTAGACGTGGAGCACCCGGACCATCGGGACGACCTTTCAATTATACATGTATGTATCTAAACTCTATATACAATATGAAATTATTTATATTTACAAAAATATTTTTTAACTCTTATTAAAGACACAATAGTAGGAGATCCGGGATTTCCTGGAATTCCAGGAAAACAAGGAATACCAGGTCCTAAAGGTCAACCTGGAGATTTAGGGTTACCCGGTTTAATTGGCTTACCTGGATATCCCGGTTATTCAAATTTTGGTATTCCAGGAGAACGAGGAGAACCCGGTTTTGATGGTCAACCGGGTAAGCAATGCTTTCAATTTATGAATTAAATTATAATATATTTTATAATATTACACTACATATTGTATGTAATATTTTATAATATCTATTTTGTATTAAAACTTATGGTCCATAAAGTCTTTAATTATATTTTTATAGGTTTTGATGGCTTACCTGGAATTAAAGGTACGCCAGGTTTTTCCGGTCTTCCAGGTCTTAAAGGAGAAATGGGTGAAATAGGATCACCAGGTATTGCATTATTTGCAGAAAAAGGAGATCCTGTAAGTATTTGTAATAAAAATACTAATAAAAATAATGTTTTAATAAAATTTTAATAAAAATATTAACTTTTAGGGCATCGATGGTATTCCCGGTCTTATAGGTTTCAGAGGTGATAGTGGTGATCAAGGATTACCTGGTTTCCCCGGTATTAAAGCAGAAAGAGGTGACAATGGTTTACCTGGTTTATCAGGAGCTGATGGATTACCAGGACTGCCAGGTTTTTTTTAATAAAAATTAGTTTGAGATATATTTATAAAATTTGTATTTAGGTGAACCGGGAGAAATAGGAGATTCACCTGATTTGGGAAATTTGGTTTTAGTTGTAGGAGATATCGGTTTGAAAAATATAATTATATATTAATGTGATTTTTTATAAAATATAATTACAATAATATTATTATATAGGTGAAAAAGGATATCCAGGCCTTCCAGGTCCTTATGGAAATATGGGTGATCCAGGAATTAATGGCTTACCAGGAATTTCTGGTCATTCAGGAATGCAAGGTCTTCCTGGTATTCCTGGAAACCCCGGTCCTCCAGGTTTACTTGGAGATGCTGGTTATGACGGTATATATATATATATTATTGTATTATTGGTTATATTATTAATAGTTATAATATTTAGGCCGAGAAGGACAGCCTGGTTTAATAGGCACTCCCGGAGCTATAGGAGAAAAAGGAAAATCAGCCAAAAGATCACATTCTATTGGATACTTTTTTACTAAGTATTGATAATATTTTTGATTATTTTAAACTAAGTTTTTGTCGTAAATTATAACATTTACTATATTATAATACATATATATTAAAGACACAGTCAAACCATGCAAATACCAGAATGTCCATCAAAAACATCATTATTATGGTCGGGATATTCATTACTTTACATTATGGGAAATGAAAGGTAAAATTGAAAACAAATTAAGTTTATATAAAATGATATTAATGTATGTGTTTGTGATGACAGAGCTCACGGACAAGACTTAGGAAGTCCTGGCAGTTGTTTGCGGCGCTTCAGTACAATGCCATACATGTTCTGTAATCTCAATAATGTGTGTCATTTCGCCTCAAGAAATGATTATAGCTATTGGTTGAGTACTACTGAACCGATGCCTATGTCAATGACACCCATTTATGGTAGAGATATCCAAAAATTCATTAGTAGATGCAGTGTCTGTGAGTCCGAGACACAAGTGATAGCAATTCATAGTCAAAGTATGCATATTCCTGACTGTCCTAATGGATGGGACGGCCTGTGGATTGGTTATAGTTTTTTTATGGTTTGTTTTTAATACAATCTTAACAATGTTATGCTTTTATAATCTTAAGATACTTGTTATTAATGACATAACACAGAACACTGATGCTGGTGCTGAAGGTAGTGGTCAACCCTTATCATCTCCCGGTTCATGTTTAGAAGATTTTAGACCCAATCCATTCATTGAATGTCAAGGACATGGAAAGTGCAACTACTATACCACTGCATATAGCTTTTGGTTGGCAACCATTGAACAAACAGATCAGTTCCGGACACCTGATTCACAAACACTCAAATCGGGTGAATTGAGGTCAAAGGTGTCGCGCTGTCAGGTCTGCATTAGAAGAACTGTTGCCGTCCGACAAAAACCAATCAAATTTAATCCGAGCAAATAATTTACTGTTTTTTTGTTAACTATTATCAAATTAACTGCCATTTATTATGTTATTTATTCCTATATTTTAATGATTACATTGTCTGATATTCTGCACATTCAGTGATTTCTACAATAGTGTACACAATGTATATCATAGCTTGAAATTTGACAAAAGATTCAATTTCTAAACGTTTTATATTATTTAAAATAAAATATTGATCACAGTTTACAATTAAACTGGTATTTATGTATATTAACTAAATTCTAGTCAATAAATAATTGTTTGTTTTAACAGCAATTTTAAATTATAAATATTTCAATACATTTACAACTTTATAAATGTGTCACATATTATAACTGACAATTGAAATTGATTGTTAATAAATGTATCATTTTTAGACATTTGCAATCATGTTTTCGCTGATATCATGTCCAACACCATAAAGTTTATTTAAATAGATTGAAATATTATTGGTATAGATATCTACTATTAGACAAATGATTTTGTATTAGACCTACTGAGTAACCAAAGTGTCTGTGTATCTGTTAATTAAATTATAACCAGTTGAGAATTTGTTAATCATTCAATCATGAAATTTCTTTATTAAAAAATATTAATTATTTATAATTAGGGTTTAAATATTCAGTAAAATAAACAAACTTTGAATATTATGTATTGATTTTAATGTTTTAATAATATTAAAATTAATTTAAAATTAATTGTAAACTTTTTCAAACAATTTTTTAAAAATTCAATTGAATATTCAAATTATACACACTTACCGGTAAATAAACAATAATCGGTATATTTATGTTAATAATTACAATAATATACTGTAAATCATGTAAAGTATGGATAACAGTAATGATTATACTATATGTGATGTTATGTTAACTAACAAACATAATTAAGTCAAACAAAACTTGTTGTTAAATAAATCATTAAATATATATAAAAACAAAATATAATAAAATGATAGTACTTTAGGCAGAAGAGATGCCGAGAAGGAGTCCGCCGGCAAAACCCGACGCAAACACAACATTTTGTTTGGCAAATATCTGCAGTCTTGTCATCAAATGTGTCACTTCTTTATCTTTACGTTTTAACTCTTTTTTTGCGGTTTCAAAGTCTCGATTTAATCGCTTCCAATCAACTCTTATATATCCATTATAGTGAGCCATCTGTCATATAATAAGAAATGTCATTAAGAGTCAACAAATGACAAAAATAGTCATACATTTAGCAACAAAAAGGCGCCACCGATGGCCGCGCCCGCAGTCCTCCCGAATTTGGCCAAAACAAAGCCTGCAGTCCAACCACTTATGGCTCCAACTGTCAACTGTTTGGCCGACGAAGACTTTTTCAAATCTTTGTAATATTTATTAACATAACTAAAGGCGTCATCACTTGAATTCAATACTTCAAACATATCGTCGCTATTATTGTCTGTAAAGTCATTCAAAATGATTGTTATATTCATTGCTTTAATAAAACTATTTGTTTATACCTTTGATTGTCATCTTTATTGATATCAATAGTTGTCAACAAATGTTTAAATTTATATTTAATTTATTTAATAAAATATTTATTTAAATGATTATCACTTGAAATCAAAATAATAAACAAAATACTCGTCACATATAACGTAAAATACTGTATATATTAACCACACATTTAGTCATACAATCATTTATTCAAAGATAATTGAAACCATTGTTTACTAATTAGTGATCACATTATTGACACTATTATTAAATAATTAATATTAATATTAATTTTATTAATATTTATATTAATGTTTACTTTACATAAAAAGTCTATATCTTTGTTGATATGTTTCCATAGCAACTGTTTGACTGCATTTTGTAAACATTTGTTGACAACAATGAGTGACCAAATAGTGATGACATGTCTTGAGTTAACAATTGGTGACTAAATGAGTGATTAAAATGAGCCAAATATACGTCAAATTAATATTAAATACATTACTTGTGTTGATAGCAGTGATTGCATGGACTCATGTGTTGATAACTTCATCGGTTATGTCATCTAATATTAAGTTATGATTAAAGACAATATATTGTGATATTTGTTTAGATTTGATGATAAATATGCAGAAAAGTGAAGCAAATAATACATTGAATACATTGAGTGGTCTGTCTGTGTCTGAAAGCATTATCATAAGTGAACGGATGCGTGAATTTCATCAGATATTATGCCAATTGTGTGAAGAAATGGTTAGATCTGACCATAACTTGGATAATATGAACAAAACTCATGAACGCACTCAAAGTGAACCACAAAAGCCTTACTATAAACACAAACTAAAGGGTCTCTACAAGACTGCTCTTCACGACGCAAAAAGTGAAGAAGAAATCGTAAGGAAAGCACTTGAAATCATTCACGACATTAGATCTGTTATTAAGAGCCGACACCGAAAGTCTGGACACGGCTTTACAAAAGAGACTGCAATCAGAAGGGGTGCACTGATGAAAATGCTTCAACAAAATGCTGCAACACTTCCACTATTTGTTCCCAAATCTAACGATGATATTACTCCTCCGTAAATGATTTTTATATCATTAGTCTTAATGATTAGTTGTTATTATTTATATGAAAATTATTTGTTTGTTTTTGACAGTATGTGTGGTGCCATACCATCCGAACCCAATTATGTGGCAAAAATGGGTGATTTAGTGGCAGCACTGGTTAAGGGAACAGATGGCGATGAAAATTGGATATTAGCTGAAGTGGTTCATTATAATCACAATTCAAATAAATATGAAATTGATGACATCGATGAAGAACAAAAAGATAGACATATTTTAAGCAGAAGACGTATAATACCCTTACCATTGATGAGAGCTAATCCAGTAACAGATTTGGACGCACTTTTCCCAAAAGACACGCTTGTATTAGCACTTTATCCTCAAACGACATGTTTTTATAGAGCCATAATCCAAGAACCACCTAAAACAGCTCAGGAAGAATATCAGGTGTTATTTGAGGACTCGAGTTATAACGATGGCTATTCACCACCACTTTCAGTCCCTCAAAGATATGTCATTATCTGTAAAGAGTCGCGAAAGAAATAATTACTTATTTATTATATTAGTTATTCATATAATTTGATTAGCAATTTATAATTATTGGTTATCAATAATTGCAATATACAGTAGATTATTAACACATTAACAGTAATTGGCTTTAATTTATGCAATACAATAATACAGTATTGTTGGATTATATTAAATAAAAATTATATATTATACAATATATATTTACAAAATTATAAAAATAAAAATAAATTTAATAAAAACTTTTATGGGTATTATTTTATTATAACAACTTTACAGGTAATTATAGTAGAATTATAGTACCGGTATTAAACAAATTGAAAATGCATAACATTGCTAAACCTAAAAATCGTTAAATTTTAAAACTATTTTCAATATGTGTTTAGTGACAAAATTGAATTTGTGTCATAAATATTGTATTGAATATTTTCTTTATTAATCATACAATCTATTACTTTATATCATATACAGTATATGATATTATGACATAATTTTATAATCAGATATTATTTGTCAACTTTCTTCTCTTTGGTAAACTGTCTGAACTCTAATTTTTACATTAGATATGTGTTATTATAATGAAGTTATTATAATAATTAGTGTAAATTATTCAATATTTATATAACTATTGTACAATTTATTAATTTAATTTATATAACTATATTTTATGCAAAAATTTTAAACATTTTTTTACCAGGGTTGCCCCATATTGAGCCATATTACCCCATGAGATCATGATTTTTTGGGTCTTACAGTGTAACACCCCCTGGCCTAAAGTCACAAAGTACCGGTAATATGGCTCATCCCTATTTTCGGTTATCGGTTTCGGTTCCGAAATTTTTTTCAGTTATAAAATTTAATATTAGATAAAAAATAATAATGTTAAGTGAGATTAATTGAAATCCTCATACATTGTAAAACTAAACTTTTATTTTTTCTATTTACTGTAAAAAAATTATATCTCTTAAAAGATAATATATTTGTCTACATTTGTTGAAAATGTTTATCTATTATTATTATTATTTTTAATTTAATAATTATTACAATATCATTAATCTTTAGATTGCAAACATTGTAATTTTTAAATACTAAATGATTATTATATATTTAATTAACTATTTTAACTAAATTAAAAGTTAAGAACAAATAATTAGTGATTGATTTTTTAACTATTTTATATTTTTATGCAAAACTATGCCTTAACTTCGGTCCGCAATAGCAAAGTTGTAAACAACATAAAGTTGGTCTTTGATTGTATTACGTAAAAAATATTCGACAACCAGTGGGCGCACAAAAAAATGTAAATATTTTTTATTATTTTATAAATTAAATTAGATATTTTAAAAATTTATAAAAATTTATCATAAAATGAGGTCTACTGTATAATTAATTATTTAAATAACATCTGGTAAAATATTTTAAGCAATTGAATATTATAATAATTATTATTATTACAAATAGAAATTAATTATAGTAATTAACCAGTTGAGAATGCTTCAAAAGCATTTCCATACGAACTCCTTAACTTAAAAAAATAAAAAAAAAATAAAAAAATCAATAAAAACTTTGTAGCAGAGCCTGGATTCGAACCACTGACCTATATGGGACCGACAGACAGACTTATAGAATGCAGAAATGTACTCATTTCAGGAGTTCGTGATTATTCGCCCACTCTATACCCCTAAGATTTATCAATTTTTTGCCATTTACCCCCCTATACACCCTCTGAAAAAACCTTTCGCAACCCTGATTTTTGACGTAACTTTAATTATTTTAATGATATAAAAGTATGTTTTTATTGTAACATTGATTATAAAAATAAAATAATTTAAATCAATTCAAATCAATGATAAATTCTAATCTAATTTAGTTCTAAAATCTTTGAAATTATAATTATATTATTATTGAATAACAAGACGTAAGTTGTGATTGACATTCAAACACATTATTTATGAAGTTTTAAAAAGTCTTAAATAATAATAAATTTACTATAAATTCATGTGTTTTCTAATGAAATGTGTTTTAAAAATATTTTAAAAATTAATAATTGATTTTAGTTTTATATATTAAAAACAAAATTATCATTACTTGATATCATGGAAGCGCTTCTCATGTCTAGTAATATCTCGAAGACAACGAAATCAAGTTATTTAAGAGTTTGCCAAAAGTGTATCAATGCTTACAATTGCATTCAAATGAGACAATCGCGACAATCGATGGCCAAACACAAGCAGATTATGAAATTGAAGAGAGATTTTATTATTGAAAGAGACGACAGAAAGGAAAGACCATTGATATCAACTGTTTTTGAAAGTCCTATTTCTTATGTCAATCCAATGGATGGCAAACTGAAGACATCACTAACCGTTGATATTCTTGGAAGAGAAACATTTCCACAATTGACAGAATGGCGTAAAAAACAACTGATTTCAAGACAAAGAAGAATACTTCCTTTGCCGGTATCTCTGACTGGTTTGGGTGACGGCGATAGACCTAGATTTTGGACACAAGCCATCAAAAGATCTGCACTTATATTAAGTGAAAATAAGTCACAACTGACACTATATGAAGCCATTCCTCTATCTTTAAGACTTTATTTTGACAATTTTGCCGATAAAATACCCAAACAATGGTCTTTAGTTTACGAGAATTATATGAAATCAAAAGATAAGTATTTACAGGAAAAATCTGAAACCGATATAAACTCAGAAAGTGATAAAATTCTTCGTTTTCCGTATGAATTGATTTCATATGTTAAACAACAGAATAATATTGAGAAACGAAAGAAATCTATGGATGAAAACAATAATTTGTTAGAAGAATATCCTCGACTTGAGAACAGTCTTATAGATAAAGAATATGATAATTATCTCAAACATCACCACTTAATGCAATACTTTGCTACTAATATGAAAGACATTAAACAGGATGAATATGAAGCAGAAATTGAAGGCTGGAGTAACCAGTTTTGGCTCAGGTATTGTCAATTTTAACTTAATATACTGTATAATGTATATATACGTACTGTTTATATACCGGTACCATATGTATTGACATTTACTGTATATTTATTATAAATAGGAATTACGGAACACCTGATCCCAAAGCCAAGCCTTCTGACATTGAATGTAGCGGTTGTGGGGCTCATCTTCATTGTAATGCCACTAATATTCCCGGATATATGCCGTCCGAGAAATTTAAAAATCTTAGTCAAAGACAGCTTAAAGAAGATAAATGTCAGAGATGTGAATATTTAACACATTTTAATGTTGCACTAAATGTTAATGTTTCGAGTGATCTCTATCCGCAACTGATGGCTAAAATTGAAATGAAAAAGGCATTAATAGTGATTATGGTTGATATATTAGATTTCCCGTGTAGTATATGGCCGGGTATTATCAATTTAATTGGTAATAATCATAAAATATATATTGTGGGCAATAAAGTAGATTTGCTTCCAAAAGATAATGATTTATATCTTGAAAATGCTTTGAATTCTTTAAAAAAGAGTTTAAACTTAATGGCAATCAACAAAAGTGTCAGAATTATTGATTATAGTCTTATTAGTGCCAAAACAGGGTTTGGTGTCGAGCACCTCATCACTCGTTTAATGAGAGATCGCATAGAAGGTGAAGACATTTATTTGATTGGTTGCACTAATGTTGGAAAGTCTACACTATTTAACTCATTAATGCAATCAGATTTATGCAAACTTCGCGATTTAGATCTAATAAATAGAGCGACAACTTCATTATGGCCGGGAACTACTCTCAATCTTCTCAAGTTTCCTATCCGAGCACCGACTGGTTGGGAATTACAGCTTAGACTTAATCGACTCGCAGTACTTGAAAGACATGATATCAAGGAAAAGAAGATGAGATGGAGTTTATATAAACAAACAGGTGATACAACTTATGCCACACTTTCCAGTAGAATAGGAATGACATATAGAACTCAAATACCATTTACTGTCCAAAGTGGACATCCATTTGCCAGAAAAACTCAAACACCCAAACCATTTGATTCAAAGAGTGAATACTTTAAGAATTGTAATTTTTTTCACGACACTCCCGGAACTATATATAAGGATCAGTTGTTAACTTTATTAACAACAGAAGAACTTCTCAAAACAATTCCACGAGAGATAATAACTCCGCGAACTTTTTCATTAAGACCTCTTCAAAGTTTATTTATCGGTGGTTTGGCCAGAATTGATGTAATGCACGCCCGACAACACATTTGGTTAACTGTTTTTGCTTCTCATTATTTACCCATTCATGTGGTCCATACAGAAGAAGCCAAAAGATTTTATGATATTTATTTAGGAACAGATATGTTAGGAGTTCCTAAAGGAGACTTTGAGCGTATTCAGCAATGGCCTAAAATGTTACCCAAAGAGTTTGTTTTAGATGGTAAGGGTTGGCAACAAAGTTGTGCTGACATAATACTATCAACTGCTGGATGGGTAGCCGTTACCTTTGGTCATAACAATCGTTGTGTACTCAAAGCATTTACACCTGAAGGCAGAGGTATTTATATGCGAAACCCACCCCTACTTTCTCAGGGTTTCAAACTAAGAGGAAAGAGGATCTTAGGAACGCCTTGTTTTGAAAATAAATTGTTTACAATCGATGACTTACCCATTGAAGACAATAAACATATTAAGAAATTAATTAAAAATCGTGAAATCAGACATATAAGTCAGCATAGATTTGACAATCTTGTTATATAACTATTAATTTTATTAAATTTAAAATAAATATATCAATAAGTTTTTACCAGTAATATTTAGTCCAACAATGATATCATATGTTATATATGGTACAGTATATACCAAAAATAATTTTTCTTGTAATTACTGTTTTTTAATTATCTGTGTATTTTAAAAGAGATAAATATTGAAAATAATAAAAATGTTTAATGTTTTAAATCAAAAATCTCTATAAGAAGTGGTCCAAAATCATTTGGATCGGCGTCCAAATACATGCGGATGTGGTCCTCATTAAGTGAATGCAATTCTTCTAATTTTGTCATTAATCGCAAAAATTTAGATTTTGCCTCACATTTAGAGTAATATTTAATCTCTAAATATCTTTGTAATAAATACATGTATGTTTGCTGTTCAAGTCTATAAGTAATTGTAAATTCAATTAATTAAGAAAATTTATTTTCAACTTTTAATTATTTGTTAATTACTTTATATTATCTTTTTGGGTTACGTTTTGTCGCTCAGGTGAGAAAAGTGTTATTGCAATTAACTATAAAAGTAATTAAAAAAACAAATTAATGAATTATTTTAAAAATCATTATATGAATACCAAATCAACTATAGTTGTGTCTGAATCCCATTCCTGTTTGAAAGCCATCATAAACTTTTTGTGTGCCTCATATACATTGCCTTTTGACTGTTTTATAAAATAATTATTAAATTAGCGGTAATAAAAATCTAGTAATTAGTGGTAACAAACCATAACAAATGAATAATATTGTTTGTCGTAGTTGTAAGAGATGACAGATTGCAATATAATGAGTTCAGTACATCCACCCTTAAGAAGAGCAATCTGGTCGCGTTGGCACAACATCTTAAATCCTTGAAGACGTTTAGCTGTCTTTATTAATCGCCTAACAGTTTGGTCAGTCATCTTAAGTGCGTCCAAAATGCCGGTCATTTGTGTCGGTATTGAAGTTAACGGTTCCTTCAATATATTGGATGCATTCAAAAATTCTGATAATTTATTTGTCTCTAATTCGTTAAATTCAAAATAATTTGAATTAATTTCATTTATTGATTTTCTTATAGGAATTGATGCAAATTCCAGTTCAATGGCTTTCCTATAGACAATCTCTGGTATGTCATTCATGTCATCAATTTGTGAAATGTCGTCCAACTTTGTCTTGAAATTGTCATCACCATTGATACCATTGATACCATTGATACCATTGATACCATTGATACCATTGATACCATTGATACCATTGATACCATTGATACCATTGATACCATTAATACCATTACAATAATTATTTTGTTGATTATCACTATCAATAGTCATCAATTGTAAATCATTTGAATTCATATTAGTTTGATTGGAACCGATGGCCAAACATTCTTGCGATTCATCAAAGTATGAGTTTTGGATTAATGAATCACAAAATGTATTATAAGAATCACTGTTTTGTACTCTATTTGCACTGAAAAGCATACTATTATTATTATCACAACTGTATTGATAACTATTGTTATTATCATTAATGGCATTCATATCAAACATTGCACTTTTGGTAAGGTTTTGGTTCATATTTGTTGATATCATCTGTAAATTATCACAATTGTTAGCCATAACAACAGGCATGAGGTTAATATCAGCACTGGTGGTCGAGTCGGCGACTTTAATGCCATCGTTGCCATCGAAGTCATGCTTTCTTTTTCTGTTTTCTGCAATTTTACTCCTTTTCATAACTTTTTCCTCTTCTGAAAGAATCCATTCCTATTAAAAAAATAATAATTAAATTAAGTATATATTCAATATATAACAATTACATAACAATTACAGTTATATAAAGTATAGTTATATAACAATTAATACCTTTTTCATACCGATGTCAAAACATTTCTTAAGCCGACATCTCTGGCAGAATCTTCTGGTGACTAAATCTATCTTACATTTGCCATCAAATGGACACTTGAATTCCTATTAAATATTTATTCAAATAAATTATTATTTCATATATTATAATATACTCAATGTATTTAACATATATATAATAATTACTTTATTTCTTAAAGCATTTCTTCTAAAGAATGCTTTGCATGATTCACATGTAATTGCATTGAAATTATAGCCTAATTATAAACATAACAATTATTTAATTATTTATACAAAAATCAAAATTATATTTTAATTAATATATACCGAGAGCTTTGTCACCACAAATGCCACATACTTTTGTCAAATCCTTATCAGTCATTTCTATTATATAATATATATATATATATCTAATAATTAATATTTATTTGATAAAAATATGATTAAATGAAAACCCTATTAAGTAATCAATTGATATAAATTGTAATAAAAGACATATAATATTAAAATAATAATCAATACATGTTTTAAGTAATATCGTTGAAAATATGTTATTTAATAGAAACAGCTTTATTGGCAAACATTGCATCGATTGAATGCCAGCAATACATACATACTATAGTCAACAATAATATTAATACTTAATATTGTATTAAGTTATGTATTAAAAGACAATAATATAAATATATGCGTATAATAGACAGTAACACAATAATTGATTTAATAGGAAAATTCAATTTAAAAATAATTATAAATATTGACTCAAATTTTAATAATAGTATTGAAAATAATAATATTGTTAGAGATTGCGTACCAATGATGTCCTTGTGATTAGAGTTACAAAACTTTTATAATTTAAAGTCTTATGCCTTAACTTTCCTTCTTTTAGTTGTAATAGTTGTCGATATTTATTACCATTTAAATCACAATTTCTTTAATTTACACTAAAATTCTAATATATTATACAATAATTCTTTTAAAAAACTGTTAAAATTAAGTATTATTATTATTATTTAGTTAAGTTAATTAAGTATAACAAAAGTAAATTGTGAAAAATATAAAAACTATTTTTAAATAACTATTATATATATATTGAGAGGTTTTTTAGCAAAATTATTATGAATGAATTGACCTAGACCAATATATATATATATTGCAACTATGGATTTTTCTTACCAATGTAACGGTATATTAAGCAAGTTTTTATGTATTGTGGCACCGGTATGCAAGCTCATGATATTGGACCGATATCATCCAGGGATATATATATATATATTTAGATATATATAATATGGTATCTTATTGTAAACACCGTTGAAATATTGTTTAGATATTTTCTGTTTAAAATTAGTAGTTTATAAAAAATACTAACAATAACTTTATACATCAAGTTTTGCTATAATATACAGTAGAGTAAATAAATAATAAAAAGACTATAAATATTAAAAACTATTTTTCATGATAAAATCCTATAAACTATATTATTATGAAAACAATAAAACTAATGAAATTTACAAAATGTCATTTAAAGTCATTTTTAACTGATATACTAGTCCTGAGTTTTAAACAGAGATATAACTTATTATATATATTATTATTATATATTAGTCTTAACAGAGGTATAGTATAGTATAATATAAAAATGATATCTAAATGCCACTGACATACCATGTGATGACAATTCAGATGTTTTAATAGATATCAAAATAATCACAAATATGTTATATTTACAAATAATTAGCTAATATTGATATCATTTTAAAATATAAAAAAGTGGAAATTGTATTATTAATTTAAACAATTCTTTTTTATTATAATTGTATTTTGTTTGCTTTTCAATTTAAAATATAAAATGAATTTTTTAAAAAATCTAATATTTAATTTACTACTTTTGAATGCTATTTTATTTATAGCAATTTGATTCAAACCTATAAAGTAATTAGATTTTGAATGCTTAACAAAGAAAAATTCTTTATTTTTTTGTGTAAAATATTCTCTATTTTCCATAAAGAGTCCATTAAAGTGAAAATATAATTTATAATAATTATTATTATAATAAAAGATTATTTTTCGGAGTAAGTTATTAAAGAATCAAAACTAAAATACAAACAATTAAAATAAAAATAACTAAAGATATATATTATTCAACAATAGTAGTCTATATATATTAAACACATAAAGATTTAATTTTAAACATTATATTAAAATGTTTGGTTATAGTTCAACATATCTTACTAAACACAAAATAAATCAGTTAAGAATCCTAGAAAGCATTATTAGAAAAAAAACTGACGACATAAAATATTATCATCGTAAATTAATTGTCAGTTGATTTTAGTCATATAGTCAAATGACTCAGTATGACAAAATAAACTCAACTATAGTCATGTAGGGTATCAAATGACTCGGTATGACTAAATAAACTCAACTATAGTCATGTAGGGTATCAAATGACTCGGTATGACTAAATAAACTCAACTATAGTCATGTAGGGTATCAAATGACTCGGTATGACTAAATAAACTCAACTATAGTCATGTAGGGTATCAAATGATTCAGTATGACAAAATAAACAACTACTCATGTGCGGTATTAAATGATTAAGTATAACAAAATAAACAGCTAAAATCATACTTTTGCAGCCATTTTTTGAAAAAATAAAATAATAATTTTGATGTTCTAAACAATTCTAAACGTTAAAATTTTTACTTAAAATTTTCTACTTTGGCCGCCATTTTCTTTATGTTCCCGAAGAGATATTAAAATTTTAATGCATATTTTTATGCTTGTTTTAAATGCTTTATTCAAATCTATACTTAAAAAAATTTTCTTAACATTTTTTTTACTTTGGCCGCCATTTTTTCTATGTTCCCGAAGAGATATATCATTTTTGATGCAACTTTTCAATACATTATTAGTAGTCCTCTAACCGACTCTGAAGTCAGAATTTCAAAATTAACAAAAAAAATGCTACAGACAGACACACACACAAAAACTCTTATAGATTTCAGAAAATAAAACTTTTTCAAAGTTTTTTTTAATATATAATTTTTGTAAAATAAAAAAGATAATTTCTACTAACTTTATACATTATTGTTTTTACATTGTTTCTAAATTATTACACAATTATACAATAGTTTTAAAAAACAGAATAAAATGAATGAAAAAATGCCAAATAAATCACATGAAATAAATAAATTAAATATCAAATAATAGAAGAAAATTTAATTAAAAGTATATTTTAAAATATTTAATATCCATAATATTTAACTTGAACATAAATCTTAAGCATAATGATAATTTTTAAATAAATTAATATGCTATAAAAATTGTATCTACATAACTGAAAAGTCAAATAATATATAGTAAATAATAAAAACTATAAGAAAATTATTATTATTATTATTATTTAACTTTATATAAAGTTATAACATTATTTTGTATAGTATATGAATAATATTGTTAAAAATTACCTGTTTGTTATGTTAATCGTAAATGATTGAAATAATTATTAAATAATTAACATATTAAAAAATTAAAGTACACAATTAAAAACAACATGTATATTTTGTAAAATAAGCGACATATTTATTAAAACTCAATGTCATGGAAATGGTATATCAGTTTTACTATACAGTATATACAATATATTATAAACATTGATTAGATAAAAGTTTTAATCCAATAGATTTCATTAATTAATTATTTCACTCTAAGTAGGAAATAGTCAATATTTTTTTTTAATAAATCAAATTATTATTATAATTAAATTTCTATAATTAAAATAAAAATTATTATTAAATTATTTAAATTATAAAATTTATATATCATTTATATTTAATTTTCAATTATATTAAATTATAATAAAAATAATTCATGTATAAATTTATTTAAAATGTTTTTAATATTTTGACCAACACCTAAAAATAGTATTGTTTGAATTCAAAATGTTTGTATTCATCCAATTTTTACCAAATTTCCATCCAATTTTTAATTTAAAAATTTATACAAATAATAACAATTATATTAAAATTTGTTTTTTCATAAAAACAAAATTATTCTTTAATCGATCATTAGTTATATCATATCTTAAGTAATGTTAATAAACAAATTAGTTGTATTCAATACATTTTCTATTAATATTTACAATTTAATATCTAATTTTTGTTCATATTTTTAATGTTTAAAAAACTAAAACACATTAATCATATTTAAAATATTATATCATTTGTAATGCAATTTAAAACAAACTATTTGTTAGAATATTTTTTGACATTATTAGACCAATTAATTAAGTTCAATGATTGGCTATTATTTAAACATATTTATCTTTATTATAATATTAAACCAGTGAAAATGCTCATAGAGCATTGCCAGAACAAACTTTTATGGCATAAAATATGTTCGCATTTTATTATAGAATAATAATTTAAAATTATTATAGAGGTATCATATGATTCAGTTTGACAAAATGAACTCAACTATATTCATGTAAGGTATCAAATGATTCAGACAAAATAAATTCAACAATAGTCATATAGGGTATCAAATGATACAGAAAGGCAAAATAAACTCAACTATAGTCATGTAAGGTATCAAATGATTCAGAATGACAATATAAACTCAATTTTAGTCATGTGGGATATCAAATGATTTAGAATAATAAAATAAACAACTATAAACATGTGAGGTATCAAATGATACAATATGAAAAAATAAACAAGTTTTGTCATGTATGTAATAACAGATTTATAAAATAAATTACTGAATTACTTCTATATTAATATAAATCTTAGAATTACATACATTAGCATACATAACTACATTATCATAAATTCAATTTTTTAAACTTGCCGCCATATATTTTTTAAGAAAAAATGCTAATTCATTATATCTTAATTTTTATAACACAATTCTAAACGTTAAAAATTTATAAAAATTTTTGAAAAAATAAAAAAATAATTTTGATTTATTATCTTATTTTTGATGCTCTATGCAATTCTAAACGTTAAAATTGACATAAAAATTTTTATACTTGCCGCCATTTTTACCTACTTATTTATACTTTGGCCGCAATTTTTGAAAAAATAAAAAAAATCTTTTATCTTATTTTTGTTGCTCTTTACAATTCTAAAATTGTCCTAATATTTTATATACTTTTGGGGTCAGCACTTGAGCACCAATCTATCGCTTCATTGTAAATTTAACAATAGCAAATCACAGCTCAGTGTTGACAACAATAAAACCGTTGTCAACATGAGCTGAGTATAAATACCACATACACTACTACCGCACCAGTAGTTCCTAACAATCAGTCCGCACAGGCACTCACTCACGTACTCTCTCACAACCATTACTTTACTTCCAATCAATTAATAAATTAATTATCATTATTTCCGCACAATTCTGTGTCCATTCATTACCATCACTGGCTATCATCGGTAGATCCACACGCAAAGCAAAACATAGCAACACTTTTTAACCGCTATATACTTTTGCCGCCATTTTTGAAAAAATAAAAAAATAATTTTGATCTATTATATCTTATTTTTGATGCTCTATGCAATTCTAAACGTTAAAAATTTTTACCTAAATTTTTTTTACTTTAGCCGTTATTTTATCTATGTTCCCGAAGAAATCTCAAAATTATAATGCATATTTCTTATGCTTGTTTTTGATGCTTTATTCAAATCTATACTTAATAAAAAAAATTTTAAAAATTTTCTTACTTTGGCCGCCATCTCTGTTCCCGAAGAGATATCAAAATTTTGATGCAACTTTTCAATACATTATTAGTAGTCCTCTAACCGAATCTGAAGTCAGAATTTTAAAATTCGCAACTTTAAACCTACAGACACACACACATATAGATTTCAGTGAACTACTTTTTTTTCTAAAAAAGTTTGTTCGAAAATATTTGAATTAAATTATTAAATAATTAAAATTACGTTTTTCTTTATCTAAATATTATATTTTAATTGTTGTGCTTTATAGCTATATATAGCACAAGTAGGTTGTTTGGATCAGTTGACCAATCAATCAGTCAATGGACCGATCGATCTGTTAGTTGTTTGCGTTGGACGGTATTAGTCCTACCAATAGTAGTATCAACCGTAATATGATTTACACCACTCTATACACCCATTGAATCGAAAATTTACTTTATGTTAGTTTATAAAAATATTTTATTTTATTCTATTATTTATATATTGTATTTAAAAATAACATAAAATTATTTTATTTTAAATAGATTTTGATTGTTTAAATAAGTTGTCGAAAAGTTTTAAAATCGTGTTTTTGTAAAATATTGTGAATGAAACATTTATATAAAAATTTATTTATTATAAATATTTTTATTTAAATAATTTAAATGATTTATATTAAAAGCAGGGTTAAGCAAGGTTTTGATTTTAGGGGAATATAGAGTGGAGTGAAATTGAAAAAATCTTTTAAAAAATCTTTGTGGAGTATAACTACATTTTTAGTGCATTTTAAGCGACATTTTTTCTAAATTTCAAAATGCATTAATGGTCAAGAGAAAATTGCCAAACTTCCCGAAAATTTCCATTTAAATGGGAGATAATTCACAGGAAAGTAGTAATATATGATCAATAAATTCCTTAAATTTTCAAAATTGCATTTAAAATGTAAAGAAATTTAATAAAACAATAATTTTTTTAAAATATAATTATCTTACTTGTATTATAACATTACTAATTTATTAAACAAACAATTTATTTGAAATTTTTAATCACAATTAAAGTAAAATAATATTATATTTAGCTTTATTTTAACATAATTTAAACTATTTTACTAATTTTTATTAAATAATTCAATTTTACTATGTTTTAAAAACACAAAAACAGTTAAGTGATAAATAATAGTTAAAATTTTAATTTTTATAGATTTGAAAAAAAATTCTGATTTTTTGGTGTCATTACTCTTCATTTTTAAGTATGATATAGTAATACATATGCGAACTTTTACGAAGCGTTTTACGCTTAAAAGCGCTAATTTTTTTAATTTCCGAAAAAGACTAGTGGGGGTAAAATCTCCAAAATCTCGCTAGCTGAGGGGGGGGGGGTAAGCCGGCCATACCACCTACCCCCAGAGCTTAACCATGTTTCTAGTAATAGTAATGCTATTTAGCATTCTCAACTGGTTTTATTTAAAAATATTTAAATATTAATATAACATTAATGAAATTTAAATCTAAAATAAATATACAATATTATAATATATTATTATTATTAATATTTATTTATTATTATTATTAATAGTGTATTGATTAATAATTTTTTATACTCTATTAAATAGTTGTTATAATAGTTGCTAAAAAAAAGTCAAATAGTTTTTTAAATAGTTATTTAAACTATTAAATAGTTGTATATAGTTGCTAAAAAAGCCAAATAGTTATTGAAATAGTTATTTATTTTTTATAAATATTTCAACTGATATATAATTCATTTGTTTTCAGCATATTTACAAAAATGATTTATATAAATAAACTAAATATTTCTATTGTTAAAAAAGTAATATGATTTGAAACAGTTTACACATTTTATATAATTTATATAACTATTACATTTTGTTTTTACATATATTTGTGCTTAATTTTACAATTTAATGCTTATATTTTTCAAAATAACTGAAATAGTTATTTTGAAGTTTTTATAGTTTCTAACCCAACAAATAGTTATTTATAGTTATAATAAAATTTCGGAAATAGCGTCCACTGGTCAAGTTAGGTGGACATACTAAGTCCCAGTTATAAGCGTTGAACCGACAAAATAATTTTTTTAGTTGGAAATCAAGACACTAATTATTAATAATTATAATTATTATTATTAAACTGTATAAATGAATGACATATAAAATACTGTATACTTACAGACTTAATGCCTTATGTCTACAAATTGTGAGAAAGTGCTTAAAGCCCTTGAATTTGACAAAAATAAAATGTATTTAAAAATAGAGAAGAATTGATGAGAAGATGCCAACCATTTCTAACAAAATATTATATACAGTACTGTATATAACATATGATAAAAACACTTTACCTTCACTTTTCCTTCACTCATAACTTTACACTATTTTAATTTGTTTTATCCTTCAATGCCTAAAATAATTACAACAAAATTAGTTAATTAACATTTCTTAATGATTTTTACAAATTCAAAGTTAACATAATTATATGTATAAAATAGGATTGTTAGACGTCCTCTTTTTTTTGGAGGATTTTTCTCTTATTTATTTTGATAAACACTGTCATCAGAAATATTGTCCATTAATATGTTAATTAGATAAAATATTTTTTTCAAATTATATATTTAGTAAACATAAATTTTCATGAAAATGTCATTAATATAAATTGTTATAATTGTAATAATTTTTAAATGTGATCAACAAATTGGTAAAGCTTTTAATTTTGTATATAATTTTTAATTATATTTTTATATAAAACAAATAAAACTATTATGTTCTTAAATTCTTCTTCGAAATTCTATTTTCTATTTTCTATTTTCTATTTTCTATTTTCTATTTTCTAATGTTAAAATTATAACTTGCAACCCTAGTATATAATTTTATGATTTTTAAATATTGTGTCAGATTTAAAATATTTCATAAGATTTAATATACAGTATATACTGTATTAAATTAATTAAAAGTAGTTTAATCTATATTTTGTTATTGATTTAATAATTCAAAAGCAGAGTACTGTAAGTACTGTAAAACAATTAATTCATTAAACATTTGCTAAAATGTGTTAAAATACATATATATGAGTGGATTAGTATTAAAACAGATATAATTTAATTTAGAAATTTAGATTCAGTGATAATTTGATGTTAATATTTGTTATTAATATAAACAATAAGTTTCTTAAAATCTAATATTAAGAATAACTTTTATTGTAAAAATATGAATACATTTTTTGGTGTATTTTATCGCATAATTTATTATCTATTTTGAAAATACTATATATTTTGATGTTTAGGATAACGACTAAACAATCAATTAGTTAAATGAAAGCAATTTATTGACAATGAAATTGTTGTCAAGTATTAGTATTAATATAATGTATTAATAAGTGTTAGTTTTGTGTGATGTCAGTCACTGGCACTGGTATGCGCTGGCAGTCACTGGTGTAAGTGTTGTGACGTAAGGTATGGGATGTGCTTTAAAGCAATCATATGGACGACTGTGTGATGTTATGTCAAATGATTGCCATTATATGAGTGAATGTAATAAACATTGTTTTGTCTCAATTGTCAAGTGTTTTGCATTACTTCGGCTACGATATGTGGATATCAACTAAATTGGATCAGACATCACATATCGACCAGTGCTTCAATGAACTCATCACTGAATGCAGACTTTCAGGTATTTCATCAAAAGTCGACACACATTACCCTTCATTACCATTGTTTACATTTAATTACCAATTGATTGTTAATTCAATTACAGTATTAATACAATTGTAAATCAAACTAATATATCAATTGATTTACATTTACATTAAATCTGTTATAATTATAATTAAATGACACATTTATTATATATATGATAGAAGTTTATATTATAATATCATATCATATATTAAATTAATAAAAACTAAACAATAGTCCATTTAATTTAAATGATTTAATTATGTTATTAATACTAAAGATTTATTAAATGATAAGACATTGAAAATTGTTTGAAATTTAAATATAGACTTAACTTATAGTATAATAATTGGTTTAAATTATAGTTAATCACATTTCTCCACAAAATCTAATTCATTGCCAAAAAATAATGCAATCAAACAAATCTATAAACTCTTTACTTATGTTTTATTATTTAATGTTTTAATTGGATTTTATTATGAAGTTAACTAAATTAATCATAGCTTTGATGATTTGACATTTGATTGAATAGTCGTGAGTTCGATCCCAGAGTAGTACATAAAAGTGTATAATAACTTAATCTAATTAAAATAAATAAATAATATTAATATACTGTTTATACTGTATATTAAAATTTGTTGATTCAAATGACTAGAATATAATTTTTTCTATTGATATTTAACTTATATAATGATTAACACTCTCTTTCTCTCTCTCTCTCTCTCTCTCTAACAGCTCCGGGCGCTAGACTTTCATATTCAATCCGAAACAAATTGGAGAGACTGAGCAAAGAGGAGAGGAAAGTGATTGTAAGTCGGGTTAAGGAGGGATGCACTCCATTGTTTGTCTCGTGTAAGAAAGGAAATGTCGAAATTGTTGATTATCTCATCACTGAATGTCACTCCGATGTCGAACAAAAAGGTGTATATGAAGTACCCGACGACCGATCCATTCATTATGTAACTCCTCTCTGGTGTGCAGCTGTTGCCGGAAAGTTAGCTGTTGTCAAGTGTCTCGTCAAACACGGAGCTAATGTTAACAGTGTTTCAGGTAAACACTCTTTTAGGACCATCTCTTATAACTATTTATTACAAAAGTTAATGAATTAGCTATTTATTTGAGTACTATTTTATACAGTATAGTAATGAACTATTATTAAGCTTATTATCGTAATTATCAAATTAATTAAAAAAATAGTGAGATTTGTGTTTTATTTTACTTAAACTACCCATCTCACTTTATCTAACAGCCGTAATAAATTATATAACATATATTTTATATTTACCGATAGTTTATTAAATATAGTAAATATAGTAAATATAGTAAATATAATAATTTTATTAATTTATAATTGATGTTATATTTTAATATTTAAGGTAATAATAGTTTAATTTTGAACAAAACAGATACGGGTAGTACTCCGGTACGATCTGCCTGTTTCATGACTCATCTCGATATAGTTACCTATTTGGTTGACAACGGGGCTAATATTTTGAAGCCTAACTATAACGGCGGTACTTGTCTTATAAATTCAGTACAAAGTGTACCTCTCTGTGAATTTCTGCTAAAACATGGCGCAGATGTCAACGCACAAGACATACAATTCAAAACAGCTCTTCATTATGCCATTCAAGAGCATAGATTTGAAACAACTAAACTTCTTTTGGATAACGGTGCCGGTATGTATGTCTTACTTTAATATTGATTTTATGTTTTATTAAAACTATTATCGGTATAATAATGTTATTTTGTTGCAAATTTATAATATGCATACCAGACCCATACATAAAGAGCAGATATGGTGACGACGCTCTTCAGACAGCATGTTTGAAGGGAGCGACTCAGATATTTGAGTATTTAATCAAAAATGTCAATTATAGCAGAGCTCGTATAGCCGAAGCTTATGAACTAATGGGATCGACATTCCTCGATGAACACTATGACTTACAGGCGGCTCTTCAAAATTGGAGAAAAGCTTTAACCATACGTATTGAAGACCCAACTTTGTCAAAGCCAAACAATGTTGTGCCAAAAGCTGCGTATTTGAATGCTTTTGAGTTTGAAACTCATGAGCAGTTGGACAACCTATCCATGGATTTGGATGCTATGAGAATTCAATCGCTAATTATTTGTGAGCGAATATTAGGAGCGCTTCATAAAGATGTTATTTTTCGACTAATGTTTAGAGGTATTATCAGAAAACCAAAATCTAGCGGTAATTATAAGATATATGTGTTATCTTATTATTTAGGGGCCGCTTATGCGGATGGATTACAGTACCAGCGATGTGTAAGCTATAAATATAAATACTATAAATACTTGTGTTTAATAATATGATTGAATTATTAATGTTTTTCATATTTATTGAATCCATAGATTGATCTCTGGAGATATGCTTTAGATTTAAGAATACAAAAGGATAGTCTTCTTCATAGCGAAACATGTTTTGCAGCTCAAGCTCTGGTAAATTGAAGCAAAAACATCATTGAAATACAATATTAATATAATCAACACATTTATTATACATTAGGTCCGACTATATCTTGATTTACAAGAAAAGCACTCGAATGGTGTTCTTCGGGAAGAATTGAAATTTGATGACGTCTTCCATACGGTTAAACTTTTGGTCGAAGAGTTCCCTAAAGCGATGAGATTGTTAAAAGTGCGGCCAATCTTTAAGCGACAACAGGATAACTTTGATAAGATTCTTAAGGTTATTGTTACTAAATATAATTGTTTATAAAAATCAACTAAAATGCCTTACCGTATAAACGCTCATTTTTCCTATCAAATTATCTTAATATTTGAAATATTAACCATTTGTTCACATTTATTCCCACCCACAAGGAAATTATGTAAGATCTGTCAATAGTTGATAATAATAATGCAAATAGTATTAATTATTACAATAATTTATAAGGCAGTTATTAGTTTCCGACCGGTCATGAAATTAAAAGCTACCCGACATTTGTAGGGCCATTATTTTGCATTACATATACCAGTTAATAGATGACAAATTTTAAGGGTGGGAACTTTATTACTTGGAATCATATGATTAGTCAGTAGACAATTAATTACTATGAGAAGGAATTTCATATTATTTCCTATGGTTTCCTTAATAAGTGCTTACATACGGTATTAATAATTTTAAAATTACGGTATTTTTAAAAGAGAATTAATTTATATTTATTTGAAATTATATATTTTTATTTTATACGATAACTAATTTTTAAAAACAATTTTTACACAATATTATGATAATTTATGTTTAAATTCTTTACTATAATTATAAAAACTTATTACCGGTAATTGTTTAGGTATTGACTCATCTATTTTATGTACTGAATGTAATCCCGAAGACAATGAAACAAACAGAAGAAACAAAGCAATTAATAAATGCAATAAATTTAATGAACGCTCGCAACTCATGTGGCGATACTTTATTACATTTAGTTGTTTCAAAGGCCAACACAATGAAATCCAATACATTTATTGAAGACCCGCATACAGTCATATTTCCCGACCCACGGGTTTGCCAACTATTATTAGAATGTGATTTCAATGTGGATGCGTTCAATAATGTTGGTTCAACAGCACTACATATTGCTTGCACCCGAAACAACTTCAATCAGGATGTAGTCAATCATTTGTTGATTTATGGCACTCATATTGATCGTCGCAATGTCAGTGGCCAACAACCACACAAAATGCTTAAATCAATTACCGAATCAACAGTCAATCCATTAAAATATATGTCACTTAAGTGTTTGGCCGCTCATAAAATATCTGAACTTCATATACCATATATCGGTCAAATACCAGTTTCTTTAGAGCAATTTATTGCAATTCATTAACTATTTGATTATTGATTTGCATTTATATAAACTTTGATATCAATCTTCCAAATATAATACAAATTAATAAATAATATTGTTTAGCAATTGATGCAATTTTAAGGCATATTTTATAATTATCATTATATAACATATATCTATATATTTATATATATATTCATTCTGTACATATACAGTATATTTATATTGTATTATACTTGAAAATATTTTATTTTCTTATCACTAGTGGATCTAATTTATTAAAATCACGCCATTATTTGTAAGATCGTCATTTTATGCTATTATAATTATTATAAGTAATTCACATTTATACTCTAATTAAAGTATCTATTGAACTATAATTATTGACAAACTTTTGTTATTATTTAATTACAATTATTTTTATTATTAATATTCATTGTGATATAATCTAGTTTAGATCTGACTCAGATTAAATTTAATATATATATATAAACCATATGTATAGGTTTATATTATTTAAAATAATTGTATAAAAATTCATTGCAGTTTAATTAATTTCGTTAATTAATAAAATTTATTTTAAAAAACACTATTACCAGTATATTATACAGTATTATAAATTGCATTTTAAGTTATACTATTAATAATAGTATTTAATGTTGGAAATTTGTTACAATTATTAAATATTAATTAAATATATGGAATATTCCATAATATTATAAATTATAAGAGTATAATAACAATTGTATAAACAACTTGACCATATAAATTAATAAATAAAAGTGATAATTGATTAAAATGATAATATACACTACATTAAAGATTAGCATAGATTCTATGCCATAGAATATATATTAATTATATATATATTGTAGAATTCTAGTAAAAATGTTATAATATTATAAATATAGTATTAATATTTAGCAATTCTCGATTACCGTTATTGTAATTAATAATTAATACTGGATATTATATTAATATGTTTTATTCAAAAAACATTAAACGAAAATAATTGTTAAATTTGTTTTATATTTTAAACAAACATTTAAACGCAATAATAATTACTTATTATTGTAACAACAAAATTGCGAAACTTGCAATCATAGCAACATATATACTGTATTTATATTAAATTATATATATTTATTATATAGTATTAAATAACAATTCAATTATTGTGTAATTAGAGATTATATTGTAATTAATTAATGTTTAAATTAAATGATGAGTTTATATGAATCCCTTCCCCAACACATGTCGTCACTATATGTATTGATAATGTAATGTATTATATGTGTGGTTACTGTGGTATATGGTATGCATATTATGATAACTCTATGATATTATTACTTTATATACAGTATTAGATTATTTTGTGTTACTCTTACTGTAGTTATGTTACAAAGTGTTGTACTTAACAGTCAATGCAGTGATGAATGCGGTGTTGTGTTCACTATATGTGACACTCATATCAATGTTATCGATGTCTGACTACTCATACAATAGTGGCTTATATTTGTGACAATACTGTATAGACAATAGTATTGTCAAAGTGGTCATCACTGGACATCACTGGACACACCATCTGATACATCATAACAACAACTATGGGTAAGTGGGTATTACATACATATCCAACTCAAACACATCTAACTATCAATTATTCAATTATTAGTTACTTTTAAAACCATTGATTATTAATGTTTATACTTTAAATGAATTTGTGTCAAATTGTCAAAAATGATTGAATTTATACATATATTATATATATATGACAGCAAATAACATGAATTATATCTTAATGTATACCAATAAATATCAATTAATGATAAAATTTATTATAACATACATACAGTCTATGATATATGATAATAGCATATAATATATGATATAAATATATAGCTAATGGCTTAAACAACTTTTTATTAGTATTGCATTAATGAATATCTTATTTGATATATAATATTATATTGTATTGTAAATATCATATTAAAATAAGATTAATAATGTATTGTTTAATAAAATTATTTATATTTAAAAGATGTCTAATATTTGATATAATAAAAGACATTTAATTAACAAAAGCATATATTTAGCTATTTATTTGTTTACTTAAAATTTTATATTCATTATTATTATTATTATTATTATATAACTCCTACACCCAATTGCCAAATGCCATCCCATTTGAAGCCTTATATGTGAAACACTTTAACAAAATTTTATGCAGTAATTGATTGATTGACACAAGATTTAAAAACGGAAATTATATTACATTTTGTTTTATCTCAGATAAAGTCAAACTTATTTTATTGAATATTATAATATTTTTTGATAAACATTTCTCATGATTTCTACAATTGACAATTAAATGTTTATTTTAAATTATTATGAATTGCATTTTTATTGAAATTATATTTCATTATATATTTTCATTAATTGAATTATTATTAATTTTATAAATGTAGAATTAAATATACTGTAAAAATGTTTATCAATTAATAGCTTAATAAAATTATAAAAAATTACAAAAAATACTTTATAAATTGTAACTTATCTTAAATAATATCGATATTTTAAATACAGTATCTGAATAGTAAAGAATTGGTTGATATTGTAGTAGATATGGGTGTGAATCACATGATTAGAGCATTTGAAGCAATTTTTATATTACTTATAAATAATGATTTTAATTGTTAATTACTATTTTAACCATTAAATAACTATTTAATATAAATATAGAACATTTTAATACATTTAAAAATAGAAATTTATGACAATTATTGAAAAAGATATACTTATAGTCAAACAAATTGTATTTAGAAGTTCTGTAATTAGTATTTACAAATCACAAACAAAAGTATCTTATTTTATAATCTGAAAAAAACAATATTAAATATGGCTAAAATCAAAAATGTTTTTAATTGTTTAAATATATATATATTATATATATATTTAAACAATTAAAAACATTTTTGATTTTAGCCATATTTAATATTGTTTTTTCAGATATTAATTCGCAAACATAACTATTGATAGATCATTTTGTAAATAACTGTAAATTACAAAAATAGTTGTATAAAATTTTTGAAAATGATAATTCAAATAACTTTTTGTAAAAGTTGTTAAAAAGCGTAGTTATGTATTAAATTATATTTATGATGTACCGTAATTATAAAATTATATTATAATTTACAAGTGATATACAGGAATTGTAAAAATAGTATTCAGTCACTCTAATAGTTATTAAACACAATATAATATATAATTCACTAGACATAGGATTTTGAAATCATTAAGCGATCAGTAATTCGTCGGTCTTAACAATTGTAACAGTAATCTAACAATTAGTCGACAATAATATCTAAAATAATAATGTTTTGTAATAATAAAAATAATGTTATATAATAAGCGAATTCTTGTATTTATTATAATTTTTTTTTTTGAATTACTCGCAAATTTGTAAATTTGATTCTCAGTCACACAACATGTGACACAAAAAAGAGACAATACAATGGACTGATTGGTTATTGTATTAAATGTCCCATTTTAGGCATCATTTTATTATGTGACTATAAATACAATATTAGCTAATTTTGAGGACTTATTTGTTTTGCTTTAAAATGCCTGTAATGATAAAATCCAAACCATTTGTAAGTGTTATTTGATAGATGTGTTAATTGCGATCAACCTCTTAAAAATCATAAATTTTTTTAAAAATATGGATACAAAAGTATCAGCCATTAGTTTATCTGTTTATGAAACTCAATATGAAAACTATGGTAAGTATTATCGTTATATAACAATAATTTATTTATTTGATTTAATAATTATGTTTGAATGATTTGTTTTGTGTAAAAACCCATTTATTATTAATTGAAGTTTTGTTAAATGAATAGGTTTTAATGCATATTAAATATATAAACAACTTAAGATGTAAAAACTTAATTTTATTATTATAATTATTATACTATATTATATAGTATTGTATATAAAATAATATAAAAATTTAATTCTTATGCAAAAATTGACACAATTTTATTAATTAATAACATTTATGTGAAATACGGAAATACTTGAAATTCAATTGTTTTGTGTTTTTTTTTCAATAAACTTATTAATAGTATATAAAATATAAAATGTTGGAAATGCGTGAAATAACATTACATTTTTAATAACTTTGTTGATTGGAAAAAATATTATGATTTAACATTTTTATTTAATGACTAATGAATAAATTTTTAAAAATTGACTAAACATTTGTTACTAAAAAATAAATAAATATTAAAAAATTAAATTAAATTATTGAATATGAAATAAAAATTAATTAATTTGTTATATTAATGATATGACCAAAACAGGCAAAGTTTTGTGTGAGTTTTGCTCAAAGAAGTGTTCGGGAAATGTCTTAAGAGTTGGCAAAACATACTTTCATATCGATTGCTTCAAATGTCAGGGTATACCTCTTGAATGACTTTTTTGTGTTTATAAAAACTGATATTTTGTTGATAATAGAGTGTGAAACGTCATTATCTACCGGTGGCTTCTTTAGCCGGACATCAAACTCTATACAACACTATTATTGTACTAATTGTTATCAGAAGTCGTTTGGAACCAAATGTGCCGCTTGTCATGAGTTTGTCGAGGGAGAGGTTGTGACAGCTTTAGGCAATACTTATCATCAAAACTGTTTTCGTTGTAGTAGATGCAAGTGAGTTGTATATTAGATATATGTATATGTATTATCATTAAATGTTTTACTTTATTTCAAAGACAACCATTTCCTACGGGTGATAAAGTGACGTGGAATGGGAGGGAATGCTTATGCGCTAAATGTGTACAAATTCCGGTCGTCTCCTCTCAAACACCCGATGGTATTAATCCGAGTAAGTCATCGTATAGTAAGTCAATTATGCAAAGTATTTAATTACAGACTTTCACACAGAATGTAGTGCTTGTGATGAAGACATCAATGAAGGCCAGGCCTTAATAGCATTAGACAAACAATGGCACATCTGGTGCTTTAAATGTGAGTCCTGTAAGTCAGTACTTCACGGGGAATATATGAGCAAAGATGGAAAGGTTTACTGCGAAAAAGATTATCAGGTATTTAACATATTTTAAGTAATTTTTCATTCATTTAATGTTTTCATTCAAATAAAGCGACTTTTTGGGATTAAATGCAATCATTGTGAACGATATATTACTGGGAAAGTATTACAAGCCGGAGAAAATCATTTCCACCCTACATGTGCCAGGTATTGATGATTGTACCGATAATTGTAATATAATTGATTATATTGTTTATTATAGATGCACTAAATGTGGTGATACATTTGGTGATGGTGAGGAAATGTTTATGCAGGGTGGTGCTATTTGGCACCCACGTTGTGGTCCCGGACCTGATGGTAAAATGGAAGTGGACGCACCTATTGATTTACAGGTATGTTTGAATATTAATAGACTTTTAAAATATATTTTGTTATAATAAGTATTAATTTAATAATAATTTAAGCATATTTTTGTCAATTAATTATTCAATGCTTTATCCTTAAAAAATGATATTGATAATGTATAATTTCATTAATTATAAAAATGTTGCATGGTTTATTTAATTTTTTTGTATGTTATTTTAAAATGCATGAATTGGCTTGTTTTGTCATTTTGTTTGGATATTGATTTAATACAATCAGTATTACCCACAAACCTATTCCCCGAGTCTATCGGATTCAATATCGCGATCTGCCAGTCCCTATGATAGCAAACAGGTTAGTCACTTACATGACTTATGAATGCAATGATATTTTTTATATATTAATTAATAAATATGTGTGAATTAATACAGTAAAAAATTATATTTAATTGCATTATAATGAATTTTGAACAGTTGGGTCACTCAATATCGCCATACACTGATAAGGACTCGATGTTTAATGACTTGAATCGAGTTTATACATACAGCTATTTAGCTGCTGAACCAACACAGGGTTATCTTAGACGACCTCTAGAGCCACGACCGCCAAAATCTCCGCAATTTCATAGACCCCCAGAAAGTTATGGTAGACGTCGAGTGTTTACCAAATCGTTGCCAAAACATGGAATGCAAGCGTTAATCGATAACTTACAGACAGGTCAGCCCAGACCTAAGTCTCCAGCCATGAACAATGAGGAACCACTTGAATTAGCACATTATCCCGGAGCCCAAAAACCAAAACCCAATGATATTCCTAGAATTGAAAGAGACGACTTTCCCGCTCCACCGGTATTATAATTGATGTTTAATTACCGTAATTTTTTTATAAGTAATTTTTGTGTTATTAGTTTCCGTATACTGATCCCGAACGTGTACGGCGATGGAGTGGTAACTCTAAGGATGCCGACTTAAACAATATTGAAGCCGATGAAGATGAAGTGGATCAAACAAATGGAGATTCACATCTTAAGAAAGAAGAACACGAGCTTTCAAAAATTGCGACCGGAATCGGAAAAGTGTTTCTTAAAACAGTTCAAGAAAGAGAAAAAATAATGGCATATAAGAGGTCTCATATTGATCCAAGAAAATCTTCGCGAACACCATCTGCCAAAACTGAATTATCGGCGCGACTCAGATATGAAAATCCTGTCAATGCCTGTAAGTAATGTATTGTTTGCCAATTGAAATATTTGCTTATTTAATATATATTATAATTAACAGCGCCTTCCCGTGATATGGATCGCCCTAAACCCTGGGAAGATGAAGAAATTGAAAGGGGATCTCATTTCAGAAGTTCATATATGGGCAGATATGTGCCTCCAATTAATTATAATGGTATTATTGTACAGTATATTATGTATTCATTATTCAATTGTTTAGTTTAAATATTATTTACTCTAATATTAAGTAATACATTATTTAGAAATCTTATATTTAATTTATTACAGTATATTATACAGAATCTATTGATAAACAAATATATTTTACTTTTACTCTAATTTTTGTAATAATCGTTAAATTGTTTTAATGACATTATAAAACATTACATGAATTGTAATGTAATTTATTTATGATATATTAATTGATACCATAGTTGTCTCATCTCTACGTAATGTTCCAAAACCTGGATATTTGCAGCACAAGTCATCGACATTACCTTCAAGAGATATTCATTTAAATGTATAATTTATATATTTTTAATTATATTTTTTAATTACCGGTAATTTAAAATGTCATAATAGGGAAGTGATTCTCCATTTACCGATAGAATGATTGAAAAGACACAAAGCATTGATTTCAGTTCTGGAAAATCCGATAGTATTTATCATTTAAATATCATTCAATGATTTGTATTAATAATATACTCTTAAATTAGTTTCAGCCTATTCTGAACAACCACACGATAAAAGACAATACATCGTAAGTTAACTCGATTTCTAAATAAATTTAAATAATGTATTAATTGTTAATATTTAATGAATGATAGAATCATTCAATTAGTGGAACCTTCCGGACGACACCCTTTTCCGATGGATTCGGTGGCTATCGTTACGCATCCTATTCACCGCATTTTCGCCGATCAATGCCTAACGTTAACTTTCATCTCCATTCAAACGATCCGCCCCGTCAGTACCCGTATCATCTACTGGTGACTAATAATTATAGACTACCACCTGATGTGGACAGATGTCATTTAGAGAGACATTTACAGGTAATATACATGTTATTAGATTAAGCTAATTATCTTGAATTATACAGTAATTATACCAATTTAAAACACACTTATCTATATTACTATCATCTACTCTTCAAAAATTATTATCGAAATTAAATGATAAAATTATCAAATGTTTTAAAGAGTAATGTAGTGTAGTATCGATTAGTGTGTGTTAAGTATTAATTAAAATATATTATTTGACAGAACTCTGAGTTTGAACAACTGTTTCATATGAATCGCATTGATTTTTATCGATTACCTGAATGGAGAAGAAATGAAATGAAAAGAAGAGTTAAACTCTTTTAGACAACAATTCATAATTACTTTAATCAATTGACTTAAAATGATTTTGATTTGGTGTTCAACCACTTCGTCTATCATTATTTTGTTTTTTTAATTTTTAACTTAATGCTAATCACTTTAATTACTTAAAAGACATATTGTTTTTTATAAACTGATGGTTTAACATATGACATGATTTAATTCAAAACGTAATGTACTTTTTGATTACCGATGCAATTAATGGTTGAGTTGATTGAGTCATTAATTATTAGTTAAATTGAATATATTTACATAATATTTTAATATATATATAAATTTTAGTAATATTTATTGGGGTATTTATTAGATTTTTGATTTTTAAGTGTTTCACTAGTTTTTATCTACATTCTAGTCGATTGATAATATAAATTATTATTATATAATATATAATTATTTATACAAAGCAAATAATATATACAGTTCTATATATAATATATATTTTTAATATAATTAAAATAGCAATTTAGGTGACAATAAAGGCAGCCCTCTATGAAAGCGCAGCTTTTCTTTTGTAAGCAATTTATTTATTAGTTATCAATTTATTAAATAAAAATTATGTTTAAATCAATTATGAATAATTGTTTTACAATACTTTGCTTGTATCCAAACTCTATACATACGGACTCGTTTGGCACGATTTACTTGAAGTCGTTTATCTGATTTTAAAAAACATTTTGTGAGTCCAGCGTTTGTAAACATTGAATCGATTTCTTCTTCAGAGAAAAAGTAAACTCTTGTTCCATCTCCTCTAACATAGAAATTATCTTTAAGACAATGACCAGCTTTGAACCTCACTTGAGTCATATCGTATCGACCATAGTCTCGGAATAGAATAAGTCCTCCCGGCTTAAGATAATCCACTACTTTAGTCATTACGGATTGCATTCTGTCCGAAATTACAATAAATTGTATAATCATTTCAGTGATAATTCAAAAAACATGATTTATACCCACCGATTGGGATCAATAGCTGATAATACAAATATTATTGTAATAATGTTTAGAGACGACTTAGGGAACGGTACCAACCAGTCATCACATGTCACGTCCAATGTAAACGCATTGCATCTCTTTTGATCGTATAATGCATTTGATTTGACTAACGATATGGCAGTAGACGAGAAGTCACAGCAATAGATCATTAAATTGGGATTTCTGTCAATATTTATATTAAATAAATAAAATATCTGTAATTGATTTCAAAGAAAGACAAAAATAACTAACGAATTGATTTGTAGGACAGGAAACACAGTGTTTCCGACACCACAACCAATCTCGAGGACGTGTAATGGCTGACAATTTTCTTCACTTTCAGTTGTTTTAGTTTCTTCAGTAGTATTGAGTTCAGGAAATTCAGTGAACAACCAATGCCTGTCTTTAAAGAAATTAGTTTCGTGTTTGTCATAAAACTGATCCCATAATAGGTTGGCATCTCTTTCTAATTGGTCCGCCTTTTCAGTTGAGATCCGCTCCAAAGCATTCATCTTAACTTTAGTTTCAATAGACTCTATTAACTCATTATCCCATTGAATGTCATCCCTGTCCAAAATTATCACTTAAATCAATGCAATCATATATGCAATCAGACATATAATACCAAGCGTTGTGGTCGAAGACATCCTTGTCGTCGGTTAGATATCTGTTGCCAAACTGAGTCCTCTTTAAATCAGACATCACTTGTATTGATCCGTAAGCACGTGATTACCATTAATATTGACATTAATATTGACAACAATAGTCACAACACTAACAACACATACATTACGCTATGATTCATATGAATCATATGTTTGTCAAAAATGAAACACAAATTCAATAAAAAATTATTAATTGTCTTCAAATTAATTGTGATATTAATTGTAATAACTTTTGTTTGGTTTCACTTAAGGATTACTTCACAGGATTTTAATCAAGAAAGTGATCAATCATTTAATGATAAGACTAGAGTTAAGGTCACAATCAGTACAAACAAATTATCACATCTTTCAAACACTTTATCATTGAAACAATTGAAGACTCAAATTGAAGACATAAACCGAAAACAAGAAGTTTTCAATTATCATATATTTGGTCCACTTTTAAGCCATCATTTAGTTATTGTGATTCAAGTACACAATCGGACACAATATTTATTATCATTAATTGAATCCTTAAAGCAAACCAAACACATCAACAATGTATTACTCATCTTCAGTCACGATGTCTTCAATGAAGAAATAAATTCATTGATCTCATCCATAAATTTCTGTAAAGTAAGACTTAATAAATATTATTTAATATGTCATGAAATTATTTGTATTAATTTATAGGTGATTCAAGTGTTTTATCCAAAATCATTACAATTACATCCAAATTCATTTCCCGGACAATCGGACAATGACTGTCCCAGAGATGTGTCGTATGAAGAGTAAGTTATTTCAAATAGTCATAGGATTAAGCCATTGAGGGGTTGACCTCTTGAGTGATAAATTTGATTACTTTATGAATATAAGTTAGTTATTACCGGTAGTTATACTAAATTTGTTCGCAAAGATTTATTAATTTTATCAAAATTTTTGTGTTAAAAGTGCCGTAAAAATTGGATGCATTAATAGGTTAAGTGCCGATACATTTGGTCACTATAGGGAAGCTAAATATAGTCAAACTAAACACCATTTTTGGTGGAAAATAAATATTATTTTTGATTTATTAAATATAACTCGTCATCATTTGGGAAACTTTATGTTTCTAGAAGAAGACCATTACTTAGCACCCGATGCTCTGCACGTATGGAAACTTATGAATGAATATCGCAATAAGTTTAGTGAATAATAGATAACAATAATTTAGATTATAATTATGATAAATATTATTAGGAATTGTCCTCAATGTCAAGTTATAACTTTAGGATCATATACTCATTCATATAATTATAAACAAAATGGTTACAAAATTTCTATAAGTAAGTGGATATCAAGTCAGCATAATATGGCATTTATAATAAATCGGTAATTATTTTATTATTTTTTATTTACACAATAACTTATTGCAGATATTTTTATATTTTGAAACTAAAAAGTAATGTCTGGAATCTAATCAAAATGTGTGCCAAAACTTTTTGTACATATGATGACTATAATTGGTATCATTAAAATTATTATTATCTATATAAATAAAATAATAATAAAAAATAACATTAATATGTTATAGGGATTGGAGTTTACAATATGTTAGCGAAAAGTGTCTTAAATCCCCTCTTAAAACATTATATGTATTAATTCCGAGGTATTTATTTAAAGTTTTTGTTTAATAGTATTTAATAAATGTATAATTTTTTAATATTATAGAGTTTATCACACGGGAGAGTGTGGACTTCATCACAATAAACAAAATTGCAATAATAAACAAGTTATTCAAAAAATTAAACAACTATTAAAAACTAACGGCAATTATTTATTTCCAAAACAAATGGTTTTATATGAAAAAAGTCAATTTTATCCTAAGATTAAAGTGAACGGTGGTTGGGCTGACCCTCGCGATCACCAGCTCTGTCTTAATCACACATTTTATTCACAATAATTTTATTGTCTATTTAAACATGAAATTCAAATAAGAAATTTAATCGAGAAAATGTTTTTTATGAATAACTAAAAACATATGATGTATAGTATATAATCATAAAAATCATATCGACATTAAATATATAATTAAATTAATTTTTTTATAAAATAAGATATTTATGTATATATTAATATAATTTGAGATACAAAGCCTTTCTGATATTAGATCCATGAGCTCTAGGATACATTTAAATTATTTTTTAAATTTTTAAATTATCTTTATTATTTTTAAATTATTATTTCAAAAAGCTATAGTATATAACTATGGTAATTGTATTGAATTTAAAGTATTTGAAGAATAAGTGATTTATTAAAAATATTATTGATCTTAAATTTTATTATAAATCTCAATATTTAGCGAATATAATATTGTAATTAACTATTTGTTAGTTTCATTAATAAGTATAGTAAATAAATTTACAGAATATCTCGTTTTATAGTTTTATTTATTTTATGTTAAAGTCATCAACAAAAGTGATAAATAAGTGATATTATTTTATAATACATATTAATAAATATAATTTATTTTATAATTATTAATAGAAACAGTAATGATTAGATAAACTAATATATTTAATAAACACTATATATTATATTATTATAATTTACAATAATATATTATTTATTATAATTTGACAAATTGTATATAATATTCGATGAAATTCAACTAAAATAGTATTCAATAATAAAAATAATAATATAATAATAGTAACATTAATTATTTATATTTAAATAATAAAATTACTTCAGAAGTACTCAATGATTGTGTGGACGGATATCACAATCAGATTTCTTGATCAGAATCATCACTCGAGAAATCATTTGTTTTAATACATTCAGAGAGTGAAGGCTGAGGAAGATTTCTGTAAAAGTCGAGCCACTCATCCATCATCTGAGCGACTAATAATGGCTTTCTTGGGATCTTTTGTTTAGCAGCTAAAATACCACCAGTTGTCACACAACAATCCAGCCATTGTCTCATTATGTCTTCCTCTCTGCCCAACTCATTGTGGCTCAAAAAATGAAGGGGGAGTAGTTGGTGCTCTGATGTAATTAATGGTAAATATATCACTTCATTGTCATCATTAGATCTAAAGTTAGCTCCGGCTCCTATTTGTTCATCAGATGGCTCCGGTTCGATGGCCACAAGTGCTGAAAAATGGCCTCTTGTGTAACCTAATGCTATGGGAGACTTCCAACAGAAACTCGGTTCCCAAAGAAGGGGCAAATAAATGCCTTCATAACCGGCGTAACCCAAAGAATCTCCTTTAAAACTTTTTACAATTTTTATGGCATATACTATGATTGGGCGACGAAGTATATGAGCTAATGTGAAGATATGAATTTGTTCCAGACTCTGACCCGGCTGTGTTGCTAATGCTGTAAATATTCAATAATAAATCAATTGATAAATTTATATAAATAAATATCAGTTATCAAAATATACATAATATGATCGCCCAATCCTCTCGCCATTGATCGTCATCGAGTGTATAGTGCAAGAGATTCGCTTGAAGTGTCTCAGCCTCTTTAAATCGTGGGAACAATTGAGATGAACTTTCAATAAGAGAATCGCCCAAAGCTTTTCTCATAGTATTATCCCTATCGAAGATTCCATACGTTGCCTGAAGTACTGAATCTAAGAGACAATCGCCGGTCGAACGGTTCCATAGCGCATAAAGACGTGATCCTAATCTTTCAGTTAATTCTAAACTCCAATTAATTATTGGTGACTCTTCTTCCAATTCTAACAATTTAACCAAATTTTAAATATATTTATACAAATACTTAAAAACATACCTTTTTGAACGTCACGGTCTAAATATTCATCAAAGAGTCGTTCCTGTATTTGTGATGACAAGTCTTCAATCTCTGGCGGCAAAGCAAATGTGAAAAAATCGGTTACAAAAAAACAGGCAAATTCTCCTTTGCGTTGTTTGAGTCCATTTGCAAACAATCTTCTGATTTCTGCCGCCAAAAATGGACTCACATCTGATGGAACTCGTTTGGCCACTGGACGTGAACTTTGACCGATTAATAGATCTAATTCATATAGTTTTTGGTTATCTTCAATATAATCAACACATTCATTAGCTGATGAAGAGATGTCACTCAAAGTTTTAATATTATTGTACTCATTATTAGAGCACTCTTTAGCAGCCGATTCACTAATTTGAGACAAAGGACTTTCATTTCGCTTCTCATTTTGTCCGTCAGTAATAGTATTAGTTGAAGCCGTGGCCTGTCTTTCATTAATTATTGAAATATCTTTTTTGATTGTATAGCAGAGGACACACTTTTTTGCGGCCATCCAGTTGTCGTAAGTACAGGCACTACACGACCACTTGAAACCACTTTCAACACCAATACTCACGTATTTGTTTTTGTCATTACTATAGCTGTTATCAAATACTTTATTATTGCCAATACTATCACAAACAATATGTTGTCCGTCAACATGACTGCCGACACCCGACCCGTTAGACTCATTGAACGTCATTTGATGGCCATCTGCTTCTCCTTTAGGACTACGAACTCGTCGGACAGTTAAACATTGGCTACATTTAAGAGATTTATAGTGATTGAGAAAAGTACAGACATCGCACCACCACTTCTTATTGGTCTCATTCTTGTCACTCATTGTCTCAGATAATGAAGACTTCTATATATTGTTTATTAATTATATATAAATTAAGAAATAAATTGTTGAATCAATAAGTAATGCAAACCTTATAGATGTGTTGGGATGTGTTTTGATGATCGTTGTCATCGATGATCAATTGGATGGACTGTCTTGTGTCTAAACACATCGTGCATTTGTTTGCCTTCATATAGTTATGATAAGTGCATCGACAACACTGCCATTTGCCTGAAGACATGTCAGACATGTTGGCCACAAATTCACATCAATTGACATCAATTATCATCAATTAAACCAATCATTCATTACTTGTTTTCATTACAAATAAATCAAAATAATATAAATTAAATTAATTATATTTATATTAATAATCAATATTTATAAATATTATGTAATTTTTATAAAAATTACTTTAAATTAAATCTATGTTTACATAGATTTCATAAAATTATTGTCAAATAATAATAATTACAAAAAACATAATTAAATTATATTTAATTCTATAATAATTACAAAATCAAAATAAAGACATTAATTATAAATTTAATTAATAAATGGATTACTAATTAATTAATTAATTATTTATTTATATTTATTATTAAAAAACATAATAATATGTAAAATCGTATATAAAATATATGAGACAATCATTTAATGTATTAATACTGTATTATACAGTACTTTAAGTCAATGTTCCCAATGTTGACGTCATAGCTATTCTTACATATATTACGTTTAGTTTATTTGTATATTGTTTTCAAATAAAGTAATTTTACAATAGTTTTAAAGTTTGGTTAGACTTTTAAATTTGCAATTTTATTATATTTTTATTTCAGTTGATAATAATTTTAATTAATTTTGTTATTATCTAAAATTGTTTTATCTGTTTGTCTATTTGTCCGCATTTTAAGATTTTTAAAAATTTTAACAAAATTCAATAAAAAGTAAATAGAAATATATAAATAGTAAATCACAAAAACAGTATTAATATATTAATTTACACAATAATTGTTTTGAAATATAGACTACTTATTATACAATACATGTTAGTTAGAAAACACTAAAATATTGATTTTTAAAAATTATTGAATTTTTTAATCCAATTGTTTGTTACTGTATGACAATTATTAAAATAAAACAATTTACATGAATGTGAAAATTTAAAAACAATGTTAAATAACCCAAATTTTATTCAAAATTTTACATTAAATTTTGGTAAAATTGATTTCAAATATTACTAATTATAATGTATTGTTAGTATTATACTTAATGTAACATTTAATCGACTTTATTATATGATATAATTAATACAACTAACAAATAAACTAAATTTAGTCGAAATCCTATTAGAATATCAATCATTTTAACATTTATTAATATAATACTATAGAAAATATAAAATAAATTACAATAAATATAATAACAATTATTAAATATATTTATCACAACTAATAGTCAAAACATTATAACATTTATCATAACTTATGCCTAATTTAAAGTCATTTGAGATAAATATACGAAAGTAGTGTTTATTAGGTTTTGGGGATTATATATACATTGCATTAGATATTGTATTTTCATGTGATTTGAAAAGTATATGAAATATAGTAGTGTTTTGTTATTATAATTGATATCAATGTTAGTGTCGGCACTGTTTCGGACATCACTTGCGGTCAAACCGTGTCATTCATTGACCACTTTTGCCACAAATCACAGGTATTTCATTGATTTATTGCAAACATTGTAATCATTTTGTGATAAATACAATGTTTTCGTGTAATTAATATTAGCTAATATTGACTTCAATGCAATAATTATTAATAATCATTGATATTAAACACAAATTCATTTATTTTTCATTTTTGTTGCAAAAAATCTGATTTAAAGTTAAAATGTTTTTAAATGTTCAGTACTTTTAGATATCGTATAAATAATTGATTTAAAAATAGTATTTTTCCAACAAAAATGTCAAATAAATGTATTTGTGTTTTGTGTCAATAGTTTTGTTACAATTTCTTCATTTACTTTATAATTAATGTTTGATTTATTAAAATATAAAATATTTGATATAAATAAAGGATTATTAAATTGTTAACAATTATTGCAGATTTGGTCACAATTTGATTAGTATTAGTAAATGAATTAAAATAAACAGAGTCTTAAACAGCGGTGACGACAGTGGCGATGATTTTAATTTCAATTATCTAATCAACAATACGCTGGATTTAAAAGTGACCAAGGGCAATGTTGTTGATAATTTTAAACTAAATAAGATTGTAATTGGTCATTTTACATTACAATTAATTGCATGATAATTGCAGTCGACTATTATTTTTGCAATTTTTTAACAGTCGACTATATTATCTGACCAAACATACAATTAATTAAAAAATGACCATGATTACAATCAATTTTATTTAGTTTAATATTATCTACAACTTTGTCACTTAAATTGAAAGTATTGTTAATTAGATAATTGTAATTAATATGATCGCCGCCGCTGTTTAAGACTCGGTATAATTTATAAATATTATACTAAAACAGTATTACTTTATACTGTATTGCAAATTGCAATATACTGTGACTATGACTGTGAATACAACAAAAATTACGTTAACCTATAAAACATGTGTTAATACCAGTAATAACATACTGTAGACAAATGTACGGACAATAGTGTTGTTTAATAATAATCTGATTGTTATTACAGAGTATTTGTGGATCAGTTTCGCCGCATAAGTGGTCATACATTGCGCCGCAATATGGAAGAGCACGCAGTAGTGCCCGATGTCGTGGATCACGTGCCACAGCACGTGCTTGACGTATGACTACAATTGATTTAACCATACAATTAACTAATTGTTTTTATATCATCTTCAGGTGAAATACGTCTCAGGTGTCGAACCAAAGGTATGTCTTGTGGACCAATTGTGGTGACACTTGTAGTTCATGTCAAACAAAACTATTTATTAATTGATAATATGTTTGATATTTGTATCTCTTAGTTATGACAGTAGTGACCGACTATAACATGACTTTCATTATTAGTTTACATTAATTACATAAACATTTAAAATTAATTGATATTATATTAACTAAAGATATCTTTAAAATGAGATTCAGTGTATCAGTTGTAATGATAAATGTGTTATCATTTGAATTATTATTCAGTTTTTTAACAAATGAGAATCAAGTGATGGAATGACTAATTGAATGTATATTTTTAGATAATTAAGTTTAATAACTATAATATAAAGTTTGATTATTTTATAAACATTTAATTATTGATATTATGAGTGATGAAAACAATTTGTAATATTTGATTCACACAATAGTTGGGCAATGAGTTGACACCGACTCAAGTTAAGGACATTCCGACTGCTATTAAGTGGCCGATAGAAGACAAAGCACTTTACACCTTATGTATGACCGATCCGGACGCTCCCAGTCGTCAAACACCAAAATATCGAGAATGGCATCACTGGTTGGTCGTCAATATCCCGAACAATGATGTGGCAAAAGGCGATACTTTATCGGAATACGTGGGTTCCGGTCCACCAAAAGGTTTGATTAAAATGTTTGACATTTTATTTAATAGTCACTGAATGCTGCAATAATTTATAGGAACTGGTCTTCATAGATATGTCTTTTTGGTTTACAAACAGCCAAACCGTTTAACACCCGACGAACCTAAGCTTTCTAACAGATCTGGTGAAGGCAGAGGACAAGTATGTTATTAATCATTGATATATTATTATACAATATATGTCAATTCAATTGGTGTTTATTATAATTGATAGTTCAAAATACGTAACTTTGCTAAGAAATATAATTTGGGAGAACCTATTGCCGGCAACTTTTATCAGGTTTTACATAATAGTCAATAATATTGAATTTATGGTATATATATAGTATTGTTATATTTTAGGCGCAATGGGATGATTATGTGCCCAAACTATACGAACAATTGAGTGGAGACTAATAAACATGAAAATAAGTTTAAAAAATTTCGTTTTATTGAATATAATAATGCATTCAGTAATTTGTACCCAAATATATAATTAAAACTAATGCAAAAAAATGATTTAAAACTTTTAGGAGTCATATTAAATGAATAAAGTTTGTTTTTGTGCTAATTTTGAACATTTGTCTTATTTGTGTGATTTTTGTATAAAAAGATTAAATTTTACCAAATATATAAACATTCGTTATAATTATTCAAATTTAAAAGTATAGAGAAAAATATAAACGATATATAATTTATGTTAAATTCAATTAATGTAAAAATTAACATTTTCTTCAACAATAGCGTAAATCGATAACATTTTATGTTAAATTCTCAAAAAATTGAATAAATGAATATAATATAATAATAGATGTAATAATAGATGAAATATTAATTTAATCAAATAAATGGTTATTCTTTACAAATCATTCAATGATTTGTTTCTAGTTTTCACTCTTAGTTAATGAATCGATGTTTTCTAACAAAGAGTTAGATAACTCTAACTTGACTTCAGTATTGTTGTCTTCATGAATGTCACTAATGGACTCATTCCTCATCATTTCAATATCGTCCGTTTTTTGCTTAATAATACATCCATCGATATCATCGGTCGAATGATCAGAACAAACAAGTCCTCCGTCGGGTAATTGCTGTAATTAAAACATTATGTTTAAAGTTATAATATTGTAATAAGTAATATAAAAATCAATAGAAAATACCGTTAATTTAGAAGGAATTGCGTGCTCTTTGCATAAAGAGTTTGGACAGAACTCGCAGAGAGCAGTGGCTGCTTTACCGCAAGTGTCGCAAAAATGTCGCGGACACTCCCACTTGCCTTTCGGTATTGTTTGCAATTTAAGACATTCCAAGTGATATGATTTTGGACATCCTTTACGATCACACATAACAAGATCTCCTCCCTCTCCACAAGAAAAGCAGTCGTCGTCATGCATTCGACTAAAATCTTTCTTTGAGGTCTCGTTTTTCTTCTTTTTCTTTTTACTGTTTTGACCATTCGATGCATTCTTTTTGTTGTGATTTTCTTCAACCTTAGGCCGCACTCCAATAAATCCGGAACAGTTAGCCGATCCGCAAACACATTTAGTTTTTTCATTTCCGCGACAATCAAGATTATAGTTGAATGTTAGCTCAGTTCCGGCAGAAATGTCACAAACAGCGAATAGTCCTACACGTGTGGCTCCGTTAACCATCCATTTCTGAGTCTCACAATTTGGTTGACACGAGTGGTTCATAAAACGAGCCAAATTGCCTTTAGGACCGGCGTCTATAATGTTATCCTTATCTATTGTCAAGAAGTAGAAATTTGACTCATTGTTTGTAGCCATCTCTTTAAGTCGTCGTTCACACTCGTCTTCGTCGATCAGTTCTCCGACATATTCGATGACAAACTGTCCTTTTTTTATGTCTTCAAGTGTTCGAAGACCCCAACCGGCAGATAAAATGGTTTTAAAAGGTTTAGTCAAAGCGTATTCACGTTTCTTAAATCTTTGATTTTTGCATTTATCTCCAGAATGGCATAGTTTGGGATCGCATTCAACCATAAGAGCTCTATTAATACAAGTATCGTCACTACAAGAGATGTCATTCTTGACTTTGCATTCACACAAACTTATCTGCGATTCGTCTGTATTTGCAATTTGGACTTTAGGTCCGACGCCTTTATTAGACTATAATATCAATTATTAGTTAAATTAATTCAAAGTTAATGTTAATCCACTCAAAACGTACTCTAATGTGTTGATATGGCGGAGGTTTATTGATAACCATTGCTTGTCTGAAAGCTATTTTTGACTCTTGCCATATCTTAAAATTCTCGGCCGCTTCCTCAGTGGCTATTGATATGATAACAATAAATTAATTTAAAATAATATAATCTATAATTAAATATTATAATACCTAATTTAAATGTCTTTAATATAGAATTACTACTCTTTTTGCCGCCACTATTGGCGGCCACTACTTTGTTGTCTCCTTCCATAAACAAGAAAACCCGTCCTCTATGTACCCAATAGTAATCATGTGATCCAAAAAAATAGACGGGAAATTCTCCGACTCCATGGGGCAGTTTCATGACGTTATCGGGCACTTGTTTTGGATGACATACTTTTCCCGGCCACCATCTGTAAAATCCAAGTTTAACCCAAACTATGTCTCCATAATGTAATGGTTTTCGAGCGGTACAATCGGTACAATAAAAGTTGGAATCGGGATCCACATTATAGTCCAAACAATTCTGATGAAATGCGGCGGGACATGACTCACAACATACAAGTTGTCCACCTTTTTCAACATTTTTTTAATTTACATTATTTACATAATTAGTTAAATAATACAACACTTACCAGTTAGACATGAGAAGCAATAGTTGACATTAACGTGTCTGTCTTTCTTTCTCTTTTCAAAATGGTCGGGACATATGACATAATTTTGTGACACCTGAACAGTTCCGGCAGCGATACAGTAATCTCCCAAATGATAAGCAGTGGGACAGGAGATGCACTTAACTAGACGTCGACGACTCGGACGGAATTGTTTATCATTTTGACTTTCAATGTGACAATTAAGGCAAAAATGAAGCGGACAAACAAAACTATCTTTTGTGTCATTCATTTTAACGGGAAATCCCTTTTCCAAACAACTTAAGTGATAATATTTACCACATTTCATATCATTACACTTTTGAGGACACTTTTCTTCTTTCATTTCATCACTTTTGCAAACATAACATTTGTGTTTTCCTAAAAAAATAATTAAATATATAGCGGTATGTATTTTACTTAATAAAATGGATTTGATAAACAAATTTAAACAACAATATTATATATTATACTGTATATTACATTTGTATAGTACAATGTATTACTATTGTATAATACGTTATAATTTAGTATAATATGAATCATATTAGTTATTAAGTGTAATAAGTTTAAATAATTAGCAGATTATGTCCATCTAATAATTAGTTTTATAAATCTTGATATTTAAGTAAAACTATAATTATTTTTTATATTAATATAATTTAGTTATATATCAAACCTGTTTCACATTCAGAGCATTTATATTGATTGTCGATTCCTTCATAATTAATACATTTCTTATGAAACATTTGAAAGCAATTTCCTTGACATGCAATCAATGTGTCCGAGCCTTCAGAGTCATTACAAATGACACAAAACTTATCAAAACCACTCTTGACTCCGTCGACAGCTTCAGGTTCTGATGTGGAACTGGTGTCTTCACTGCTCGCAAATTCATCCAAATAATCGATACCGAAGTGAACGAGAGACTGATCGGTAATCTGTGAACAACTTTTCTCGAAAACTCCATTTTCTTCAACCGATGATTTTGATAATTTTGTCGGTGACTTCTTAACAACTTTCGGACTCTTCTTTTTTTGTGATCCTTTAATTTCCTGGCTTTTCACAGAATTTAAATCTTTTTTAGAAAAACAATTTACGTTATTATCATCTGATTTTGTAATGCTTTTTGTCGATCTTTTTATAGGTGTTTCAGAAATCACTAGATTTCCTTCGCTATCACTTTCATATTCAATACTTTTATTTAAAGTTTGCTTTAATTTTCGATTGTCTTTAGTTTTAGATTTTGATGAAACAGTAGATTTAGGAGTCGTTTCAGATTTAGGGGTTTGATTTTGGGTTATATTTTCGGTTGAATGGGTTATTGCAGTATACTTTCGGTCGGTATAAAGTGCTCTGAGATCTTCTCCGAGTAAATCCCATCTTCTTTTAAGCATATCTTCGATTTCTTTTCGATTTGCGTCAGGATTTTCAGTTTCCATTGACTTATAATGTCGTTCGACATAAATAGCAAAGTCTCCCTTTTGGACTCTCTTTCTCCACATAAGTCCAGGAGTTGTTTGTAAGACATTGACTGACGCCTCGTCGTCATCGAAGTCATATACATCTTCTGGAGACGAATTATGTTTTTTCCGTTTCAAATTGAACTCTCCATCACTCAAACCATCTGATTTTCGTCTCAAATTTGTTTTAGAAGTAAGAATATAATCGAAAGTAAGACTTCTTACTCTACTATCTCTATCCATTTTGGCTGCTTCTTCGGCCTCATCAACTGATTGATCCCATTGTTTTTTAAGACTTGGTTTAATTGCATATTTGGCAGCAATTTTAGCTGACTGTGCTTTTGGTGAACTTTCTTTCAAAGTTTCTAATTTTAGTAAATATGAATCTCTTCCTTCAAAAGGCATCACTTGTCCAATAGAAGTCCATCCTCTAAGTGCTTGTGGACCAAAATATTGGACGTGATATATTCGTCCTGATTTAATACCAGCTCCTAAATTAAAATTAATATTTAGTTAATCTTATAAATAAATAATAAATAAATAGTATTAACCAGAAATTTTTGAATATAAAGCATAAATTGGATCCAGAGATATCATACACGGCCACCACGGATATCCCGACACTTTCGCCCAAATAAGATCTCCAACACAATAATCCCCTTCTTGTTGAGGAATTGTTAGCAGAACCGATCGGTTGACAATTGTTGCGGAAGAATCACCAGTCAATTCAATACATTTCTTTTGATTTATCAGTTGTTTATTTGTATTATTTGTTTGTTTCTTTACAGATGTCTGAGAAGGTGTCAAAGTTTTCGTATTATTATCGTTTGGTTTGCCTTTTATTTGATCGATAACTGAATCCAATTTATTTGACTTTTTCTTTCTTGGACTTTCTCGCGGTGACACTGATATTCTTCTCTTAGACTTTCTTAAAGTTGATTCTTCAGAAGTCAATTCACTTGATTTACTGTCTTTCTCTTCATTTCTTTTACTTCTTCTTCTATTATCATCCGCTTTAACCGGTGAACTAACAACAGGAGTATCACTACTATTCTTTAGAGATGATCTCCTCTTGACTTCAAAAGTAATCATTTCAGGGTTCGGTGTCTTTGCCTTTTGAAGTCTTCCGTAACGACTTCTTGTGAGTCTATGTTCTGAGTTCTGTTCGCTCTCATTGTTGTTGTTATTCGTGTTATCTGTCGGTGTATTAGTCAGTTCAGCAACACTTCGTCTTTTTCTCGTTGCTTTAGGAGTTTGCGGAACTGTTTGATCGACATTTGACTGATCAGTTGTTGTGTCCTCCTCTTCATTAATTGTTCCTTCTTGAGGTTTATGACCATTAGTTACCTCTCCATCAATTATACCGTTTTCATTAGATTTGATATGAGATGTCGGTTCAATGTTTAGTGAATCAATTTGTTTGTCGATAACATTGAGCTCAATGTCACTCTTTTTAAGCACCGGTTCGTCGTCAACAACCTTAGAGTCCATTATCTGAATCTCTTGTTTATCGCAATCATTATTGAGTACATGATTGGTATCATCGATAGTATTGGTGGTGATATCCATTTGAGTAAAACTGTGGTCAAATTAATCATTCAATGCAAAGTACGGTCACACTGTGCCATCACTTACATGGATGTGTTGATCAACAGTTAAAACAGGTAACGATCTGCTTATAAGTGATGCACTCAACGGTCAATCAAATGAGTAATTCAACCGACAATACCTTAAGAGTCAATTTGTTTGGACGACCAACACATCAATTGATTAAAACGATGGACACAAGTGATGACACTATGAGACCATTAAATGGTGTTTAAGAGGATTACAAACAATCATAACATTAGAGTAGATATAATGTAAGCAAATGTGACACAAATGAGACTCAATTCAAACACTGTTTGCCATAAAAGCGGACAAAAGGGGCAAACAGTCATTCATTGAGTTACAGTCATAACAGTATACATACTATTGAATACACTATTGATTATACAGTGTAGACATTCAACACATAATTATAACACATTTATTACTTTTATTACTGTTTTCACCAAAATTACGGATAATGTGTACCAATAGAGACAAACTTAACACAAGGTTTGCATTCAATTATTATTATTTTAATCATAATTTATATCATTATTAATATCAATGGTATCTAATATACACCAGTTATAAGAGTTATGCAAATACTATATAAGAGCCGGCATTTTAGCAAAACTTTGATTAGGATATAACATATCATAAGATATAATACTGTATATAATATATAGACTTATTTTGCATTATATTTATTGTTATATTTATAATTTTTATTAAAATTAACAATTATTATATTATGTATTAAATGTTAATTTTGTTGATAAGTGCAGAGTTGGGATCAAACCAGGAGATGGTATCCGATCTTTGGACTCGTCTAGTATTTTCCGAGTGGCCAACTTTGAATTGTTTGTAAAACCGGTCAGTTAGTAGTTTTGTTTAAGTATGTCTTGAATAATCATTTATTAATATACAGAACAAGTATGTGATGGGCGCCGGTATTTGTGCTGTAACTCTATGTATCGGTTATTTTGTTTATATCAATCATCAAATCAGATCAAATCCATCAACTTATGTGGCACTCAATGAAGATAATACACAAGTAATACGCGACAAGAAATCCAAATGGAGTTGAAGTCAAAGTCAATCCAATGGTGATATCAAAGATAATTCAATAGTTATTTTCTATAATTATTGTACAATAATTTAGTTATTCTGTATATTATTTTGTTGTTTTACTCATAACTTAAGTCAATAAAAACTAATAAAGTATTAAATAAATTCATTTATTTTAATCACACAAATATTAAGACCAACACTCATATTGTAGTCTTCCTCTTAGTTCCAAATTATTGACAATTTGTTGGATCTTATCGTTATCTAACTGTTCATTAAAATGACTTTTGAAAATATCACAAATACTTTGTCTAACTTGTTGTGGCATTTGTTTTGCATTTCCCGCCACATAAATAACAGCACTCTTATCGGTAATCAAATTAAAAATAAGATCTTTTTGTTGCGAGAGTTTGTGTTGGACATAGACTTTGGTATCGGTATCTCTAGAAAAGGCTACAAAAAAGTTCAAAAATCCCATTTCATTGTATTGTTTCCATTCGTTCTCAAAATAAAAGTCTGATTTTTTGTAACGACATCCGAAAAATAGATAGTTATCTGTGACCTGTCTATTGACTCGATCTTCAATGAAAGCCCGAAATGGCGCCACACCTGTTCCCGGGCCTATCATTATAATTGGTTTGTTATCGGTTACAATCTTAAAATTACTTTTTTTTATATAAATAGCAACACAACTATCCTCTGATGGTAACTGAATGGCCAACCAATTAGAGCAAAGTCCATATCGTAAGTCTTTAAGTCGAGTCTTATAACTAACGACAGCAACTAATAAATGTAATTCATTTGGTCGTACATTAAGTGATGAAGCGATGGAATAATATCGCGGATTAATGGCTGGAATTAAATCAAAAATATATTCAAATTTGATTCGAGCCGTTGTGTGAGGAAAGTCTTGAAGCACTTCCAGAATAGACCGTTTCGGACGATTGCAGTACTCGTATAAGTCATCCAATGAATCACTTTTTGCAAATTCTTTAAGTTTTTGTTTTTCTAATTCAAAATCACTGAATCTGTAAAAGAGTTGGAAAAAAGAGCGCTTTGGGACCGACTGAATGTCCAAATATTCGGTAACCAATGTTAACACCGAACAAGGTTTCGGTAGGTTATTGTAATATGACTTTCTATTAATCCAATTGTGAGGATTTGCATCCAAAACAAAATATTCATTTTCATCTAAATTAAGAAGTGATATAAACTTTTGTACATTTTCTTTACTATTTTGAGGTTTAATACAACAAACGTCTCCTAAACTATAATTTAATTGTTTGTCATTTATTCCAAGTTTTATAAGTCTTACGTCTTGAAAGTGATCTTTGGCTGTAATTCTCTCATTTGATAAAACTTTAGCCAAATATGGATTGTGTTTATCAAATGGACTGCTCTTATAATTAGTTATTTCATTTTGTCTGTCATTTTCATTGACATATTTAACACTAAAACTAGAAGTAAAAAGTTGATCCAAATCTTGAGTTAGTGAGAGGTTCTCAAAGTTGTTGATAATTGAATAAAAGTCAAACACTTTGTCCCAAAAAATTGACAAAAAAGGATCTATCGTTGCATTTGGTCCGCACTCGTGCTGATCATCACCTAAGACCAAATCAGTTAATGGTTTTGCACCCAAACATAACAACCTTTTGTGTAACTTTTTGGCCACAAAATTATACTTTGAATACGAAGAGTCACCTAAACCTATAACTGATACATAAACTGAAGACAATGAGTCATTCGGTAGATCTCTTCGGCGAATAAATGCCCAAAAATTCTTCATATTATTTGGTTCTTCGCCCACACCTGTTGTTGAACAGACAAATAATACTAACTTTTGGTCAATCAGTTGTGAGACATCATAATCATCGCACTCCAAGACATTGCAGTCAATGCCTCTATTGATTGCCTCTCGACCTATGCTTTTGGCCAACTCTTCACAATTTCCTGTTTCTGAACCGTAAAGTATTAACAAATGATACACTTCTTGTGTTAATACCATTGTTATCATAAATATTTACTAAATATAACCAAATATAACTAAATATAATTAAATATAATTAAATATAATTAAATATAATTAAATATATTCAAAAATAATCTAAAATAATCTAAAATAATCTAAAATAATCTAAAATAATCTAAAATAATCATGGTCATTTATACAATATTATTTAAATTTACATTTACGTACACAACATGTGTAGTACTATTATGTATCAAATGTTTCCATTATCAGTATATACTGTACGGTACTGTAGTTAGAGTTCGGGCAAGAGAGAGGAAAATTCCATAATAAATTCCCTCCTATTTCCCATGAAAATAGGAAAAATATTATATTTAAGTATAAATTATACGTGTATATACTATATAGTATATACAGTATTATATACTATTTATTATACAAATTATTAATATAATACAATATTATTTTGTATTTTATGAGTTGAGTCACTTGATATACTTTAATGTATGTAACTAATTGGGTGTAAATATTATTTGTAATTAAATTTAATCTTATCTAAAGTTTAAAAATTGAAAATATATTTTATTAAATATATTTAATAAATAGTGTACTTTTAGTAACTAAATATTTGTATTAATAGAATATATAAACAAATAAAATAAATATTTTAATATATTCTGTTAATTCAAATCGATTACAAATACTGTATTGAATATTGAATATCTTATTTGATTTATATTAATAGATATAAATATTTATAGATATTTTAGATATTACTTTAATAAAAAGATTACATTTTACATTATAATTTATATTCATGTATTTAAAGGAAACAATTAACACTTAATGTTGTTTTATTATTTATTATTATTTATTTATTTATGGTATGATATATGGTATATTAATATTTATATTATTGATTGTATTATACAAACTTAAATTACTATAATTATAAATTGAATGTGTGGTTAAAAATTAATAATATATTTATTAATATTTATATTAATATTAAACTATAATTCTTTATCATTATATGTTTGTACATCTGTTTTTAAATTTAATATTACAAACAACCAAAAATAATTATAAAATACAAAGTGATAAATATTTATATTCATTATTACATAATGTACTGTATAGTAGATAATTGATACCAAAATTGACTGTTTTGTGAACTTTAATTTAAATTAAAAATGTATACAAAAATTATAATTCTGTAATAAATGATACGTAACTTTAATACATAACATTATTTTAATACATTTATAGTAAAATTTATTGACATTTAATTAAAATCAAGTCGTTAAAAGTAATTAATGAAAATATTACTATAATTTAATGTATTTGTGTTATTGAAATATATAACTAAAGTCAGAGTAATTTAAACTTATTAATCAATTAAGATATTTTTATACTGTATATCAGATATTTTCTCTTTTGAATATTTTATAATTAATAGTTTTATTCAAACTATAAAATATATTATTATTGCTTTATTTTAGTTTAAGGTTTAGTTTTTAAAAGTTGTATTTAACTATCAATTGATTATTCAAATATCTTCATTGAATTCAATATACATTATATTTAATTAATTGTTTTAAGAAATATCTTCATTAATGGCATTAAATTCGGCGTCAGTTTTATTACCAGTTCTTCTGTTGTTTGGTTTAAGTGGAGCTTTGATTTATGCCATAAGTCGTAAAAAACGTGATTATAAAGAAGTGGCAAAAGTAATTAAATTAATTATATATCCAATCAAATCACTTCCCGGTATTGAAGTAAATGAGGTGACAATTACAAAAAGTGGCCTTAAGTCGGGTCCGGTTAGAGACAGGTCCAGTATTTTTACATTGACTTATATTTTGTGTTATTAAACACATTTATTAAAATGATAATAAAAATGAAAATAAAATTACTTTAAAGGATGTGGATATTGATTACAAAAGAAAACAGATTTATTACACAAAGAATCGAACCATCTTTAGCTTTATTGAGACAAAGTATACACCAAAATGAGATTTGGATCGACGGACCAGATATGCCAACACTTAAACTGAAGATTGAGACTCAAAGACAATCTCAAGACATTATCTTACAAACTAAGTATTGGTTTTATCATTGGTATTGATATTTCTTAAAGGATTTTGTTGTTATCCAGAGTGTGGAACCAAGCTATCGACGGTTTATATTGTGGTAAAGAAGCTGAGGAATGGTTTTCAAAATATTTAAATAAACCAAATACTAAACTAATACAACACATACCTGAATGCGGTTTAAGAAATAGTAGTTTAGAAAGAAATGATAAAGTGATTCAATCAAACAAATACCCGGTCTGTGAAATAATTATAAAATATATTTTGATATATATATATATAATTGATAATAATTATGATTTAATAGATAACTTACCATGATGGATCACCTGTTCTTGTTATTAATCAAAATTCTATCACTAATTTAAACAATAAACTATCGAATGAATGTCAAGTGAGTTACAGAAACTTTAGACCAAACATTTTGATCACAGATTGTGAACCTCATGAAGAAGACAATTGGAAATATATGAAAATCAAAGACATTGAGTTTGTCGGTCTTAAGCCATGTGATAGATGTGTATTGACTACAATAAATCCAGACACTGGTATTAAAATGGATTCTGAACCTATCAACACTTTGAAAACGTATGTCATATTAAGTAATCTAAATTATATTTAAGTTATATTAATTATAGCAAGTTATCAATTTATTATTATATCAATTGTCACTTATTTTTTACAATTTTTAATATATTATTATAGAAAACCTATCAAATAAAATAACTTTTATATAGTCTATAATATAGAGTCTATATTAAGTAAAAAGTATATATTTTAAAGTTTTTGAGTGATATTCGATATACTGGTAATTATTAGTTGGAAAATTCTAATGCATTGAATTTCATTCAAATCATTACTTATTTACTGTACAGTAGTTTTAAAATCTTAGTTTTAATTCATATCACTTAACAATTTACTTATATATTATGATTTATAAATATATTAATACTGTATTATAGATATCGATTGGCTAATGAAAAAGTTCGCAAATATTACGGAACATCTCCTTTGTTTGGTATGAACTTCGCTCCAGAAAAAGAGGGACATATATATTGTGATGATATCATTGAAGCTGTCGTTAATCAAAATAATTAAACTTAAATTTATTGTTTTATTTAAATAAAACTTAACAAAAATAACAAAACAATTATTAACAATATTAGTTAACTTTTGAAAAAGTCATTTAAAAAATTAGAAATTGATTTAAATTTTTCTGATTTGTCGATTGTGTTGTGTTTATTAATAACATGTATTAAAGGGGTTCCCATTTCTATTGAATTATACAATTTGTCTAATGATTTCTTGTCTAAATCAGAGTCGACTTTGTAAGAGCTGTAAGGCGGAGGTTTGTTGCCGAGTCCTAGAGGACTGTGGGTGAAAATGGACATATGATACAACAAATACTCAGTCAGATACATGATGGCCGGTTGTATGCCATTAAATGTTATGCTAACATCACTACAACATTGAGTACCTTCTGGTTCAAGAAACAGACTGCTTCTCCAATAGGGATTAAAAATTGATATCATTCCCGGAATCAGTTGTTTTTCTGGTGGAAATGAGTGAAATCGTCCTCTATTTCTTGAGTCACGGGTATCAACTGGATTAGCTCCAAAATGACTTAAAATGATAGCCAGTGATACTTGAAAATTTGATGAAACACTTGGGATGCCTTTAATGTATGTTAAGTTGCAAACACTATAATTAGAAAAAACATTTTTGATGACCTGAGCGGCGCCTTTACTCAAGACAATACCCGCATCGGCCGAATTGTAAACTCCAGTAAAATAATGTTTGACAGCACGACCTAAATAATAGACATGACTAGAGTTAAGGGGTGCCACATATTGTCTCAGATTCTCTATCACTGCATATGTATCGTCGTATGCAATCAAAAGCCAATCAAATTGACCACAAAATTGATGCCAAGTAGTGATGAAAGAATAACAAAAAGACGAGTGACTACTTGTTGGCGGATATTTCATGACTGGTATCTTGTGGTCTGAAAATGATCCGAAAAATATTACATCATTACAATGGTTAGCCCACGTGAGGCGCACCGCCTGAGAACCCTTTCTTGATTTGCTTAATACCAAACAAAGTACCCGAACTTTTTTGAACAGATATTCTGATTCAAGCATTACATTCCTCTGGTTTTTGTCCAATAATTCAAATTTGACGAACTCTTCTGAAAGAATTTGTCTTTTAATAGACTTTTGTTTTAACCAATCGTTATAATTAGTATCTTTAAGGCGACCATATATATGATTTTGATAACTCTGTACTTCAACTATGGTTTGCTCGTAATTCCTCCAAATGATTGCAATTATCATTCCCGAGACCACTGAACATAGTAGTGGTATAAGTTTAATCATTCCTCTACTTAGTAAAGTCATTGATAATTAGTTGAATTTGATTATCACTACCAGTAATCAAATGATATAAAACACTAAATTATAGTAATATTACATTTTTATTTAAACAATTTAATTTATTACAAAACTAAAATCACGCAAACAGTTGCATAGATAAAGGGATTTTAAAATGTTTTTAAAGTGTATATAAAAGAAGCATTCATTTTGATGAAAACTTGGTATTTGAGAGCAGTAAAACTTGTTTAAGACTACTATACCTACCATTGGTTGCAATATTATACTTGAAAATATTTAATACTAAGTTTAACTAAATTATCAAAAATACAATTTATTTAAAATTATAAAAATTAATTATATTTCAAAAAGACTTTTTAACTCTTTGTGGCAAAAGGCTGTCCTTTGCGTAATTAAATAATGACAACAAACCATATTTTTTTGCTCTCCGAGAAAAATAATGAGAAACGACATCACTTTCCTCTATAATATCAAATTATTAGATTAAATGTGAGAAAATGTATAGTAAGAGACAGTACCTGACAATAATGGTCGCGACTCTGCAACTGTCGGCAACACATTCTCATTGGCAGACAATGAGATGAAGAGTGCCTTAATATGATTTAATTATGTATTTAATTTGCATTTTATATACAATATATTTTAATATTCATAATACTGTACTTACAAATGGTATGAACCATAAACAAAGTGTAAAAAAAGCCAATACCTTTAAATTGATTAAAATAATTTTTATCATATATTGTATATAAAAAATGATAACATTTACTGAAATACCTGAGTAAACGGGTAATAGACGGTTGAAAAGTATGAAAATGCAAAATAATGGTTAACTAATAGAAGAACTAAAAAAGATAATCATTAGATATATTTATTATTATTATTATTATCATATCATAATCACAATCACTAACCAATTGATGATATAAATGGTACTGAAGTGAAGTTAAAATACGGGAAACTCCTTAAAAGTATTAAATACATGCAATGACTTAATAATCCCGTTATAATCAATGAGTTGGGAAACTCTTCAAACAGGAAAAGACATAAATATATTGAGAGAGTGGTCTGTAATCAAATATATCATACAATTAGTGATAAGTAATAAAATCAAATAAAATGATAAAAACTAAACCAAAATCATATATTTGATGACTTTTGCCGACACAACGCTATACTCTTCGACCAATTCGGCCAAATAATACAAACCCGAAGCTATCAAATTATAATCAATACATCATTTTTTTGTTAATACAAACATTACTTATTACTTACCGACGGATAGTATGATAAACATTAGTTGCACTGATGGCCAACATATCAGTAATCAAATTAATAAATTATCAAATCAAGTGTTTAATTCATTATCAAATGTAATCATTACCTAACAGTGCAAACCATGTGAGGACTACCAGAAACCACATGGATATCAACTAAACTCACATTAGTTGACATTCAAACTGTTTTCAAACATTCATTAAAATCGCTTTTAATATATGAATATTAAATAAAATATTATAAATTATAACAATTTATTAACAATTCATTCACTAATACGTTATATGTATTATATCTATCATATGGTTAACAGTGACGTCAATGTACAGTACAATACAGTGTATAGTATTAATACATTTAACTAACAAATTTGAAAGTTATTTTAATAATTAATATAATTGTTAACATTTTATTGTATAATACTTATTGTAAACATATATTATTTACTAATTATTTTGTCATTAATTTTAAATGTAATTTAATAAACTTAGTAAATATTAATTAATATAATTTTTTTTTTAAAAAACAATTCAATAGTTTTATGTTAAGTATAGCAACCAATAGATGTCTTAAGTATACAATTGAGTGCTTTATGTTTACATTGGATTACGTGTTATTTTGTTTACATTTTAATTATTCAATATTTTTAAGTAAATTGTAATTAACTGTTAAATTGTTTTTATTTATAAGTGTTTATTTATTAGACATTACAAATAAATCAATGAAATATTAATGTTAACTAATTGTAATTAAAACCATCAAATATTAACTAACGATTGATGAAATGGGAGCCAATATGAGTGCAAATCATAATCAACCAAATGGTAAATATATGACATTAATTGCAATTAATATTATATAATAATATAAATTAGTCTATTGTTAGATATAATTGTATATAATTTATACATTAACTAAACATAACTAAATCTGAGACGATATCTAACATAAAAAGTTATTATTTGATTTTTATGTGATATTATTATTCACACAGAGATTTTAATATTAAAATATTACTTTAATTTAAATTAATAATAAATTTTAATTTGATAGTTAAATGCAGGACTACTTTACAAGTCTGGGTAATGCAACGATAAATTGTTTATATAATATATACACTATATTATACATTACAGTAAATTTAATTCATTATAACATACATTAAATGCTGAAATACAGCGATAGCTTTCTATTGTTAAGAGTTTATTAATTGTTTGTATTTTATACTAATTTAGTTTTATTGATTGAATTATAATAATTCATTATAATTAGGTTCAGATTGAAAGGCATATATCAGGTTATGTAAAGCGGACAACACTAATATTGTCAGTAAAGTTTTTGGGGTAGAATTGTGGGTGGGGGGGGGCTCTGAGGGCTGTTAAAGTAACTTTAATTTTAGTGATTGTATAAATATATATATACTGTATATATCATTGTTTTTAAATAATTTAATTGCAATATCCAGACTATAATGAGACTTAAATGCAATATTAATATATGATGTGTTTTATATACAAATATATTTAAATAAGTTTGTAATTATGTAATTAAATAATTATGTAAAAATAAGTTTTCACTCTTTAACTATACAGTAATATAATAAATTACGGTAAGTAAACACTAAAACCTAAACTTATATTTTAGGTGAAAATTTTTTGATACATAGAAATATATAAAATGAGTAAATAGTGTGATTTATTATTAATAATTTGAGTTAAAGTAAATGTATTTAATAATTGTTATTAAACAATGCAATACAATGAATATATAATTTATAAAAATGCAAATTATTTATAATTATTTAAATTATTGGAAATTGAGTGTTGAAATCATGCTTTATGTATAATATACCTTAAGTAGTATATCGTAAAACTATTGTCAATTAATTTATTATTATTATCAGTTAATTTATATTAACTATAGATATATTATATTTAAATGTTTAAGAAATTAGAAATTACATCAAATTATGTCACACAAAAGATTCACAAATAATTTTATTGTTATATATATATATACAAAATATAAGCAAAAGTGTGGGGTAAAGGCATTATACCTCCACTTTGTTGACATTGAAAATAAAGACAAATTAAAATTTCACAAAATAATTGCTAATTAATTTTTTACTATAATTTTATAACTTATTTGAATCAAATTATTTACTTTACAATACTGTATAACAATTATATAACGTTAATTATTTTTATATTAAATACTTTTTATAAATTCATATATTAGTCCAAAAATGTAGTCCAAATATATTGTTATATACTGTATTTATTATACAAACTTGTCCGACCCTTAAACATATACATTATATATACTGTACTGTATATAAATTTATATACTGTATTAATATTATGCATAATACCGTATAATATAAAATATAATTTTAGGATTTTTTGCGAATAATTTCATTAAGTGAATGTTGGTAAAAGTTGTATTAATTTATAATATAATTAAAAATAATTAAAAGATATTTAATTAGCAAACAATTTTTGATCATTTATATTGGTAAGAATTATGGAAATTTTTTATTAATAATTGATTTAAAGTATACTCAAAAAGGATATTAATACCAAAATAATTATATAAATTGATTATTTTATGGAAAGATATTCTTTAACATAATTTGTTTCTTTTATTGTTCATAAAATAAAAACTTAATATTAATTATAAATTTTATATAATTGTTTTAATAAGTATTGGTTAACTCCTTTGAACAAATAAGTTCATTCAATTAATTAACTCATTAGTCATTACTTTTTTCACACAATCACTAACTAACTAATACAGTATACTATTGATTAGATTGAAAATTATAAGTTAATTAAATTAAATCCTTTATATATTTTTAAGGTTAATTACTAACAAATAGTTTTTGGTGAACTTTTTAGTATTTTTAAATACATTTTACAAAATAATAATAACTGTTGAGAAAAATATGATGAATATTGAGTATTTACTAATAAGAAAAATGTATTGATTGTGTATAATATTATTAATAAACTTATTGTGTTATATGTTTATATCGACAAATTAGATGATGTGTACAATATGTGAAATGTTTAATAAGTACAATGAATAGTATAGTTATAACTTATAAGGCATAGGATGTGAGTTAAACTTATATGTGTTACGATTGGATCTCAAAGTTTGAATATATGAATAGTTTGACAGGAAATGTATGTCCGGATGAGGAGATGGGGAACTTTGAAGTTAGGCTTAATTTAGTATTCAATTTTGTTTGTTGAATATGTATAGTGTTGTTAGCTTTTTAGTCTAAGCACTCGTATAGGTCCTACAGGTACTGGTCTTGTATCGCGTGTCTGACACGCGTCACACGTGCCACACGTCTGGCTCTTTAGAATTACAACTAAACAGCAGATGTTAAATGATGTCAATTATAGTTAGCTTTACTTTATTCAGCAAACAATGCTTTAGACTAACAGTTGGTCCAAACTTTGCATCTGTCTTAGCATTTGCTTCATCTGCCTCTCCATATCATAAACTATACTACTATACACTGTATAACCAAATCATAATACAATCTTTTATACATTATATTCTCTATATTTATCACTACATATTAGTACTATAGTATACAGTACTAGAGTATATATACTCTATATATTAAGTTAATATATTATTATAAATTTAATACAATTTTAATAACTTTTAGAGCAAATCATGAAAATTAGTTATTTATTTTGTTTTATATTATTTCCTAAATTATTATACAGTATTTAAACATTTTTATATTTACAATATATTGCTCCAATAAGTAAAATCATTACCTATAACTTAATACAGTATATAATATTATTATTAGTTATTTGATTGAAAAATTATATGCTTATATGTATAGAATTTATAGAATATATGGAGAATTAATATTGAAAATTATCATATGATATGATATCTGATTGAATTATATAATTCATTTTACTTTTTTGCATTTAATCTTAATTATATTTGATAGCATTTGAAAGTAAATGCTATATTTTTAAAAGTCCAAACATACATATGGTATATGATTTACAATAAGTCGGAATAAATAATAGTAAGGGATATGCGTTAGCTTTAGACTGTATTTTCATTTACATGTTAAGGACATCCCATCACAGGTGTGGGCACTCGACTCGCAAACAGTGTTATAATAGTAGTGTATTTGAGAGAGTGTTCATTCATTTGTCGATAAGCTTTGGTCGCAGAAAGTTATATACGTTTATGGTTTGACTGTTTCACTATAATATATAAGTATTTATAAGTATATAATAATATTAATAACTGTAAACTACTATCACTTAAATATTATTTTGTGAATAAAAAATAAATTGAATTATTTTATAATTTGTTAATAAAGTAATAATAATAAGTGATATAATACTGTATATCTTTGATGAATTTTTATTGACTAGTGTTGAGACAATTGTTAATAGTATTCAAACGAGACTTTTTTGTTTGTGTGTCTCATTTGAAGTAAACGAAGAATTGGTAAAAAGCGGTGAATCACTTGAGTTGATATTTGTCGGTAACAATCATAACAGCACAGGGATGTGGACAACTCCCTTCCCATCCTTATAGACGACTTCCGCTTCTTTTTAAGTATCTGACCCGTCCTTCCCGTACTACTAATTCATTGAAAAGTCAAAAGAGCTAAATATACAGCAATACGATGGGTGTGTGACTTCCGCTTAGACATTGATTTCAATAGCAGTGCTCTATTGCTGGCCTATTGCTTGGGTGCACCCAATCTGCGATATATATATATACCCAACAGTTCTCACAAAACTGAAGGACAGTAGACTTTGTGTGTCGAATAACTCAACGACTCATATATTTGTGTTATATTTATAATTAATTTTTCGTTAATCAAAACAATATGAAAATATTAAAGAGAATTAAAAGAATTGGTATGTTTTGTAAAACTATTTAATTTACTATAATTTTTATTTTTTTTATTATAATTATTATTATTTTATTAATAATATAAATTGATTCAAATATTTATTTTCTATACTACACTACATTAAATATGTCATGATTTTTTGTACTAATAATAATTTATATATTATCATATAATTATAGTATTTTACTAATATATTTATATATTAAAGTTAGTAATTTTGGTAAATTTATATTTATTTATTGAATAAATTAAAAGTTGTCTACGAAAATCAATCGATATGTTTTTGTGTACTATTTGTGATTTATAAAATATGAAATTATTAATGTTTTTATCAGTATTTTTTCATTACATTTAATTATAACATCTTTAAATATAAGCACAAAATCATTTACAAACAAATAAAAAATTAATACTATTTATTATATGATGAAACAATCGTATAATAAAATGTATTAATTTTTTGTTTGTTTGTAAATGATTTTGTGTTTATAATAATATAATATGAATAAGTGACTAAAATCAGAAATATTGTATTAATATTGTATTAAAGTTTATTTTATACACATATAAGAAATTGATATATTTTGATGAATCATTTGACATGAAATTTGTGAATAATAATAATAATAACTATATTATCTATATGTTTGAACAGCTTGTTCACCGAAACTGCGAGGACATCATGAGTCGGGAACAAACAATTTACCGCCCATTTTGTTTCACTCGATTCACGGCGAGAACGTCCGTATTTCTCCTGACTGTACAGTCGCTCAAAGAAGTGATAGCTTCTGCAAAGGCATTTGCTTCAGCAACCGTCCCATTCGTGTCAATGAAAGAGTTTGCATAAAATTTAAAGACATTTCTCAGAGCTGGAGTGGAGCCATACGTTTCGGATTTACATCTAATGATCCCTTAACTTATAGATCAAGTTTACCAAAGTATGTCTGTCCAGACTTAACCAATAAACCGGGCAATTGGGCCAAAGCTTTGGGTGAAAGATTTGCTGTTAAAGACTATATATTATACTTCTATTACAATGAATTGGGTGACGTTCACTATGGCATCAATGGTGAAGAAAGAGGAATTTTCTTCAGTGGTGTTTCTTCCAACTGTTCTCTTTGGGCACTCATTGACATATATGGTAATACTGTTGAGATTGAATCGGTTGATCCTCGACAGCAGATTAGTTGTCGTCGCAATAGCCTTGAAGTCGATACAATTATTCCAAGTCTTTCAACGATTGATATTAATCGAGAAAATCGGGAACCATTGCCTCAGGTTTACAGAGACACTCATTTTCAGTCCTTTCCATTTCATAAAACAAAAGGATGTAATATTAGACTATCAAATGACAGGTGAGACTGAATGACAATCATTTATAACTATTTTTTACTAAATTATTATTTTAAAAAACAGATGTATAGCTGAACGAAATAATAGCCATTATTGTCAGGGATATGTATTCTCTGAAAGGCCATTAAGATTGGGTCAAAAAATGGTTCTTCAAGTGTTACAAACCGATGAATTATATGCCGGAAGTTTAGCCTTTGGGTTAACAACATGTGACCCATCGACTATCAATAGCAATGATTTGCCTGAAGATCCACACCTATTACTCGACAGATCTGAATATTGGGTTGTTGTCAAAGATGTAGCAAATGCTCCTCAAGCTGGTGATGAACTGGCCATCAGAATGACCCAAAATGGTGAAGTCCAGCTCATGAAGAATAGACAACCGGTTCACACACTAATGCACGTCGACTCCACTCAAACAATGTGGCCTTTCTTTGATCTCTACGGCAGTACTATTAAAATGAAAGTTTTGGGTATGTTTTGAATAAATAATTAGTTTAAATCATTTTTCTTATTTAATAAATATATTTAAATTATAGGCATTTGTGATAACGAAACGCCTGAAAACATTGGAAATTCGGCTCAAGTCTGTAATTCACGAAATAATCAACAAATGAGTCGATCTCTTAATACAAACAATAATAATAATAGCAGTAATTTAACTGTAAGAATGCCTAACAATTCTCCCAAATTGACGAATACTAATAATAATAGCAATTCTGGTATGTTTTAAAAATAATCAATAAATTGAATTAAAATTAATAAATTTTAAACTTTATTATTAATAGACTCATTGAATGCAATTGGCAATGAGTGCAATGTTTGCTATGAACAGACAATCAATAGTGTACTTTACACGTGTGGACACGTGTGTATGTGCTATGAATGTGCAGTCAAACAATGGCGAGGACCCGGACAGTGCCCCATATGTAGAGCCACTATCAGAGATGTCATCCGAACCTATTGGTCTTAATTGTTTGCTTATCTCTCAACACTATTCAATCAAATTTTATCAATTTATAAGTTGTGCTTCGAGTCAATAATAATAATAATAATATCTATTTAATTGTTTTATACATTAATTTCATAAATAGAGTTTTTCTTTAAAGAAATTATAATTTTAATATACTATATATTGTTCGCACGTTTTAAGCTTTGTTTTTATTGCTAGTCATTTGTCACAACATTTATTATAAAAATATTTTAATGACAGTTATAAATCTCATTTAATTAAATATTGTTTATATGCTATAATGTGACAAAAATGTTACAATATATTTAAAAAATGATTTATTGAATAAAATCTTTAACATATAAATTGAATAAATTATTATTTGTAAACAAATTGTCTTTTTTGTTTAATTATTATAATTATAATATTTATATTATCAATAATTATTAATTTAGATTAAACAAACAACTATTGGTTCCGATGTTAGACAAAATGGCTAATCCGGAGTTTACGCACATTAAAAAAAATTGATTTTTTTCAACAGATAATTGTTAATTATGATCTAAAAAACATATATCCATCAAAATTATTGCGCGGAAACACCTAAAACCTAACTAAAATCTAATCTAAATACCTGAGCTCTCATAACATAATTCTACACTAATTATAAATAAAATAATATTAAACAAACATAAAGCGCGTGAATATAATTAACATTTATAACATTGATAATAAAATAGTATTATTGTCATTTCTTTAAAATACTTTTAAAAACACTAGTTGTCCACGCGGAACATATAACCATCTAATTTTATAGAATTTATAAATTAATTGAACCACAATAATAATGATTTTAAAACATAAATCGAATATATGAATGTTATTTAACGTGACAAACACTGATTCCGTAACCCAAGTACTGTATAGATTAGGTTAGGTTACCATTGAAAATTAGGTTAGGTTGCGGTTCGAACACCAGGTTAGGTAACGCGACAAACACTGATTCCGTAACCCAAGTACTGTATAGATTAGGTTAGGTTACCATTGAAAATTAGGTTAGGTTGCGGTTCGAACACCAGGTTAGGTAACCATTGAATAGGTTACCATTGAAAATTAGGTTAGGTTACTGATCGAACACAGGATAGGTAACGCGACAAACACTGATTCGGTAACCCTAGTACTGTATAGATTAGGTTAGGTTAGGTTCAAAATTGAAATAACATTGCTTTAAATTAAAATTGAAAATATATCAATAATTTTTTTGGTTTGTATTAAAATATTGTTTTTGGGGAAATGTGACAGACATACAAAAATCCAGATTATTATCTTAAAGTATTATCTTGATAGTCATTGACAACAATATTATTTTATTAGTTATTATAAATGTTTATATAGATCTCGCGCTTTACAATTGATTAATATTAACTTTTTTATAATTAGTGTATAATTATGTTATGAGAGCTTAGGTATTTAAATTAGATTTTAGTTGGGATTTAGGTGTTTCCGCGCAATAATTTTGATGGATATATGTTTATTAGGTACTAATTAACTAATTTCTGTTAAAAAAAATCAATTTTTTCTAATGTGCGTAAACTCCGTATAGGCCGACAAAATATTGGATTTTTAATTTTGGATACAAATAAGGGATCACTTTTAGAGATTGATATTTTTATAATTTTGATGTAATTCTCCCATTTATTACATTTTAGTTATATTACCGTTTATTTTAATGTTTAGTTTATTAAACAATTACTATATATAGAGTATTTATATGTATTTATAAGATTTGAATTTGTATAGACATGATAATCATCATAATATAAATTTAATACATAATAAAATAGTACATATCATACATACATTCATAACTTATATAAATATAATCGTAAATTTAAAATTAGTTATTATAAGTATTTATATTTCACAAAATATTTCCGTACACTTTCTTCAAATCAATTTTTTTAAAAAGTAAAAATATATATAAATATTGAATAATCTGAATAAATATATAATACTCTGTAATCTAAATTTTAAATTAAGAAAAAAATATTAAAGTTTATTAGAAATAAATCTAATATATTTTGGGGAACGTAATTATTCTCTCTCTCTCTCACCTGACTCTCACCTCTCTCTCTATTATTGTATTCATATCCCTATCCGCCCAACACTTTCATTCTTTTTCTTACACAATAATACTGTACATTGTTTTTCGTTTAATCAATAAATTGTTTGCTAATTAACTCTTGTGTCCATCGATTGTCATATCTTGTAATCGCTATCATCGGTCAACACACGCAAAGCAATACATAGCGACCGCAACCGCTATATTGGTGACCCAAACCAGTGATCTTCACCGCCGATGACCTATTGATTACAATACACGTGTTTTCATCGATTTGTTGTCTTATCGCCGATATTATCATCAAATCATCGCTTCTGTCGCCGCAATCAACTCAACAAAAGTCAACAAAAGTTTTGTCATCACCTGTTGTCGCAAACAATGCCAGACACCGAAACAACAACTACAACAACAACGAATGTGGACTCAGTGGCCGTAAGGCCTCCGCCGTTCTATGATTCGAATCCTGCGCTATGGTTCGGACTTCTGGAGGGCCAGTTCGCCGCCAATCGTATCTCTAGCGATGCCGTAAAGTACGGAAGCGTTTTATCGGCACTCACTGTTAGCCAATCAACTGAAGTGATGGATATCATTACTGATCCGCCGGCAAACGACAAATACAAGACAATAAAGGACGCACTCATCAGTCGATTATCAACAAGTAATGCAAGAACGACTGGAACAACTGATCGATCGCGAAGAACTCGGAGATCGCAAACCATCTCAACTGTTCCGCCGCCTCCGCCAATTGGCCGGTACCAGCGTTACTGACGATGCACTGAACATTATGAAACATTATGGATGCGACGACTACCTAACGATACACAGAAGATACTAAAGTCCTCAAGAGAACAACTTAACACACTGGCCGATATTGCCGATGAAATACACGATACGTATCAATCGGCACACGTATCAGCAGTATCTACCGAAACAGAGGCATTACGTAAACAAATAGATGCTCTTACCAAACAAATCGCTCAATTGTCATCCAATAGATCTCGTGATCACAGCAGATCTCGATCTCAAAGACGTGGCCGATCCAACAGTCGCAATCTCGAAGACAATGGCAAGTGTTGGTATCACAACCGATTTGGCAATAAAGCAACGAAGTGTACGAAGCCCTGCAACTACAATGAGGGAAACGCGAACGGGAATCAATAGCGACGGCAACTGATTCCCACAACAAAAGCCTTCGTCTGTTTGTTACCGATAAGGTCACAAAAATATTTCTCATCGATACGGGTGCTGATGTCTCAGTATTCCCGAACTCGAAGCTATGTCGTAGGCGCGTTTGCCGCCAACGGTACACCTATTAAGACGTATGGCTCACATTATCTAAACCTGGATCTCGGACTTCGCCGCGCTTTTAATTGGAAGTTCATTGTTGCAGACGTATCAACACCTATAATTGGTGCCGACTTTCTCGCACACTTCGGGATAGCACCTGATCTTCGACACAAGCGCTTACTCGACTGTATAACTGGTCTCAAAGTGTTTGGACGCATTCAAGTCGTCGACATACCGACTATTAGGACAGTCACCGGTGACACACCTTATCATCGACTTCTCGAAAAATATACAGTAATTACTCGCCCGTCAGCAACAATGAAGCCTAGACTCCACAACACTGTACATCACATCATAACAACTGATGGACCACCTGTTAGTAGTGACCGCCGACGACTGGTTGGCGATAAATACAATTACGCTAAACGTGAATTCGAGTCACTGGTATCTCAAGGCATCTGTCGTCCATCATCTAGCAACTGGTCCTCACCTCTTCATATGGTCCCTAAGAAGGACAATGAATGGCGACCGTGTGGTGACTACAGGTCTCTCAACGCGCGTACAATACCCGACAAATATCCAGTGCCTCACATCGAAGATTTCACTCATAATCTCGCCGGTTGTCGCGCCTTCTCAAACATCCATTTGGTTAAAGCCTACCATCAGATACCTATTGCACCAGAAGACGTACCCAAGACAGCTGTGAAGACACCATTCGGTTTATACGAATACTTATACATGTCTTTCGGTCTCTGTAACGCTGCACAGACTTTTCAACGGTTTATTGACGAAGTAATCCGTGGTCTCGATTTTTGTTTCGCATACATTGATGGCATACTCATCGCATCTAAAGACGAAACTCAACACTTGGACCACTTACGACAGTTGTTCACTCGACTCAAAGATTATGGAGTAGTGATCAATGTCGGCAAATGTGAATTTGGCGCCTCTGATGTCAAATTTCTCGGTTACGTTGTCGATCATACAGGAACTCGTCCACAACCAGAAAAAGTCGCATCTATTCTATCGTTTCCTCAACCGAAGACTACTCAAGAACTCAGACGTTTCTTAGGTATTGCAAACTTTTACCGAAGATTCGTACCGAACGCCGCAACTATTCAGGCACCGATGAACACATATCTTTCCGGAGCCAAGAATGATGTCATTAATTGGACTGAAGAAGCAATCAATGCTTTTGAGTCTTTGAAGACAGCCATCGCTAATGCCACTCTATTAACACATCCATTGACCGGCGCGACGCTATCACTAATGGTCGACGCATCCAACGGTGAAATCGGAGCATCAGTGCAACAACTTGTGGACAGCGATTGGCAACCAATTGCTTTCTTTTCTCGAAAGCTCACAGACAAGCAAATTACGTGGTCCGCCTATGATAAGGAACTATTGGCCGCATACGAATCGGTGAAGAAATTTCGCTATCTTCTCGAAGGCCGAGTGTTTATACTGTACACCGATCACAAGCCACTGACTTATGCTTTTAAACAAAAGCCAGAGAAAGCAGGTCCACGACAAATGCGTCAATTGGACTATATATCGCAATTCACTGCTGATATTCGCCACATTTCGGGTAAAGACAATGTTGTCGCCGATTCGATGTCTCGCATAGAAACCATCGCTCAAGAGGTCGATTACGAAGCTTTAGCTAAAGAGCAAGAAGTCGATACTGAACTCAACGACATCATCGCTTCAAAGACATCACTATCACTCAAACTTGTGTCACTACCGCACAGTACATCAAAACTATGGTGTGATTTATCTACAAGCACTGCCCGACCGTTTATCACTAAAAACTACCGACAAATTGCTATACAATCATTGCATTCACTGTCACATCCCGGAGCTAAAGCAACAACAAAACTAATCAAACGAGCGTTCATATGGCCAAACATTGAGTCTGATTGTAAACAATATGTCCGCAACTGCATCGAGTGTCAACGTTCAAAAATAACCAGACATGTGTCAACACCGATTGGCTCATATTCACTGCCATCGCAACGCTTTGAACACATACATATTGATATCGTTGGCCCACTACCACCATCAAACGGATACACTTACTGTCTAACGATTATTGATCGTTTCACTCGTTGGCCCGAAGCACTACCGATGATAGACATAACTGCTGAGACAGTTGCCCGAACACTGATCAGTGGTTGGATATCAAGATTTGGGTGTACCATTACGTATAACTTCAGACCAAGGCCGGCAGTTTGAATCGAATTTATTGCGATCTCTCACTCAACTGCTGGGAACCAAACGGATCCGAACAACTAGTTATCATCCGGCAGCTAATGGTCTCGTTGAACGTTTTCACCGTCAACTCAAAGCATCAATCAAGTGTCATAATAGCGAGAAATTTCTGATTTACTACCGATTGTACTCTTAGGCATACGGAACGCATACAAAGAGGATCTCAACGCGACATCAGCTGAACTTGTATACGGCCAGCACCTGCGATTGCCCGGCGAATTCTTCAGCAACACTGACGACACGTCAATTGAATCATCTGATTTCGCCGTTCAAATACGTCAACACATGCGTGAACTCCGCCCGATGTCTGTTCAAAGACATGGCGAGCGCCGAACATTCGTATTTAACGATCTACGCAACTGCTCTCATGTATTCTTAAGACATGATGCTGTCCGTCGACCACTACAAGCACCATATGATGGCCCATATCAAGTACTCATCCGCACAGACAAGACGTTCGACATCGACATTAATGGTCGCAAGTCTACTGTATCTATCGATCGACTCAAGCCAATCCAAGCACCGGTCGAACCTACACATCAACAGACAAGTCATACAGTACCGGATTCCGACAATCAAAGCACTTCATCAGCACCTCAACCATTGACAACTCGAACGTCGCGTTCGAATCAATACTAACCCGGATTTTCGTTACTTCTAGTCGTGGCCAAGCCACTTCGGGGGGAGTACTTTGGGGAACGTAATTATTCTCTCTCTCTCTCACCTGACTCACCTCTCTCTCTATTATTGTATTCATATCCCTATCCGCCCAACACTTTCATTCTTTTTCTTACACAATAATACTGTACATTGTTTTTCGTTTAATAATAAATTGTTTGTTAATTAACTCTTGTGTCCATCGATTGTCATCTCTTGTAATCGCTATCATCGGTCAACACACGCAAAGCAATACATAGCGACCGCAACCGCTATAATATAATATAATATAAAAGCTGATTATTATTATTAAATAGAATTTAATTAATTTTATAATTACTATAAAATCAGTTGCAAATGCTAAGCCTAGCATTGTCACAACAACTCCTGAATGACATTAATAAAATACATACAAAACATACAAAAATACGTTAATATTTAATGACTTTCAAATAACCTTCAAATGATATAATTGGTGGAAAATACCAAAGAGGATAAAATATACTCATATATTGTAAATATATATAATTATTGAATTGACTTTTATTATATTTATAGTGATAGCTCTTTACAAATAATGCTGATTTCAATAGATGTCAACTTAAACAACACAATTGGCACTAAATGACAATTAAGGAAAATATATCACTTTTTCGGCAAAAGTGGTATTAAGGTCTGGGCTCGAACCCGGGTTTTTAGATCAATAAGCATTAACATCACTAAAACTCTCTTTTGTAGAAATTGAATGTTTTTGGATTATTTCTATGAATTTCTATATCATATAACTTCAATACTATTTCTAAATTATTACATTGTTTCTTAAAAGTTTAAATATTAATTTCAGATTTTTAAGTTTTATTTACATCACCATTCGATATATAAATTTAAAATATTAAAAATGATTGACAGAGACACAGACAGACAGATACACACACACACAACGATACAAAACACTTCAAAATTTTGTTTTTTTTGTGTAAAAATGTAATGAAAAAAAATTAATTTTATTTATAATTTTTTAATATAATTTTGTAGTTAATTATAATTTATTTTTTAAAATATGAATTAAAATGTGGCAAAAATTATTAAAATCAGGATTTAGTAATATTTTTTATGATTTATGAATTTTTTGGTGGCTTTTTATTATATTTTCTCTTTTCAATTGTATATATGAATTGCAATAATAATTTGTAATTATTTCAAAATTTAACTGAAATTTTCAACACTAATAATACATATGATATAAAATAATAAACAGTCAATAAATTTATTAATAAATATATTGAAATTTTTGTTATAAATTGTTAGTAAATACAGTATTAAATCAATTAATTTAATTGAATTTTATTAATATATTAAAAATAATAACCGATTGAAACAAATGTCAATATCATTGGCCAAAACGTTTGCATCAGTTTTGTCACGAAATGTCACAAAAGTAATGATCAAATGACTTGATTTATAAATTGATTAATTGATTGATTGGTTTAAATGACAGACATATCGATGTCCACTCTCGATGGTCAACACATCCGTACGTTATATGACAACGAGTGGTCAAAAATGGCAGAAAGTTGACGTCAAAGAAATTGATCCGAAGACTGAATCCAAAGTCAAGTGTACTCTAATCCCTGGCGATGGTGTCGGACCTGAACTCATGATTTCTGTCAGAGAAATATTCTCCGCTATTGGAGTTCCCATTGAATTTGAAGAACTGTTTCTTAGGTTTGTTGATAATTAAATGACTTTATATATCATCTGATAATTGAGTCGATGATTGATCGCTGCAATAGTGAGATCTATCCGTCGCTATCAGTTCCCGTCGATACAGTGATTGATTCATTGCAGAGGAATGGCATTGCTTTGAAAGGTATTTTGTCGACACCTTTCAGTTCAAGTGGTGGAGAATTGCAATCATTGAATATGAAGATTAGGAAACAATTGGATTTGTTTGCAAATGTGGTTCACGTGAAGAGTTTGCCCGGAATTAAGACTCGATATGAAAATCTGGATTTCTATGTGATTCGGGAACAAACAGAAGGCGAGTACAGCGCTCTCGAGCACGAGTCGGTGCCCGGAGTTATTGAATGTATTAAGATTGTCACCGAAGAAAAATCTACACGAATCGCCAAATTTGCTTTTGATTACGCAACTAAACATCACCGCAAACGGGTCACTGTTGTCCATAAGGCAAACATTATGAAGTTAGGTGACGGACTTTTTCTCAACACTTGTCAACAAATTTCACAATTGTATCCAAATATTGAGTTTGAATCTATGATTATCGATAACACGTGTATGCAATTGGTCTCAAATCCCAATCGTTTTGATGTTATGGTTAGACTACTTATCATTTGTAAAACTTATTACTTATGTACAGTAATTGTTGTTTAGGTTATGCCTAATCTTTATGGCAATATAATTGATAACTTGGCCTCAGGATTGGTTGGCGGTGCCGGTATAGTTCCCGGAGCAAGTTATAGTTCTGATTGTGTTATTTACGAACCGGGAGCTCGACATACGTTTGGAGAGGCTGTCGGCAAGAATATTGCAAACCCGACGGCTATGTTATTGTGTGCAATCAAAATGTTACGACACGTGAATCTTCATGAATACGCCAATCAAATTCAAAACTCATTGGAAAAAGTGATCGCTTCGGGAAAAGTGAGAACAAGAGATCTCGGAGGATATGCGTCGACTACTGAATTCACACACGCAGTCATTTCAAGCATGACTTAAATTTTGTTTTATTATTTATTTTTAGGTTTTAATTTTAAAAATAAGTTAATTAAGAAATTATAAATTGTTAAATTAAATAATATATTAATAGATAAATAGAGAAACAAATTTTTAGAAAATTTTAAGTCTCTTAAAAAGTTATTCACTTTTTGTTTGCTTTGATGTTCTTAACGGCCCACTCGAGCCCATCCTATATTAAATTGATTGTTAATTAATTAAATGACAAATTATAATATTAACAAACTTTGAGTCCTTCAGCGGATATGGCAGAACAGGGTTGTATTTGCCACGTCCTGTCCCTTATTGCCATCAAATGTAGACCTTCTGCCAGTTCACTAGCGGGCGATGCGTTGAATAAGTCTTGTTTGTTGGCGTAAACCAATAGAGGAACTCCTATTAACTTCTCTTCACTTAAAAGTTCACTTAATTCCTAAATACGACTTTAATATATAAATATTTACTAAAAACAAATTGATATTTATTTGTGAATACCACTGATGTTTCTTCAAATCTTTTTTTATCAGCGCTATCGATGACATAAATCTAATTACCGGTAATTTAATATAAGAAAATACAGTATAATTATTGAGAGAATCGAGTATATAGTAGACATAGTTTTGAATGCAATAAAACTGTTTATTACGAGAACATCGGTGTTGTCGAAGTAGTTCCTCCAATACGGTCTTATCTTACGTTGTCCTCCGATATCCCAAACATTTAATTTAAATCCAGGCGTTTGAACACTTTTTATGTTAAAACCCTATATTTATAGCTATATAATCGATGTTTGATTTTTATCTCAATTGTTCACAGAATACCTGAGTTGGAGTGATATGAGTGACGTCCTCTGAGGCCAACTTCTTGAGAATTGTCGTCTTCCCTGCCTTTGGAATAAATAAGAGTTATTACATGCATTCAAATAATATGAAGACTGACATTGTCGAGACCCAACAGAAGAATTCGCAATTCTCTATTTGGTGTGGCTTTCAGTTTCTTTATCAGTGCTAACAATCCCTTATAAAAGAAATTAATTATTATTAACAAATTATCATTAGATTTATCCTAATTTACCATAATTTCAATCAAACAAATAAGTGATTCATAAAATATTGATCGTTTTGATGACTTATTATATATTTATTTGCGATTCTTATTGAATGCATTTGTTGTAAATTTAATGTCAAATAAGTTTCAATTGTCGCCAACGGTTACCACAACTGAATAACAAACATACTGTTAGTCTAAGTATTGAACTAATGTTATAATACTCTTCATAATTAGCTTTTATTTAGGATAAAGACATTTATTTAATAAATAATTAAATATACAAAAACAATATTCAACGTAAAAACAGTTATTACATTAAAATTTTCAAATTATAATATTGATAAAAAATATTAATTACAATATGTATTACAAATGTTTTATATACAAATTTTGAGAAATATATTCTTAAAATAATTTTGGAAACTAATTATAACTTATACATTATTTTTGATTGCTTTTAAAGCAAAATTGGATTTATATTATTAGAGGATTACAAAACAGTAAAAGAAAATAGCCTAACATTTTATTTACAGGCACTTAATAATCGTTAAAATTAAATACCTATAAATTTTTTAAAACTTATTTTTTAGTCAGAATTCAAATAAGATTTCATTTCAATGTAAGATAAAGGATTCAATAAATAATTAACTGATAATACAGTATAAACAAAACAATTATTTCTATATATACTGTTTATATGATATAAATTTATAACTTACCGGTAATATATATATTGATATTAATAATAAAACACATATGACATTACTTTTTAAAAATATAATTATTATACAATAATCATGAAATGTGTTCAAATATCTTCTATTGTACGGTAATATTATGGAAAATTCAAATCATAGTATTGTATTAATACACTAAATAGTTATTAAATATTGTATGGCTAATCATTGAATAACTACTTTATATATTAACTTTATATATAAATAATTGATTGAATTGTCATTAAATGGTACGACGAACCAGAATCGTATAACCAATGCCAGCGCCAAGAATTAAAGACAAAATATTTGTCAATAAGAGTATAGACAGAACTTCTTTGGAGAAAATGCCTCTTCTTATAGCCCATTGACGTAAACTCATCCGACTTTTCCTCAGCGGTTGTATTTCATTGAAACCCCATTCCCTATGATATGTCATTAGATTATTATTAGATCAATAAATTAAATGCAATCAATACTTAGGCAATTGATCTCTTGTACTCCAATCCCAAATCCAATCTGTACTCAATTGACGACTTCTCCCAAAATTTTCAACCTTTGATAAGCAAATAATTCAAAAATAAAATATTAATTTATAATAAATACTATATAAATGTTATCAATACTTTTTGAAGAATGGAATCGTTTGGTGACAACGACTCGATGGCAAAGACAGGGCTGTGAGCACTCTTTGGGCTAATGCTATGCGAATTGCGAGCGCTTCCAGTGAGTGAAGACTCATTGCTCTCTTTCTGTGCCTCCCATAAGAGTCTTTCCAAACTCTGAAATGTATTTAAACCCGTTGTCCTTCCTATCAAATGAACCGGTGATGTCAACTGTTGACAACTGTTCACTTCAACCCAAGACTCTATTAATTGGTAATTATTTCAATCAAACCTTTTACTTAATAGTCAGACAAAACAATTCACTAATTATTAATTTTATATTAAAAAATAAAATATTAAAACTATCAATGTTTTTAGCAACTACTAGTAAAAAAATAATTAAAATGTATCAAATTATTTGTTAATAAATATAAAATGCAATATATTTCAATATATTAGCATGCAACATTTTCTAATTAAAACAATATACTGTTTATTATGAATTTTTCATAATATAATCATTTATCAAATTTATATTATATAACTTTGCATTAAATACTAAAACCATATGTAATTTATTACATGTTTATATCTGGCTGTCATATGACTTAAATTATACATTATTTCAATAGTCATCACTAATTTAATTTTTAAACAGTTTTTCAGTTAATAAACTTTTGCAAAACTTTATTACTATAATATGTAAAATAATGTGTAATAAAAAACCAGTCTTTTAAAGTACAAAATAAATCTAATATAAAACAAATACATATAATATAATTAATAACTTAAACGGTGTTATATTGGCTTAAAATTAATACTTATATATATTATAGTTTTTCATTTATATTAAGTCACAAAATAACCAAAATTAGTAATTAAATCCAAACTTGGGCCGCAATACACTTTTATAATCGGGAATTCATAGTTAAACACTCATATGTTTTCTATGTATTCTCAATATAGATACCCGATTAGAAAAGTGTATTTCGGACAATTGGACAAAAATCAATTATAAATTTTTATTATTTTGTGATTATATATATGTTAATAATTTGATGTGCAATAAACAATTACTTTATTAAATCAATAACTATTAATTTTAAACACAATTAAAAAATTATCATTCTTTTTGCACTTATCTTTATATATTATAGTTTTTCATTTAAAAGCAAATTAGAAAAAAAGTTAAACATTGAAAACATGGATACAATTAAACACTTATTATTTGACAATTCAATTGATATATTATATAATAAAATGTCAATAAATTGTATTTAATAACAATATTTGACTTAATTATCATAATAGCAGTCATTATACAAATATAGTGACTCTTTGGCCGTAATATCACTATATTTGTCATATAATGAGTTAATGCGTAGTTTAGTCATCACTTCATTTCATGTCATTGTCAACACTTCTACACTTCAACTATCACTCTGTACTCAACTGTCATCTCTTAAGTCACTCTGTGGTCAATACAATCAAATCACTTCAAGATATCTAATTAATTGCCATTTATTGATAGCAAAGTCAATAACAATAGACATATCGTTTGACTTATGTATACATTTAATCACTATTTGAATCTTAAAGACATAAATGAATAACACTTACCATTGAGTGACTCTTGAGTGAAACTTCTTGGAGTGGATGTCATGATTGCAGTGATGTCCACAACTGACACAATATATGTATTACATTAAGACATCACTCAAACTGATTGCCAGTCATTCACCACAACAACAATGAGATCATTGATTGTCACACATATAGTGACATCTATTGTATAATAATATTATATATTTGTGTCAAACCTTGTATTCAGTGTTTAATTAAATCAATGTCTAAAAGTAGAGTTCAATTAAATTATTTAGCAGTCATTATAATTTATAACCACTTTATAAATTATAATATAGTATTATTAATATGTTTAGTAAAGTAATATTCAAATATACATACATATAATACAATGTTTTATATATTTTTACATAATTTTATAAAAATTTTGAAAAACATCACTGAGAAAATTGTTTGATTAAACTAAGATATATGTCTTTAAAAATAAAATAATTTGTAAAATATTTAATTGACAATCGATTAAAAAATAGATAAATAATCGCCGGACAAAACACAGATTATTTAATCGACATTTGTCTATTAAAATTATAGGGCATTAATACTAAAAAAGGGCAACATTTTAATATACAAATATCGCTTTAAAACTAAACATAAATCTATTTATTTTAATATTATTGTTCAATAAAAATAAATGTAAAATAAATATTGTATAATTATTGAATTTAAAATAGACATTTGTGTTTATTTTTATTTATAAACATACACACTAAAAAAGATATTTATATTTTAAATACTAGATAATTGTTTTTTAAAAATAAATGTAAAATAAAAGACAGATAATTATCGATTTAAAAATCCACAATTGTCTATTAAAAAATAGTTTTTTACTGAAAAAAAAATCTGAATTTATATTTATTTTATTAATTACAATTGTTTTAATTTAATTAGATATTTTTTGATTAAACATTTAATTTTAATATTAATATTAATTTAAGTCATAGTTATTATTTTCTTACAATAATTATTATATATATATGCATTAATATTCTTATAACTTTTCATTTAATTAATTTTTTACAGTTTATATAACACATTTATTTTATAAAAAAATGTATAAACTAAATATATGTATAAATATCGATTTTTTAATCGATAAATACTTTTTTTTAATTAGAATTTGAATTGTCGGCTTTCTTACAATACTTTTTATTGATAATTTTTGTGTTTAAAAAACATCGATTAAATATTGTATTTATGTATAAAATGTATATTAAAAATGATATATTTATCAATTATTTAATTAAATTTTATTTTTGTACAGTGTTTGTAAATGAGTGTAGAGTTTTTAATAGACATTAATGTTTGCATTTTAAATATATTGCGCATGAGTAAAAATGTTTTATTTTTATTTTATAAATTTACAATTTTTATTATATATTAACAAAATGTTTTATTTTTAATATACAATTATTTAATTTTTATTTAACACTCATTTACAGTATAATTTTACTCTCTCAAGTAATAGGATTTTTTTCTCAGTGATGTTAAAGTCATTGTAGTTATCGAAAAGCTTTGCAATCAGTGATAGAAATAAAATCATTATAAATGTATAAAATTACTGTATTTTACTTAATGTTGATAATAATGTGATATATTTATTAAATAAAATATATTTTTGTGATGAATAATTATTAAAAGCAATATATTTACCGTATATTCAATAAAGCGTATAAATTCAAAATTTTGTTAATAAACCAATTAAAGTTACATAAATATTGTACTTTATATCCATATGAAACACAAATACTATAATTATATAAAATTGGATTATAATTTATAATAATAATAATAATATTGATAATATATTTAAAAAATATAAAATTATGTAATGAAATGAAAGCTTAGAGAAGGAACGGTGGTTTGTGTTTATGGACATTAATACGAGGCAATCGACTCGGTGTATAGCCATAGTTACTCTTGACTTGTGGTGAAGTAGGAGTACTTCTAATGGGTGTTAAGTGTCGACCATTACTTATGTGCATCTGTTTGTCGATGGCTTCGGATAAATCATTACAACTACGAGATAACCGTCGATGCATTGCTTGTTGTTTGGGTTCCCTTCTCTTCGTTATATTTCTCGATGGAGTCAATGGTTTATTGGGAAACGTTATGAAAGTAGAGTTGGCGTTATCCCTATCTGTAAGCGGAGCCTAACAGTATTATAAATAAAAATCAGTTGATAATAACTAATAGAAATTTGTCACATACTTGGAACTGGTCCTCATCTATACTCAAAATTGAGTCAATATTAGGCGTATCCAATACTTGATTCATTTGATTCTCAAGATTACGAGCTCGAGCTCTGGGAACAGGTTTGGCAACATCTCTTCGTTTTGTTAACGTATTAGCGTTGACATCGTTGATGACTCGCGATGGCGTCAAAGGGCCGCCAACTCTGCGAACTTTATTACTTGAATCACAATTGGGTGCCGTATCTAATGCTCTCTTAACAGGTGTTTTACGGACGACGACTCCACCGCTAACTGGTGTCATCTTTTTACTCTTAAGCTGTCCGTTGATCTCCATCTGTCTATGTCTTTGTCGTTCCTTTTTTTCATTCTCTTTCATGTCCTGATACTCCATCTTAAGATTTTCTAAGTATTGTTTCACAGGAATACCAAACACATCGAAGAGTTTTCCTTTTAGTTTAAGTCTATCTTCACTATACTTCTTCAAAATGTTCTCAACTTTTGGCAAATTTTTCTTAATTTGATTTTTCTCTCTTTCTTCAGCGAGTAGAGCACCGCCTCTATTATTGAACCGATTCGGATCATTGGCTTTGCTTTCGAGTTCTTTATATCTGTTCCATAGATTATGCCATTCGCCGAGTTTATCAAACATTTCTTCGCACTCTTCAAAGTAATTCTGAAGTTTTTGCAATTCGTTTTCATGTAATTCAAGCAACTCTTCAGTGTATTCGTTGCAATCAATAAATGATTGAAATTTATCCTTTTGTTCATCAGATAAGAAACACTTTTCATACCATTCAAGCAAATCATTGCGAACTTTTTGAACGAAAAGTTCAAGATTTTGTCGTTTCAATTCTTCATATTTGTCAACTTCTTGTTGCAGTAGAGACAGAATTGATGGTTTGCAACCCATTTTGTTACGAAAGAAATCGTTTCTATAAATTGAATCCACTTCTAGTTTATCCCAAAGAACTTGTAATCTCTTTTCCATTTGCTTTCTCTTATCATTGTTTTGTTGATAACATGTCTCCAATTCTGAATGTAAAGATTGTAATCTCTTCATGTGATCGTCAGAAAGAATGAAATTTTCTGAATCATTAAACAATAGATGTTTCTCAAAATCAAAGACCACTTCTCTTTCGAGTTCAACAAAGAGTTGTTCAATAATTTTCTTTAAAGATTGATATTTATTGAACCGTTTTGAACGCTCTTTTGTCAAATCGGAGACATAGCTTTGTAATTGCATCAGCTCTTCATCCGACGGTATATTAGTGGCAGTTCTGAACTCTTTTGCCTTTTGATTCATTGTGGCCAACAATTTGTCGCGTTTTGACTTCAATTCTGTCAATTGATTCAGTCTTTCTTTTTTTAAAGCCTCTAATTCGTTGTATTTGTAAACAAGTATTCGTCCGATTTGTTTAAGTGACCGATCAGTGGGCGCAGGAAATGATGGAAGAGTTAGATCATCAAGAATTTGATTGATTTGCTTAAGTTTGTTGTCGTTGTATTGGATCAGTCTTTGTAAGGACGAGTTTTCAATTTGCAGAGAGTTTTTATTTGCCGTAAAATGTAAATCTTTTAATTGTTTAATCCTATCGACCATATCACTAGTGGTTAATCCCATTTGTAGCCAAATGGTGGCAATCTTCTCAACAGTCTGTTGTGTGTCTTCGGCAATGTCTTTGGCCGCCTCTTTGGCAAACCTTTATGAAAAAACATCAAATCATTTCTTTATTATCTTATAATATACTTGTCATACACTTGTGGCAGATCGTCATCGTCAGCGACCGACTCGTTGTTATCCTTAAGAAGCCATTCATGAAGTCCGGCGTCCGTTGTATTCATTATTATTATTAATTGTTATTAAGTATTGAATCAAATAAATGGTAATCAAATCAATGAGACATACATTACATTCAATATATTGTTATAACTGTTGTAATCATGTATTCAAATGTATTGCTATTCAACTGTCATATGATTTCATACAACAATCACTCATACGATTGGTTTACAACTTAACACAACAACCAATAGAAATGTTTTATCAATGCATTGAATGCCCTCTTGTGATGACTAATGTCATTGAAAACAATTGAATTCAATTTACTTTACATTAAATATGACAGAAGTGTTAATATTATATTAAATACAGTATTAATACTGTAATTAACAAAAAAAGTTTACAATTATTATTATACAGAACTTAAACTTTAATTATAATAATAGTATATTACAAGTAATTATTTTTGTTTTATAAAATACATTCAAAATAATTAAATTTTATTTTAATTAAATAATTATAATAAATATTAATTTTTATTAATAAATAAATAAAATAATATATAAAATACAATAAATTTATAATATACAGTACGCATGTATATATTTATGGTTAACTTACTGTACATTTAACAAATTTTTCACTAATGTTAGATAATTTTTAATACAATAATGTAATAATATTACAGTAATATCATACAAATAATATAATTTTATAATGAATTGTATCATACAATTTGTATGTCATTAAAATTGATCAAAAAAGATATAATAGTATTCAAAGATGAGTCGTTTCAATGATATCTGAATCACAATCACTTAAATCATCACTAAATCCGATCTCTTTAGTGATATATTTGACCTCATTTTCAACTAATTTTTCATCACATGATTGTTGACAATTTGTCAAACTTTTAACTATAATAGTGACTGATTTGTCTAAATTAAAACATTTGACGAGTACTTCATTTGTATTGCAATTTTCTATATTTTTCAAAATATCTTCATTTACAAGAATCTACAAAATATAGACAATTAATTTAATAGTTATAATATTATTTAATTTATTATAAATTGTATCCAACCTTATGACCTGAAATGTTATGAATATCAAAATAGCAGCCAATAAGTAATGAACCAAATGTTATAACATTTAAAAATTTGTATATATTTTGATTTAAAGGCGTAACAGTTGTTAGTTATATTGAGGATAAAGAGGTGAAAGGATATAATAAAATTATATAAGTTTTCTTCTTATTAATTAAACCAAAAAAAAACTATTAATATTATTATCTATTATATCCACTAATAAAATAATAATATTTAGTTAACTATTAATATTGTTTCTCACTTTTTCTATGCTTTCATTTGAATCAGTTGTATATCTTTGTGAAGAATGAGAACCAGTTTTAGACAAATTTGTTTGGCTTTTCTCTAACCAGTCATTAGAGACATTGTCCTATAAAATAGGATAAAATACAAAATTATATTACAAATAATGATTAAGTAATGTATTTTATTTAATAAATATTAACTTCAATTAAACTTTTTCATACTTATAAAAGGGATATAACAAATAATTGAATAATTATAATATAATATACGAAATAACACTTTTCATATATGAATTCGTTATGTATGTATAATATGTATGTTAGTGTAACAGATGTTACGTTTTTAATATTTTTCAATTCAGAATCTGATTGAAATAAAAGAAAATATAAATGCTTTTCAAACGAAACCTCTCTATTAAACAAAATTATTTAAATACTTTTTCTATAGAATTAAATCTAGAATTTTATTATATTTGCAAATATGTCCGTTTGGTATCAACTCATTTCTTACTCATTTAATATAAATTTATAGAAATATATTTAAACATTTAAAAATAATTTTCCATAATTTCATCTGACAATGCTTAACATTAAATAGTTTTCTTTATAATTTTTTTATATACAGTGATTATTCTGATTATTTCAATATTAAAAAATTATATTACAATCACAGGCTTTAATGGGAATCTATCTTAAAATCAGACCCGCATCAGACTCCCGACTCGTGATTTTTTGGGAATATCTAGTAAACCATATTTTTAATATAAAAATGACCACAAGTGGCAATGTTATAGACTATTTTATACTCAATATAATTATAATTAATCATTTTTTAATTACTATTATCATTGGCCAGATAATAGCATCAGACCTGTTTTAACGTTTAACGTCTATAACATTGCCACTTGTGGTCATTTTTATATTAAAAATATGGTTTACTAGATATTCCCAAAAAATCACGAGTCGGGAGTCTGATGCGGGTCTGATAGTAATATATTGCCCTTTAATGTAGTTAATAGTTAATATAGTTTATACTGTATATATTTGTTAAGTAAATTAACGCAACCAAAGTTAACAATAATTGTTATGCAGACAAATGAAAATTATTATTAATCATAAAAAGTCTAATATTGGTACAAATAAATACTAAAATACTAAATAATTAAAAATTTTTGTACTATTAAAATACATATAAAAAAATATTGTTAACATAATTTTGCATATTTTTCCCGCAATTCAATAAAAACTTTTAATAGACTGATTCAGTTGTGGTCACAAATTTTAGTAATTCATTTAACAACAAGAAAAATGGTTTACAACTACACTACAAGTATATGATTACATTACAGTAAGTACTGATACAATACATGACCGGAGTATATCTAATAACTTCTCGGACTATATTTGAAAAACTAAAAACTTTATTAAACGATTCTATTGTATTGAAATATAGATATTTTATATTATAATAATAGATATAATTCTTACATATAATAACTTCACTATTGACTTATAAATGAACTAAAAAGTAAAAGTGTGGTTATATTAGCCACAAATCAATGATACCTTTGATTCTCGATAACAGTTTGTTTGATATTGTTGTCGACGACTTAACTCGATATCCTCTTTATATGTATCTAATGTATGATTCAATTGTTTGTTTAAACAATTTTTTTCATTTTCTAAAGTATTATATTTGTGTTGCATTTGTTGATTCATTTGATTATAAAACATTTCTTTATCTTTAAGCAAGTCTTGTAGTGATTGTTGAGATTGTAGTGAATTGTTGAGTTGATGTTTGAGTTGATCAGTTTGTTGAAGTAGATGATTGATTTGTTGGACCAGTTGATCCTGATCTTTCAGTTCCTTTTCGATGGCATTTTTGCAATTGTTTGACTCATCTAATTGGTGTTGCAATTGATTGATTGATAGTTCAAGTGATTTGATTTGTAATTTCAAAGAGGACTCTCGAGCCTCACAATCAATAAGTTGTTTGACGAGATCACTGGCCTTTCCATAGGAATCAGTAGTTCGTCGGTCAGGTTTAAGAGCTGATCTCAAGCGTGACTCACTTTCTTCCAGTTGTAAGGCTTTAATCTTATACTTTGTTTCTGAAGACTCCAATTGATGTATCCGTTGTTTGTAATTAAGTTCAAGAGTAGCAATAATATTGTCTGCTTTTGTCAGTGTCTCTGAATATGCCGACTCTTTTCGCATCATTTCATTCAATTGTCTTTTCAATTCTTCTTCATTCATTTGAATCGAAGTAATTTCAGACTTTAATTTCATTTTTTCAATTTCTAGTTCTTTTAAATCCCTTTTATTATTCATTAAATCTAATATTTTATTCTCTAAATCGTCTACTTTTGTATTAAGTTCTTCAATATTTGCAATAAATTCAAATTCTTTACTTTTAATTTGATTCAAACTTTGGTCCAATTGTTTTAATATATCATTTCTTTCATTTTCCAATTGATTGACAGTTGACACCGTCTGTGTCTCCATTTGTTGCATCTTTAGTCTCAACTCTTTTTCCACAACTTTATGTTCTTCTAGAAGTACATCCAGTTGTTCCTCATATCTTTGACGGGCCTATAATATTGTAAATAATTTATTTAATTAAAACAGTTAAATATATCTATAAAGTAATTTAAAGTATAATTACAGTTACTTTTTGTACAGTAATTAAAAAACTCAAAAATAAAAACAATTGTAGACTTAATAATATACTTATAATATAATTATTATTATTATTATTATTATTATTATTATTATTATTATTATTATTATTATTATTATTATTATTATTATTATTATTATTATAATATAATAATAATAATAATAATAATAATAATAATAATAATAATAATAATAATAATAATAATAATAATAATAATAATAATAATAATAATAATAATAATAATAATAATAATAAAAATACTTAATAATATATAAAAAGTAGTTTACTTTTAAGCATTCATTTTGCTCGTCTTTTAATGAATTTACAAGAAGTATCTTTTTGTGGCAAATATCAGTCAATTTTTTAATAACATTTTTTTGTTGAACTTCTAGTTCTTGCAATTGTTGTTTAAGTAGTGTTTCATAATAATTATGGCAATTAAATAAAGATATTGTTTTCATAGAGAAGTCTTCGTTAATTTTTGAGAGACAATCTCTTTCTGTATCCAATTCTTTATTAATTATATCGTATTTATCCTTTAAATCTATGACACTATTATGTTGTACATTGTCTTCACAGTTAAATAAATTTAATTGACTTTTTAAGTCATATTCTTGAGTTTCTAGTTTTTCAATACATCTCTTTAAAACTAATAAACAATTATTTTTATTATTTGTTGTTTCTTTTAATTTCAATTCATGGTTTCGCTTTTTCTCATCAATTTCATTGCAAATCATCGAAATTTTTTCATCTAATGATTGTCTTAAAGCTTTCATTTCAATGTCTTGAAATTCAAGGGATTTGATTTCACTCTTCAATTCACTTATTGATTGTATGAATTGTTTTTCACAGTTCATCCAATCTTTTTGAATGTTTTCTCTCTCGAAGAATATCTTTTCTCTCAATTCTAGTTCGCTAACAAATTCTTTGTTAATCCACTCCAACTGAACTAATCTTTCTCGCAATTGGTGTTCATTTGTTTCTAATTTCAATATTTCGTTCTTAATTTCAGGGGTCAAGTGATGAGCTGAAGAATATTTCATTTTAAGATTACCAGTAGTCGACAAACTGACATCAATGCGCTCCGGTTTAACCGTTTCACACAAAGGCATTGATTCGATGAGATTATCGAGTCTGACATCCCAGTGATTACCATTTGTTTGCAGTTGATTGTCATCAAAATGACTCACTTGGAAGGAACTGCCTATTTTTGAAACACCTTCCGATAGTTTTTCATCCGAAATAAACAACTGTAAGCCATCGTCGCTATCATTAGAGTCATTTGTATGAGTTGTTAGGTTAACAGTATATTCTTTTAGACAATCGACCTGAGCTTCCAAACGGTATAATTTCTGCCAAAGTATACCAAAGAGGTTATCATCGGCTGAAACATACTGTTCAACCCTTTTATCTTTATTCTCTGCAAAGTTATGTCTATTCACTAAATCACTGTTTTGTTGTAATAAACATTTTTTTTCATTTGTTTCTAATTTATTTTCATTTTTATTACTATTATTACTGTCAATAATAAAGTTATTTCTATTAAATAATAATTTTTGCATTTCCTGTATTTGATTTCTTAGTTCATATTCAATTGTTTCAAAATCTTTAATTTTATGATTGTTTTGATTTATAATTTTGTTGGCATTAATCAAATCAAGTTGTATTGTCTCGTATTGATTGCTAAAAGAGTCCATTTGTTGTCGCAATCGTTGACTAAGAAGTCTCGAGTCATTCTCTGCTTCTTCGAGTTCGAGAACCTGTTCTTCTAAATTAGTCTTTTCTAATTTTAATTCATCAATGGTTTGCTTTAATTTGTCAATTAAATCATTTGTATTATTATTATCTGATCTCAATTTGTGGTCGTCTTGGAAAAGCAATGGCATTTGATGTTGTGATTGTTTATGGCATAGTTGATCACTTTCGGCACAATTATCATTTGGTATATCTATATTTTTGTTATCTTCAATAACTATGTGACCAAATTCAAGACTTGTATCGCTAAACTTTTGACTAATCATATCATCTTCCCTTTCTTGTAGATCAGTCAAACTGCTTGGACCCGATGAGTGATCTCTTCGAGTGTCATCTCCAAGACCTTCATCTTCACTGGTCATTGCAGATGTATTATAAGTATTTTCTAATGTTTTGTGATATTTAAAAATATATATATATATATAATTACATATATTGTAAATCATTTAAAAAAGATTTTAGGGTAATAGTAATGCTTACGGTGTAAAACATTATTTTGATTAAAATTGTTATTAAGTAATAAATTGTTGAGTTCTTCCTTAATCGCATATTTGACTATTAATTCATTTAATGTTTTTTCTGATACATTCAGTATTTCTTTTAACTTCTGGTTTTCATTGTTGACATCCAAAAGTTGTATTTCAAGTTCAAAGCACTTATTACATGTTATTTCCTAAATAAGTTTTTTATTAAACAGTTATTAAATATATTATATCATAAATTAAATATTTTTTAATTTTAATATAAATTAAAGAAAATCTTAATTAAAATCATTGTTTCTCTTCACTAATATATTAAGTCTTAAGAATTTCCATATAATTAGAGTCATAATGTTTTAGTGAAAGTAAATAATAAGTAAGCGATTAAATGTGTAATGAACCCTAATATATAAGTGCTGTATATGACTGTCCTAATGACCGTATTTGTGATTAAAATTTAGTGTCATTAATGTCACTATTTTTATCAGATATCATTATATCAGACTTATATAGATATCTTTATAAAACTGCTTTTAAAAACTGAAAATTTCACTTTTATTTTATAATTATTTTTTCAGGTACAGTACTCCTATTAACTTAATATTTTATTACTACTATTTGTAATGCATCAATTAACTTTTTAAATTGTTATATTTAAGCTAAATTATTCAAATATTACAAATATAAATTATATAATTCAAATATACTTATACTGGAATTTAGTTATTTGTTATAAATTATTTACAATTAAGTTGTGACTTACTTACAGTATATATTTAACCAAAAATCAATAGATGTATATTAGATATATTAGAAATAATAATTAGTAGTTAACTAAATTTCTAAATTTTCTATGTCTAATGAGATTTGAATTTCGACAATAGATTCAATTTTCTCTTAAATTTTAATTAATGTATTATAATTTTTATATTTTTATATTATAAGTGAAGGCGACAAAAAGTTATTTAAGCAATTATTTGATGTCAAATAATTTATATAAATGATGTTACTGTACACGTATTATTATTGTTAATGGTCAGCATATTCCTAGTCTATATAATTTTATATAATATGATTTTAATATTCATTTTTTGAAATAATTAGCTTTTTTACATACAGTACTGTAGTTATTGCTTATACTGAACAGTACTTTATTCTAAATGTTTTAATTTCAAAGTTAGTTTTCAAAGTAAGTAAGATTTTTTCATATTTATAGTTATTAACTTTAGCTTAACTTAATTATTAACTTTAATTATTATCTTCATTTGAATTATAGTATCTGATTTAGTAACCAATTATTATCATATTTCCTATAATTTTGTATAAACATAAACACAGACTTTGATTTCTAGATTTATATTAATATTATTATAATTATTATAATATATTATACGATTGAACAGTTAGTTAAATGTTTTAATATAATCTAATAGTCATTATAGCATAAATAAAGTAATGTACTGTATATGAAAAAGACTGAAATATTGAATACAATAATTGTATTTATATATACATATAAATGAAATTATGCTAACTTTAATAATCAGTTGACAATCGGTAATGTTTGTGGTGTTTGTGGTGTTTTTTGTACAAAAGTTTGTTTTGTATGCAATTTGCAATATCTTTGTGATCTTTTAATAAATTTAAATTTGAAAAATATGAGAAATGTTTGATTTATATTTTCTTTGAATAACTGTTACCTCATTGACTTGAAACTCATGTAACTTGAACTCAAGCAACTCGTTTTGATCATTTGATTCTTGTAACTCAAGTGTCAATAATTGAATCTATAAATTAGATATAAATTATATTGAATTGTATTGAATATATTGGATATATTTGAATGTAAGTACAATATAAACACTTTTACCTGTCTGTTGAGTTCATTGAGTTGTTGTTTATTACATATCTTTTGTTGTTTGGGTCGTTGACTGTTGCAGTGATTGGCGGCGTCGCCAACATTGCTGCTAATCATACCTTTGATATCATTTTCATGGTTTGTATGGTTAGTATCAACCAATTGTCTCAATGACTGACAGAGTGTTGCAAAAGACCGCTCAAGAATTGCATGTTCTCTACAAAGTCTTTTGTATGACATTGAAGACCGACTTATATTCTGCAAGAGTTCACATATTTTGCTATTAACTTATATTTGCTTTTTAACAGTCTTTATATAAAATTAAACGAATATTTATGTAAATTTAATTATATTTTTGCTAATATATAGTAATTTTATTACTATATTATAGTATAATACTATTAATAGAGATAATTACATTTGAAAAGATCTCATTTATAAAATACTGTATTAAATCAATTTCTTAAACTAATCATTAAAAATAACTATTTTAATCTAAAAAAAATAATATATAATTTAATAAAAATTTTAAAAGTAGATTATTTAATACAAGATATACAGTATAAATAAATTATGAAATTTATATCTTTATTCAGACGTGTTAATAAAATTTAGTCCAAAAGCAAATATAATTTCATATGATTTATATTAAATATATAAATTAAAATCTTCTATAATTATTTTGATAAATTTAACTAACATTAAATAATAAAATTTTTTAATGACAATACCTTTTTACCAATAGATTTACCACTTATATCATTGATTATATAGACACAATTGATATATCTCTAAATAATTTATATTATCACATTCTTGAATCAGTAAAATTTTCAAACTAAACATATATTAATTATAAAATACAATACATAATTGAAATTTACAATAATTTTAAAATACAGTAAATAAATAAAATCATGATTTTTATAAAATTATATAAATTCAGAAATATTTACTATTTAGTATTTCAAACTTTAAAAAATAGATTGTATAGAAATCTTAATTATTGAAACCATTAATGAAACCAATAACTGGAAATAATATGCTTTTCCATATAAGTATTGAATACTTGTAAACAATTTACCCACAACTTTGAGTTTAATATATTTCTACAATAATTTATTAAAATGCCCTCATATTCCAGATATGTATACAATTTATAATTCTAACCATATATTGATATATATATATACAATACTCCATAAACTGTAAATATTGTTTTAAATTCTTTCTATTGGTAATTATTTTGTAATAAAATTAAAAAATCGTAAAACATTTTATTACTGCATAATCAATGTCAACCCAATTAATTTAGAATAGTTTATATTGAAATCATAATATAACGTTTATTTCTTAAATTCATTACTTAATTATAAAGTTTTATAAATTATATTAAATATATTTAAAATTCTTATAAAATAATTTAATTTTAAAGATAACTTACATTATAATGTTGTTGTAGATATTGTTGTATGAGTAGGATCACACATTTGTCAAGTAGTTTGCAATTAATTAATGACATCTGATAATATGTTAATTAAAAAATATGTTAATAATTAAAAAAATATGTTTATTTAAAAAAATATATTTAAAAATTACTTGTCTTTTAAGATAAAATTTAGTCTTTGGTTTGTTATTGAATTTTAAATCAAAATGATGGGCACATCTATTATTGCACTGATGTTTAATTTGTGTTTCATTGAGTCTATGGGATAGTGAGGCGAAAGACCGCTGCAAAACAATATGTTCTCTCTGTAATTGTTTATATATTTGAAAACTCATCTGAAATAAATGTTTTCAATAAATATTATATAATAACTAAATGGATGACAAACTCTCATACTATACCTTTTGATGATTGTTTTGATGATATTTATGATGTAAATCAAGTCTATCAAGAGTTGACTTTTCTGATTTAGACAATTGCATCGTTTCTGTTCTCTTATAATAAGAAACCTCTTTATTCTTATCATCAAAATATCAACAAATTATAAAATTTATAAAAATATATCTAATATCTAATATATATTTTTTATTTTATGTCACATACTATTTTTGATAGATATTTCGTGCAATTGTATGTCATTTTTTATTGAATATATTAGAATATTTTTTTTGTTAAAAACATATTTTTTAGTAATATCCTTATATTTTCTCTTTAATCACAAACTTATATCAAAGTAATTATTAAGAGTTCCGTAAAGTATTTCTTTATAATTTTATAGTAAACAATAAAACAGAAAGATTTTGTTAGTATGTATGGCTGGTAATAGTTAGCATCATTGGAATGGTAGTCCATGGATCAACCCATCGCCCTATCATAGCTATCATTGTATGCTATCTATATCTTCCCGGTTCATAACAAAACTAAGTCAAACCGGTTTGAGTGGCGATTGAAGTGCATTTCAGATACTAATGGCTATTGATGTAAGGTATGTACTATAAGATGCATTGAATGACTTTTTTTGTTAATCATAATTCAATTCATAAAATTCTGGTATAAATATATTCAAAAATAAAAATACCACTCATGCCATGCAATGTGATTCATGCAAACTTGTATTTTTGAATTAACCACTATTTTTATATACAGTCTCAGCATTTTCATCATTTATAACGAGTCAACCTATCATACAATTTGTCTTTTATGTAATGTTATTACTCAGGCATTTCTTGAGGCTAACTATCTAACAGTTCCGGCAAATATTATTTTACTAATAAACTTTTGTTATAAAATTACTTGAAATAAGTTCACTAATATTTAATATAATTATAAGCCTAACTATAAAATTAAATTAAATTTGTAGTTATTAAATATAAAAATAATCAATTATTTTAAGTGATCATCAGATGGTCTAAATAAACTATTTTCATTAAACTTAAACATGTATTAATTTTTTATAATTATATTAATTTATGCACATTTCAAATACAAATAAACTAGAGCATATTAATTATGATAATAAATGTTTTTAAAAAAATAATATTCACTATACAGTACATGTATTGTACCTTATTATAACTTATAATTTATAAATTTAGTCAAAAAATTGTTTTCAATTAGTATTATATACTTTGACAAAATTCATCATGATCATTTCATACAAGAATATATCTGAATTAAATGTCTTATTATTTTTAAAAACAATAATAATTTAAATAAAAGATATTGATATTGTATACCAATTAGTTATCAATTTTTATAATTACAAAATATTTTCAACTAAATTAATATTTCAATAATTATTAATTTTGTATAAAAACTAAAGTAATAAATTAAATTAAGAAAATACTTATTTATTATTATTTTAGTATAATATCTAGATAATTTCAATAAATAAAAATAAAAAAATACTAGCAAATATAAAACCTTACAGATGCAAAATTTTTAGCAATATTTATATTATTGGTTTAAATAAGTCACTGTTTATAATTTAAATTAATCATAAAAATCATATTTTATTGGTTTATTTAAATTAATTATACTTTCATTGTATTTATAATGTAACACCACTATAAAATTGTTACCGGTATAATTTAAAAATCGTTTTATAAAATTTAATGTAAGATACTAAATAATTATAAATAATATTTTACAATAATCTTATAATATTTATCTTAATTTTTTATTAGTAATTTTTATTTAACTAGATTAAAAAATTTGATATTTTAGATAATTATTACCAATAAGTTACTAATATTTAATTTTTTATTTTCAAATATTTTAAGAGATTCAAATTTACATACAAGTGTAAATGCACATCCAAGTTATAATATTATTACAATTGTTTGTTATTATTTAATATATGGTTAAACGGTAAATATGAATAAAATAAAATCAAAATGTTAACTTACATCGTTAATTTAATTGTTAATTATAAAGTTGAATAACATTAACAATATAACAAAACATATATTTTTAATATAATAAAATTTATCAATTAATTTAATTAAGCTCCAATGTTGCTGATTTTATGCATTGTTATTATTAGTTATTTTAATTTGAAATATTATATTAAGATCAGTGATGAGTAATTAAAACAAATATATAATTGTTGAAAAAACTATTAACAAATAAAATGTAGATAAATTTTATATTTAAATGTTGAAAACAAATTTTAATTAATTAGTCTATAGGATTCATGGTTGATATGTATGGATATAACATAAGTATATTGCACTGTACTATAAAGTTATGAAAAACTTTATTAAACATCACAAACATTTCGGTGTTTTTGCTACAAATAAACTGACATTTTAGGTATGTTTTAAATTTGAGTCTTTCAAATACTAAACTAAAACATAGACTCAATTGAATTGATTGTAGTATTACTTGTATTTCAACAAAATTTCATTTTCCACTTCATTCACCTCTTGTGTATTATGGACTGTGATGTAAATTATAAAAATTTAGTTTATTATTTTTAGTTAGTTTAGTTATAGTTTTTGTAATAACAAAATTGACATTTTATTTTCAAAACTATTTTTTTGTGTAAAATTTTAGCAAAAATAATTATTACGTATTTAACTAACTTAAGCTAAAGATAAACTAATTAATCAAATTAAATATATATATATATCACATATTTAAATTTTTATCTAAAATAATATTTATTTAATAAGATATCATATATATAATATTTATAGATATACAAATTGTATAAATATATTATATATAAATTGTATATATTAGTGGATAATTAATTAAAATATATAATGTTTGTCTTTCCAGAACATTTTAACATACGATTATTTTAAAGTAATAATAGCATTAAAACTACATTTTATACATTGTTACATATATTCAATGTATATAATGTTGATTTAATATTTAAATATTTTTTTTATTAACCATGATTAATTTTCTGAATAAATAAATTTAATATAAAATTTAGATGATAATAAATAATTTTGAAATAATATTTATATAATATAATGTCTTATAATGAAATTAGATTCCTCACTGTCAATAATGACTTGACATTACTATAATATAAAACACAATTTTAGTTAGAATAATATTAAATAGCAACACTAATATTTAAATGCAATATTGTATTAATGAATAAAAAAAAATTACTATTAAGTAAAATAATTGTTTTTACAGTTATATAGATATAACTGATTAAAATGATTGAATCACATAATTAAATCTTTTAACTTATAAAACTAAATTATAGTATGTTCACGATGTTGTTATTTATAATATTAATAATTATTACTTAAGTAATTTAAAATAATGTGATAAACACACATTAATTGTACTTCAGTTAGATTATAATCTGTAAAAAAATTAAAATAATTTTTGGGTCAAATAGTCGGATCATGATTCAATAAATAATACCATAGAGTTACAATATATTTAATATATTAGGGTTGGAAATTATAATTTTCAACATTAAACACATTTTCTATATAAAGTTTATTTTACTGATTTCTAGCAGTAAAAGACATTTTTGAAAACATAACACAAAAATAGAATTTGAATCGTAATCCAAACATCAGCAACAATAACATAATGTAAATTATAATGTTTTAAAGGTAAGTGATTGTCATGTTTGCACCCGATTAACAACAGTGTATGAATAGAATATGTGGTAAATTTATATAGTTAGCAAAATATACACATAATAATCATAGTTTGTGTGTGTTTTTGTGTGTGTGTGTGTGTGTGTGTGTGTGTGTGTGTGTGTGTCATACTGAACCGATATACAAAAGTTAAAAGCGATTTTTATGTTAAAAACCGGAACCATTGAAAAGGCTAATACAAATAATACATTATATAATACAGTATGTATAAAATTTTAAACCTTATATTTTGCCAACCCTGATAAATATATTTTAATATATACAGTACTATACGTGCTGTTACATGTACTGTATTGTAGAATATTAAATACTACACAATACCTGTATAATACACTAACTGTTTATTGAATATTACATACAATGCATACATACTTTACATACTTTAAGATTTTAAATAAATATTGTTTTATATGCCATCATATTTATTCTCCATCACTAATAATACCATTTTAGTATACTATATATAAATTTTATGTATGATATTATTGAAAAAACTGTATATAATATATGTAATATACAGTATATATACTGTATGACAGTAATGTACAGTAAATGAATGAATCAGTTATTTAATCGAAACAATAAATAAAATAATGCAAACAAAATAATCATAAAATTTAAATCAAATTATTTATTTTTGTTTGTTTGTAACCATTTAAATGTATTGTTGTTTAATAATATCTATCGTTGTTTAAATCACAAACTTATCAGATTAAAGCACATATAAGTTTATATGTAAGCTATTTTTGTATATAAATTATATATAATTGCTTTATAATAATAAATTTTATAAAATAGTGTTTTCAAATATAATATTATATAATGATAATCGACCTAATCTTTTAAATGGCGTTTATTATAATTTTTTATTTGTCATTAGTTTGTTTATAATACAACTATTATTAAAGTAATTGTCATAATAATAAATCATTGATATTATTATATTATGAAATCTATTTTGTTTTAAAAATCTATTTTGAGTGTAAATATCTTAAGTTTATATTAATTTACGAGTTATCTAGGTAATTTATAATACTCGTATACAGTAATACTAGGGTTAAGCAAGGTTTTGGATTTTAGAGGGGGGGTAGACTGGGGTAAAATTTACAAAATTCTCGAAAAATCTTGTAGATTTATATAAATTTTAAAAACATAATAACATTTACTAAAATAGTAATAATTAAAATTAAAATTTTTATAAACTTGTGAAACTTATAATGTGTTTACAGTAATAGGTATAATATTGTATTATATATACGTATAAATGTATTATAAGTCCAGCGGTTTTATCATTATTATATAATATTAGTTTTTTGAAGTCGAGTTTAATTACTAATCAATAATTAGAGGTAGGAATCGAAGCATATCTCTTAAAAACTGGGATCCGGTATCTCATATCGGGATCTCATTGACAGTTAGTTTTATATTCATTGGTGTTTGGGCTCCGGTTGTCACAAATCATAAGTCAGATTCATTGTTACCATTATTAGTCCATTGGATGACTAAGTATTGATGCAAACAGTGGTTCTCATAAATTATAAATTGTTTTAAAAGTTTAGTCGACTCTGATATCGATTACTGTTAGACCTTATATTCAATAATATATTTGGTTTTTACAAATCAAACAAATATATGAAAGGAAGTGAAGACATAAATTAATTAACAATTGATATTCTTCTCTATAGTCGACAACATATCTTACAATCAAAATATATTTTATGGGAGTTTTTTAAGTAAAAATAACTAAAATAACTCATGTCTTACATACTGTATATCATATAACTATATTTAAAACTAATTTATAATACATTTAAATTTATAAAATTGAGTTATTTTAAAATACATTTTAGCAAAAAAATATAATTATAGTATTATATAAATTATAAATTTGTATTAAAACAGTACATAAAATTTAATAAATAAGTTTAGTCATTGCAGACGTTTTATTATTTATAATTATTTTTATATACAATTTAATACATATTATATGAATTTCTTAAAAACTAAAATTATTGGTCAGTTTATACATTACATTGTATACTATACGGTAACTTCAGTGCTATCCATAACAATAATATTATACAAACAATTGAAATAAATTTGTATTTAGAGATAATTACAATGAATTGTTGATTTGTTTTTATTTTGAAAAATTAAAGAAAATGTTTAATCTTATTGTTATTTCCGGTACAATAAGAGTTCTTAATGAAGGAATGACAGCATTTGTATCCCCATTGGTTTTGGTGCCAATAGGAGCCCCAAACAGTGGTATGATTATTGGTAAAGACATCTTCTTCATAAATAGAGCTCACTTTAGCTTTGATACAGCCTTTGATTACCTGTCCCTGACGTGAATACTCCATATAAATGTCTGTTTGTCCGAACATAAGTTGTGGTTCCAGAGTCTGTAGATGTTCTTTACCGCCATATTTATCAATAATACTTTGTCTGAACTGTTCCTTAACGTTCTCTTTTTTGCTATCGATTTGTTTCTTTACTAATTCCGTTTTAGTAGGTTCTGCTTGAAGATGAATGTCGAGACCCCTGTCCACTGCCTGCCACGCAAACAACTGAGTCTTCGAGACCTCAGTTGTGTCTCCTGTAAACCGAACAAAGTTGTCGCCGGCGTATTGCAATTCATCGGCACTTTTACCAGTAGTTTTGTATGGATTCTCTCTCATAGCCCGTGTTTTCGGGTCGTAATACGCAGAGTCCAGGTCTAAATTGCGAAGATATTTAGCCGTATCTTCTCTGATACGTAAATTTCTAACAGTTATGCGCTGTTTTGAGTCGACTTTAGTTCCCGGCATATCTATATGATCGGCATATTTTTCATCTTCATCTTCATCTGAATCCGATTCTACCCCTTCTTTAGCTGTTTCTTCATTTAATAAATCTTGTTTTAGTTTCTCTTCCTTTATAACTCTTTTTGCTTCTTCAACCTTCTGGTGTTCTTCAATAACCGATTTATACATTTCGGGTTCAAAGCCATTCCAACGATCTCTTTTGCCGTCAAAACCCAAACTAAGATTTGGTAAAATGTGTTCGTCGGCAGCAAAATCTTCACCCGAATATTTGGCGCCTATTTTTCGGGGTCTTTCTAAGCAATCTTTCTTTTTGTGTGTAACGGCCCCACAGTTCTCACACGCGCCCCGTCGGTAACGGGTAGCGGTCGCACCCTTTTGTCCTCTTATAAAATGATCTGATATTTGTGCGATTTCTTTCACTTTTTCTTCTGGTTGTCGTTGATGCTTAAGAGTGGGTCCATCGGCTTCAAAATACCACGGCGTCGATGATATGTATTGTGGTATATGAGGGTTGATATCTCTGTTTATCAATTGTCAAGTTTTAGTTAATAATAAAACATAAAAGTTATCTTTTAAGTCATACTTTCCCTCTTCATCTACGAGTGCCGGAGCTGTTCCCGCTTTCCTCGCTTCTTCCAATTCCTTTGCTTTTCGCCATTCGTCTCGTGTTTTCTTTTTGGGTTCCACTTCATTCACCTCTTCTTCTTGGAAATCCTTTCTCTTGATTATAGCAGACACTGCAGGAGTCGATTGATTCATATCTGATAATCACTTAATCATAACAAGTGTTGTAAACAATCATTAAATGTCTAAACTCTGTAATCACTGATCACTCAATTCATTCATAACGTGTTTATTATGTTTTATTCATTTCAATGCTACCAATAGATGGCATTGAATGTCATATTACAGTCTATTACTATCTATTTATACTACAGTTAGGGTTAGATTGAGATTTCCAGGGATGGAAGTTCCCAAATAAAATCCCTCCAATTTTCCCGGAAAATATGGAAAATATATTATATTCCCTCTCCTGATTGTTAGAAAGGGAAAATATAATTTGTCATACATTAAAAAGTACCTAATCTCAATGACTATGTGTTTCAATTGGGACCAGTAAATATGTTAGTAATAACCAGGGTTTTAAAAATGGCAGGCATAAACAATAGATGCCAATTTTGCCAAATGCCTGTCCTGTCTTTGCCATGCCCTGGGCATCTATTTTCAGGTGGTGACACCTATTATTTTAATTTTATATTATTAATTAATTTATAAAACATCGATTTATCGATATATTTGTTTGTATTTTTGTTTTGTGTACCTTTAATTAAAAGGTAATATCTTTAGAAATAAGTTTATTAATTATAAATTTAATTAACACGCTAAAAACACTAAATTACATTATTTTTATAAATACAGTTGCTTTTTAGCAATTTAATTTGGCAGGCAAATAATATAGATGCCCAAAATGCCAGGAATTTATGGCATCTATTTGGGCATTGCTAAGGCAGGCATTTATTTCCTTAAAACCCTGGTAATAACTCAATCAAAATATGATTCAAATAATATTAAACATTTAGTAAAAACATTAAATACATTTTGTAGACATTTACTATACAAACATGTTTTTAATAAAACATTATGTAATATGAGTTAGGGTACGATAGGTAATACCACAAGGAAATGTCTTCCCAGGGAACAGGGAATATAAGGAACTTATAGAAAATAAGACGAGGGAGGGAATCTAATCTAACCCTAACTACAGTACTGTACTAAAACTGTTTCATTACCAGGGTTTTAAGGAAATAAATGCCTGCCCTGGCAATGCCTGCCCTGGCAATGCCCAAATAGATGCCATAAATGCTGGTATTTTAATCATCTATTTTATTTGTCTGTCAATTTAATGCTAAAAAGAAACTGTATTTATAAAAATAATTGTTTCACGTGTTTTGAGCTAACTATTAATACACATTTTATTAGTGGAGATCTAATATTAGTTAATTTATAAATTTAATATAATTGACTGCGAAAATCAAAAACCACTTATAAACTCATGTCTTATCAAAAATACTACTAATCCTTAAACAACTGAAAAACTTTTTAATCCAATCACTTGATTACATGTTTTTGACTTTTGACAGTACAGTACAGTACAGACAATCATTTTGCCGGACACTAGAAATCACATTTAATGTCCGATTCTCCGGTCAGTTATGCCAGACCTGGCAATTGTATTATACTTTTAGTGTATTACACTATTAATTTACTACCTGTACTATACAAGTATATGTAATAATATTTAAAAACTTAAAATATTAATTCATAATTATAAAATATCACTGATATATACAGTCAAATAAAACAGATTTAAATTATAAGTAAAATTTAAATATTCATTAATTTAATAAAGAGTTGAATAAAACTTAACAAAAAGATAAATACTTCAATAAATCTAAAGATTGTTATTCAAACAAGTGATACAATTGTGTGTTATTAACAGGGTTTTAAAAATGGCAGTCATAAACAATTTATATTAATTATATTTATAAAATATAATTTATTTACAATATTATAATTATTTACATTAAGTAATTTTTTCTACATTTTAAAATATAGAATATAAGTTATATTAATAATAAAATATTTCTTATTTTCCTTAATGTTTTAATCAAACGTTTTGTTAATAAATAATTTTCATTTTAATTGTACTGATTTTGTTTCATTTGTTAAAATAAATTACTATATAATTTAAATGCGTTAAATCTCTACAAAAATATAATTTTCTTTAAAAAAAATTTAATTTATTTTTATATTTATTAAAATAAAACTTATTTTTAAAAATTATCCAGTATTTGTCCCGGATTTCTTTGGTTAAATTTATACTAAATTAAGTATTTGTTAGAAAAAAACATTTAACATCTCTAACTATTTCTATTATTTCTATAATAGTATTAAAATGACAGTAAATTTACAATAACTCAAATGGTCTATCAATAAACATAACTATTAATAGATATGAATAATAATTACATTATTGCCAATACTAACCAATACTATAAATATTATAATCTATAAAATAATCAAGATAACATATTTAGAAATAAATTAATATAATAATCAGTGTTTAACTTAAATTTATTATTTTATTAATAATAGTCAAAGTTATTATAATTTATACAACAATTATTACAGATAGCATTTATGTATGCATCTCATTGTAAAACTTAATCAAATAAATAATATAATAATTATTTTAATAAACATTTAATGAAACATTTATTTTTATAGATAATTCTAACAGTCATTTATTAATTAATAATAAACTTATTAAATATGTAATAATTATTAATAGTTAGACAATAATTAAAATAATAATTGAGAAACAAATGATTATTATTTCTAATATATGATTAATGAATAATCATAATAAAGATGAACTATAGATCAATATATGAATGTATTATTTAATTTGACAATTATTGCATTGACACTATTAGATGACTATTAGATGGTTTGATTGTTTGAGTCATTGGCCTCATTGGCCTCATTGGCCTCATCGAGCAGATCCCTGTGCGAGGAGTTCATGTGTCGCAACAATGTCTCCTCTTTTGCAAACTTTTTGTGACAATGAGAACACAGAATTGGCTTAAGTTGTAAATGAATTGAACGCAAGTGACGGTTGAGATCACCTAAAAGTCAACAAAATATGTCAAATTTGGTGCACTGTTTGTATAATACGGTATAATAAATAAACCTTTACTTTATATAATATACAATTAAAATACCTCTTTGGCAAAACCCTTTGGAACAATGAGGACACGAAAAGATTTTTCTGTAAATTAATTAATAAATCGATAAAGTTTTCAACAATTAATATATTGATAACTGAATACTCTTTATTGTGGAAGCGTTGATGAGTTACTAAGTCGCTGTGTCTGATGTAACCCTTTCCACATTGTGAGCATCGGTGCGGTTCTGGTAATTCATATATTTATATTAATTATCAATACATTAGATTAGAAAGAAAGATATAATGTAAGTACCAGTTCCTCGATGAATATGGAGATGACGGGCCAAATCACAGCGCTGTATGAAAGATTTGCTGCATATATCGCACCGGAATCGTTGGTCTTCCTATTTATTGACATTTAATTTGATAATAAAATAAATTATAATAAAATATGAATTAAGAAATTATATGTAAAATGAAACCTTTGAAGGATAGGAATGTATTTTCTTATGTCTCGTATAATTGCCTAATCGAGTGAACGTTGAATTACATAATTCACATTTGAATGGTCTGATTGACTCATTAGATGAGACCACTTCTGCCAATACTACCGAAGTACTGACCGCCATATCATTTGAGCCTTCTTTATGATGAATTACATCATTGGTTTCCTGTTTGGTATTCAATGGTAAGACAAGAGAAGTGCCGTCTTCACGGATCACTTGAAGTGCAATTTGTCTGGAGGTTAGAGAAGATGGTAGAGCAGCGGCCAAATTGGCCAATAAAATGGAATCTTTAGCTAACATTCCGGTTGGCAAGACTTTAATGTCAAGTGTTGTCAATGGAAGTGATTGAGAAGTGGTAACATTACTAACTTCTGGTTGTGATGAGATCATAGTGAATGTTCCTTCTGTTTGTGTTTGACAACTGGTTGTGTTGGAAGTGCTTTCCAATGGATTTAAAACTGTTAAAATTGGTTTAATATCGATTGTCTCGATGTTTGGCTTTATATCATCGCATAGAAGACTATCTTCTATATTGTTTTTGTCTTTATTATTCGTACTCAACATATCCTTATGAAGTGAAGTGGGAGTATTGCGAGCACTTTCCACCTCAATAGGAGTGACCACTTCTCTTAAAGTTGATGACTGATCGGTTCCAAACGTATTTGCAAACAACTCATCAGTAGTTATATCTTCAGGACTTTCAGAAAGTCGAGAATTTCTTCCGTTACAAGAAGTTTCGTCATCACAAATAAGATGTGAATCTTTGTGTGCCTCCAGAAGTAGTGGTGATTCGCAATATCGATCTAAACAAATGGCATAATTGCTCTCAATATTATTGCGACGAATTATCTCAAGACTACTGGTCGATAGGTTCACATCTTTCCTTACGGCAGAGTTCCTGTGAGAGATACCATCCTCTGAAAGAGTCAAGAAATCAGTCGGACTAATGAGTAATCTTTGATTTGTTATCGATTGACTTGTCTTTAATGTGTTACTACTATCACATTCATTGTGACAATTGGTGTCTAACGGTAGTGATATCAAACACTTGCGATCTCCTTCTGTGATCTCCATTTTGGTGACACTATTGTTGATATCGTGATCTATTTGTTTATCACAAGAGATAATTGACTGATCATTATTTAAAGAGACGATATAATGAACGCTAAGTTTTGGGATACAATTGATGTTAGTATCGATTTGTGAATATTGAGAGCTATTGAGTGAAGACATTTGCTTATTGAAGGTATGGTTGGGCACAATCAACACCGGAGTCGTCTTAACTGATTTCATACATGTATTCACTAATTGTTCGTTTGACTCATTTATAACTGTTTTCCCAATCTTTTCGTCCATTTCTTACAAATTATATCACTATTTTATTATTACAAACTATGATTGCAATAATATATTCATAATATAATGAAATAAAAGATTAAAAATTAGTGATAATATTGACCGAAATATGTAGACAAAGCACCTAAAAAGTCAGCCATCAGTGAGTTATGAGATGAGAACTAATCAAATGTGATGAAGGGATGCATAGGATGTATAGATATATGGGATGCTGTGTTTGCCAAACAACCAAACAGAGCACACTTTAGTGTCATATATACAGATTTGACACCAAAGCAAACATAACGGCGCTAATTATTCAATCATTTCAATGACATCTTCTAACTGTAATAACTGAAAACTTGGTCTCAAAAGAGCAACCGTTAGTTGCAATCATCACTTCCCAGATCATTGTCTGTCCATTTCATAGCATAACTGCTATAAAAACTGCTGTAAAACTCCATTTATTTCTATATAATGTATAGCATTGTATAACTTAATCGCCACTACATTATGGTTACGATCGATACGAGAGTCACTTTAAATAATCAATACAACCAACCGATCAATAAGTTGGCGGTGACTGCAATGCGACGCTTACATACATACATACATACCATAGCATATACGGTACTGTATTACATAACATCCACAGATTACTATCTCCATTATAACTATGCTTTAAGTGTGGCCTACATCTCATAAATGAGATGGACTTCCCCTGATTGCAGATTTCAATAATAAACATCAGCTGCTTGTGTCAAATATATGAATGTAGTATTAAATAATCAAATTAAACAAATGTTATATTTTTACATCATTTTAATCATACTGTAAATAATAATACTGTAATGAATTAAACACAAATAGAAATTTTAATTGATTGTATTTAAAATCCAAATAATTTTTTATATAGTCTATGGACCACAACATATATATATATAATATTGATATTATATATAATTTTAATTATATAATTGACCTTGTTGAATTAAAACAATTTATATAAATAATTATATATTTGTTTTTTAATACTATAATATACATGACAACAACTCTGTAGACATAATTTTTATAATATTGTAAACTAATTTAGTAATTCAATAATAAACTACAAAAATCCATAATCAAACCATAACTTAATATTTTTACTAAAATATACAAAATAACACATGTCATAGTATAGTTAATTCACCTAGCAATATTTGAACATGAAATTTTTTCTAAAATTAATATAATTCTGTATGAATTAGCATGGACAATTGTCAGATAAAAAATGTTACTTTTATAAATAAAACTAAACAACTCATATATTCATTCATTATATAGGATTTATATTATTTATACAAGTTACCAAGAGCATTTAATTAGGTTACCTAAAAGTTATTTATAAATATCCATAGAGTATATTATAAAATTTATGAATTCTAATAATCATTTAAATATTTATATATTATTCATAAAAATTTTAATTTACTTTATCAATAGTTAAGACATATTGTCTTCATTGTATACAAATAATAAATTATAAAATATTATATAAAAATAAAATAGATATTAACATAGATTAACAATCATTTTAAATAAATAAAAACAATTAATTTAATAAAATTGTCATTCATTTAATTAAGCCTACGTTGAGAGTCGTTTTCTTTATCAGTCAAACGGGTTTCAGACAGTTGTGTCAAATAATTTGATGATTTGTTATAATAGTTATTATTTTTGATACTTTTTATTAAACAATAGTCGTGTTCATGAAGTAGATATGAAAACAATGGATCAAATTGTCGATCATTTATGTTAAGTAATGAACGCTTTGATGACTTTTTTGGTTTAGCCAACAATGAAATGCCTTTACTTTTTGGTGATAACAAAGAAGTGCCTCTTGTTTTAGATTTTTTAACTTTGGGTGATATTATTACAACACTATTGCCATCACTACTAACACTAACATCCGATTTAATACACATATTATTACTTTTATAATTATTATTCATTTTATTAAAAGCTAAATAGTTTTTATGGTTCATATGGTTGTCATCAAAAAACTCAATCAAACTATCGATATGATTGTGATTGGCATCTAAACCAAACTCAAAGTCATCCAAAAATTGTGATTGAAGTGTAAAGATATCACCCAAACAGGTCTCGTCTATAAGTGTGGCCGAAAAGTCTTCAGTAGTCATCTAAATGTGATATTTAAATATAATTAGTGTATTTGTGTCACAAAAGGCTAGATCTCTAATCACATCTCTATGAATGAGAGTAAAACTCTTTTGATTTTCATTTAGCAGTCATTTGATGTCATGCTATCATCAGGTGATGGCATAACTCGTGATAACCGCAAAAAACTTATTATATAATTAATCACTAGTTTTTCACATATTATTAAATTCATTTAATTAATAAATAAATTAGTTTAATGTCATTATAATTAAATACTGTGTTATATTTGTTTTTTTTCTAATCAAGAAAACAATTTATTAATCGACATAATAAACAACATTATAACCATTTTATCATTACTTTAATACATGTCTAAAACAAGTCATTAACCATATTATTGAAAATTTAAAATAAATCTCATTTATTAAATTTCATATATTAATATACAAACAATAGTATAATAATAGAGTATATAAATTACAGTTATAAATGTAATGATGTGTTCAAATGGTATCTCCACGTGGACTATACACACACACACACACACACACACACACACACACACACACACACACACACACACACACACACACACACACACACACACACACACACACACACACACACACACACACACACACACACACACACACACACACACACACACACACACACACACACACACACACACATACACACACACACATACACACACACATTGCAACTTCAATACTAATGATATAATGTATTCAAATTCAACAAAACAATATAACTTACCTTTTAATACAATATAATAAACAATTCACTGAATATGACATAATAATTAATACGATTATATTTAAACAACAATTTAAACTAATTACTAATTAATGGCTTAAGTAATGAAAAAAGACAAAATGTTGATAAATGTGATTCAAATGTTACATAACTTATGTTAAAGTATTTATTTAGTAAAGCATTGCTATTATACCGGTATTTGTGTCCATTATATTGTATTATTAGTAGAAAACAACAGTACATTACGACATCTACAGTATATTATAAAAATAATTACAAAACATTTCAATAGTCAATCACATTCAGAGAGTCTTAAACAGCGGCGACGATAGCGGCGATTCTTTTAATTTCAATTATATGGTCAACAATACGTTGGATTTAAAAGTGACCATGGACAATGTTGTTGATAATTTTAAACTGAATAAATTGTGATTGGTCATTTTTCAATTAATTGCATCATTGGGCAGATAATTGCAGTCGACTATCATTTTTACAATTTTTTTAACAGTCGACTGTATATTATATGGCCAATCATACAATTAATTGTAAAATGACCAATTACAATCTTAATCAGTTTGAAATTATCTACAACATTGCCCTTGGTCACTTTTAAATCTAACATATTGTTGATCAGATAATTGAAATTAATAGCATCTCCGCTGTAATTCTCTTTAAGACTCTCTCTCTCTCTCTCTCTCTCTCTCTCTCTCTCTCTCTCTCTCTCTCTCTCTTAAATCACATTTCAATATAATTTATATAAAGAACATAATAAAAATCAAATAATAAATATTAAAAAATATAAATTAGATTTTACTAAAAATTTTTCATACAGTTTTCGGTAAATTTTTAATTTAGAGTAAGCTATTACTAATATATACTGTAAATAATAAATAATTGAAAACTTTTTAATAATTTAACCAAATTTAACTAAATATGAATTACAAAATGTATTGTACTGTATATACCATATTCTCTGCATAACAATCTATATCTCTGACTGTTGTGATTGTGATTACATTTGATATCAATAACCCTTAAATAATATAAATAAATGTATTATTTATTAAGATATCATAAATATGCAAATATGAAAACACAATTTTATTTAAAATTAAAACCTAAATTAACAGTATTTTGACCAACATTTACATTTCAATTTCTAATAATACAAGTATTGTAACAAAACTTACATCAATATATAATAATTACAATAAATAGTTTATTATTAGAAAAAATAGTTAAAATTTGATTGTATTTTGTTTTTTAAACAACTTAATATATTCTTAGTATAATATGAATAATACTAAATATATTAAATTACAATAATAAAACAATAATTAAAATTGGACTTTAAATAATAATAAAAAATTATTTAACAAATTTGACAAAAATATGAACTGTTTTATAGTAAATCTTATCAATATATTAGTATTTTATTATAGACGGACATTAAATTAATAGTTTGAAACTAATTTGTGTTAATTTGAATACCACTGTAATTGACCGATATATTTATATTAATTAATTTTATGCAATTTATAAATATATTTGATGATTTAAAAACAAATAAAATTTTGCATTTGTATTTTTTTTTAAATTTTAGATACTTAAAATACAAATTAAAAGTTAGATTCATATTTCCATTAAATCCAAATATTTGTGTTTAATAATTTTGGCTAATTTATCTAAATGCTAATTCGTGTAATAATAATAATAAATGTATTATACAATAATCATAAAATGTTCAACATAATAAATACGATTAATAAATAAATATAACAATATTAAAATATATTTTTTGTTTGTTATATACTATTAATATGTGCTAACATTGGCTCGATATTAGTGTAATAGTAATCTATAATTTTTATAATTGTAAAATATTGATACTGTAAATCATATTGTATTTTGTATAATACAATATAGTTTATCATTAAGCGTTTGTTAACTATTTATATGACAGTGTCGAGGATTGCAAGAGATCTTGCAATTGCTTCATCCTTTAAATTCAATTAAAAAAAAATATTGTTAACTAAAAAAATACTAATAAAATATAATGTATTACTTGAGCGCAAATAGCCATGAATTCCTCAAAAGTAACGACACCATCTCTATTAGCGTCTAATTTCTAAATATCACAATATTATGAAAATTAATGTTAAATTAATTTGAATAACACTTTAGTAAACCTGAAAAGTACGGTCACAGTGATCACTAAGTGTCCGCTCATCAATCAATGGATATGTGCGACGACCTATCAGTGCATATATTGCACATAATATTTCACTCAATTCTTTTCCTTTTTATAAAAGCATTTGAATAAAAATAAAAAATATTTAATATATTAAACATTATTTAAATTATAAAAATGTGAGGCATCACTGGTAATATATCCATCATTGTTGATGTCATATAGACGGAAAGCCCATTTTAGTTTTTCATCAGCTGATCCATGGCAAAGTAGGGACAACCATTGCAGGAAATCCTTAATTATACAATAATTCAATTTAAGTTATAAACATTTATTTAATATATAAAATTTGTCATTACTTTAAAACTAATCGCTTCATTGCGATTCTGATTAAACGTTTTAAACACATAATGAGCGTATTGATTAACATCTATAACATTGCAAATAAATTAGTTTTTTTAATTCACTTAATAAATGATTTATAATAAAATATTAAATATATTAATAATAAAATAAATTATTAAATAAATGAGAAATATATATAGATTTATACTTCCGTAAGGAAAGAATCTCATAAATATGTCTCTGAAAGTTTCCTCCTGTAATAAACCACTCGGACAGTCCTTAATATAGATAACATTAACAATTATAGACATACTGTATACACAATGGATATCAATATTTTTACTGTAGACTGCAATTACTTTTTATTACATATATTTTTTTATCTGATAATAAACTCATTTTAAAAAATTTATTCAAGATTTACAATATTCAATATTTCTTATGAAAACATTCTTACAATATTAATTAAAATAGTTTTTTAAAAATTCAATATTAAAAATATATATTAAACAGTAGTAAAATATATAAGCATTCATTTTGTTGACCTACAGAACTTAATTATATATTAAATTAAATAATAAATAAATAACTTGTTTAAATGTAATTTTGTTTATATATTCTAGCATATAATGTAAATATATCTAATAATAAATGTTCATTTATAGAAACAATTTTACTAAATATTTATATAATACTGTAGCTTTGATTTCATATTTGAGTGCTATTGATATTATTTTTCACATTTGATTTAATTCTTTCAAAATATTAAATTTTAATATAACTACAGTATTTATAACATATAATATACTTCACTATAGATATTGCAATATTTTAGTCAAATAATGACAGCTAACTAAGTTAATGAATAAAAGATGATCACAAATATAAACAAAATGTGATACCTGTTTGAATGTCCGGTACATCACTTGGATCTGTCTTTTAGAAAATTTGGTGCATTTTTGTAGTTCTCCTAAGCTTTCTTTCGGTGGACCGGCTATTCTGAAGGAGCACTTCCTCGACTCAATCTTCTCGTCCATTGTTTACTACTTAAACCAAATCAAGTGCACACAAAACAATTAATAATTTTATAGTTAGATTGTATAAGATTTTATGTGTAAAATTGTTTTTATTTTGATTAAACGTATATTAAGACTAATTTCTTGTCGTAACCTAATAAATGGTGTGAAAGCATACAAACCTCATCTTATATCGATCTCAATGTCTGATTATGTCTGACTTTGCGCACAATTATTATATTTGAATTGTTATCTAATTTATACACTTTATATCTATAATATCATCAAATATTATTGTATTTATGTCTTATATTGTTGTACTAAATGTCATTATAAAATTATTTTATAAAATACATATACACTTGTATGTACTTAAACATATACAGTATATTTATTTTAAATACAGTATATGCATGCGATAATATTGATATTTTAAATTAATTTATTATATTAATAATCACAAATAAAAATTAATAGTATTTTTGTAATAAACATTATTCTATTGATTCATATTCTATGATAATGATTATTCAACACTTGAATTTATAAAATTACATTAAAATTATTAGTAAAATTAGTATATACATATACTTAATGTAATCTGGGTAATTGTAGGATTGACTAATTAGTATTATAGAATATGAATAAATAGAGTAGTTTAATATTAATCAATTTATTACTTATATATATGATAATATGTTTTAATAATGTAATAATGTCTTAAGTAAATAAATATTATTAGTTTTAAGAAAACAAAATTTATTATTTAATTCAAATATTAATTTTAGAAATAAGTTGTATAATTTTATTGATAAAATAGTAGATTTAATTATTATAACAAAAGTAAAGAATTAGTCAAATGTGTTTAATTATTTGTAATTATTTTAAATTAAAATATTGTTAAATTATTATTAATTAATTATTATTAGAGAATAATCTATATATTATAAATTATATTACTAATATGTATTAATATTTTATAATTATATATAAGAATATATTTCAATTCATAATTATAACAGAATAGTATGCAATGTATTTGTAATCATAAGATTTACTGTATATCATTATAAGATTCAATGAGATGAAAATATAAGGCTAAATATTAAAGATAATAAAATATTTTAATTTTTAATGAATAAAATTATTTGAAAAATTTATAGAAAATTAATAATACTTTAATATATTTAATTAAAGATAAAATTTATTAAATTTAAAAGCACTCATATTATTACTGGTTATAATTTTTAATTTATTATTAATAACCATTATGTAAATCATAAAAAATCAATATATAAAAATCTATTTTTATAATGTTTTGCAGATTAAATAAATAAAATATGCTTAATATTATATATTGAATAAAATAACACTAAATAATATATACAAGTATAATATAACTAAATCAATGCAATAAACACTATATTACTAAAAGCATTTGTTTTGTTAGCAAAATTGGTTGCTATGAATTTGGAGTATTGGGTAGACATAAATTTAAAGATATAGATATATATATATATATATATATATATATATATAATATCTACAAATATCCACAGAATATACTGTATATCAATGGATTCAACATTTAATTTTGACCAAACATACAATGAATTCAATGTCACTAATCTTTCAACTATTCAACACTTGACCTGTCCTTCATGTCATATAACTCTAACTAATTCAAGACACCGGTCTATGTGTCCATTTTGTGGCAGTTTTTATAATCCAAACGTTGAATTAGATATTGGATTGAGAAGTGATTCGAGAATTCTTCGTCCAAATTCACACCAAAATATTCTTCATTTACCACCAATTGTATGATTAAGTTTTGTTAAATTTATATATTATTTTTTTAATTTTAGTGATTTTATTTTAATTAACTTAAATTTTGTGGTTATTTATTTCTCTTATTTTTTTAATTAGGATTCTCGGCAACATTTACTAAGGGTTACCGGATTTGGTCCATTAATTACAGATGGTTTGGGTATTAATATATTTTTATAATTAAATTTTTAACACTTATTTTAAATTATAATTTATTACAAACATAGGTGTAATTCATACTTATATAACTGGTCTTTTATTTCCGCCTCATATTGATGATGAGTCGTCCAATTTATTGATATCATTGCCTCCAATAAATAATTCACATTCAGATTTAGCAATTAATGATAATATAAATGATAATCAATTTATGACAAATTCCTCTAAAACACAAAAACTTTTGAACCAATCTTTAGAAAGTTCGCAATTTTCTTATAGTAATAAATATTTGTCGACACCTTTTCATTATCCGAAACGGGATTTCACATTAAATGATTTCAAGTAATTTAACGCATTTATCTCTATTAATATACAGTATTAGTTAATGATTAAATGATAATTTTTAATAATAAAGTTGTCTAATATTATGTTTTTTAAAATTAAACTTTATAATACTTAAATCTTATATAGACATATTCATAGACTAAATAATCAGCTATAATTTGATGGAAGTATAATTTTGATAAAAATTTGTTATGCAATTAATGTTAATCCTCATAATTGCATCATTTCTTTAATCAAATTAAAATCATTTTGTCTATGAATAAGATTAATAATAAATATTTTTCATTTCTGTCTAATAATGATAATGTACTTTATATTATATTATTAGAAATCTATTGACAATATCGTGTGAAAGTGCAGATTACACACAATTACATGATTTTTATGAACAAACGTTTAGTTCAAATATTGAATTAAATGCATTATTTAAAGTGAATGCCAATCAAAGTGATGCAAAATCACATGATCCAGAAATTAATATCATATTTTTATATACAGTTTATGATGAACTAAATAATCTGGTTTGTCATCTAATTATTTTATAATAATTATTACTATTTATTTAATAAAATATTTATATCATTTAGCCTTCATTTATAAGTAAAACAGTTTTGAAAGGAGTAATTGCATCGCTTTCATCAACCGAACCGTTAGTTTTAGCAATTAATGAATTTACAAAAAAATACATTAGATTTTTTTGCTAAATAATATTCTGGAAAATTAATATTATATTAATAACCGTTATTATTTAGTGAAAATGCTATTATATTCAAATAATTGTAATTTAAATATGATTTTAACAAATATATCATATTTATAAAATTAGATTGAAATCTAAAGATGAAATTCGTGCAATATTTATGTTATTGCAGGTCAGTTAATATTAAATTTAATACTGTATTTATTTATTGTATTATAATTAACTAATTTTAAAATATATATTTATACATAAAGAATCCCATATTTAGTAATCAATCTTCATATAATGTTTTCGCACATTTACTTAAACGTGTGGTTAATCTGAACAGTGGTGATCATCAGTTATTAATTAATTGGTTTTCAAAGTAATCCATCGATTTTTTATTATTTAGCTAACAATATAAGAGTATAATTAATATATACTATTTAATAAATACTTAAATATTATAGATTACAAAGTGACAAATTGAAAGCTTTAGTCAAAAATGTGTTGCAATTCATAACAATTCGTGAGTTTCCACCAAATAATGGCCACAAATTGCCGACAATTAATAAAAGCAAATTTTGGATACCCTGTGCAACCCGTGTATTAGCACTTCTCAGTTAGTATTTTTCATTATTTTACGGTATTTTATAATAATTTTGCAGATATTATATAATTTAAACAAATAAATACATTAAATATATACAATTGACAGATGCGGCTAATAATAAGATGAATCCCAATGTTGTAAATTATACTGAATTTTATAACTATGCTTTGGATCACATAAATCTTATGTCTGAATATTATCGCTGGCAAAACCCATCAAAAGTCAATCGGTATTATATAAAATTATTATCAATTGAATATCATATAATATTAAGTTATATTTACATTAAGTAGTTTGGATATTAAGCTTTTATTTATATATGTATATACTGTAGTTAATAAATAATAAATGTGTTATAGATTTTCCTATTGTCAATATCCATTTATCTTAAGCATTGTGGCCAAGAAAACAAGTTTGTCTATTGATAATAATTTTTATTTATTCATAACTCATTTATTTAATTATTAAATTGAAAACAGTTTTGCAAAGAGACTCTGAACAACAAATGATATTAAATGCTCGGGTAATATAATTATGTGATTCACAATAAATTATTTAATTTATTTATATAAATAATAGCAAAGTTTATTAAATCGAGCCATTCATCAGCAAATGGCAGACATTGATGTCTTTTTTCTTAATCTAAACATTCGCCGATCAAATCTTGTAATCGATTCATTAAATGAAGTAAATATCTGACAATACTTTGATTAATACTCAATTAGATGTTAACTGAATATGAATATTACATTAAACTTATTGAATAGATCGCTAAAAAGCAAAGTGATCTTAAAAAGAAACTAAAAGTGACATTCATTGGTGAACCGGGACTTGATATGGGAGGACTCACTAAGGAATGGTTTTTATTGTTAATTAAACAAATATTTCATCAGGATTATGGTCTCATTGTTTATAATTACTTATAATTATATTTCATTAATTTATAAACTAATATTAGTTTTAGTAATAATGCTATTTTATTTCTCAAACTTAGGTATGTTTGTCTATCACAAAAAATCCCGGTGTTATTGGTTTAGTACTGTTCAAAATGGAAATCTTAGAGAATATAATTTAATAGGAGTTGTATGTATTTTATGAATTTTACAAAAAAATATTGATCTTATAAGTAATTTTTAATTATTTTATTTAATAAAGTTAATGGGTTTAGCAGTCTATAATTCAATGTAAGATTATAATAATAAAACTATAATTTTATAATTATGTTTATTTGAAAATACAATATAATGTAATAATATTTTATAGAATACTTGATCTTCATTTTCCAACACTTTGTTTCAAAAAGTTATTGAGTCCACCGGTAGTACCACTGGATATAGACAGGTCTCCGGTAGGCATGTGTAACGTAACTATGGATGACTTCACTCAAGTTATACCCGTCAGTCTAATTACAATAATATATTAATAATTAATTTATAGTAATTTATAAAATTATGTTTATGTTTACAATAGGACGTAGCAATTGGTCTCAAAGAGTTATTGGCTTATGAAGGAAATGTTGAAGAAGACTTTTGTATGAATTTTCAAGTAATTTATTATTTTCTAATTTTACACTATTTTTTAAGTTATTATAAATTTTAAAAGTTATTAATAAATTTGAAGGTTTCAGTTGAGGAATTTGGTGAAGTGAGGACACATATACTTAAGCCCAATGGACACAACATTATAGTTAATAATGATAATAGATTTGGTTCGTCTATTTAGTAGTTCATGTATTAAACAATTATTGTTTCAATTAACTTATAAAATCTTTTATTGGTGTAAATTAACAGAATTCGTTAAGTTATATATGGATTTAATACTAAATAAGGCTATATTTCAAGCGTTTAAAGCTTTTTATTTAGGATTTCACAGCGTTTGTGCTTCAAATGCGTTAATTGTAATAATTTTTATATAACAATTTAAAACTATTAATAATAATAAATTTATAAAAATATCTGAAACAGATGTTAAGACCAGAAGAAGTGGAAGTGTTAGTCTGTGGCTGTCCTACCATTGATATGGAAGAGTTAAGAAAAGCTACCGTTTATGAAGGATATCTTGAAAATGAACCAATCATTAGGTTTACATAAATACAACAAATAATCACTAACTCAAGTCAAACATCAATTAATATAATCAATATAATTATAACAGATATTTTTGGGACACCGTTAAGTCATTTTCCATAGACATGCAAAAAGACTTTTTACGATTTGTCACTGGAAGTGATAGAGTGCCCATCAATGGCATGAGTGACATGAACTTCAAAATATCTGCACTTAATAGCAATACTGATATGTAAATCATTTTATTAAATTTTACTAAAATAAGTTAAAATTAAATTATTTGTTTTGGTTTACAATAAGGTTACCCATATCTCACACATGTTTTAACCAATTAGTATTACCCCGATATTCAACACAAGAGTTATTGAGAGAGAAGTTAATTGTTGCCATCAATAATGCTGAAGGATTTGGTCTCGAGTGATGTTACCATCAATTATATGAAATAAATACATTATTATCTAAATTTATTTCATCAAATCATATGGTTTACATAAAACAATATAAATTATATTATCTAAAATTAATTTACTTTATTCAAAATACTTGACTATTCAATTTGAATACTTAATTTAAATTAATTCAATTAGATTTAGTTTAAAGTGTTTTATATAAAAATATGTATAAATAAAATTAGTTTAAATATATTTCTTTACTTAAATGACATTAACTTTGATATACTATTAGAAATATTGATTGGCCTGCAGTTAATGTTACATAAAGTCTAACAATAAATATAAATAAAATTTTATAATACTGTACTGTAATATGCAATGTTTATACAATGTTTGTAATCTAAAAATTAATTATATTGTATTAATTATTAAGTTTAAAAAGTAATAGTAGTAAAATATATAATAGAGTCTATTAAATAGACTAATAACAATTATCAATACTAAAAATAATTAATATAAATAAATAATTTGCGAATATATCTGTATTTAGTGTTTCATTATGAAATTTTCATATTAAACCCTAATTATTAATAATACATTTTATTATAAAGTTTGAAAAATACATATTGTATATCAAATTGTTATATATAAACAAATAGTAATACTAAACATTATAATAAAATTTATGCTAATCTTAATAATCGATTTTTTAATTAAAATATAAAATTAAAAGAGAAAATAAAATATTTGCTTTATTTTTATGAAAAATTGATGGAAATTTATTAGGGATGTTACACGAACTCTACATAAATTTAAGTAATATACTGTATATTAAGTTTTATTATTTTAAAAGCATATTTTACATTAATTGATTATTAAACTTTTATTTTTATGTTTAAATATACAATTTTTATTGTTATGTTATATATTTAATTTAAATAATGTTATATTGAAGTAATTTATTATTTTTCAATATTTAATAGTTTTATTTTATTTATTTTGTATACATAAGCTATTTATTTATATTAAAACTCACAACTGAGTCACAACTTGTAAGTAACTAAGTATGCTATAGTAGAGTTCGGGCAAATTTAAAAGGGAAGGCAAGTTCCTTAGTAAAATCCCTCCAATTTTTCTGGAAAATAAGGGAAATATTATATTTCCCTCCCTAGCTCGTTAGAAAAGAAATATATTTCTACAATAAATAATACCAAAACTTAATATTTTGCATAAAATTTTATTAAAATATTTAAAAATAAATTTCAATTCAAAGAATATAAATTAATGATACTAATTAACAATAGCACTCAAAATACAGTTTAATACAACATTTGTTATTCAAATCTTATAATAAAATTCGTTGTTTAGATTTCTATATGTGGTTACATTGTGGTAATACAAGGAAATAGATTACATGGGAATTCCCAGAGAGCAGAGAAAATAGGGATTTTTGGAAAATAAGACGAGGGATTGAATTTTCCCCAAAACACTAATAAGTTATTATAATATGAAAGTGAAGGCTTTGGCGCCAATCATCTGATGGTTTGATTATGTATTGTATATAATATTAATAATAAAAATATTATTATTATTATTATTAATCATCACTTATGGATCAAACAAATTGTGATAATAATGTTACCAATGATGACATTCATAGTCATTCATCATTCAAGAAGTTGGCAAAAATAAACGGAATGATCAACGATATGACAATCGATGAGTTAAGACATAGATTGAGTCAATTGACTCTTGAAGTCAGGTTTGGAAAGTTAATGATTTAATGAATTGATTGTTACCATTGATGACAATGTCTTGAGCAGTGGTTCAGAGGATTCCTGTAGACGACGTCTTAAGAATCACTACAGAAACGAGACAATGAAGAGAGTGTTTAATAAGTCAATCACTTATTATTATGATATCATATGTGTTGTCGACTTTGAGGCCACTTGTGATTCACCACAAAGTGATGACTTGATTCAAGAAATCATCGAATTTCCCGCTGTTTTGGTTGATGTCAAGCAAAGGAAAATTGTATGACTTTTGGTAATTAATAGAAAATAAATAAATGTTTTAACATTTGATAAAAGGTATCGACATTTCATGAGTTTGTAAAACCAAAATCAACACAAAAGTTGTCTGAGTTTTGTACAAAACTAACGGGAATTTCGCAATCAATTGTCGATAAATCTCAACCATTTGTTGAAGTATTGGATAAGTTTGACAAATGGTTCAACTCTTATATCAACAACAATAACATCAAATCATATGCTTTTGCCACCGATGGGTAATATTTGTACCGATATATTGATTTTATAATTTATATCTTAAGTATTATTTGGTTTCAGTCCCTGGGATTTGTGTCACTTTTTTGCTTTGACTGTAAGTCTCTAACAATAATCAATAATAATTGATATCTTGAAAAATTAATGTTTTAATAATAATATAAATATTTAGTGCAAAATATACGATATTACTCTTCCGTCTTATGCCAGACAATGGATTAATATTCGCAAAGTGTTTACCAATCAATACAAAAGACAACAAGTGAGTCAACAATAACATGTCTTATCTTTTAATCAAAAACTATTTATTTAGTTATCTTTGGATCAAATGCTGACACATTTGGGTATGGAATTTAAAGGAAGAAAACATTATGGTTTTGATGACGCTATTAATATAGCAAATCTATTAATTCGTATGATTACTGATGGCGCCAATCCTACTATCAATCAAGAGATTAGTTGTCATAAGTTTGTATTACAATTTGCTTTAGTATTAAAATTGTAAATTTAAACTATATTTTAAATTAGATCGGATCGGAACCGTTGGACAAATATCAAGTGCGGATACGTTAGTATTAATCACAATAAATCAAGTATTAACTCAAATGATTCAGATTCTGATAATTCTACTTTTAAGGACATCAATAATAAATAATAGTTTAAGTGAAAAATAATTGTAAAATTTATTTAATTTATTAAACAATAAAGTTTAGTTAAATATTTATTAATATTATTTGTTTTGTCTGTTTTTCATTTTAATGTTTGACAGTTTTAGTCTTTTTATTTCTTTGATATCATCTCTTTCTGATTCCTAAAATATGATTTAATATTATTGTTTTTATTTGATATAAACAAGACTTACCGTTGTTTTCCATATTTTTATAAAAACTCTTTTATTAACTCTTAACTGACTGTACTTTTTCTGTAGATTTAATCGTTGTTGTGGTGATAAACCTCTTTCTACTACTAATATAATACGAGCCCACTATTGAAATATTTATAATTTAATATTTTATGAATTTTATAACACAAATAATATATAATACTATAGATTATAGGTTTACCTGACGGAGCCATTCATTAGGTCGGGAAGCTATGTCTTGATATGTTTTACCCTAAAATAATATTTGTTAGAACTTACAGTTAGAATAATTTTGAGTAAAATTTAATGAGAAATACCATCATTGCTATCAACATATTGACTAATAATATCGATACCAATATCATATAAAATATAAACATTAACTGCAAGTAATTAAAATAACACTTAATAGTAATTACATGAATAATAATTTAATAAAATAAAAAAGTTTCTAAACTTTAGCAATAGTTGGATGATCTGTTTTATCAAATTCAGTATAAATATCAACAAATTCATTCAATGATATTAAAAACATAGACATTATACTATCGATTACTCCACCAAAATAATTGGTACCATTGCCTGAATGAGACCTAAATATGACGAAGAATGCTGTAATAAATAAAATTGTAATAAATTGTAATAAATGTTTAATTAAATATTTAATATTAATTAATCAAACCTTCAGCAAATCCCATAACAAATATCATATAAATTGTAACAAAACACAAGAGATCTGAAACAATCATTTTATAGATCATCACTACAAATGGTCCAACAGTTTTGAATCCTCTAAAGTAACAAATGTTATTTGAAATGCAAATTTAATTTAATCACTTTATTATAATAAAAGAAAACATTTTGTATAATTGTATAATTTTGTTGATGATATTATTAAAAACAAATATATTATTTACCGGCAGAAAAACAATAGTTTCATTGGTGTCAAAAACATTGATAAAGCAATGATTCTGTCCTCATATTGTGGTAAACATAATAATCTCAATGGTATTGTAATTACAATTAAAATACATGACATTAGAAACATGATTCTTCCGGGAACTTTGATCTAAATTATTAATATAAATATATTGATTTGTATTTTCATTAAATTAATGTTGATTTTAATTACCAGTGTTTGTATAAATATAGACCAACCAAGACTTGATGCTTCAATGTATGCACTAATCAGATATATTGTCGAACCCATTGCACTCAATATTTCAAATATTCTTCTCATCTATTTTTTAATTATTGTTAACAAAAATAAATAAATAATTAATTAATTAATAAATACAATATTATTTAGATTTAATACTCGATTTAATGTTGTATTAAATTGGAGTAAATGACATGAATGTGTAGATATTTCATCATTTTTCACAGTTTTATCATTTTTGTTAATTTGTATGACTTGTTGTGTTTCCTCCAAAAAATAAGGAGTAATATTCAGTCTTTTTATTTGTTTATTATTCTGTGGATATGTTTTGCATTGATTTATTATTTGACACATATCAGCATTTGTATTAATTGAATTATCTATATTAAATATATAATTCAAATTAAATATTATATTTTCAAATTTATAAAAGTTTACTTTGGATATTATTGATGATATAATTAAGTTGACTGCAATTTAATTGTCGATTAATTTTATGATAAGTAATGGGTGCCGGTCTTAATATAAATGCAAAAAATGTTATTAAAAAGTAAAAACCATAAAATACAATTTGTTGATAAAATCTGTAAAATAATAATAATAATAATAATAATAATAATAATAATAATAATAATAATAATAATAATAATAATAATAGATAGATAGATAGATAGATAGATAGATAGATAGATAGATAGATAGATAGATAAATATTTTACTTTTTCTTGATAAATGTATTCCACTTTGCTTGTAATAAATCAATTAGTAATCCCTGAAACATATCTAAATGACCAAGCTCATCCTATAGTATAAGCAAATAATTATTACAAATACTGTATATTATTATAAATTATATTATGAAAACTGACTCCAAATGCAACAACACTTAATGCATTGTTTGTCTTTATGTGTCCCGTATTGACATCAATTGAATCAATTTCATCCAAAGGATAGGCAGTGAATGCCTGTTCACAGAATTCCCAAAAAACTTCTCTTTGAAGTTTTAAAATGTGAAAAAACATCTGAAAAATCGTAATAAAAGTATTAAATATATGTAATTGAATTGAATTTGTTTAATATAATGTTTTTTTTATAGATAATCACTTCATTTCTTGTAAGTTTAGCAGATAATGAAAGTGGTGTTAATCCTTGTTTATTGGTAATACTGAAACATAAAATGAAAAAAATAAAAAAGATATTTTTATTTTAACAATAATGAGATGACTGACTGTATATTAGCACCAAGCTCATATGCCAGATTAAACATTTTCTGTTAATTAGTTATAATAATTATAAACAATTAAGTTATCAAATGAGTGTTTCAAATAAGTTGAAAAACAAACCATTTTATTGCAGATAACAGTCATATGTAGAACAGTATTGCCATTAGTGTCTTCACTGTCAGGATTAGCTCCTTTTGCATACAATAAACGATAACAATCTTCGAGCTCAAGACATGCAGCAAATGAATGCGGATATTCTCCCCAATAGACATGTCTAACAATTGATTTAATTGATTAATGTTTTGTAATTTATTGATTATTTAACAACAATGACCTAACCCTTGATAATTGGTTTGAGTCTTCAAAATATATGATTCGTTATCTAAACTTTCTTTTCGCGTTTCTTTCTGATCGTCGGCACAAAAGAATTTGCCGATACATCGAGCCCTCACATCTGCGCCATTGTTTAGAAGGAATGATACCATAGATAGGTCTTCATTGACAACAGCCATATGAAGAGCTCCTTCACCATAAAACTCGTCGTCTAAATATATATCTTAATTGTCAACACAATGTTAGTATTAAACAAAATCAATCAATACTTTCAATCAAACCATGATATGTATTATATTACAATAGTTTTGAACATTATTTTATAAGTAAACCAACATATTTTTAAAACTAACAAATTTCAATGTTAGTTAAGTAAGTTAGTAACTAAAGTAATGTTATTAATTTATGAAATATCTTTGTAAATTTATCTCTAATGAATAATATTTTAATTATATAATTATATAATATAAAATTAAATGTTTATATAGAATGTTAAATAATAATAATATTATTTTAATAATTTTACTTACAATTATTAAGTTTTTAAATATTTTATCTTACTAGAATTAACTAAAAGTTTATAAAAATCTACATTAAATTTAATTATATTGATATGGTTATCAAGATAATCTATGTTTAAATTTGAAGTATAAATATTATATATAAAAAACCACTAAACAACATATTTCATATACCGTACTATACAGTAATTTAGATAATAATAATAAATACATACCATTAACTAATTTGGGAAATAATGTAACAATTCTTCGGGCCAGTTCTGTATGAATTGGTGTCGACACCAACTGATTTTATTAAATAAATTTGTCATATAATAAAAGTTGCAAAAATAAATTAAAAAATAAAAGGTATACCAAACACATATGTAGTACTGTTTCGCCAACAGAACCTCTTTCACTAAGTTTCCAACAAATTTCTCTATAATCGCAATCCATTTCCGGTAATATATCTATGATTTTATTTATTTATTAATTGTATTTATTTTCAAATTTGTTCAGATTTTCAAATTACTTGTTTTTCGTAACCTATTTGGAAAAAAACGATATAAAAGTTGAGATAATCGGGATCTGACAACCATTTGATTATCCATTTGTTGACATTCTTCATCCATTTGATTGTCATTATTATGATTATGTTCATCATCTGTGTTACCAAACTTGTTGTGTCTGTTTCTTAAACCAATCAAATGTGATATCAATACTTTCTTTCCTTGTCCTCCATTGTATAGAAATGGCTTAACTATACTCTCAATCTGATTGTTCACCTTTTAAGACAATTTGTCAATATTTTATTACTTAATATTAATTTATTAAATAAATTATCTAATTTATATTATTAAATTTTAATTTAAAATGAACTAAAATTAAAATTGAATTAAATGTAAGAATAAGAATATATAGGAATTTTATTAATAATAAATATAATTAAAAAGTAATACTTCGGTAAAATCTTGATTTTTGATGGCTTTCCTCATGATATCGACGAGAATACCTTTTTTCTTGACGTTAACCAATGAATATATTTTTTGTTTAGAAACGGCCTGTTTTTTCACACCAGCCGTCACATCGCTGTTAATATTTCCCATTTTATTTTAAATTTTAAATTTTAATTTAATTATTATATTAAATATATAATTTTTATTACTTAGAATAATTTAAAAAAAAAAGTTATTCTTATAAATTTGTTAAATAATCTGAAATATCAATATAATAATTTAACTTAAAAACCAATAAAAATATTATTTTACAAAATTATAAACTCATTGCTATTAAACACTCAATCTTTTGCATATTTATTAGTGAAGTTTAAATAGTAATTGATTATCACTTACTGTGAAATAACAATTTGGTCGCTAAGAGCCATTTGATGTGAGTTTTTGTTAATAAAATTTTTGTTATAAAAATATTCAATTTATATTATCTCACAATTCCCACCCTTTCCTTAAATTCATTACAATTACAAATTTTATTTATAATTGAGATCAACACTAATAGCAACAAATACATAATAACTTTTGCTTATATATAATATTTTATAAAAGTTATTATTGAATTGCTTTCATTGAAAGGTTACACTAATTAGTGTTATATTATAAAAGCTTAACTCTAAAACATGTAATAGAGACGTGAATTTTATGGTACTAATACTGTATAAAATCATTTTTTCATAATAATAATAATTTGATTAAATTATAATGGATTTTGTTATACAATATCACATTAGAATTCATGACTTTTAAAAAATAAGTATAAATAGCATAAAATAAATATAAATAATCGAAAATTAACATATTTTTAATAACATTTTATATTTTAATTTAATTTACCAAAATTAATATAAAAATATTTTTTTTTATTTAAGCAATAAGTATTATTTGTATAATTCATTAATTATTAAATTTTAAGATTAATTGAAAACAACGAAAAAAAATATTTTATATAAAAAATTTAATTATATAAATATATTGATTTATATTAATAAATAAATAAATTTTTTAATTATTAAATACTTACTATTTATAATACAAGAAACTTTACTTACAGTAATAAAAAATTTTTATTTAAATTAATTTACATATTTAGTTGTTTCCAATAAAATATCCGAAAAAGTAATGACTTTAATAATAAAAGATGAAAATATGTTATCGATTTATATATAATTGGTTATTCATCTCCACAGGTAATAAAATAGTTTTTCATTAACTTTATTTACACTAATCGTATATCATTTGACAAACTATATTATTGTTTGATTAAAGAATAGAAAATATATAGTAAAGAAAAATCGAGTTATAAACATATGTCTAATATTTAATCATTGCTTTTATTTAATATATATTATCAAGTTTTTTGTTAAATACAATAGAATAATGTTTATATTTAATGTAACATTAAATATTTATTTTTGTTTGAACATTAATTTAATAAATTCAAAATAAACCTTAATATAACAATTTATCTAAATTTAAAATATATGATAAGTCATTCATTACCCACTTTATAAATTGACAATAGATTATTATTATTATGCTAAATGTTAATATAATATAATACAATATAAACATAAGTAAATCCATATAAAAGGCACTATAAGTTTAATGACATAAAAATTAAATGGAATAATACAATGATTTACATAAAAATAACAAATTTTCATGTATTTTATTGTATGTAAATGTAAAACTACCAAAAATTAATTTTTGTTCATATATTAGTTTATATTATAAAAAAAACAATGAATTACAAAATTAGCAATAAACATATCAAATAAAAACAAATGTACTGTATGATATAATAGTCAATTGACTTAGTGGGCTAAACAAATATGTTTACTAAATATTTTAATATACTGTGTATAAAAAGTCTAAATAAAAATCAAAACTTAAACAAAACACTGGTATTTTCAAAATTAAATCACTCATAATATCAGTATTAATATATAGGTATATACTATATATATAATTGTTATAAATGAAAAATTAATTAATTGTCATAAATTGTTTCAAATTTCAAAACGACGTTACAGTTAATATTAGACATTATACATTTAATTGATTTCAATAGTTGCAAATTATATCATATTTGTTATACATTGATAAATGTCTAAATTATATAAATATAATATCGATGACTATTTATCACATGTTAACAAAAAATTAGAGAAACAGTGATTAAATTTGTTGAGATTTTTCTGATGGCACCACAACCATCACCTTTTGTAGTGTTAATGTAATCCAATCTATTAAACATTTTTAGTTAAAACAGTTTTAGTAAATAAATATAAATATTTAAATTTTAATTCAATCAATTATAATAAAATACAAACCGATAGCATTTTGTATTGGCTTAGGTTTCCTTTTCCAGGCAATAAAAATAAAATAAACGGGAACTCCTGTTAATATGATAAGAACTCCAAACCCAGTGCCTACTGGATCCGCCAACATTGGAACTACAGTTATAAAAATGGATGCAATAATGTAGATAATTGGCCAAATTAGGTTCACTTTTATAGGTCGTGGAAGATCAGGTTGTTTCCATCGAAGATATGGAAGACAAGCAACAGCTAATCCAATGGCCAACCACGTGGCAAATCCCACATAATTTATCAGTGCGTATATGTCTTTCGATGCCAAATACACGAGCGATAAAATGCACATAAAAATCACAGCAGGAGTTGGAGTCAAATGCGATATCTGTATCATTGATAATATCTCCGGCATTTGCTTTTGCTCGGCTCCGGCGTAAAACAGTCTTTAAATTTACATAAAATAATTATATATTAACTGACACATGTATGTCATCATCATTTAATGCTACAGTACCTGGATGATGTAAATAGGATACCATTGACGCCACCAAATGTAGACATAGCAACAAATACTGGTACAATCCATGCCATAAATCCATATAATCGTTCAGCAAATGTCTTAATTATATCAAACAAATCATTAATCATCAATCAATCATTAGATTAGATAAAATAATAAGATATACAATAAATTATTTATTTATAAAATAATATAATTATCAATACATACGACGGCTACTGCTTCTGCCTGTAAAACTTCGGCAACACTTAAAGTCGAGTGAAATGCAATTATAGTCAATGTGTAAACAACTGTCACTAAAATACATGATATAAATATGGCTTTCGGCAAATTCCTGCAAATTTAATATTCAATTTATCAATTGTATTTAATTCATAAACTTCAATGTATATATTTTATAGGGTATTATATAATAAAATATGAATTTATAATCTACAACAGTTATACAAAAATAGTTATCAAAATAAATGCAAGGTTAAATAAATAAAAGTTAAATTGAATTAAATTGATTTAAATAATAACTTACTTATGTGGTTCCTTTAACTCTTCAATTACAAAATTTAAGTAATTCCTATATAAATATTTTAAAACCATTAATAATTTAAAATTAATAAAAAACATCATAATTTATAAATTACTATATTCACAGTAAACATGTCTTATATTTTATGGTACACTTTAATTACAAGTAATTTCATAAATTGCTAAAAAGTATAGTTATCTAATGAAATTTCACCTAATACTTAATATTGTAAAATAATTTTAATATTTATAAAAAAAACTATTGTTAAATTTTTTTTATTAGTTCAAATAAAAATTTAAAAACTATAAATTTAAATTAATCAAATAATTGAAATTAGATCATATATAAAATATTTATCAAAAAAGATATTTGTACCAAAAATATTAGTAATTTTATTTAATGTTTAACTATTAACTTATTTAAAATAAATTAAATAAATTAAGATATGATTGAATCATACCATCCATTGTATGCAAATAATCCCGAATAGAATGATAGAGCAATTGTAGTGATGTCTACATTGGGTATCAATGGGTCTCTATTGAATGTAAAGTGTTCCGTATGACCTAAATTCACATATAATACAACATTTATATTAACCAATAGTTTACAATCATATATAAAAGTTCACAAATTATTTTAATTATCAGTTTTGTAATTTATATAACATTACTAATCAAAATATAATTTATCATAAATAAAAATTAAATTACATTTAAATAATTAAATATGCATTAATGTTAAAATATATTTATATTCATCAATTTATAATTTTAAATAAAATATAGCATTTGATAATAAAATGTATGAAAATTTTACAATTTAAATTTTATTTATTATTTGCTAATTTTTTAGATCACTTATCAATTAAAGAAACTCATATTTAAAAACTTAAACATTTATAGTATGAGATAATCAATTTAATCAATTTTTTGTAACTTCATTATCCCGTTCAAAAAAAACGTCAATTTAAGTACTATGAAAACGAACAAAACTTGTTACGATTACCCAATAAATAAAAAGTTTATAAAGTATTCAAAGTAATAATACTGTATTAAAAAATCATTGTTACTATTGAGTAAAGTAGAAAAATATATAATTGTAATTTACAATATACTTAGAGATGAGCAAATTTTAATAAATCTTTCTAAGAAAATTTATCAGGAACAAATTTCTTTGGAAATTTTACTATATATTACTTATACTATGAGATCCCTATATACTGATGTGATATAGCTATTGTAATAAATTTACATATTTATTGATACAAAATATACTTTATACTATTTTGCAATACTATAAAAATGGGACTCTAAATATAAAATTAATAAAAATATTTATCTATAAATAATAGTTTTTGTAAAGTTTTATTTATAATTTATTTTGATAACTAAAGTAATAAACATAATTATAGATTATATATTCCCTTAATGGGCTTAAAAGCTTAATTTTTGTAAAAAATAGCCCATGTAGCTTAATATGTATAATTAAATTTTTTACCATGTTCAAATAAACTTATTAATATTTTGATTACTCATTTTCATAAATATTAATTTAAAACACATACTCAATGTATTTGAAAAATGTGTCATATTAAAATTGAACATGCTATAGTTCAATAGATAAAAATAAAACAATAAAAAATAGTTAACTATAGCATGTTCAATTTTAATATGACACATTTTTCAAATACATTGAGTATGTGTTTTAAATATTAATATATTACTAATTTTAATTTTAAAGTTTTAAAACACATACAAATAAAGTTATATATTTGTGCTTAAAAATATAAATGAATATAAAATTATAAAGTATCAAATTATTTTTTGTATTTTTGATATCTTTTAAATATAACATTATTTATAATTATATGATGATATACAAAGTAATGCTATAAATAATATCATGTTAAACCCAAAACAGGAAATTGTTTATGCACTTTAACTAATATTAATTTAAACTTAATGTAATATGATTTATTTATATATATATACAAATTTGATAAACTTTAAAAATATATAATGTCAAATAATTTGAGACAATTAGAAATTGATATAAATATAGAAAAAAATTATGCAGACAAATTGAAAAAATAAAAAATGTAAAATTCATAACAAATAACAATTTAATTGTAAAAAATGATTTAAATTTTAAACCTTTGCAAAGCTGAACGATTCCAGTGATGATAATTGTGATCAAAGCTATGAGTTTGCCATAAGTGAAAAAATCTTGAACTCTTGTCGACCACTTTACATCCCAACAGTTGACAAATGTTAATAAACCTAAACAAAACAAAATTTATGTATTAATAGTTAATATAAAATAATCGTAAACTAATTAATTATTTATAATTATATAGTGTATATTTAATATATATTGAATAAAAATTCAAAATAATTTTTTAAAACAAATATTGAATACAATTTTAAAGTTATTTATAAAACTCCATTTTATATATATTTTACTATTGATTTTATTTTTAAGAAAGATTAATTATATTCTTTAAAAAAATATTAATAAATTTTAAAATAATTTTCAGTATTAAATGAATTTAATTTAATAAAAATAAAAGTTTTGTTAAAATCCTTGTAACATAACATTGTATAATCTATTGATAAAATCAGTCATAAATTATTAAAGCAATTAATTCAATGAAATTTATGATAAAAACTAATAAATTTCTAAATTAAGCTAAATTTTTAAATAAAATTCTTTAGTGCATATTTTTACAACAAAATTCAAATATTTTAAAACTCAATATATTTATAATATGATTATATTTATATAAAAATAATTGTTTTAACAACAATTATTTTGTTTGATATTTTAGTTTAAAAGTACAGTAAATATTAAAACAAAAATGTGTGATAAATTGGTTACAATGTGTTGGCAATGATGGATAAGTAATGTTTTAGACTTACAAATACAGACCACTGCAAGCATTCGCGTTGCATTTCCGGGAGGATCACAGTCGGGATAAAAGGGTCGCAAAACGTAAAAAGCAAACGCAAGAGCAATGATAGCTGTATTACACGGACGCACTATCATACCTATGACAACACAATTCAATGTTTTATCATTTTTATCATATCTTTATACAATACATTCAATCCATAGCCTGAGGAAAGCCACAAAAGGACCGAAACACTCCATAATGTAAGCATAATCTGCACCACTCTTAGGAATACTTGTTCCCAGTTCTGCATAACAGTACGATCCGATCAATGAGAATAATCCACTCAAAACCCATACAATGATAGACAGGCCTACACTACCAGTTCCTACAATTACTCCTTTTGGAGATATGAATATACCAGAACCTATCATACAGCCCACGATTACATTAATGCCATTAATTAATGTCATTTTGGGTTTAAGACATATAACATCTTCTTCTGTCTCTTTATTCTTCACATTTAACTCATTTTCTTCGACACCATTTCCATCTATTTCTTTCATTTCAGACATTTTCTTGTTATTCTTTACTTCTCTATTCTTATATAAGTTTATTAAACAATCATTTAGTCATTCAAATACAGTATTATTACAACATATGTGACAAAATTCAATTAACTTTTATTAATAGTAATTTATTATCCAACACATATGAATCACTATTATTTGAAGCAAAACTTATAATTTCAATTATTATATAATAATATACTTTAAATGACTCAACAAAATTGACAAATAATATAATAAATGTTAATAAGTGATAATTTGGTCAATTTGATCAACTTTTCATATCAACAGCAATCGAAATATTTGTTTAAAATAATATTAATATTTATAATAGAAAAAACATTAATAACATTTGTAATCTTAAATTTGATTCAACTATTTAAAGACATATAATTTGATAAAAAGCAGACACATTGAGACAATGATATTAACATCAAATTAATAGCTGTTAATAAATATTAGATTCAATATATATATTTAAAATTATTGGTTGTTCTCACTTATCCATCAATTTTTATATTATTATTAAATAAATAATCACTTATTTATGAAACCAATTGGCAATATGTGATCATTTGCTAAACAAACTCTTAGATTCTTTAATCAACTTTTCAATCATAAGCACAGAGAGTATTCAAACTATTGACGATTTTATGAGACTCAATGTGAGTGTAACTCCGGTATACAGTATATACTATATATATATACTGTAGTGTAAAATAATAAATGTATAAATAAATAACTGACACAAATGGCTATGTGCTGTATATACCATACATAGATGTCTACATTTGACGGTAATTGCAGATTCATGGGACCGGTTATGAGTGTGATTAGCATTTTTTGCACATTTTTTATAAACAAATATCACTTTATATATTATTTTCAAGTATTAACTATCATTGTGTTAGTTAACATTTTAATTTTGTTTTATATAAAATGACATATTATATTAAACAGCATTTTCTAAAAATCTAGATATAATTACTAACATATTCTTTCTCTCTCTCTTTCTCTCTTTCTCTCTCTCTCTCTCTCTCTCTCTCTCTCTCTCTCTCTCTCTATTTCTCTATTTCTCTCTCTCCCTGTCTTTCAAATCATGCGATCATTTCTTAGAAAATTCTCTACAAATCTTAGAAACAAATCTCTAGTTTTTAAAACTATAAGTAGTTTTGGGGTTTAGACAAAAAAAACTATTTATATGATTGCATAATATGACTTAATAATAAAAAAATATATTAATTTGTGTTAATATTTATCAAACTTGAATTCTTAATTTTATTTTAAAACTTTGTTTTTTGTTTAAAAAAATGTAAACAAAGTAAATATGTAAAATATTTAATAAATAAAAATATAAAAAGAAAAACTGAATACAAAAAATAAATTATGATTTTAATATACATACAATATGTATAATTTTATTAATAGTAAGTATTTATTGAATAATATAAATTTATATTAATTAAATTAAATATTTTACATTTTATTCAATTTTTACTAAAATCAAATTTTCTTATTACAAGTAGGGTTTGTAATGTTCCCTTCCCTCTACTTATTTTCCCTATTAAGTTCCCTATTCCATGGGAATTCCCAGAGAATCTATTTCCTTGTGCTACTACCTATCAAACCTTAATCAACACATTTTATTATATTGTCTGAAAAACAAATGTTATTTTAAACTCTATTTTGAGTAGTATTTGTAAATAATATGACTAAATTTTTTTATTTAAAATTTATTTTTAAATATTTCAATAAAATTTTATTCAAAATATTTAAGTTTTTGTATTATCTATTATAATAATATAAATTATATTTCCCTTCTAATAAAATATGGTGGGAAAATAAAGTATATTCTATATTTTAAGGGAAAATTGGAAGGATTTTATTAGCGAACTTCCCTCCCTTGGAAATCATTACAAACCCTAATTACAAGTTAAATTGTAATATGCGTGAGTTGTATAGTATTTTATTTAATTTTAAAATTTAAATTTAAAATAAACCATTATTAAAAACAATAATATACAATATTAAACAAAAAACATTTAAAACACTATAGCATATATTGTAAGATAAGTGCAAATACAGTATGTAAGCGAAACCACTGCATAACTAATTAATCTCATGACTTGTAATGAAATAATATGAATATATATAATAAATATAAATAAATGTAGATTTACTGTATGTTAACTTTGGTTACTTATTAACATTTAAATCATTTGTTAAATATAAATATATAAAGACCGGTAATACAGTCCTTGAGCTCACTGTCATCTAAACTAACATATTGTATAATATTTAACAATTATTTTAAAACCTTATGTTAAATACAGTATATATATATCGAGACATACGAAGTGAAGGTCTTTGAACTTTTCAATTACTATATCCTTCATATGAATTACTTTTGACAAATGTATGATTTTTTATCTAATTATTTAATTTGCTGTTTATTTGTTAAAATACATTCAATTTTGAAATTTAAATAAATAAATATATAAATTATTAAAAACATATTTATAATAAATTAGATTTTATTTTAGATATAGTATATTAGAATAATTTTTTATATATCATAATATTTTTTACTGCTAAAATTTAACAAAACAATTTTTAATATTATTTAAAAACAATTTTGTCGTAAAATATGCTTTATGTTATTGTAATTAAAACATAATAGATTGAAAACAATAATTAATAATAATAATAATAATAATAATTATTATTATTATTATTATGTTAATGAATAATAAGGTTCATTACTCCCTTTTTTATTACATTTGTTCAGTTGTAATGCACAACAAAATTAATAAAAACTTTACTTCGAAAATATAATACATTTAATTATTTGTATTGTAATCGTAATATTATGTGTGCATAACTTAGTAAATTTAATTATAAATTTATTTAATTTTACAAAACTTAAACTTGAATATATTTTTGATTTACTTAATAAATTTTAGTTAATAAAAGAATATTTAATAAAATATTAATTTTACAACAAAAAATTAATATTTATTTCTAAAATTCATTTGTTCTTCAATAATGAAATTTTAAATAATAAATTATAGTATATATGTTCAAAATATGTTTTATATAAATAATAAAAATTATGAAATTAATTTAAAATAAGGTGTCGATATAAACGTTGCTAACTATAACTTCCTCTCAAATCAACAATATGTATGTAATAACTAAACATAAGATATATCGGTAATTGCCATTTATTTATTAATTAATTGATGTAATGTTAGCAAAAAATATTATACAAATAAAAATATTTTTGTATCATTTAGTGATTTTGTGAAAATTCTTCAAATTAAAAACTAAGTGCTTTGTGAATGTTTTTAAAAAAATAAAAGTAGTTTTAATTCTTTATATTTTAAAAGACATTATATAAAATTAATATAATACTAAGTATATATTAAATAAAATAATAATAATTAAACTTATTATACAATTATTTCAAGTGTATAAAATATAAACATGCTCATTTATTGGTCAAATTACAAATTTTTAAATGATTATAAGGATCTTAATTATACTTTAAAATATGTAACATTGTTACAATTACAAACAATAATTTTAAATTCATATATAGTATATTTTTTAATAATCTATTGACTATTGACTATAATCTATTTTAATAAGTTATTGAGTAAACTAGAAAATTATTGAATAATAGTCTATTTGTACTTAATTAAATATCTTGTAACATATAATGAGTTATGTAAAACATTTTTATCATTTATTGAAAACAAGTGGACTAAATCAATGATAATTTAGTATATTATTGATGGGTATTATAATTTATAACTATACTGATACTAAAAATAACTGATATTTTTGTCAATAAAAAATCTATCAAATACTAAACATCTTTAGTTATTTCATAAGCAATAAAATGTGTTATTAAAAATTGTATAATATAAGTTTTTAAAATTTACAATTTTATTTAAATTAATAATATATTAATATAAAATAGTATTTTTAGACTATACTATATTTATACTAACTATATGTTACTAATCATAATTTATCTTTAGTTATATATATATATATAATGCTGTAAATTTATACATTATATTATATATAAAATACATACATAATAAACTAATTTAAAAATTAAGTGTAAGTGTTTGTGAGTTAATATCTAAAGGTTGTAATTAAATTTTATCAATTTTGTCTAAAACGAAGATAAACTCTCCAGAAATATATACAATTAATTTTATTGATATTTTAATTAATAGTTTTGCAATTATTTAAATATAAACGTGAAATTACATTATAAATACAATCAAAAACTTGTTGAAATATACAAATTGACATTCAAGTGGACTCCAATCGACATTCATTTGTATAAATTAGTCTAACATTTAAGTGAATCAATGCCGAGACCAATGGAGTCCACTTGAATGTCAATTTGTAGAGTATATCACTTAAGTTTTTATAGCTAAATACATATCAATAGTTATTGTAATTTATCCAAACTATACTCATAAATATACATAAAAACTTATTTAATTGCCTATAAATATATTTATAAGTAAATGATAGAAGGCTTTGTCAAAATATTAAATTAATTTTTATATAATTTATTCAAATGTGTACATAACATAATACAAATAATACATGTATATACAGTATTGGACAAAACAATCTGTTAAAGGTTTGAGACCTAATATCTTAAAAACTACTGGATCAATTTTGATACAGTTTATGGTAAATGTAGAGTATATAATCTAGTTTATATAAAATTACTAAAATTGTTCAAAAATAATATAACTAATTTTTAAAAATTAATTAAAAAATGACAAAATGTATGGAAGCGACCCTTAACGCTGGTAACGATGTTAATGTAAAACACAAAACTTTTCAGTTATATTATTATAACTTTGAAATGACTATTTTTTAAAAATTAATATTTATCATATGAAATCTTGATTATATAGTCTACATTTACGACTAAACTGTATCAAAATTGGTGTTATATATATAACATTTTATATGCTAACTTAAACTTATGTTTGTTCTGTCACAATATAATTCATATCTTATATTCCTTTGTATTACAGTATAAAAGATCAATTTTAAATGACTAAACTAAAAGTTATAAAATATAAGTTAGTTTTTAGATAATTAGGATATATAAAAAATACAAAGAAATTTATATAAAATTTATTACTAAAATATTTTGTCGAAACACCATGATAAATACTTGTATGCAATTATAATTGTAATTATTATTAAAATTTAAAACTATTAAACAAAACATACACACAATATTCATTATAACTTATAAATTTAAAATATTAATTAAATTATTTAATTAGTGACCATTAAACACTTCATAAAGTTATTAATAAATACTAAAATCACTTATTATTATTCCTCAACATTTGCTTATAGTATTATAATAGAAGTAAGCATTACAAGAGCCATACATGATAACAACCATTAAGATACTCACCCACTCTCACCCACACTCATCGCTCACTGATTGACCGACTCAATCAACCTCTCACTAAGTGAATACCGGATCTCAATATAGAAATTATATGTTTGTCATGTATTACTAGTGTTGGCAAAAAAATAAAAATTTATAAAATAATAGAAAAATTTCTAGAAAGTTTCTAAAAGAAATTTCTATCTATGGGATCCCCATATTAATTTTGTTATCTCGATATTGCTATCATATAACAATATATTACCGTAAATATTATTATTAGTATTTTAATTATTAAGTAAGGTAAAAAATAAATTAATTAAACTACAGTATGATATATATAATAAAATGATGAATACAATTTTACAAAATTAATTATTATTAAATAATTATAATTATTTTATATATAGGTATCACATTTGTATTGTACTGTACAGTATAATACTGTATAGTACTGTATAGTACTGTACAGTACTGTACAGTACTGTACAGTACTGTATAGTATAATATTATATCTATAATATTACAATAACTATAGATATGGGGATCCCATAGTATAACAATAAAGTTAAATTTCTATAGAAATTTATTCCTGAAAAATTTTCTAGAAACTTTCTCAGGGAAATTTATTACAAACTTTCTATTTGCCCATCTCTATGTATTACTCAAATATAACAAATTATATATATATATAATATCAGTCTAACACTACTGTCAACAAACCTGTCAAACTGTTATGACACAAATATATATGAATTTATTTTTTAATTGTATATAATTTTATCTAAAGTTAATAAATTATATTTTTGTCAAATTCTATTGAAAACTAATATAAGTTTATTAATAATCTATCGGAAAATAAGATTACTATAAATGTTGAGATATTTTTAATTAAATTTCGTTATTAAAAGTTTTTAAAAATAAAATAAGATAGAAATTATGTAATAATAGAAATATTCTTAAGATTTTTATACCAGAAAATATAATAAGACTTAAATAATGCTAAAAAGTAATTAATAAAAATCACAATATATGATAATATAAATTTATATCAAACGTTTTTTGTTAGTTAAAATAAAAATTGATTTTGTTTGTTACAAATATAATCATATTATAAATTATATTATAATCGTATTATAATTTATAATACCATAATATAATGGTAAGAATATGGTAATCTTAAATATTTGTTAAAAAATTTATTTTTTTATTTTAAATATTTTAAAACTATTTTTATTAAAATTAGATATTGCTTTTAAAGTTTAAAAGTTCTTTATTACTTAATTCTCATAAAAATCTTTAATATTTTAATATTAACTTTTTCTGGATTTACTAATTCAGTAATTATCGTAAATAAAATTTTATACTAATAAATATTTTAATACGATTGTATAAAAAACATAGTTAATATTTGTAAAGTATTTTAATTATTATTTGAATATTAAATTTTTTTGATAAAGTGTATAAAAGTCAAAATATCAAACCCTTTTTATTAATTACTAATAATTTAGTTTAAAAAGTAATAATTGGTATCAAAACATACCGATGCAAATACAGGCCAAATATCTAACAGCATCTTCAGGTGGTTCACAGTCAGGAAATATGGGTCTCAACGCGTAGAAAGAAAAGGTTAGGGCGACGATGGCTTGAGAACAGGGACGTACAATCATACCTTTAATTAGGTTTTATATAAATCATTAATTAAATGTTCATTTAATTATTAAAATGTTTTTACATTCAATCCAAAGTCTAATAAATGCTAAGAAAGGACCAAACGATTCCATAATATATGCATAATCGGCGCCAGTCTTTGTGATCATACATCCCAACTCTGCATAACAATACTACAAATAGCAGATAATCGGTTAGTTTTTATCTAATAATATAATACATTAATTTAATAATTAAATATAATATTATAATCAATAATATTAGCTTTCAATTTTAAATTTATTAATAAATTTAAGTTAAATATATAAAATCATATTGACTTATAGATCAGAGTACCGGTAATTGTGAATGAATATTAATAAATTAATCTAATATATAAAATATGCTATTTTAAAATTTATAAAAATTTAGATAATTACAAACATAAATATATAAATAAATAAATATACTTTTTATTATTTAATAGTAAATAATCTAATAATTGTGAGAATTATTAAATGAAATTTTTAATAATATACCTAATTTTAAATTTGACTCAATTTAAATTTAAATTTTTAATATTAAAAAATAGATCAACTATAAAGTATAAATTAAAAGTATAAATTAAAACTCTATCTATAGATAATTATAATACATAACTAATCTAATTATAATACCGGTATATACTATATCTTATATTATAGTTATTAAGTTTACTTACCAGTGCTCTAATACATGTTAAATGTTAAATCAATGCGAATTCATAATAAATTCAATAGTAAATTGTAATCAATTATATTTTTAAAAATATATACATTATAATTATAGATTTATAATAAAGTTAGTAATCTATGTCAACAAATGATAACTTACTGCACCAATCATTGAGAAAATTCCGCTAATAATCCAAACCATTAGTGAGAGGCCAACACTTCCAGTATTTTCAAGAACTCCTTTCGGTGAAACAAAAATACCGGAACCGATAATACTGCCGACAATTACTGTTATACCATTAAGTAAAGTCATCTTTGGCTTCAAACACACCACATCCGGGTTGTCATTCATACTATCACTCTTTGTCGGACTTTTAGGAGAGTCCTTATCATTACTTTGTGTCACTTCATTATATTCTGTCTTTTCAGCCATTCTTATAGTGATATCAATGTGTTTAATGAACTTATAATACTTTATCAAACAAGTGGTCAAACAAATAGCAAACTAGTCAACAGATTGACAATAATAAAGAATTTGTTAATTCTTGAAATAACAGTTTAATTCAAGAATTATCATCCGATTCTTGAATTTTGAATGTGAATCACTTGAAATGGCATTTACTAAATGTCAGATATCTTTGAATGTCATCACATGTGTCTTATGCTATAGTATCACATAATAACCATATAATAACACTAATTGACTCATATCTGGTTATTTCTGGTGATTGTGAGCATGACTTGTGTCCAATCACTTCATAAAAAGCATTAGTCAGCGAAGCCAACACTCATTATTAGTGTTTTGCCAATTTCTAGCGCATGTCTTATCTAAACCAATGCTTAACCCAAACCCGTTTAAAATCTCATTATTATGCAATACTATAAACCTTTTTTAATATTACTTATATTGTTAACTAACCTAAAATGTCATATGATTTTTGGTACTAAAATACCAGTTAATAAATATATTTGTTGTGTAAACACAAGTTTGCTTTGATTTTGTTAACATTTCATTTCATTTGATATTATATTTCATTATATTTTTCTGTTAACAAATGTGAGACAACTACTGTATAAACCGGTAGATATTCCATATATAGACAACATTTCAATAGTTCAAACTATACATGTATTATATTTATTTATTTATTTATTTATTTATTATAAAAACTATTTTAGTAAAACCAAACATTTATAAACTATAAATCAATTATATTTATAATTAAATTACACAATTTACAAAATATTTTTAAATAGTTATTCAATAAAATGTACTGTTAATTATCATTTAACATTATTAATTGACATTAAAAATTATATTAATAAATAAAATTATATACAAAACAAACTATATATAATAATAATTTATTATAGAAATAAATTTATATTACATATTATATTTTTTATAATGTATTTTATATAAGTTTATAATTTAAATATTAAATATAAAATAAAATAGTTTGAAAAATTTAATATTTAAACTATATTATTTTGTTTAAAAATATTGACAAACATATTTATAATAGTAAAAGCAAATATTAGATATTAAAACTCATATCAATATAAAACAGATATTTGACATCAAATCATACAATCCTTGACATTGTATTTAAAAGTGAAGAAATATTTTATTTGTAAATAAATATTTATTTAATATCAATCAATTAATTCAGTTAACTACTAAAAAATAACTAATGATAAAATATAAATGAATAAATAAAATAAATAAAATAAATATAAATAAAAATAATATCTTATTAAATATTTTCAAAAATTACAAAATACAATTTATAATTATGTTTTATTAGTTATGTTAATTAAATGTTATATTTAAATTTAAATTATTTATATTTTTTATTTTTACAATGTATCGGTATAAAATTATTACAGTAATAACAATAAATTTTAAAGATTAATTTACAAATAAATTAAATTCTTTATAACACTTATTAATAAATTAAATTAAATATTTTAATACATATTTTACAATATATTAAACAATGTAAACAACAATTTAGAATAATTATTCAATTTATACAATTATAAGAAACATTAAAGTAAAAGCTAAAAAATATAAGAATTAGTTAATTTAAGTCCATTATAGACTGTTGTCATTAGTTTTAGTTATAATAGGAAAAACTTGGACAATGTGTCCAATTCCTTTAGAGGGGCCCTCCCTAAACAATAGTCGACTTCCATTTTTTATATATTCTGGTTGTTTAATAAAGCGAAACATGACTGAAGCGCTTTCATTAGTTGAGACATATTTTTTACCCATTATAGCCACCACTACAGCTGTTTGTCTAACATTTCCAATATATATAGTTGTTTGAAATCCAGGACAAAGCATAGACACATGAAATAATACATGAATTCTTGCCTGAAAATATTGGCATATTTTATGGCCATAACTGTTATCATTTATTTCAATTAAAACCATCCCTTTCCGTACACTCTTTTCTAAGTCAATATCATTATTATATGACATTAGAGCTAATGTTGCGCTCTCTGCGGCTCTCACTGAACGACTCGCGACTTTATGTCTTTGAAGTGACGACACCTGAACCGGACTAAATAAGCCGCAATCAAACGGACCTATTTTCAGATAATCGCCTTCTCTTATTAAACCAGATATTAATAATCCACTTACAACTAAACCTATATATTTTTTTAAAAATACAAACAATTTCTTTTTTAATTAACTTTATATTATTAATTATCGTTTAAAAATCAATTGAAAATATAATCCATACCGACTTCTGGCACTTGAAATGTTTCGTCGATCTATATATTAAAATAATAAATAAATATATAATAAATGTAATCATATATATAATAACTATAAAATAAGATTAATGATTTGAACACTTTTATCAATATTATTAAATATAAAAAATACAAATACATTATATTTACCTGAAATTCCACTTTAGAATCAATAAGTCTTTGTCGATCATTAACTGATACAGAAGGCGGTAAAACATAAAGAAATTTATATAAAAGATTCAAACCGTAACCGGAAACACACGAAACCGTAAATATAGGTATTATATGATCAGTAGTTAAACGACTCGCGTAAGTAAATACATCGTCCTCTGTCTCAACTCTAACCGGAATCTATGTAATAGTAATAATAATAATTATTATTTTATTTTATTTAGATTTAATTATTAAAATTTCAGTCAAAATTACTTTTTTACAAACAGGAGACTTAAGAAGTGTTTCCAATTGAATCAAAGTTTGCGTAAGAGATCTATTGTCTGTGATATCAATTTTATTGACCACAACAATCACAGGAACTTCTAGTGCCAACGCCAGACCCAAATGCTCGCGAGCCTAATAATTTATAATTTGATTACAGTATAATTTATATTTACGGTAAGTTAATAAACTATTTTTAAAAATAATACATACAGTTCCCGCAAATACACCGCCAATCGAACTTATAACAAGAACAGCATAGTGTCCATGCATTGCAATTAATCCAAAAACAGTAGTCTTTAAGTATTTTTGATGTCCTCCCAAATCAATAAAAGTTAGTAATTTTGAGGACATTTCGCAGATTTCTTCAGGAGTTCGACAAACATTATAAGTGATGGGAACTCCTTTATTATCAAAACCCAGTATTTCTTTACTAATACTCGATGTCCTTCCCGTTTGTATTTCATGTCTATGGCGGAAGAGATTCAAGCGAGCGCTTCCTTTGAAACAAAAATCAAAATATTATCGTTAATCATATATTTTATTATTAAGACATATAATAGTTTCAAATGTGTACAAAACGACATACCTCTTCCGTTATCAGTCTCTCCCTGAGTTAAAACTCCTATAAAATATCAAACTTTGTAAACAAAGAGCAATAAATTGTATTATCATATGTGACACAAACCAAGTAAAGTACTTTTGCCGGTTTCGACATTTCCGAGGACAGCAATCCTTAACTCAATGGTTTGTTGATCGTCCGGCACTTTCCTAACTAATACTTCAACAGCTTTGCGACACTTATGTGGTCTGTGGTCAGTGTATTTGCGAGCCTTACAGTTATCTTCATCATTGGTTATAATTCTTTCTCTTAATATGGTTATAGTTGCACCCAATTTATCTGCCATTAAATACAGTGTTTCTAGAGATGCATTAACTTCTTCTTGTGACAGACCAATCAAAAGTCCTTTATCTTCAACTCCAATCTCATAAATGGCTTCTCCGTGTCCTTTAGTAAAGTAAACATATAATTATTATATAATAAAATAAAGACTACGATGTCATCAATTGTGGTCAACCTTCACGTAATCTCCATTTCATTTGTGTCACCAAATGTTCAAATCTAGTCTTAGATGGATTTATTAGTTTCAGTTTATATTCAATATTTCCTTCTTCACACTCCGGAGGAAGACTACCATTTTGTGACAAAAGTGTTGCACTTCTCGTTTCTGTTATAATAATGTCTTCACTATCGCTGTCCACTTGTGGATCAAACAGTGATAATAACGGATCCATACTTTCATTCAATGAAATCAAACATATATTTTGATGTCAAATCACATATCGTTTAAATTAATGTCAAATTTATAGATTTATTTAATATTAAAACTTTCAAATAATTATATTATTAAAACATTACATAAAATCAATGAAATGTAGACATAATTTGATGAAATAGTTATCAATCGTTACATTACTTTAATTACTATTCACTTCAATATTACTCACAATTAATAACAAAATGTTTTACTTTTGTTTCGTTTGACTGACGATCAGCTGTTCATACTATAAGTCAATTGAGGACATATTGAGGACAATCTGTTTGAATACAACACAATGACTGCGCAAACATGTAATACATATAATGTTGTAATTGATTGAATCATTCTTGAAGTGTCACTAAATTATCATTCAATAGTCATTTAATTTAGAGTTAATAAATAATATTATATTTAAAGTGGAAAATAACTTATAAAATAATTAAAGTTTTCGTTTATTAGTTACGTTACAAAATTTTTCTTATTTTAGTTAAATTTATATAAAATCATATAATATAATGAATTAGTTTTCTGTATTTATTCATAAAAACAGTTTTATCAATAGTATTGCGCAATCGTTTGCAATACTTTATTTGTATTAATTTTTCCCCCAGTTTTACCCTTTTCCCACATATTCTATTGGTTGATTCAATAATACTACTGAATCAGTAGTACTGATATTATAGTAAAAGTCAATATAATAAAAATATTTGTCTTTAATTTAATAATTTCTGTAAATTTAGTGTAAAACTAACATCAATTTCTTCACTAACATCAAAGTTGGGGTATCTTTCATAAGAAAATCCCTCCAATTTTCCCGGAAAATATTTTATATTCCCTCCCTAGAAATTTATTATATATTTCTACAATAAATAATACCAAAACTTATTTTTTGCATAAAATTTCATTGAAATATTTTTTTAAAAAATTGAATTCAATGAATTTAGTCATACTATTTAACATTTACACTCAAAATACAGTTTAATATAGCATTTGTTTTTCAAATCTTATAATCAAATTTGTTGTTTATAGTTCAATAGGTGGTAACCAGGGTTTTAAAAATGGCAGGCATAAACAATAGATGCCAATTTTGCCAAATGCCTGCCCTGTCTCTGCCATGCCCTAGGCATCTATTTTCAGGTGGTAACACCTATTATTTTAATTTTATATTATTAATTAATTTATAAAACATTGTTTTTATAATATATTTGCTTGTATTTTTGTTTTGTATACCTTAATTAAAAGGTAATATCATTGGAAATAAGTAAATTAATTGTAAATTTAATTAACACCATAAAACACTAAATTACATTATTTTTATAAATACAGTTGTTTTTTAGCAATTTAAATTGGCAGGCAAATAAAATAGATGCCCAAAATGCCAGGCATTTATGGCATCTATTTGGGCATTGCCAGGGCAGGCATTTATTTCCTTAAAACCCTGGTGGTAACACAAGGAAATAGATTCCCTGGAAATTCTGGGAATATGATATTTTTTGATAATAATAATACAAGGGAAGGAATTTGCCCCAACCCTACATAAAATATATATTAATACAATATAATGTATTATTATATCCATTATTTATAAATTGTTTTTTAGTCACGAAATTGATGTTAGTTTTAGGAATTATAGGATTACAGTAATAATACAGTATATAATAATATAATAATAATAATAATAATAATAATAATAATAATAATAATAATAATAATAATTGCTATTAAAAATTTAATATATGATATACAATATACTGTAATATTCAATACATATACATAACTTGTATTTATTTTTAATATAATTTTTTGTGATATATGTTATAATTTGCTGTCATTTAAATGCAATAAATGTCTGACCACTTCTTGTGACTCGAGAAGTGGCCACAGAGTGACTATAAGTGAAGATATGGCCAAATGGAGGGCAAACAGTGATGCAAATGATTTAACGTTTGAACAGTTGGAGATGGCTTTGGATGTGACCTCTGGTCACGAAAATAATGAGCACTTGAACGGTGTCCGCAATACACATAATGGTCATCGCGGCTGTCAAAGAGGTCACAGTCGCGACACGTGTTGGCAGTCACGTACCAACCGTACGGTAGGTCATCACCACATTAGTGGTCATCACTGCACTTCATTTGAATCACATCAGCAATACTTGCATTCAAACCATTTGAATCATTCATCGCATCCAACATTAAACCATTTGAATCACAATCATTATAATCACATTCATTGCAATCGATGTAATAATCACTCAATTCATTGCAATCAAGAGTTAATTAGCGAAGAAATTGATACTCAAAGCCATGGATTACAACAAATGACATATACTTTGGATCAGACAGAGTTTGAACGCATTTGGCGTCAATTGTCGTCAAACAAAGATCGCTACCATTTCTTGCAGTCATTGAACCGTTCGTCCGGTAATTTGGTTTTTTCCGAGATATCTTTTGGCTCTTTAGGTGACATCGCGACAGCTCTTCTAGAGTTTGACCAAACTGTCGATGATTTTGTTTTTGTAATTTATATTTTAAACTCTTTAAGTCGCGCCAAAAGATTTCTTCTTACACTTCAATTCTTATCACTTGAAGAGCGAATTGAATGCAAGAAATTATTTATCAAACTTTGGAAATCTATGAATGATATCAAACAAGATTTGGCTGAGAATGATATCACTGAAGTGACAATTAATGCTCTGATGAAGACTTATGAAGTAGATATAGATTAGGATATTCAGTGATTTATTTGATTACAGCTTTAAATTAATATTTATTTTACAATAAATATATGTAAACTACATATTACTGTATTATATATATTAATATACTTTACATCACTTGTGTTTATTATCATAATTTAATTAACACTGATCATAGTTTTTGTTTTAATTTGTTTAAGTAATTGCATTATTTATTACATTTACACATGTTAATTTTATTATTTAAAAAATGTATTTAGAGTTTTGAACAATTATTATAAATAATTTATAATAATTATATTATTATTTAATATAATATAATAAAAATTATATTCATATTGATAGTTGCTATAGATTAGATAATTATTTAATATTTATTAAATCGTCAATTATCATACAGTATTTTTAAAACTATATTAACTAAATATCATATTATTTATTTATTTAATATAAATTTCATAATTATAATAAACATTATATTTATCAACCTATTAATTATTATTCATGAAAAATATATGAAACAACTATAATTGTATTACATTATACTGTATATACACTTTTAAAATTAAAATTACTTATTTGACATTTATATTACAGTAAATAATTTTTAGAATATTTTGTTTATTGAAATATTTGTATAAACTATCTCTTAATTTAATAAATAATGTATTCAACTTATAAAATCTATAATCACTTTATTTATATCTAATTACTACTCTATAATATTATAATTTATTTTGAAAATTTATGTTCATAGACATTGAACAATTGCTAATGATTATTATTATTAATTTGTGGAAACAATAATGCTTTTTATTGACAATGCAAAAATTGTTATACTGTATAAACAATATTTTTAAAAATGCACAAAAATAGTAAAATTAATAAATAAGTGAATTTAAGTTTATAATAACTTGTATGTTAAAATCAAATGAATTTATATGTAAGTAAAATTACAATTTTGATATTTTAACATATAATTTAATAGAAATTATCTATTATATTATAATTTTAATAAAAGCTTATATTTATCTAACATATTATATATATTATTTATAATAATTTATTGTCTAAAAGTATAACGAGCGTCAGTGGTTCAGTGGTAGAATGCTCGCCTGCCACGCGGGCGGCCCGGGTTCGATTCCCGGCTGACGCACTTTTATAATTTTTTTATATATATATATAATTTCAATTTTATTTAACTATAAACGATAATTTAATTTTTTAAAACTTTAATTATGTTTTAAAGAATAAATATTACATTTTTACAATTACAATCAATATAAACTATAAATATAGTACAATATTATAAAATAATATTTTTAATAAATGTAATTAATTGAATAATTGGTAATATAGAGACAATTTAAGCGCAAAATATTGTAGAATAAAGTGATATAAGATTTAATTGATTTGTTTGATGTCTTGAAGAAGTGCTTCTCTGCTATCACTGGAACTAATGAGAGTCCAGCAGTCATTGCAGTGGTTTTTACTATTTTCATCTAAATCTTGATAGATATCCATCTCATCGATTGCCATATCATTGTTAATATCATTTGATTGTGATGTTTGGCATTCACTATAACTCATATTTGAATCGTTTGACAAATGGTTTGCCGACGACTTAAACGGTGGACAACGGGATGGAAATGTTAAAAGTGAAGAACTCGAGACTGCCATTGATTGGGTATAAAAAGTAGTCTTCCAGTTATTAGGAAGCAATGAACTATCAGATCCACGTCTTTCATATTTATTGCAATGATTAGGATTTATCTCTAAATGTTGACTGTCTTTCTGAGATGTGCTTACAATCGATAATAAATTGTTTTGTGATTTATTGGATGAATTCATTTGTAAACGATTATTGGCTCTTGAATTAGGACTTAAATATTGACGAGAAGGTGAGTAATCACTATTTGTGTGAATACTGGACGCAGAAACTCCAGGAAAAAGAAAATGAGACAAATTGTTAGGAAATTGTGGCGGAGGAGATCGGATCAGTTTGTCGTGAAGATTGTCCTCAAATGCTTCTGCTGTTTCCGAGTCCATCATAAAGTTGTTGTCAGTGATCGAGTTTGACTCCAAATTATTTAATGATATTTTTTGAATTGAACGGACGGGTGACGGATCACCCGATATGCTCAACATGTCTTTAGTGGACAATCTCTCAATTTGTTGTATAATATAAGGGTTGTCGTGTCGGGAAAGCATAAGAGTTTCCATATCGGAGTCAAAATTCTTAACTCTTGGAGAAATTGGAGATTTTGGGTAAGTCTCAGAAAAACACGATTTGTTATCGCTTTCAATGGCTGTTAGAGTCTGTAGGCTTTGATTCGGATTCATATTATTATCGATTCTATCATTTGATTCACATTTGGTCTCCAAAGTCTCATTTTCTTTCGATTTTTTACTATATATTAACAATAAATATATTTTTATTGTAATTACTATAAGTTACTATAAATTACTATAAATTTCTATATAATTCAATCAATTCTTACCAAAATATATTTGTAATCATTTCAAGTGCTTTCCTCTTAGATCCCATTCCTTCATAATTTAGTGGATTATTATTATTGCAAATCATATTATTTTTAGTTACTATTTTTAGTTATATGAATTTATATTTTTATTTATATAATAACAATAATATATTTATTATTTTAATAGTTGATTGTTAAATCCAATAAAAGATTTAACATTCAATTTATTTGATGACTTCATAAGACAGACAGTATTGAAATGAATGCTTATATAACCACAAAACATATCATCAAATCTGCGCAAACTTTGGTCAGTTGTCTGTTAGGTTAGCATAAGTTACACCTTATTATTGATCGGTTAGAAAAATATTCATTAATATTTACAGACTTTCTCTATATATTTACTAACACTGTATTTGCTTTTTTCACTGATTCTCTTAAATTGACAAATAAAATGAAACAACTATTTTATACATAAATTTATTAATATTTTTATATACAGTAGTAATAATTTATTAATATAAATTAGCATAATTATCAATGATATATGTATCTGAGTTTACTTTTATAATACATTTTCAATTTTTAATTACATTTTTATACTTTCATCAATATATTTATAGATTGCTATAATGTGAGCATAAACTAGATGTTTGAATGATGAAAATGAAAGCTTATCTTTGACTATATTCTCTAATTATAAACAAAATATTTTTTTTCATTATTTTAATTGATTTCAATAGTCAACCGTAACACAGGTCTTAAGCATAGGTCTATCAAAGATATTATATGTTTTTATACTTTATAAGTGTCTTTGTATTCGTTGACCGTTTTGTAAATAATTATATATTTGTATTTTATATAATAATTTTTAGGCATAAGTTGTTTTTAGATACAAACTGAAATACCTGTACATAAAATAAATATTATTTTAAATTATATGGAAATTACAAAAAAAAAAATATTTTATAGCAATAATTTATATAATATAATGTAATTTATAATTTTATTTAATATATTATTGTGTAAAGGGGTAAATAATAGAACAATTGAAATATTCTGCGATTTTTATATTTAACTCTAAAATAAGACATTGTTTTTGTTGTCATAAAAATTTAGACATATTTTTTAGCCATATATTCTTGTTTTTATTATATTTGCTCATTTGGTTCAGTTTCAGTGACTTCTTGAAGTGTCCAATATCTGAAATGCCAGACAATTTTGAATCTCGTAATATCGACACAATTTTTATGTGCTTTTCCTGTAGGCAAAAGTGGATTCAATTATTGACAATATGGGTATAAACTATAACTATAACTTAGTTAACTATAAATGCTGTTATTTATCAGATATCAAAGATTTGGTTTTTTTATAACTATAATATCCGTTCAAAAGAAACTTTTTAAATCATTATCTGAAAAGTAATCGAATGGAGGTTTTAATACAATTTTCCTATACATTCCTTACAAAGCTTTTAACAATTTTTTGGATTTAGAAAAATATTTTTTAAAAAACTTAAGAGAGAAACAGTGTTTCATATGTTACTAAATGCCGTTTTTGAAAGACCTAACTTTGGTTCACTGGCACAGGTATGCGATACTAAATCTGACCGAATAAAGCGTCTCATTCGAGCTAAAGAATAACAAATTTTTTTAATGTCAAAAAAATTAATAAAATTGTTTTTAACTATCACTTCGTATGACTTTTTTATTTACGCTTTTTAGTTAAAAAGAAAGTTTGTGAATGTGATTAAGTATGAGAGGGTATGTCAGTCAAGTAAGGGTGTAAACGGTGTAATCGATTCAATTATTATTTGATTTGACTTTTATTTATATTTAATTATTTTGTAATTTAAATATGAAAGTATATGAAAAACATTTTAGTTTGAGTCTAAAAATTTTCTATCAGTTTATTCTGACAATGCTATGTAGTATTATCCCAACCGGTAATTATTTATCTCTTTAAAATTATTGGTGTTATTGTCGTGCATTTACCTGTAATTATCGCATATAAGCAATCAATGTATATAAGTATTAATATAAATAATTTATATCACAATATTAAACCAAATTAAATTGCTATTATGATTTTATAATATATTATTGATTATTAAATTAATTGATTGAATATACATCATGTAATATAGTATATAAAATTTAAATGTTAACAAATACTGTAATATTTTAAATACATGCTATCTTTAGATGTTAAACATATCTAATATTTGAATTATTTTATATTCAAATGACAATACAATGAAAACGGCAATAAAAATACGAATATTAGATTAAAGTAATACAAAATATAATATCTTATGAAAATTAATTTTAATTTAAATACAAAAAAACAAAATGAGTGATATATATACATTGTATATATATACTGTAGTATATACTATAAATATTATGATCCAATGATGTCATTATTAGGTACGTTCTCCGCGTATCCTTCTGGCTAACTGTATATCCCTCGGCATAATTGTCACTCTCTTGGCATGAATTGCGCAAAGATTTGTGTCTTCAAAAAGTCCAACCAAATAGGCTTCAGATGCTTCTTGAAGAGCTCCTAAAGCGGCCGATTGAAAGAGCAAACTGTCCCTAAAGTCAGATGCAATTTCACGTACTAATCGTTGAAACGGTAGTCTAATTCATATGAAATAATAATATCAATATTAGATAAAATGCAAACATATATAAAATATATATCAATAATACCGAGGAATCAATAATTCAGTGGTCCGTTGGAAGCGACGAATCTCACGAAGAGCTATAGTTCCGGGTCTGTAACGGAATGTCTTCTTCTTCACGAATTGACTTTTGCCGCCCTTTTGGTTAAAAACAAATGATTCAAATAATTCAATAATAAAAACATCAAAAACTGTTTTCAAAACAAAATATCGAAAAAATAGTGTAATATTTGTAAAGATTATCAAAAATTATCTCTTTTAGTGTTTGGCTAAAAATCTTTACAACTTTAGCTATAATAACCGTTTTTATTGTTACGGATCAGTAAAGAGATAATAAAAAGACATTTTGATTGACAAAAATCTCATTACAGTATAACTTGAATACTATTAACAAAACGTATGAAATGTTAAAATATTTTTGTAAATTAAAATGTATTTCAATTGTTTTGTTATAATATATTTTGTGTGAATATAACAAACAAACCGTAGATTTGCGTCCTTTTCCGGAACCCTTTCCTGTTTTTGTCTCCAACTTCTTCATAAGCGAAGTGTATTTCGCCGATTGATTCCAAGAGCCGGTACTCTTGCGAGCCGTCTGTCGCTGTTTGGTTCGGGCCATCGAAACACCGATTTATGTCTACTATTGACTACAAATCATTGCAAACATTAAAACAATTAACTCTTTTATAAGTCTTGTGTCTTCACTCACCAAAAGATATGTTATAACAACTGTTGTGTCAATCAGTGATTCAATCAGTGATTCAAACAAAACAATTAAATTGTTATCACTTTTCAAACAATATGTTTATATTAATTGTAAACCAATTTATGTTATATTTATTGTCTATTTATGTCAATAAACAACAATTGACTCAAACATAGACTACAGGTCTTTACAGATCTATTCAACGTATTATAAACAGGGTTTTAAAAATGGCAGTCATAAACAATAGATGCCAGTTTTGCCAACTGTCTCTGCCATGCCCTGGGCATCTATTTTCAGGTGGTCACACCTATTATTTTAATTTTATATTATTAATTAACTAAAAAACATTATTTTATCTCTATATTTGTTTGGTATACCTATAATTATACAGTAATTTAATTAGAATTAAGTCTATTAATTGTATATTTAATTTACATGGTAAAAAACTAAATTACGTTATTTGTATAAATACAATAACTTTTTAGCAATTTAAATTAGCAGGCAAATAAAATAGATGCCCAAAATGCCTTTATGGCATAAATTTGGGCATTGACAATGTAGGCATTTATTTACTAAAAACCCTGATTATAAAATACAATAAATTTAAATATTTCTATAAATATTGACTTCAATTACAGCACTCATGTAAAGCAAACATCACTAAAATCAATACATTTTCATTAATATTAATAAATATTATATTATTATTAAAAATATTAATAAATAATTTATAATACTCTATAATATAGAGTCTATATATAGGGCATATACCCTAATATTGGGAAGATTTTATTAGAGAACTTCCCTTCATTGGGAAGATTTTATTAGAGAACTTCCCTTCATTGGGAAGATTTTATTAGAGAACTTCCCTTCATTGGGAAGATTTTATTAGAGAACTTCCCTTCATTGGGAAGATTTTATTAGAGAACTTCCCTTCATTGGGAAGATTTTATTAGAGAACTTCCCTTCATTGGGAAGATTTTATTAGAGAACTTCCCTTCATTGGGAAGATTTTATTAGAGAACTTCCCTTCATTGGGAAGATTTTATTAGAGAACTTCCCTTCATTGGGAAGATTTTATTAGAGAACTTCCCTTCATTGGGAAGATTTTATTAGAGAACTTCCCTTCATTGGGAAGATTTTATTAGAGAACTTCCCTTCATTGGGAAGATTTTATTAGAGAACTTCCCTTCATTGGGAAGATTTTATTAGAGAACTTCCCTTCATTGGGAAGATTTTATTAGAGAACTTCCCTTCATTGGATAGATTTGCGAACTCTATTTGCGTTGTTTTAAATTGAATTTTGTGAATCAATTAGAGGTGTGTTCGGTAATTGACTTAAATGTTTGTTTAATGTTATGATTGATAGCATAAACTGATTGTTTGTTTCAATTGTTGACAAATCGTCGATATCTTCGCAAAGATGTCTCAATCAAGTCATTCCTCGAGTTGTGACTCACTCTTAATCAATACAATTGTCGATACAATCAAATCTCGCGGTATATTTGATGAGTTAAGACGTGAATGTCTTTCAGACGCCGACACAAAGGTTAGTCCACATATGATAGCCATCGATGAGATGATTTGATTAACTCTTTTGATAATTTGTGTCCAAATATAGCCATCCTTTCAGAATCTTCTGCAGAGAGTCGAGGGTTACGTTTCCAAGTTTTTATCGCAACAAAAATGGAGTCAAAGTCTTAATAAAAACCAATTAAGAGAAAGACTTCGCCGACAATTAAATGAGTAATTATTTGATTGATTTGATTTAAATAACTGTCTTTTGGTGATAAACAGGTCCGGAATGCTTAAGTATGGTATCGAGCATTTGGTCGAACAAGTCGTCAACTTTAAGATTAATTCATTTTTTTGGCCTAAAATTGAAAGCGTTGTCAAAGAATTTTTGGGAATTCAAGACGAAACACCAGTACCTGCTTTTAATGGTGACTATCCATCAAATAAATTGTCAAAAAGTAATTCAAAGAGTGAATTAAATGATTTGAAAATCGATGTCAAGAGTCAATTAGAGACAATAGTAAAAGTTGAACCACAAGACATACCGATGGACACCGAAACCGATTCAAATTCGTCTACAGATAACAACATTAAAGTTAAAGAAGAAAATGATATTCATTCAGACAATGCTTATAACGATTGGTCGACTCCACCAATACATGAAACCTTTAGACCACTCGCTTACTCACCCATTGATAACAGTATTAAATTAAATACAGATTTGATTACCGGTAATAAAAATAATGAAAATGTTTTAACTAAAGATTTGAATGATAGTGAAGTTAATAATGAATTATTTAATGAACAAAGTAATCAATCGTCGGAAACAAATCACATGATTGTTGAGAAAAAAGTTGAAAAAGTTAAACAAAAAGATATTAAATCAGATCTCTCTGATGTTAGTTCCGTCCATACGAGCGATTTGTCAGATTTTGACGATGAAATATCATTAGACGGTTCCAATGATGAACTCAGTGATAACAAAAAGAAAATTAGTCTTAAAGTGGCCAAACAGATCACTGAAGTGCTATCTAATGAACAGCCATTGAGTGATAAGAATAATAAATGTGATAATAAAACAATTATCGGTAAACAATTGTCAGATAATAATATATATCAAACTAATGTTAATAATGAGTCGAAAAGGGTTAGGAAAATAAATCCAAAGTATTCCTCAAAAGAGTTTTCGTCGATTTTTACAGAAAAGGATATTACTATTGCCAGCACTTCCAGAGATGAAAGCAACCAAATGAATGATACATTTAATAATATAAAATCAGATAATGAACACAGATTTAGTTCAAGAAGGAAAAGACATTATAATTCTGACAGTAATGACAAAGATGTTTATGATTTATATTCTCACAGAAATTCTAAAATAATTAAAAGAAACGAAGATTCGAGATGTTCTTCCAGAGAATCTGTTGAAAGTTCACTATCAGAGACAACACAAGATTCAAACCAATCGCGAATTAATACAAGAAGAAGTCGTAGAAATAGGTTTGAATCCATATTTTATTAATAGTAATGAATGAAATTCTCACTAAATTTAAATAATTATTTCAGAAATGAATTGCAATCGCAGTCTAAAAGATATGACACGACTGATCTTTATAAGCCTCGGTCACAGATTTCATCGCGAAGAAGACCACATATGACACCCGAATCGAGCACTCAATCTAATGATGACTTTTTTATTCATGATTTATCAAAATAATTACATTTTATATATAAAATAATTATTTCAAAATTGTAAATAACATTTAAATAACATTTTAAATTGCAGTTATTTGTAATTAATTATCTTCAGGCATCAATTCAATCGATAGTCCTTTTTCTGGCCAATCATATTTTTTTGGCAAATTATCCTTTAAATTAAAGTTATTAATCAAATTAAAAATATATAGTAATACAGGTATAGTATAAAATTAATACTTGATTGTCATTTTGGTAATCATCTAATTGATTCAAATCAGCTAACATTCTATCAATATAGTCATTAGGTATAAGCACTTGAAGCCATGGGCCGTGTATAGCATATGGCTGTGTAATTGACACAAATGATCCCGAGACCGCTGGAGTGACAAAAGTGATGGCTAAGTCACCGATAATACTCTTGAATGTAAAGTGTCGGTCATGTTTGAGACGGCCTCTGATTTTGAAAAAAAAAACAAATAAACTATTGTTGAAAACTTTATCGATAAAAATATTACTCCTAAAAAGTTTACAATACATTAAATTTCAAAAATTATTGATAATTATTAATTTGATTTCATATAAAATTTCCTTTAAACTTACTGTAAATATATATTACTAGTAAGTAGATTAACCAACTTAGAGGTTAACCTTGATTTTTAAAGATTTTTTATCTAATCAAGACTAGTTGACTAATAATATTAAAAATTGTCATATAATAAAAAATGTACCAAAATTATGATTATTACTATTATGTTAAGCAATAACATTTTTATAAATTGATTGATTATCTTAAATTATAAAAATATAATAATATATTAATGTTGAATTCGGGAAAATGTCCAAAGGAGGGAAGTTCCTTAATAAAATCCCTCCATTTTTCCGGAAAATATTTTATTTTCCTTCCCTTCATTGTTAGAAAGGAAAGTATGATATATTTTTACAATAAATAGTACCAAAACTTTTGTATGAAATTCAGTGAAATGTATTTTAATTTAATTAATGTTTATTTTTAAATCTAAGTTCAAAATAGATAACTGATAACACTATTTGGTCTTAAATTTAATAACTGTTGAATATATTAATTTGAATAAATATTATATATTTTATAAAAATTGACATTTTAAAATATTGTCTTGGTGTAATTAAAATTTGTAAAATTTAACCCTCAAATCTAATATAACATCTATACCTTAATTATTTATCTAAAGTACCGGTATGTTTTCAAATGATATTGCAATAAATCAATATACAGACCTTAATGCTAGTGGTAATAGTAGTCCGGCCTCTAAATTAAACTTCAGATTTAGACGCTTTAAATATTTAGTTTGGATTAGTTCTCCCGGTTCTGGAGCACCCGTTTCACTGGCAAATGACATACGAGAGTTGCTTTGATTTTGTTGGTCATGAGATACAGACATTGCAGAACTACAACTATTCCTACTTTGGCTATATTTGTCTTCTCTAACAAAACAATCATTGTTTTCATTTTCACCAATAGTTACTTTATTGTTATCGATGTCTTTGGCATCAGAGTCATCATTGCTCTCTTCATTATTATTTGTAGACACAGATTGTTGAGTCCAAGAACAACGAGCACTGACTCCACTTAAATTAGATCCTTGAGTAGCAATACCGTCATCGACAGCTTCTTTAAGTTGTGGATCTAATTCAAAGATGGTTTCTCCTCTGCGCATATCAGTCACTAACCAATGTCCACCAGCTCTGGGATGTGATCGAAGTAAGTCAATAACTCCGGGACCGTTCCATTTCTGCGCCGCTTTTAATTCCTCTAAACAAACGCCAACTATTTGTATGAAAGTAACGGAACCGAAACAAGTCATCACTTGACCTAATTGTGGATCTTCTGACATAAGCATGTGTTGAATCCGCGATTCACTGTTATCTAGAGGACAGTGCCACGAGACGTGATCACCAGCACATAACAGGTTTGATGATTGAAATACATATTTGGCCAATGCTTGCATTACAGCCGCCGGCCACGTGGGAGGACTCATCTCTTCTGGCTCTCTCTTCAGACGAAATGTCAATTCAAAACCAAAACCACTCGGAGTTTGCAAATCAGTTATCCTTAATAACAATAATTTTAATTAAAAATAACTCAAAAGACAATTAATTWTATATTTAACTCGTGAACTCTTCCGTCTCCGTGAAGATCACTTAATCCAAAGCTGATGTAATGCCAATGTGGAGGAATATCTTGATCTGCATCGCCTGGATTAGAGTACATTGAAATGTAATCGAGAGGATCGGGTCCACCCAACCTTTAAATAACAAATTTATCATTTATTCACTAAAAGTGTCATATTTTCACAAATAGTTATTTCAACTAAATTTGTGATAACTTTGTAGTCTTGATAAATGATTTACCAATACTTGAGAACAGCTGTCACTTGCAATGGATTAGATTGTGTTGGATATACTCTTAAGCAATGATCATAAAGTGATTGCAAACCGGGAGATATCATTGAATGCATTGTTTGCGGCATTGCATTGGCCATCACTCGGGCCATCGCACCGCTGGTCACAAACTGGTCTGTCGGCGATTGCATTCACTATCACTTGATTGTTGTCTTAATGTTTCAAAATTAGTGCAAATCATAACTACATTTGATTTGATATCAAAATATCATATCATTGTATTGTATTGTATTGTATTGTATTCATTGTAATCACACAAATGTTTATTTTTTCAATAACTATAACATAAATGATTCACAAAATTAGCATTAAATACATTGAATAAAGTTTATGTTTTATAGTAATTACATTAAATTATGTGTTAATTTTAATCAAAAAATATAACTTTAAATATGAATTTTGAAATTTAATTGTTTATTTAATGTCTATTTAATTTAAATAATATTTAATTAAAAAAAATCATTTGAAGACATCACTAATGGACACATAAATAGTGAATGTATGGCTTATTGTTGTTATTATAATATAAATATTATTTTGTATTAATAGTGTAAAAGTGATATGAATTTACATTAATATAATACTAATACATGTTATACTTGTTGTTGTATTGAATGTATTGAAATGCATTGAAATGTGTGATTGTTTTGAATAAAAAATTCATTGATTATCGCAATCATTGTGTGTTTCATCCACTCATTGATCACTAGTTTACCACTTCTTATATTAAACAAGACTTCGTGTCAATGATTATAACTTTTGAACACTTAATCACCAATTAATTCAAATTATTTGATTTGAAGTGCCTTTAAATGAATGAATATTAAAATTAATTTTTAATTAATAAATTTTATGGTAAGATATCTTAGTTTAAAGTGTGGATCAAATAACAACATTGCAAGATATGTCTGAAGAGTTGGTAAGTAATAAGTGATTGAATGTTAAAGTGTTGGATGTAATGGATGGTAATATCTGTCAGGAATTGGCACAATTGGAGCTCTTATGCAAACAATTGTATTCATCGACGGATTCAATTGAAAGAAACAAAGCGGAGACAACTTTAGCGCTGTTAACTCAATCACCCACTTGTCTGTCGAAATGTCAACTACTTCTGGAAAGAGGAGATGTAATGACTAAATATAAATATCATATTTTGTTTAATTTGTAATTATTATATCTCTTTATCGTCAGTCTTCATACGCGCAACTATTGGCCGCAACGACGTTAACAAAACTTGTGACCAGAAATCCAAACATATTATCACATCAGCAACGACTGGACATAAGAAACTATATCTTAAACTATTTGGCTTCGCGTCCAAAGTTAGCACCGTTTGTGACACAAGCTTTGGTACAACTGTTTGCTCGCATAACAAAACTCGGATGGTTTGAGACCGACAAAGAAGAGTTTGTCTTCAGAAATGTCTTACCACAAGTCAAACCATTTCTTACGGTAAGTCGATATCACTTTAATTTATTATTAATATATTTAGTGATTATTTAATTAAAGTAATTAGTTTTTCTAATATATTTATTATGTATATCTATAGAAATAAATATTACTGTATTTATAGTAATTTATTATAAAATAATTATCTACTAATATATTTCATAGTTTATAAAAATTTAATACAAATTTATAATAAGTTATATAAAATGTCTATATTATCTTTATTGTCTATACTTTCGATTAATTAGCAATATTTAAATAATTACTAATTTATAATTATAATTTAAATTATAAACCAAAACATAACTATATTTAATGATAACAATTATGTTATGTAAAGTTTAGAGGTGACAATAAATACAGTTTTGTCAAAACCAGTTGATAAATATAGTTTAGTAATTGTAATTTAACAAATAATATTACGGTAATGTCTTATTACTTATGTTATTTTATAATATTTTTAAACATTTACTATTTTAGTAGATTGTTAACTTTTAACTAAGTATTTATATAAAATAAAACTTTATTAATAATCTTATATTTTTATTTAAAACATTTATTATAAATATGACAATTAAACAAAACTAATAAACTATTGCAATATTACATTTACAATTTGAATGTTATATTAAATTAAACTAAATGGTTTGTTGCATAGTTAAAATATAGATGATTTTATTGGCAAAATAATAATTATGATTATTATAATATAATATTAATTTTGTTGGTTTATTAACAATTTGAGGGTCCCGTTGAATATGCCATAGTTGGTGTTCAATTGTTATCGCAAATGACATGTGAAATAAAGTAAGTTTTTTATGGTTTTGTATTTATTCATATAAATTATTACTGATTTGATATGTTTTAAAATAGTCAAATAAGTGGATCCGATGCCAGCCGTTCCATAACAAAGCAAAGAAAGATTGCTTCTTCCTTTAGAGACAACCATTTATTTGAAACGTTTCAATTGGCTCACGAAATGTTAAGGGGAGCCCTTCAGACGTGGAAAGATACCAAATTTCTTGATGAATCTCAACAGAATTTGGTCAGCAATCTTCTACGTCTTGCTCTTAATTGTCTCTCATTTGACTTCATTGGCACCTCTCCTGATGAATCTTCTGATGACTTGTCGTGTAAATCGAGATTAAGAAATAAGTAATAATATTGTATTAATATTATATAATTATATGAAAACAGGTGTCCAAATCCCGACGAGTTGGAGACCAGCTTTTCTTGATTTTAATACATTACAGCTTTTCTTTGACCTCTTTCATTGTCTGCCGCCATCATTAGCACCAATTGTAAGTAATTTTGTTTATTGAAAATACATTTAAAATGAGTTGTCATTTCAGGCACTGTCATGTTTGGTTCAATTTGCATCAGTGCGACGCTCTCTCTTCAATAACACAGAAAGAGCTAAATTTCTTATGCAACTCGTGACTGGTGTTCGTTATATTTTAGAGAATCCTTCGGGACTTTCAGATCCCGGATGTTATCATGAATTTTGTAGACTATTAGCGCGACTCAAATCAAACTATCAATTAAGTGAATTAGTTAAAGTTGACGGATATCCAGAAACTATAGCTTTAATAACCAAATTTACAGTAACAAGTCTTCAGGTGAGCTCATGTTTATGATTACTTCATATCTCTTAAACTCATTCATCTCATTATTATTTTATACATATAATAGTTTCTAATATAAATAACAATTTATGCAAAACTAAAAATTATAATATTAATATTACAATAAGATTATAATTATTCGATAAATTAAAACTCATAATATTAATAATCAGGGTATGCATTGAGATTAAATACATATAGACTTACCGGTAGTAATAGATTTGAGTTTCAATTAATGACATATTTGTGAGAGAATACGGTACAGACCTAATGGTATTAATTAAAATCTAATTCATACGATACAGATGTGGCAATTCGCTCCCAATTCAATCCATTATTTACTAAGTTTATGGCAACGAATGGTTGCATCAGTTCCTTATGTAAAAGCCTCTGAACCACATTTACTCGAAACATACACTCCAGAAGTTACCCGCGCCTACATTACATCGCGATTAGAATCAGTTAGTGATGTTGTTAGAAATGGTTTGGAAGACCCTTTTGATGATATTGGAATGGTTCAACAACAATTAGACCAACTGTCCACAATAGCCCGGTGTGAATATGAGAAGACTTGTGCTTTAATTGTCCAATTATTTGATCAATCGGCTCAAACTTATCAAGAGTTACTTCAAAATCCAACGTTATCACAGATGGATGTGACCATACAAGAAGGTCGACTTACGTGGTTGGTCTATATTATTGGTGCCGCTATTGGCGGACGTATATTCCTAAATAGCACCGATGAACACGACGCCATGGATGGAGAGTTAGCTTTTCGTGTCCTTCAACTTATGAATTATACAGATTCGCGGTTAGCTCAGGTATACATAATCTGATTTATAGGTAAAGTACAAACAAATTATAACTAAATTTCCTTATTTGTGTTGTTAAGGGTGGTTGTTGTAAGAGACTGGAACTGGCGATGCTTTCCTTTTTTGAACAGTTTCGTAAAATATATGTCGGCGATCAGGTCCAGAAAACATCTAAAGTTTATCGAAGACTTTCTGAAGTGTTAGGACTTACGGAAGAAACTATGGTTTTAAGTGTTTTCGTTAGAAAAATGTATTGTTAATAATCTAAAGATAAGTTTTTTTAATGTTATTAAAGATTAATTTAATGTTTTATTTAAAGAATCACTAATTTGAAGTTTTGGGGAAATAGTGAACTTATTGTTACAAAAACATTGCAAATACTCAATGATTTATCGGTTGGCTATAGCAGTGTCCGAAAACTGGTCAAATTAGATGAAGTTCAGTTCATACTTAACAATCATACCGTATGTAACATTTATTATTTGTTTTTAATAATAATTATAATATTAAATCAATTTGTTATATAGAGTGAACACTTTCCCTTTTTGGGCAGTTCTGCACAGATAAGTGATATGCGCTGTCGGTCAACACTTTATACATCTTTAGGTCGACTTCTTATGATAGATCTCGGAGAAGACGAGGAAAAGTTTCTCACTTTTATGAGTAGTTTAACCGGTATTTCGTATTTAAATGTATTTAAATGTGTCATCGATGATAACTTATTAATTTATATTTAAAATACATATTTTTACCATTACTTAGCTTAATATTTTAGTATAATTAATTTACTATTAATTAATATATAATAATAATTGTCAAAAATTATTTCAACTTTAAGCTCAATTTGATTCATTAGCGTTGTTGTTAAAGTCTAACTCCATGTTTAACGTGGAAGAAGCAAAGGTATGAACAATAATATATATATATATATATATATATATATATATATATATATATACAGTATATTCACGGATAGCACTAATTGTAGTTAAATCTTGCATTCATTAAACATTAATACAGATAATTAATGAATTATTGCTATCATTCTGTAAATTAAAGCATTTTTACTTTTATTGATTATTTTAATATTTATAGAAAGGATTGATTGGTTTGGCCCGTGATCTCAGAGGTCTCGCGTTTGCTTTTAATACTAAAACAAGTTTTATGATGTTATTTGAATGGATGTAAGAAATTATTGATAAATTTAGTAACATTAACATTAAATAAAAATAATAATTTCTAATAGATATCCAGCGTATACTCCAATACTTCATACAGCTGTTGAGCACTGGTATCACGACCCTCAAGTAACGACACCAGTGCTTAAATTGATGGCTGAATTGGTTCAAAACCGGTCTCAAAGACTACAATTTGATGTTTCTTCACCCAACGGGATATTATTGTTTCGGGAAACGAGTCGAATGATTGTTAATTATGGCACTCGTATATTAACTTTGGGAGACATACCTAAAGAACAAATATATCCATTAAAATATCCTTTCTTTGCTTAATATACAGTACAGTATTACAGTACAGTATATTTTACTGCATTTAAAAATGTTATTATTTAATGAATTTTCCTTAACTTTAAAAACTTTATTTGATTTTCAAATATACGCTTAAAGGGATATCAATATGTTTTTCAATGCTTAAGTCAGCTCTTTGTGGAGGATATGTAAACTTTGGTGTTTTTCATTTATACGGTGACACAGCATTGGATGACGCGCTCAAGACTTTTATTAACTTATTGTTATCAATACCTCAATCAGATTTATTGGTGAGATATATATATATATATATATATTGAATTAGTTGAATAATTAAATAATTTGATATTATTTGTTATAGAATTACCCGAAGTTGAGTCAAACATATTATGTATTATTGGAGTGTTTAGCTCAGGATCACATGAATTTTTTGGCTAATTTAGAGCCAAATGTCTTTCTATATATCCTCTCTTCTATATCGGAAGGGCTCAATGCATTGGACACAATGGTGTGCACCGGTTGTTGTGCAACATTGGATCATATCATCACATATTTGTTTAAATGGCTCTCAAAAAGCAATAAGAAGTCATCGCAAAGTAATTTAGTTCGTGAAAGTGAAACCTGTCTTAAAGTATTGGAATTACAACCGGAAATATTGCAGCAAATGTTGTCAACAATTTTAAATATAATAATGTTTGAAGATTGTAGAAATCAATGGTCAATGAGCCGACCCCTGTTAGGACTCATTTTGCTTAATGAAGAATATTTCAATCAATTAAGACAAAGCATTATAAGTCAACAGCCGTCAGATAAACAGTCATCGATGGCTCAATGGTTCGACAATCTCATGGAAGGCATCGAACGAAGTCTACTCACCAAAAATCGCGACCGGTTTGTAGTTTCATTGCCCACACCTAACACCCACTCATTTGTATTCATTTTATGATAGGTTTACACAAAATTTGTCGGTATTTCGTCGCGATATTAATGATTCCCTTAAAGGCCCGGCTATGACCAACTCTAACGCTACTATTGGCGCTTCAGCTGATAATATGATGAATTGAGCCATAGCTCATTTGATTCAATTGTATATTTATTTATTTTTATATTTTGTCTCAAAATAAATTGTTTTAATAAATTAATAAATAAAATATGATTTTAAACTAATTGTGAAAATGCGTTTATTTAAACAATTATAACTTAGTTTATATTTATTAATGATCTACTGATTGGACAAAATGTAAGAAATGAAATACAATTCGAGTTTATATTGAGTTTAATTAGATTTGGAATGATATTCAAAATAAATGGTATAAAATCGATAGATTAAAGACCTGTCCAACAATTTCTAATTAACTCAATTATAATAAATTGAAAAAAATACAAAATAAAACCTAACTATCAATATTATAGCTAAAAGTGAAAAATTATAATGTAATTTCATAATCATACATATAAATGATTAAAATATTTTATAATTAAAGCATATATAAGTTACCATTGGTTATGAAGCATAACTGCAGGCATAAGATTTGGAGGGCGAGTGAATGCTTTTAGGTGTAGGCGCCGGGTGTGGGTTCTCTGGGCTCAAGAAATCCCATATTAATATAGTGTCGTCATGTGATGAGCTAACGATCTGAAACTCATCAAACTGTAGTCTAAACACCCGACCCGTGTGTTCTATTAATGTCTTCAAACATAATGCAGATGCCGGTGACCGAGGATCCAGAGCTGCCGCCAAATCCCATACTTTTATTTTACTAAATAATTCAATTAGTTTTAATCATTAATCACTAAATTATAATTATTTAATTACTAACCCATCATAAGCTCCGCTGACAATTCGTTTGTTATCAAATCTAATACATCTAACTAACTCTTCGTGTCCATCAAGTGCTCTCAAACAAGTACCACATTCAATGTCCCACAACCTATCAATTTCATCATTATTATCAAATTGTTTCAATAATTGCAATAATATGCTTATCAAAAGCTATTTGTTATTTATATTTACTATACATTGGGTGTATATGCCCTGTGGCTGACATGCATTTTATTAATTACTTAACATTTATTATAGCTTCACAAGTCATTCACCATCACATTACACTTAATGTTAAAACTAATGTTAATAATTAAACAGCTATTTAAATTAAAATAATATAAATAATATATATATATATACTGTATATTAAAACTGAGATAATAATATACAAATAATAGACTACTTGTATTGCTTATACTAAATTAAAAACTCATATATATATTAATACTTTATTTTATATGATTTAACGCAATTACCTGATAGTGTTGTCTGAACTTCCGCTGACAACAAGTCTGTCACGATATTGAAGACAAGCGATGCCTCGTTTATGTCCATTAAGAGTTCGCACAAATTCGCAGTTAGAAGTATTCCACACTTTGATGGTTCGGTCACCAGAAGCTGATACTATATATTTCTCATCAAAATCAACAACATTGACAGCGGCACGATGGCCAACAAGAACACGTCTTAAATTGATATCAGATGGTGACACCATATCCCAGACAGCAATGGACCTGTCCTTTGAACAGGTAACCATCATTCCATTATTAAATCTCAAATGCAGTACAGCCTCGCAATGATGTATTAATGTTGTAACCATTTGTCCTGAATTCACTTCCCAAACACGAACTGTGGCATCACTGGAACCACTTATTATAACTTTATCATCATATTGAAGACATAGTACAGAACCTGTATGTCCTGTTAATATCTATTTAAAATAAAATAAATCATTTAATATTAAATCAATCTTTACATAAAGTATATAATATGACAAACTTTAGAGCACTGAAGTGTCGAACGATCCCATATTTTAATAGTATTATCTCTTAATCCACTAATAATCTTATGGTCATCATATTGAAGACAATAGACACCTTTGCTTGATTCAGACCTACAATTAATTCTTTGCAAATTATGACGACCTGTTCTCCAATTGTTTTCAGTATTGTCGATGTCTTGAATTATCTTTGGAAATAATCTTCGGTAAAACATATGATCGGGATGTTGTTCGCCAGCATTTGGTTTAAATAAATAGCGAATCCTTAATTCATAAAAATAATTAGTGACATCAATAGACTGTCTATCAAGACATCTACAAGACATACCACCCGCGCCTATGAGCTAATCCTCGCCAAAGAGTGTCTGTGCGAACTCGGCTTTCAATTAATTTCTTCCAAAGCATACCTTCAGAGATAACTCTATACCACTCTTTGCAGACCAACTCTGCGGCACATAAAGACTTTGCGTCCAAATAAGATAATACACTCTCCGCCACGTGATCTAAACCTTTCTCTATTATAGTAACAATATTATCAATTAAATCAATTATCTATCAATTATCTATCAATTAGATAAATGGTAAACAAACTCGGAAGTAATGAAATGAAATCTCTTTGAAGCATTGGTTTGAGATAACAATTAATTTGCGAGTGTTGGCAGTGAGACATCTTCGAGAGTAAGTACTGAACGAAGTCTGTCTGATCCGATTCAGACCACGAGTCGAAATGACAAACGCACTGCTCTTTGGTCTTCTCATACATCGCTCTCATTGTTGTCGACTCTTCACTTAACTCTTCATCTGTTGATTTAACCACATTTGAAGTGAACAGTGATGTCATTGGTATGATCTGCAAAACAATCATCACTTTAATTGTATATCAATTGATGACTCATTGAGAGCTCATTCAGGACAGTCGTATAGGACATGACCTCAGCTTAAATGGGTTAACACGAGTGTCAATGCATTTCTTACGGAAACAATTTGTTGATCATTGGTCTCAATACTCGCCATTGTGTCCATTGATTGCTAATTGATATCACATTAACTATAATCACAATCAATGAGTTAATGTCTCATCAAATCAGTCTATAATTCATTCATATGATTGACTCAATTGAGTCCTATTTTTGCCATATTTTCAAACATACGTCACAATTGGGGTCTTATTTGGTATACATTTGGTGTCAATAGCACTAACACTCAGTTTATTATACAATACTTGAATACCATTGCATTCAAACCACAATATGGGGTATCACTTAAACCTATACTTTATGACGTCATTTATGAATCAATATTCTATTCATCAAAAATGTTGAAATCAACGTCAAAACTATCAGTTTTCTAAAGTTGCCTAATATTTATAAAATTGTTGTAAAATTAATTATTTTTATATAAACTGTGAATCTGTAGAAATTGTATGGAGATTTTTGTGTTGCCATAACAACAACACATGTTTTTAGTATACAAGTGATGATCAAATGAATGATTATATTATAAATAATAATAGACTTAATGTTGACATTAATCGGCAATTATGTCAAAATCAATGCGAAAGAGAGTCACTAATCATACAAATGATACAAATGTTAAACAAAAAGACAAAATCAGAGACAAAGCCAAACCTTCTTCGTTAATGTCATTCAATTCATTGATATTAATATTATCTATATTTGTGGTCATCATTGGTACATATTTTGCAAACAAGTGGTATTTAAATAATAAGACATTAACACCTTTGGACACAAATATATCACTTAATGTCATAATGAATGGCAACAAATGGGGAACATTAAGAAGTGGTCATTATTTTGGACTCAAGACATGTGATCCCCAATCAATAGTCACTGGAATGATGTGGTTTTGGAACCGTATTGAAGGAAATACATTACCGGTTAGGCATTGGTGTGACCAAAATGATAGGCTTTCCCGATATGGATGGCTTAGACACGACTTTTTCTCATTTGGTGTCCAAGAGATTGTTGATAACAATATAATATTTGAGACGAGTTTTATTAAATTAGATAATAATAGTTGGAGAGCTAGAGTTGTGGCAAAACCCAAATATTCTGAACAATCAATGTCTTCCATGTCTTCATCGGTTCCCATTTCACTCATATTTTATTTGGCTACTGAACGACCTGAAGATAAGCTTCAAGTGATACCATTTAACGCTGAATTAAAACCAAACGTTAATTTTATTGTCGAAGGCTTTTCACAAAATATCGGAAACTTTAAGTTTTCTTTAGGAATCACCAAAAATAAGACAAATGTTTTGTTTAGAAGTTATTTAAATACTATATCAAACCCACCGCTTGTATATCTGAAAGAAAGTCTTCTGAAAAATTTGGTTCTCTATGATATCAATGATATCGCAAGGAATCCATTATTTGTAGTAAATGGTGACTCATTTGATAAAAGGGATCAAATAAGTAGAGCTAACTTTGTTGCCCATCAAATTGTATTTTCATCTGCTGTTGAATTGGACATTGAGTTTATTTCAATGTCAACAGATTTATCAAATAAACCGTCGTTTTCATTGTCATCTGAAGATTACAATAACGAATTATCTAAAAGAAGTGAAAAGTTTGACCAAAAGTTTGAATCAAAGTTTAGATTAGAGGCAAAAAATTTTAGTCATCACGAGATTTCATTTGCAAAAGCAGTTGTTAGTAATGTTTTAGGAAGTATTGGATATTTTAATGGCTACTCATCGGTACAATCCGATGAAAAAGTGGTTCTTTACGGTCCCCTTCAGTTGTTAACTGGAGTGCCGTCCCGTTCTTTCTTTCCCCGAGGATTTTTATGGGACGAAGGGTTTCATCAACTTTTAATTAGTGAATGGGATCAACAATTATCTGAAATTATAATTGAAAGTTGGCTCAGCCTTATGAATGGTGAGGGATGGATACCAAGGGAAGTGATTTTAGGCGATGAAGCAAAAGCTAGAGTTCCTCAAGAGTTTATAGTACAGAAAACTAGTAATGCCAATCCTCCCGCTTTATTTTTATCCATTGAAAAAATGCTAAATAATGGAAATGTAAATAAAAATTGGTTAAATAGGATTTTTCCGCGACTTAATCTCTGGTATAACTGGTATAATAGTTCACAAACGGGTCATATCTTTAGTACTTATCGCTGGAGAGGAAGAGATTATGAAACTCGAAAGGAATTAAATCCAAAAACACTTACATCAGGTTTTGATGATTATCCGCGCTCTACACATCCAAGTGATGAAGAAATACACATAGATTTGAGATCATGGGTTGCATATTCTTCACGAGTTATGGCAAGAATTGCCAAATTGGTCGACAGTTCTTTTGCACATCAATTTGAAGAGACAAGAGATTATTTAAGTGATAACCAATTGTTGGATTCATTGCATTGGTCTGACAAACATAATATGTATTGCGATAAAGGATTTCATTCAACTCAAGTGAAATTAATAAAAATTAGAAACAAATCGGACAATGGGTTTGAAAAACAAAGAAAAGTAATCACTGAACCCAGTTATGACTTCATCCCAGAGTTAGGCTATGTCTCACTCTTTCCATTTGTGTTGACTATAATTGATGCCAAAAATCCTAAATTAGTTAAAATTTTGGACGATTTAGAAAATCCAAAATTATTATGGAGTTCCTATGGGATCCGTTCGTTATCTAAAAGTTCATTATACTATCAACAATATAATACAGAAGTTGATCCACCATATTGGAGGGGACCTGTTTGGATTAACATCAACTATTTAATCCTCAAATCTCTTCATCACTACTCATCAGTTACCGGTCCCTACCAGAGTCGAGCCCTTTCTATTTATCAACGTTTGAGACAAAACATCGTTTCTACAGTTTTTACAGAATATGTTAGAAGTGGTTATGTTTGGGAACAATATAATGATATGACCGGTAAAGGAAAGGGCTCTCATCCTTTTACCGGTTGGTCCGCTCTCGTTGTCTTAATAATGGCAGAAAAATATTAAATTATTTTTGTTAATTATTTTTATTCAATAAACTATTTGATAACATGTCGCTAACATTTCATTTACCTATAGTTATAATATTAAAACAATTATCACACAGTATATGAAAACAATTTACTTTTTATTAGCCATTTCTGACATAAGTTTTATAAGAATTGGTGATTCTGTCGGCGCTGACGTGAAAATAGTTCCCACAATCACATGAGTTCCCCATTTGTTGTGATGAATGGCTTTACAACAACCGAGATCTTCAATCCTAAAGCCTAAGTGAATAAATCTGTCGTCGGTTTCAAACAACGTATCATTTGTGTGATCACTCTTTCAGTAATAAATAAGTCAATCATAAGATAATTACCACAATCTTCAGTATATAGTAATATAAATACTTACTAGAAATGGTTGACCAGAATATGGATCAATAAAATCGGCCCAAAATCCATGATTTTGAAGCTCTTGACAAACATTTTTCGCTTTTATGATAAACATCTCAAAAAACTTTTCTCTTTCGTTTTCAATGGTCTCTGAATAAGAACTCATATCATTGCTTGTCTTCTCTGAAATTGTCATAACTGTCATATTATCGCCAAATTCTTGTCTTATTTTTCTTGGAAACAGAAGAGCAAAATTTTTCATGACTTTAGTTAATAATTTAGTCGCCTTTATATCGCAGACATCACAAGTTGTCATCATTTTCTGATTAAACAATGTTTGATATTTAAGAACCCGAAAGATCTTAAGGCAGCGATTGTTGAATGTATTGTTAGACAAAAACAAATCGATATCTCTTTTGTCAATTGATGGCAATGTTTGTTCAAATGTATTCATTTGCTTAACTAATTCAATAACAAATTTCTTGTGGATCTCATTCGTGTCCTCTAAAGTTATGCCAATATTTCCATTGAGAGGCGCTCTCATGTCATGCGGACCGAAGAGATGTAGTTCTGGTTTTGTAATCCTCAAGAAGTGGTCACAAAAGTCGGTGTTAAGCAATAGTGTCTGTTGTCTGTCGTTGTGTTGTCTTTCAAATGAAGACCATTTGTCCGGTGCTTCTGAACTGTAATTATAACAACTATTTGTCAAAACATTTGAAACTTTGTTTAAATGCTTTGAAACGAGTAATCGGTTTAATCGTAACATTGCTTTCTAGTTATGATTAACTCATTTGTTTCAATCATATAAATATTGGATCAGTTATTCAACAGAAGATTATTAGTTGTCTTTGAAATGCAAATCATTTGTCTATTTATTTACGTCTCATATAATACTGAGTTAAATAAAGGTAAACATGATTTTACTGCCAATATTTAAATTCCCTCATTTCCTCATTTCCTCTATTATTACTGTAATACTAAACATTCAATATATAGTAAATACCATTCAATTACATTATGTTATATAATATGTATATAACATATACAGTATATTATACATTGTATATCAAATCAGTGACAAAATAGGCGAAACTAGTTTTTTTGGCAATAACTTCTCACTGAAAAAATATATTTTATTCGCATTTATGGATTTTTTTGGACATACAGTAGAGTACATACACAATGATATAAAAATTATGTAAAAACACCGAATTGCTAGCACAGGAAAAGTGGGTTTTCAATAATTATAATTTTATAGTTTGTTAAAATTTACTAAATGTAAAAATATTATGTTTTAAAAAGGAATTTTAAAATCATTTTTAATAATCTCAACAAATTTTTGTATAAATTGTCTTTAATTATTAAAAAAAAACAATATATTAACTTATGATATAAAATAAAAGCGTAAAGATATCAGATTTTATTTAATTTTAATAATTACTAGATTTGGTAAATAAAAGGATAACAATTAGCCGCGCGATGTACTCAATAATATTCTGTACTTTCAATTATAGTTAAGTATATTATTTAATGTGAATCTATATATTATGATATAAATATAAATTATAAAATACAGTAAATTTTATTTTATTTTAATACTTTTTATTTTCGAAGTCTAATAATTACTAAAATAAAACATTTCATTTAGTGGATCTTAATTTACTATCTTATATGATATAAAAAAAAAAGTATATTTTTGCCATTATGTTTATTTTTATGATTAATTTAATAACTATAGCAAAAATAAAACTCAATAAATAAATAATTATATTGGAAATATAGTATTTATTAAAATTAATGATATATTAATACTTAGATATACTTAATTTATAATCAGTTAAAGATTTTTAATGGATTTTTAATAATTAAATGCAATTTATTAGAAAACTTTTTGATAGTATTAGAGATAATGACTTTTAGTTACTTTTATTATTATGTGATTCACTACAGTATTAATACTATTTATATTACAGTAATAGTTGTTTCTCTAATTTATTGGAATTATTGTAATATTTCAATGCTATGAGCTATCCATATATGATGTGACAAATGTTGTTATTATAACATAAGTGTTGTTATTATTAATGTAATATACAGTCAATTGATTTGTTAATTACAATGATTGAGATCACATGTAATGACCGATTGGGCAAAAAAGTGCGGATCAAATGCAACTCCGGTTTGTTGTTATTATCTTATTTGACATTTGTCTCAATTATAACTAATATTAAGTTTATTTGTATACATTTTCAGATGATACTATTGGTGATCTCAAGAAACTAATTGCCGCACAAACGGGCACTCATTGGCAAAAGATTGTACTCAAGAAGTGGTATACTATCTATAAGGATCACATAACTCTTGAGGACTATGAGATCCACGACGGCATGAATCTTGAATTGTATTACCAATAAGTTTGTTATTTTCATTATTTCTCATTATTTCTTTACATAATTGTATTTTTTATTGAAAACAAATAAACATTTGATTAGTTAATAACAAAAATATAATTAAAAATAGTTGTAATTAATGGCAATTCAGTCAAATTGTTTCAATCTATCTAATGAAAGATGCGGTCGATTATCGAGATTCTCATAATTTGTCTATCATTTTGATTGAATTTATTCTGCAATATAAAAATGAGTGTAACATTAGGTCATCAATTGGTCATCAATTGGTTATTAGAGAGGAATGTTTCCGTGTTTTTTATATGGATTTTCAACTTTTTTAGTTCTTAAAAGATTCAAATCTCTACAGATTCTCATTCTTGTAGTTCTCGGTTCAATAATGTCATCAACAAAGCCTGAAAAGAAAATTCTGTATAAATCATGAGTCGAATGAAAGAAATCAAACCTCTGACGGCAGCGGGAAATGGATTTCCAAACTTTTCAATATATTGTTGTTCGTAGTGTTGAGTGTCTGTCTTTCCCCGATATAATATAGAAACGGCACCCTTGGCTCCCATGACAGCAATCTCTGCCGTAGGCCAGGCATAGTTGACATCGGCCTTCAAGTGTTTAGAACTCATGACATCGTAAGCACCTCCATATGCTTTGCGAGTAATAACTGTTATTTTGGGAACATTTGCCTCAGCAAAAGCATATAAAAGTTTGGCTCCGTGTCTAATAATGCCGCCGTATTCTTGTGCTGTTCCCGGAAGGAAACCTATATATTAAGTTAACAGATATTATATTATACTATAATTAATACAAACATTATCCATACAAACCGGGTACATCAACAAACGTTATAATTGGTATATTAAAAGCATCACAAAATCGGACAAATCGGGCGCCTTTTACTGATGAGTTGATATCCAAACATCCTATCATTTATAATAAAATTTACTAAAATTATATGTATTTCATACTAGAAATAGTCCAATAAATACCGGCAGCATATTTGGGGTTATTGCCCACAATACCAACAGTCTCGCCATTGATTCGGGCGAATCCTATTAATAAATTCTTGGCGTAATCGGGCATTATTTCAAAGAAATCGTGTTCGTCAACAATCTATTAAAAAACTAATTACTAAAATTCAACAAAAATAATAATTATTTACAAACTTACAGCTAAAACAATGTCCAACATATTATAGGCAGCCGTGGATTCCAAGGGTACGACAGTGTCTAAACTTTCAACAATTCTATCCCTTTTAAAGTAAATGAAATCAAATGATGTTATATTACAATCATACAAATAGTATAATAATTGTGGAATTTATTTATAGGTAATATATGTTAACATTAAATATCTATGAGTCAATTTGCCACAATAATTATTGTACTATTTGTATGATAACAATATATTGTTTATTAAACAATTGTTATTATTGTTTGAATCAATTGATAATAACAAACCATTTATCATCTGACTGTCTGATGGGTGCGGGTTGTGTACTAGAAAGTGGCAAAAAACTATAAAACTTTCTCAATTGTAATAACATATCGACGTCGTTATCAAAAGCTCTGTGCGCTACTCCAGACATTGTTGTGTGTGTCTTAGCGCCTCCCAGTTCTTCTTGAGTCACATCTTCATTGGTGACTGCCTTTTGTTAATAAAACAATATAAATAATATTATCATGGTAGATTTTAAAAATTAATTATCCATCTTAATTTACTTTAACCACATCAGGTCCAGTGATGAAAAGATAAGATGTATCTCTGACCATAAATATAAAGTCAGTCAAAGCGGGTGAATAGACAGCTCCACCAGCACAGGGACCCATAATTACAGAAATTTGTGGCACAACTCCTGATGATTTGACATTACGTAAAAAAATATCGGCGTAACCGGCAAGTGATTCAACTCCTTCTTGAATTCGAGCGCCTCCCGAGTCGTTAATGCCAATCACTGGAACACCTACTTTAACTGCCTGATCCATAATCTGAGTTTAATATACAGTATAATAAGTACACCATTTGGTAAATAAATCTTTTCGGTAATACAAATACTTTGCATATTTTCATTGCGTGAGCACTCGATAGACTTCCACCAAAAACAGTAAAATCCTGACTGAAAACAAATACTTTACGGCCGTCAATAAGTCCGTGTCCAGTGACCACACTATCACCCGAATACTAACATCAATATAATTAATGTTTGTTAAAATGTTTAAAATAGTTAGATGTCAGACCTTCATGTCTTGCATCCCGAAGTCAGTGCACGTGTGCTCCACAAACATATCGTATTCAACAAAACTGTTGGCATCTAATAGCAGATCAATTCTTTGTCTTGCAGTCAACTTTCCCTATAATATCATATATTATATGCCATTATATTTGACAATAAGATATTTGGATCAATTGTAACCTTTCTATGTTGTGCATGGATTTTGTCGAGACCTCCTCCTAAAAGACTAGTATTGCGTTTGCTATCGATATCTTGTTTGACACGAATGGTGTGCATAATGTTTGGATTACCACTGAATCGACATTTGGATTGTACTTCTTGTAATAACTTGCGTGATATCAAGTTATGTCCATTGATTGCATTGAATCCAATAGTAATCAATTTGTAACTTCTTGAGGGAATCCATGTTATCGATGCCATTGTTAACAATTGTTATCTCTGACCAAAATAATAGTCAATTAATTATAGCATTAATAAGTCATTCAATAATCATTAATACATTCAATTCAAGTCAAATCATATGTACTTTAATACCGATATATTGTATACATTAATACAGTACTAAATGCAATACAAAGATAGAAATATTATTAAAGTGTTTAATACAGTGTACAGTGTTTTCTAAATTAATATCATTTATCATATGATTCAACATTTTATAAGTATTTTAAACAGTATTAATGTAAAGATTGTATAATAATTGTTGCATTAATACTAATATCAAATATATTTGTTGACACAACCCATAGATTAGTATATATTTAGTCAACAAATAGTATGAATTGAAGCACAACTTTGAGCGCTATTTTCTATAATATTTGTATTAAATATCATATCATTTGTTTGATTGAATTAATTGAATACACATTTAATAAGAAAATTGTTTGAAATGTCATCTCAAGTGACACTCAATGAGTACGACAACTACGAGACACCCAAAGAGGTATATCAGAGACTGATCCAACTGATCAACAATCAAATGAATAGTCCACAAGTATTACCATACAATGAATTGGTCATCGAGTGTGTGATTGAACAGATCCAACACATGACAGAAAATTTGAAGCGTTTGTCCTCCAAATTGGATCAGTTCTGTATTGAACAACACACCACTGAATTGTCGAGATTGAGTTACGCATCTCATCAATACTTAAGAGTCAGACTCAATAAGATTGAACTCAACTCCAATTGGCTGATCCAGACTTTGCAAACAAATTACAAATTTGTCGACAAGTTGTTGTCGAAGAATGAAATGAAATATTTAGATAATTATGTGACGAGTGTTGACACATATCTCAATCAATCAGTTTTGGGTCGATTGCCATTCAATCGGACATCTATTATGAACTATAAGACCATTGATTTGCCTAACAATGATGACAATCAATGGCATAAAACTTATGTCTTTGTTAAAGCCATGAAAGCGACACAAGTGTTGGTCGACGACGCCAGTGGTCAGCAAACTGTCCACTTGGATGCCAATAGTCAGCATTTCTTGCCTTACACTGCTGTCAGACGTCACCTAATGAATGATTCTCAAGATTTACATCTTTTATAATTGGATTCAATAATGTGTTTATATTTCAAATTTAAATAAATTTGTTTATACAGTAACTAATAAAACGTTTATTTATTAATAACTTTGTAATGTTTTCAATATATAGTTAAAATCAATGTTAAAATATTTATTAGTGTTGTTTCAATTCATTGCCGATACGGTAACTCATGATTTTATTCCAGTCAATCTTGGATCGGGTCACCGGTAGTGGACGTCTCAATGCTTTGAAAGTAGTGTCAGACATAGTCTGGTAGTTGTCTGAGATGGCCGTCTGGTACTCCCTTTCTGCCTCTTCAACCAACTCAACAATTGCTTCAGCCATTTGTGTTTCGCTCTATAAATACAAACATTTTGTTAAAAAATAATTAAATAAAACATTTTCTATATACTGACTGATATATCAATAAGTTTTTTGATATCTTTACAGCTGACGAGTTGTACATTTCCGTCTTCATAATAATGCACCTGAACTTTGATGGTTCCCTTAACCTCTACTCTACCCAACCCTGAAAATGTTATACTCCATACTGAACGCCACCGACCATTCCTAACCAATAATTCAATTATTATAATAGTTATACTTTATATAACAATTATAAATATATTGTTCATAATATCAACTAAATTAACTCATAGACAGATTATCAATGGGTTACAGTTACTAAAAATAACTACCGATACATGTATTCAAATAGCAATATAAATATATTTTTAATATTATTTAAGCGGCCGTTTGCCGGTTAGGCGACAAACAAAAATATAGAGTAAATAGTATTTTAAAAATTTCAATAAATGTATTTTTCTTTATCTATTTATGATATTTATATTTAAAATAAAATTTTTACTTAATTATAATAGATGACTGAAATTATTCAATGGCAATGAAATTTACTTCTGTTTATTAAAATTTTATCTTTAATTTTAAATAGTTTTTAGTTACAACTAATTTGTAAGCTATATATTTAGAAAGAAAAATATATACGTAATATTTTTTTTTAATTTCTGACAATGCTATCTAGCATTATTAACTGATCATACATTACAAAATGATAATAAAATTTCCGTTATTAGAAAAAATGTCATAAAATTAATGTATAGGTTATAATCTTAAAATAAAACTACAGTAATTTTATATGATTTTTACCCACACCGGTAATATATAAATGTTATACAGTTATAAAACTGATAGTCAAATATTATAACTTATAGTTAAATTTTAAGGTTTACTAAATACTCAATAGTAAGCTTTAGATTCCATGATTTAGTAATTAAAAAATACAATATTACCGGTAATAGTAAAACTGAAAACTACAGACTATGTAATACGTATACCGTAATGTAAATAAACTAACTTTTTTTTATTACCGATACAGTAATATCATATTATAGTAATATAAATATTTAATTAATTTAAAGATATATTATTGTTAAACATACCAATAGTTCTTAGGTTGGAACTGGTGGTCTTCAATACATGCGGTCAAACTGATCTGTCCGCTCTGACTCAACCCAAACACAGCACTCACTCCATTGTGGTAGTGATCGGCACAGTATTTGCTCCATAATTGATCCAACGCTGACCTCCACGGTTCGCTATTTGAGTCCGGTGTCCACGTTTCATAGTCAGACGCTTCTTCTCTTAAGTGGTCAAATTTAAAAGATAGTCGACTTCGAGGATCATAATATCGATTGGATCCAAATTCATTGAATTCAGTGATAAGTGTCTGATTGTCATAACATTTATTATATAATTAACAAATCGGTTTGCAATCTCTAGTATACCTGATTTTGTGTCGACTCTATAGTGACGGCAGTTAACTGATCTTTGCTATACTGTGCGAATACACTATAATTGAAAACAATTAATTAAATTACTTTTCGTTGTTATCAATGGTTACCTCGAGGCTTGTTCTTTAAGAAGCTGATCATTATTGAGCAGTTGACGCACATCTGTAATAATAATTTTAAAAAATAATATGAAAAGTATTAGTTTTGATAAAATATCTTAAATATGATAAGTGTTTATCATTTGAATCACTTAATTATAGTTTCAAAAACAATATTTCAATATTTTAAACATTATTTTATGTCATTTGCCTTATATTAGATGATAACAACAAAGAGTTAATAATTTGACTGAAATATTGTTATTTACAAGACATTCAAGTGATACAAATTAAAACAAATGTAACCAATTGTTAACATATGTATCATACCATTGACCACTTCTCTGAACTCTCCCGGCGGAGCGTGAAGTATGAAATCAGTGACGATTCGCATCTATTAATCAAATGGTGACAATCAATACAATTCAACCAACAATTAATTGCAAACCTTATCGCTGTCGGACAACGGCTCATCCAAATCAGTGGCCATTGATGTCAAACAATTCAGTGGTGATACTAATCAATCAATTGGTCATATGTTTGACAACTAACAAGTCTAACACATAGAGACACACCTCATATCAAATACCGACCCTTTTGTCAAATAGTGTATCACTCACTGTATGTACTGTATGTTTGTGTTGATTACATACATGAGCTCAATGTGTAGCACATTGTGTGCTCAACAAACAGTATAAACTAGTGATACCAACTGTCCGGCTTTAACCAGAATCCAACAATTTATCATTACTTTATACGGTATAAACTAACCTCCAGTTATAGACTATATATTAATATAATATAATAGTATAGTATATAACTTATAGCTTTAATTTCTTTAATTTTATGTCTGATTTTTATTTAAGATACAATTTTAAACATGTAATTAAAATTTTTAATATATTTTGTATACTTTTATTAGTACTTACAATTGATTATATTAATTAATCAATTATATAGACTTAAATAGTGATTAAATAAAATTGATAATTTATTTATCAATATTTAATATTCGGTTTTAATAATATTAAGATCAGATTATTATTATTATTATTATTATTATTATTATTATTATTATTATTATTATTATTATTATTATTATTATTATTATTATTATTATTATTATTATTATTATTATTATTATTATTATTATTATTATTATTATTATTATTATTAATAATGCATAATTGGTTGTTAACTTGTGAGTTGGTATGTCTAGTATAATATGATTAGTTTGAATAGATTAAAAAGGATCCAAATTGTAGACTTGAAACAATAGAAACAGTAATACTTTTTATAAGTAGAATATTACACACAAAACTATAGAAAAACCTTATCATATCATTATAATCGATGTTTTGAGTCATAGGATATGTATTAATATATTGAATAGTTTTCTATTAATTTAAGGATTCATTAATTTGTAAGCAATTTGTGATTTAATGCATTCATTAGTTAATACATTAAATACTTTCATAACATTACAATTGGTTTCATAATTGTTATCAAATGTAATATAAGTTAATTATAATAAATATGGGATTAATTTAGTAATAAATGTTTAACTATAATGTGATTTCTTGGACAAAGATTTCTTGTCTTATTGTTGACAAATTGGTTATAACGTTGGGATCAACAGTCGAGCCAATGGCCGGATCACGGGATCGGGAGCGCACTCGCGATAGGTATTAGCGGACACATGATTTTAATTTTAACTTTAATAAACATTTGATTGTGTTATATGAATATAACAGTAGGGATAGACATAGGGATGACCGCCACGGGAGCCACGGGTCGAATGGATCAAGTCGTGGGTACGGCCGTCACAGTCGACGGGTATGAAAATGAAATGATTTGACAAACCGTGTAATGAATGAGAGATTGAGTTGATTTGAGTTATAAACAAAACCCTTGAGAGTGACAGTCAGTGCTAGTGATCAATGAGGACCTCAAACGAACCAAAGAGTCGACGATCGGCACTATCTATGGATTCTTTTTGTTAACCATTTGTCCCATTGTTTTAGTCTCCGGACTCTTATAGAAGTGATTATAACTCAGACGATAATAACTATGATAATAACCGAAGACATCGCACACAAGAGTACGATAGATATGATTTTGATAGAAGTCGTAATCATCGCGAACGAAGAGATCGCAGCCGAAGCAGAGATAGAGACCGCGATTCTGCTTCAACTATCGGTACCGACAATCAATCGATTCGTTACTATAATGAAGATCACAATTCTTCAAATAATGGCTTTAATAATGAGAGCAATGAAAGGGAGAGATATCATCAAAGAGATCGACGCGAAGAAGTTCCTAATAATACACTTATGATAAGGGGTTTGGCCACACATATCGCAGAAAAAGATGTACTCTTATCTTAGTATTAATATAAATAGTTTTTGATATTTTTTGTTAATTATTTACTTACCGTAATACAGATTGTAACCAAATTAGCTGAACATAATCTTATGGCTAAAGATATACGACTTATGAGAAAGAAAGAGACAGGTATTCAAAATTTTATAGTATTTATTATTTTAGTATTAGTTTTATTCAACATTTTTTTACTTAAATTGCATACAAATATCATTTAACTTATCTTTAAAGGTGTTTCCCGAGGATTTGCTTTCGTTGAGTTCATTAATATTGAAGATGCTATTCAATGGAAGGAATTAACTCAAGTTTGCATTTAATTTTTTAAAAACTTAATTAACAATTAAAATATATTTGATTTAGGGATACATTTACTTTGATGAAGAATGTGAGGCATCAGTTCATTATAGTATTCCCAAAGAAACTTTTGGTGGCGACAAGACTATCATGAAAAACGATTGGACCTGTTATAAGGTATTGCCATTTGATTAATATTATCGGTATTTTTTCATTAATAAATTATATTATGATATTATAGTGTGGCGTAAATAACTTTAAACGTCGTGAAGAATGCTTTAAGGTTTTGTATAACCCTATAGAGTAATAATATAAGAAACGAAATTAATTGTCAATTAATTGATAGTGTGGTACACCTAAAGAAGAATCGATGGCTAATGACACGGGTGATGAAATCAGTCTCAATCCTACAAATGGTTTGTTTTTTATAAGAAAGTGAATCAATTGATGTATTAATTAATAATTTATTCTGTTTACAGCTTTATTATTACGCAATTTATCTCCAAATACAACAGAAGAACGAATTTTAACTATTTTGGGATCACTTACAGCATTGCCCATCAAATCTATACGTATTTTAAAAGATGGTTTATATAACATATCGCGTGGCATGTGTTTAGTTGAGTTACACACAACTCTTGAGGCTTCACAGCTGTTTACTTTATTATCATCATTGAATCTGGGATTTATAATAGACGATAGTTTAGTTCAAGTGAATTATGGTAAAAGAAATGTCACATTTGGTCAAACAATGAATTGTAATCCCAATGCAGCCATCATTGCATTGGCAGCCGCTCAGTGGCGAAACTTAGATGAAGATAATTTAGACCTCAATACTAATACCAAACAAACTCAATCTAAGACTATCTCAACCACACAATTGTCAACTTCTAAGACCAAAGGCAATGAATGTTTAAAATATGAAACACCAGACGTGTCAACCTTTGTATTGGATGAGACCTCTGGTTATTATTATGACGCGACCACTGGTTTCTATTATGACGCCAACACTCAATATTATTATAATTCGGTATTTATTTATTTTACTATAGATTATTGATTATTTTTATGGGCTGATCTACATTATATTATTGTTTAATTAAAATAATACACAGTATATATTAATTAAATTATATATTAAAGCAAACACAACAATACATGTATTGGGAGGCAACTAATCAAACATATTTGTCAGTCGATTCAAAAACTTGGAAAATAAATGAAGAGAAGAAGGAGATACCAAAGGAAACAAAAGTAGATAAAGTGAAGATCGCTAAGAAAATTGCTAAAGATATGGAAAAATGGGCCAAAACTTTAAACCAAAAGAAAGATACTTCACGTGCTTTGGTTACTAATGACTCACAAATGATCGGCGAATGTTCACAGAGTTTAAGTGCAGACGCGGGTTATGCTGTCCTCGAACAGGAAGTGACTGCAAATGAATCGGAAAACATTTTATCATTTGAAATGCAGAAACAGTTTGACGATAAAAGTAGTGTTTATTTGAGTGCCTGTAAAATAATAAAAACTGAAGAAAAACGTTTGATTGATTGGGAAAAACTGGCGTGTCTTCTGTGTAAAAGACAATTTAATACCACAGATCTCCTCAACAAACATCTCGAAAAGTCTGATTTGCATAAAGTATAACATTTTTTATTTTGTTAGTATTTACCGTTAATTAAATAATAATTGTTACTTTAATTTAACTGTTATGCAGTCAAACTTAAATGCATTAAAGCATCAATTGTTAACTGAAGAACAAATAGAAGAAATGGAAAAAAATGAAAGAGAAGTTCGTTATTTTGTTACGATTTATGTAGACATTTGTTTTTAATATATTTACCGCAATTATTAGTCCGGATATAGGGATAGGGCTAAAGAAAGAAGAAAAAAATATGGACTCCCAGAGACACCTGATTCAAGTAAATTAAAAAACAAATATATGAACGAAAGAGATGGAAAAGTTGATACTTTTCAATCTGTTTCACATCAAAAAACAAAAGCAATTTCTTGTGATAATATTGGAAATAAGATGCTTAAAGCCATGGGTTGGGTATGAGCCATATTATTACTACTATACAGTATATTATTATTTCTATATTAATATCATTATTTGTTTGCTATATAGACTGAGGGTACAGGACTCGGTCGAGTCAATCAGGGTTTGTATTATGAAAATAGTAATATTATTGTTATGAACTAAATTTGATTATATTATAGGAATGCATAATATAATTGAAGTCGAGAGAAGAGCAGAGGGCGCAGGACTTGGAAGTGGTGCCAAAGTAACAGCACTACCAGGTATTGGATTATTAGATTATTTACTCTTTAGTTTAATACTCATTGTTTTTATATAATAGGAGAGTCATATAAAGATGCTGTTAAGAGGACAATGTATCAGAGATATAAAGAAATGGATTAACATTATATTTATAACTATTTTGTTATTATTTAATACTATTTTTATTCTCTATTCGAATTTGTAAATATTTTTTTATTTTATAAATTAAAAATTTCAATTAAAACATTGAAAATTAAATTCAAATATAGTTGCCTTAAATGAAAATCTAAAACAACAGATTTGGCAAACATTTTCAAGTAATAAATATTTTGCAAATGATATAAACAGTTGATTCATTTGCACTTAACTAACTGATTGCTATCTACTTATTATTATAAATATACTGTACTTCTATAAGTATTATTTAGCATTTAAAAAATTATTTTTAAATTTAATAGAATTCAAAGTAATTTTTAAATTTTGATGAATGCTATACATTGTAATACCTAACAGTGTTTTTCTCAGGAGAAATGTTTTTTGAATTTAAAAAATTTAAACATTTAAATAAAAAAAATATTATGTAATATATTAAGCGCTAATAAGTAGTGATATGTGTTTAACCATAGAAATATATACTGTATATTATTAGATATGAACTTAATTTAGATGACTTTAGACTCTTGAGCGTTGAAAGTGATGTATCTATAAATATATTGGTTGCACATGTTTTTTGGTGATCACGTCTAACGACAAACAATTTTGATGGCATTTCGCCTATAATCTTGTCGTTCAGCTATTAGTTGCTCAAACTTTCTCTAAGTTTTATATGAAATCCATAGATAATCGATTTAAATAAAAACTACTTAAAATAACATAATTTGAATTTCTATTAAATTGATCTTATGTTCATACTTTGTATTTTATTATTTGAATCATGTAATCAAGTTTTTAATAGATAAGTGATTTAGATTTTAGATATTTTTGAATTAAGCATTACAAATATTTGCTATATTAATAATGTAAATATGATATAATTATTAAGTATAGACATAACTATTTTAATTATATAAAGAAGTGAATTAAATGAGTGAATTTCAATATAAGTGATATTAAAAATATAACACAAAATATGATAAACCAGAGAATATCGAGAAGAAGTCAATCAACTGAAATGGGATTTTCAAAACTAAATACACGAAAAATAGGTCGAATGTATACAAGTCCTTCTCTCGACAGACTTAATGCTTCATTTGAGAGTCCAAGAAATCCATTGCTTATCCGACAGAGGAGTATATATGACTTAAGCTCTTCCGATACATCTGACAGATATCGTATGTCTTCAGCAGTAAGTCAACGAAATTTAAATCTTCAAAGATTGAGACCAACAGTTTGGAGAGAATCGATATCATATAATGAGTCGATTCCGAGAACCACTACTCTATATAATGGCTCTAATTATTTAAATCATTCAAGAAATACACAAAGAATGACTGATCCGATATCTGTTTTGGACAGAAGGGATAACTTAATGACACAATTAAATTCAATGTCTTCCACAACAATCAATCGGAGACCTATATGTCATGTAAGTAATAAATCTGGTTTAATGTCATCCAAACATCACTGGCCGATCATAACTGTTGATTCTCACAATACATGGAGAGCTCGTTTGCGTGAAAGACCTCTGTTATCGAAACTTTCGGTAAAAATCTGCTCCAAAACAAAACCACTGATTTCCAACAAAACCAGTTCAAACACCAGTTCGAGGACATCGTCGACAAACTCGTCGATAAAATTAAATCAAAGCGATGTAAAAGAGGGTTCATGTGGTATATATAGAAACCGTCATATCATTAAATTCAGGGAAAGGGATCATAATTTAGGACAAACTGCAACTGAAAGAAGAGCATCAATTTCATGGGAATTATCCAAAAGTTTGATAACTGATAGCAAAGATTTGTCTGAACCGCCCATCGCTGAAGACACGGAACAAAATCAAGTTTTTGAGGACAAAGACGCAGAATCTGTGGACTTTGAATTAAATAATAAACAAAATGTTTTGGTCTCTTATATAATTAACAAATCAGATCAAACTGATCCAAATCTACAAAAAACAAAAAACGAAGAAACTATTAATGAGTTAAAAAGCATCACAAATGAGCACTTAATAGACAGGACTGATGTCAATGAGTTTCAGACAAAAGATAATAACAGTCAGTTTGTAACCGATATTATTGCCATTCAAACGGCTGTCGCAATGCCTGAGCCAAGTGGAGCACCCATTGCTCTCTTACATCAAAAACCAACTTCTCTTAAACTAAAGACTCCATTAATTGATCCGACAATTAATACTAATGAAAATATCACCGATAAAACAAAATCACCAAAAAAGAAAAAAGTTAAGAAGAAAGATGTTTCGAAAGGTATTTTGATTTATAAGTTATAAATCAATTTTTAAAAATATTTTTATGAAATTGTTATTTAGAGAAATCTAAAATTGAAAAGAAACAAGAAGTACAACAACAGGAAAATGAAATGCAAAATGTGATAAAAGTGTTGCCACAAAAAGATTTAATAAATGAAAAGATTGGTTACAAAGTTGAACCTAAAGATGTCAAACAAAATATTCTTAACGAAGTAGATCTTAATCATAATAAAAATAAAGCAAAAGTTGAATCATTAGTTCCAAAACGGATAAGATTTAAGAAATACACTTTTGAAGACTTTCATCTGATTAAAGTTCTCGGTAGAGGTAGCTTTGGAAAGGTATCAATTGATCTAATCATTACATTTACATTTAGTGACATTAATTATTATTATCAATCATAATATTAATATATTTGAAAGGTATTGTTAGCTGAATTAAAAGATCATTCAATATATTTTGCAATCAAATGTCTGAAAAAATATTCAGTCATTGAAGACGACGATATCGATAGTATTATGATTGAGAGGAAAGTATTGGCGTATGGAAGTAGTCATCCATTTATATGCAAATTATTTTGCACTTTTCAGACTCAGGTTTCATTTGATTTGTTTTAAATCAGTCAATAGTTAATTCAAATCGTTATAACTTTTATAAAACATTTATAGAGTTATTTGTGTTTTGCTATGGAGTGGTGTTGTGGTGGAGATCTCATGTTTCACGTTCAAAAAAGTGGTAAATTTGATGAAAATAAAGCCAGGTTTGTGTTTGAATAAATTTATTTTTATAATTTATGAGTAGTAATTGTTGTACAATTTAATTTTAATAAGTTAATTATTGAATATAAAAATAATTTTAGATTTTTTATTTAGATTTCTTTAATTTCAAATAATTAATAGTTTTGGTAATTATTATCATTTTATATATTAGTTTGTGATTTATTATTTGGTATAAATTTTGAATTATTATTAGTGCATTATAACTAATGACATATTTGATTATAAAATTTTAGAAAATATTTAATTAATCATTTATATATTATAAATTATATATACATATAAATATGATATTGTAATAATTTAAAGATATTGACAGAATAACCACTTATTTTGAATTTATACTAATATAAAGTAGTCTCATAAACTCATAAACTGCTATTATTAATAATTATTAAATATAATAATAAATATTCAAAATTTGATTTTAAGTAATAGTCAGATAGTTATAATAAATAATACTTTAAATTTTATATACATATTTTTAATAAATTAATAAAATATTATTAATTTAGCTAATTTTTCATTTAATTATATATTATATTGTAGAGACTATATATGTATATACTGTATAATTAATCAATAATTTCTAAGATATTCTACCGATTAAATAATTTTTGTCTTATTTAACTTAAGAATCACTAATTAAATGCAATCATTACAAAACATACGGTGCAAATGATTTTAAATGATTTTTTTATAATTTAATTGGTATTTAATATAACAAAAATGTAATTTTACTTTTTTATAATAAAGAGTAATGAGATTAAATAATACTTTAAATAGCTTTAAATGTAAAGTTATAAAGTTAAAAATACTACATCTCATAAAAAAATTATTTTTATTTTTTATCAAATTGATAATTTAACTTTAATAATCTATGATTACTATCTATTTTGTATGATAGTTTAATAATTAAACATGATAGTTTATATACATATAAAATAATAAATTATCTAATATTTTAAATGTTGCCAAAAGTCTCAAAACGACCCAATTATGCAATCATTAAAAAAGTGACAAAATATCTATTTAAAGTTTGTTGCCATAGAAAAACAAATTATTGTATTAAAAATATTTAATCATGATTAAATTATGATGACATTTGAAAATATTTCCTGAATACTTTCAAAGTTAAAAAACATATGAAAAGCTTAAAATTATTAATATATAGTATATAGTATTATATACACCACAGAATACATGTATATTTGTACTGTATTATACATTTTATATAATTTATATATAAATTGTTTGTTAATTTTTTGTGTAATTTCAACAGATTTTATGCTTCAGAAATTCTATGTGCCGTTGAGTTTATGCATTCAAAAGGAATTATATATAGGTTTGCATTTAAATCTTATTAAATTTATTTTACATTTTTATTTATTTATTAATAGAGATCTTAAATTAGACAATATTATGATCGATCATAAGGTATGTAATTTCAATAGAAATAAAAGTGTTGTTATATTTGACTAATATATAAATTTAGGGTCATATAAGACTTGTTGATTTTGGTATGTGTCAGGGTAGGTTATAAATTATAAAATTATAATTTAATTTAATAAATATAAAAATATTAATAATAAAAGTTGTTATATGAAAAGGTAAGATATATCGTGAAGATCTTCTTCCGTGCAATTTTTGTGGAACTCCTGAATATATGGCCCCAGAAATTATAAAAGGAGTTAAATATAACCAATCGGTTGATTTCTGGTCTTTTGGTGTATTATTATATGAGATGGTTGTCGGCACTTCTCCTTTTCATGGTTTGTATCATTGATTCATTAATTAAAATTATTATTAAATATGAATCTTATTTGAAGGCACCGATGAGGACGAACTACTATGGAATGTCTGTAATGAAGAAATCTTTTATCCGTTATATTTAAGTCAAAATATTAAAAAAATATTAGTTTTGGTAATTTATTTATTTTGTTAACACGTAATTGTTATAAATAGTTAATATTATTATTAATGATAAATTGATTTAAAGTTATTAAATAAAATTCCTGAGAAACGTTTGGGAATGCCTACAAGTGGTTTGGATTCAATTAGAAGTCAACCATTTTTTCAAGGAATTGAATGGCTTTTAGTGGAAAAATGTCAATTAAAGCCTCCATTTATTCCCAATACAGTGAGTATTGAAAAAATGACAATTGTTTCAGATTTTAAAATATAATTTTAATACAAAGAATTCAGCCATTGATGTCTCGTACTTTGATTTGTATTTTACTAAAGAGGAACCAACTCTAACACCTATTAGTGAACAAATTACACAATCAATTGATCAAACATTGTTTAAAGGTTTTAGTTATACAAATCATAAAATGACTGATTGAACTCATTTGTCATATAATTTATATATAAATTTTAAATATATTTACGACACTTATCCGACTGTATAATGATTTTTGTTCTTTAATTAATTTAAAATAGACTTTATTTTTAAATTATTGTATATTTTATTATTAATTTAAAAATTATTTTATTAAATATATATAAAAAATATATTCAATTAGCATATAATCAGTACTTTAAAAATTTAAAATAGTGTCATAATTTCTCACAACAGGAGTTTGTATTTTAGGTTTAAATATTTTTCAATTAATTGGATTTATTGCCTATAGTGGTATGTCTATTGGTTTGTTATATTTTAAATATTTCTAAATATTATAAAACTAATATAATATTAAATAATAGTACAGGGTAGATTTAAGTACTTTATTTAACTATAAAATGACAAAATAATTTAATAATAATTTAATTATTAAATAACATATATCAAAGTAATATATAGTATTTATTATTTAATATTAGAAAAATTTTAAATAATTTAGTTGTAAATATATAAATTTATAATTAAAATTATTTGTATTTTATGTATTAAATAATTTTATTAAAAAAAAATAATAATTTTTTATACTTGTATTTATGTTTAAAATCTATTATTTATTTGCAAATAATAATCAACTCAATGATCAAAATGACAATTATTATTATGTAAAATGAATGTAAATAAAAAAATTTAAAAAATAGATTTTGAAAATCAATAATTATAAAACCAATAAAAATATACAAAATTTAAATGTATTTAATGTTATTAATTACATAATGTAAAAAAAGTTGTATAAATCATAATTTAGATAACAATTAGAAACTCAGGTATACGACAATCAACTGTTAATTTATATGTTATTGCACTGAAAGACGTATTGCCTTTAAGAGTCAGTTAAATGACTAATTAATATTTGACATAAGTTTGTGACAAATTTGCTGTTTGTGAGGGTTTATTGGAGTAACGACTGTTTGGTCGGGAATGTGATGTCGGGCCATACGGATCACTATCATTGCCACTAACTGATCGATGCGAAGCAATAGTGGATCCACCGCCCGATACATATCCGGTATAATTGTTTTTATTAAGTGATGAATGCGAACCATAGTGTGAACTACGAGTCCAATCAATTTTGTAGGGATCGTAGTCTTCAATTTCTGACGACTCCTTCTCATCAACCTTTGATTTATGTTTAAAAATTGATAAATTTTTAATAAATTCAAAAATATATCATATAATTAAATTTGTATTACATTATTGCCAATACAGGAACAGCTAAGTGAAGAGCACAGGAATATGTTGACTAAAAGCATAACTAATAGCATAATAGCCAATACAATGCAAAGTGTTATCAACCACGGGAAACGCCATTCAGTACACTCCTCAAGATATGATTCCGCTATTTATTCAAACAATTTTTATTAATTTCTAATAATTTTATAAACTATATAATTATATATATTGTACAGATTTGATCTCCGGGTTCAATGACAAACACTGTAGTCGATGCTAATAATTGTATTGAATCTTTGATTGTTGACAACTCAAAATCGTTATCCTTTTTAATGGTATCACTATTGCACTGTAATTGCGGACAATTACTTTTACAAAGTATGACATCACATTGAAAGTTAACTTTATTGACGTCAGGAAATTTAAACATTGAATATATAGTGGCCTCAGCGTAATGACTGTCATTATATGTAAACCCAGATATTAGATTTACTTTTGGACATCTATTCAATAGTTAAAAATTATAATGTAAGTGAGATATACAATATATTATAGAAAATATATAATAATTTATACCCATTGGCATCGATTAATTCAACTTCTGATGAATTGGCAATAAAACTAAAACAATTTCTAATAACTAAGTTGAAGTCATCTATAATTAACAAATGTATTGATAAAAATTAATATTTAGGCCCATCTGTTATTTTAAGTCATTAAAGAAAATATAGATTTTCAATTCATATCAATAAATATTAATTAAAATTAGACTTAATTTTTATGTTGTTCAGCCCATTCCATATTTTACTACAATAATACATAGTTTTTAATAAATCAAATTTTTGTATTTGTTATAACTGTATATTAGAGGCCTAAAAGTTTTGGACCCGTGCCTGACCTGACTAAAGCCAAGCATTTATCTGACTTAATCTGAGCGACAAATTAATATTAATTTTCTATTTCCACTATATATTCTTAAATATTGATAGTAAAAAATACAATATTTATAATAATAATTATTATAAATTGTTATTATATATTGATGTTTTTAAATATAAAATTTAACCGTATCTAATCACGGTTAAATTTTATATCTAACGTATAGTAATGTATAGCAGTCATTTAGAGTAAATTTGATTTTTGCATTTTATAAATACTAAATTTTGAAATCTATTTAGAAATAAGATTAATTTACTTATAATTAGACAATGTTGACTAAGTAATTAACTATTGTATTTGATTTTTGGTAAATAATATTTATTGAGAATTTAATTGAAAATGTAATTTTAATTATGATTTTATTGTTAATAATATATTATATTGTTTTAGTGATATTATGAATACCTGTGTGACTAGAAATTTCAGCTCTTAATGTATATTGATTTCCGTGAACCACACGAACCACTTTAAGTCCGTTATCCAAAAATTTCAGTGAAACGCGTGATAATTCATTGCTTTTAAAATAATATAATTTTGTTTATTATTATTTTTGTAAAGACTGTATTTTGGTTTTATTTTTTAATTTTATTGTTTATTGTGTAAACTATTCTGACATTTATTTATAAACTGTTATAAAGTACTACTGCTAACTAATACTAAAACTATTACTGAAAATAAATAAATTTTGACTAAAATAATAACAAAAATTTAATACTATATTTAGTATAAACTGTTATTTGTATTGTTATCAGTGATTGTTATGACTTACCGGTCGTTTCTGAAGCCAGACTGTGAACACGTAATGATGTAATACTTATCTTCACTTAACTCTAATGTCTTGTGTACTCTCACTGTAAGCGCAACTGTTCTCTCCTCTGATCCCTAAATAAATGGAAAAAACTCAATAATATCATTATTTTATTGATTAAACAGTAATTACTTAGTTATATACACTTTTTACAGTATATACAGATACTATATTATAATAACTAACAAAAATAGGATTATCAAAATAATCATACAGTAAATGTAAAATATAAGGTTTAACTAAACTCAAACAAATAGATTTTTTGACATATTTTTAAAATAGTTTAGTTTTAAAACTTATAACAATTTTATGAAAGTTGATACAGTATATTTCAAATTTTACATTTATACTAAATTAAATCATATTAAGTTATATCATTAGAAATTAATAATGTATAATACTTAATTTAAAAAATCAAAAATATACTCTTTAAATTATATTCTTAAAATAGTTAACATTTAAATTAAAATGTAAAAATATTAAAACAATATATTAAAATTAAATACAAATATTTTTACTAAATTTGATATAATATAGTAGTATTAGTTATGCAACTGATTTAAAATAGTATTATTTATTTAACCTTTAATATTAAATATGGATAAAAAGGTTGGTGTAGTTTCAAGTTTATCACTCAATAACTTTTAAATTCTTTTAGATTTAAATATTTTAATTATATATTATTATACAAATTAATATAAAATTAATATAATATGAAAAGGAATTTACAATATTAATAAACAGCAAATACTTAATAAAATTAATTAAACTTATATTACCTTTAATTTATGGACTCCACAAAAGTTTGGATCATCCGGTTTAGCCAACAAACTGATTGTTAAAGAAGTGTTAAGTCGTCCGTCACCTGACATAAGACAAGAACCCTTCCGAAAGTCACGCGTATGTATGACACCATTGAAAGGTTGTGTAGTGACGACCGCAATGTTCATCAATCCTCGTTCACATCTGGCAGTCACTAATGGATCAAAATCTTCATTGCTTACAGATATTTGACACAAAACCTATTGTTGATCAAAATTGTAAAAAATTTATCATTTAATATCACTTATCAAGTATTTTAGTGTCAGTTAATACCACTGTCTTTTAAAATTATCAACTTTTTCTAAATTATACAAAAATAATGTATTGATACAATCTAACATATAAATATTTTTGTGAAAATCAACAAATAGCAAAATTTATATAAATACTTATATTATAAGGTAATAAAATAATTAATAAATAAATATTTAAAATAATTGACAAATAATGATTAAAATTAACATTGGACATTAACAGTGGAGGCGTCTAAACATTAGCCTTCAATATCGACATATGATTAAATTAACTTTATATATAGTTTAATAAGTTTTATAATAATCATTGTATAAAATATATAAATTAAATTATAACTTTAGATATGACTATGTTAATTATTTAAAAAAACTAATATTATTAATATGGCCTATTTTACAATTAAAAATTCATTTAGTATAAATACAATTACATCTATCTTATTTATTTACTATACTTAAATTGGTTTTTAAAATATTTATAAAAATAAATAAAAGTAAAAAGTAGTATATAATCAATATATTTTATATAGATTTAATAGTTATTTATTAAAAATAAAAATATTTGATAAAACTTACTAATGTTATAAATTGAAATGATATAAGAATATAAAGTAATGAATGACAAGTAAATAAAGTGATGATTAACTTAAATATTAATGAAATCATATCTTAAAAGTAAAAATTTTGATGATTTCATAATCAATAAATCAGTTGACTTTACATTTGTTGTCCAAATTATCGTTCAAACTCTTATATATAAATGAATCAATAAATGTGACAAAACATTCAAAACTATGTGATAGTATAGTATGTGAGGCACTGGTGTTATGTCTATTGCCAGACATATGTCTTTCCAATTTGACGACTGAAAACCACTGAATCGCAACATTACCTAACGTTCCTCTCTCTCTCTCTCTCTCTCTCTCTCTCTCTCTTTCTTTCTCTCTCTCTCTCTCTCTCTCTCTCTCTCTCTCTCTCTCTCTYTCTYTCTCTCTCTCTCTCTCTCTCTCTCAGTTCAATGATAACAGGTTTTAAATTGTCTTTATAAGTAATTATTGCGTTTTGTTTGAAAACAACAATTTATAGTTAAATGTAATTTTTAAATAAAATAAAATATTACAAAAATTTATGTGAATACACATATATTTTAATAAATTGATTAATAATATGAAATGATGTTAATATTAAATCACATGTTTAAATATTGTATTTAGATTATCTGTAAAATGGAAATCTTAATAATGTAAATGAAATAAAATGAATTTAATGGTCAAATCAATTGGTGACCCATTAATATAATTACAAATATAATTCAAGTGTTAGACTGTTGTCCTACACTTATGACGTTTTCAATGAAATTTCATTGAATATTTCGGATAACTTTACTATATTTAGTTAAAAGTAGTTTTCATATTTAATTTATTTTCATTATTTTATATTCATAGGAGAATTATTAAATCTTTAATTAAAAACATAAAAATAATTAATAATCACGAACTCCTGAAAGGAATTGTAAAATAATGATTGTGATGATTATGGATGTGAGGAATTATATGTATATGCATTCTATAAGTCTGTCTGTCTGTCTGTCTGTCTGTCTGTCTGTCTGTCTGTCTGTCTGTCTGTCTGTCTGTCTGTCTGTCTGTCTGTCTGTCTGTCTGTCTGTCTGTCTGTCTGTCTGTCTGTCCGGTGTCCCACGAGGACATATGATCGAATCCACGCTCTGCTACACATTTTTTGATTTTTTTTATCAGTTAAGGAGTTCGTATGGAAATGCTTTTATAGCATTCTCAACTGGTTTTATTTGCATCTTTATTTTGACCACATGAATATATTAATTTAAATTCTACTGTATATTGACATTCAATTCAAAAAATATATTTATAAGTCTAAGCATATTTCAAACCCTTAATAACTATAATTGTTTCGAATCGTCAATAATTAAATCAATTATTATTTTATATATAATTAAATTAAAAGCAAATCAATATGTGTTGTCAATAGATGGCAATATATAATACTTTTTGAATGACTTTAATAATAACAGTAATTATTAAGTTAATGCATAAAAATATTTAATTTTATAAAATAAATACATAATAAATATTATATTTAAAAAATATTGACAAATATTAGTGGAATTATTAAATATAATGTTTATAGTTATAGTATTTTAACGAAAAGTCAAATTATTATAATAATCATTTAAGACATTAAATATTAATTTGAAATAGCACCATGATAATTTATAGTACTTTAAATTCTTTTAAAAAATAAAATAGAAATTTGTTTTATTTTCAAGTTTTCAATAAAAAAAATGCATGTATTTCTATCATAAAAATGAATATTTTGTTTATTTTTAGTGAATATTTTATTAAATATTATCAAGTTAATAAATATTTTTTAATGCACTAGTAATGATAATCTGTTAAAATTTATATAAATACAAGTGGTATAAATATTATTTTAAATAACAATAACTTATTATAATTAATTATAATTATAATGTTGTGAAAATTTTCAAAATATTAGATAATTAAAAAATAAAAAACTGATTCAAAAATTATTTAACGTTAAAAATTACCAATAAATTTCCTATAAATTCCCTATAAATTCCTTATAAATTCCCTATAAATTCCCAATAAATTCCCAATAAATAACCAATAAATTCTACATAAATTTTCACATAAATTTCATAATAAAGAAAAATATTCTCAAGTTAATTTTTGTAATGAAAAAATATAATATAATAAAAATATCAAGATATATTTTAAATTCATTTATAAATATACTTGATATTTTATATTTACAATTTAAAAATAGATTTAATTTTTTTAATTTTAATTTTGAAATTGATTTATTTAATAATCCATTTTGTAATTTTAAAAATGATGTACCTGATTATATATTATTTGAAATTACCATGTTAAAACAAAATTAGAATAACGTTAATTTTAAAAATTTAACTATTGATTCAAAAATTAATTTTTTAAAAATCTACCTGATAACTTTATTTATATTTAAAATATTGTAAAACAATTATTATCAATTTTTTCGACTACATATAACTGTGAATCTTTTTTTCATTGTTAAAATTGAGTCAAAATTCATAATCTACTATTTCATTATACAATTTTTCAAATTATATGAGAGTTGCCACAAAAAATGATATACTGTAGCACTTAATTATAATTATTTTATTTCTGATATGAAATGTGTTAAATCTGGTAAAAATGTATAAATTTTTAATATTAATAAAAAAATATTTTTATTAAGCATTTTATCTAATTTAATAGTATATAAAAATTTGTGTATTATATTTTTTTTGTTTTTTACCTTGGTCATTAATTACATTTTAAAAATAAGGGACCGTATAATCATCTGATAACGCCTGGTATAGACTCTATAGTATAGAGTCTACTATTATAGACGATTACTGGTTTATAATATAAAATTTTTTACTAATAATAACTTTGATAAGTTTTTATAAAACTATGAGTGGGTAAAACTAATATTTCAATTTGTACTAGTTTACTTTGATAAGTTTTAATTTTATAAAAGTTTATTTCATAAATTATAATAAGAAATGTTTTATTATTTATTAATATATCGGCAAAAATCTCTTATATATACATTTGTATAAAAAATCATTTCTTTATTATTAACAGTTTTATATTAGTAATACTGTAAATAATTTATATAATATTACTTTTACTATACTTTATAGTCTATAACTTATATTATAGTATAGACTCAGTATTGGCTTAAATTTATAAATGTAACTTATCTTACAAATAACATAAACTCATAATTAGTATCGTTTGTTGGTTTTACACACTGAACAGTCAACAAATAATATTACTGTATATCATTAATATTGGTATAATTTGTATATTAATTATTATTACTTATTGTATAGATTTACAATTTTTAGTTTAAATATTGTATAAATGGTATTGTATAAACTCGTATAAATGGTTTAGTAAATATACTATATATATATAAATTTATATTAATTATATACAGTATATACAGTATTTAGATGATATACATTAAAAAGTAAAATAAAATTTTAAGTAAAATACGTTTTCCTCTCTAAAAATTTGGTCATTTGTTTTCACTTTCGATTATAATTTTATAATAATAAATAAATACAACAAATACGATATATAAATATATATACACATTGTATTTAAGTTATATACGTTTATATTTATAATTGTATTATTGCTAATCCAATGCTTTGAAAATAAATTGTCATAAAAATTTTATTTGGGGTCATATGGTCAGGAAGTGCTTAAAAAAGTAAGACAAGTAAAAACACACACAATCTAGTTATGTGCAAAATTTAACTTATCATCTCTCTCTCTCTCTCTCTCTCTCTCTCTCTCTCTCTCTCTCTCTCTCTCTCTCTCTCTCTCTCTCTCTAAATGCCTTAAAAGCAACTATACAAAGGTATAGAGTGCCTGTGCTGGCTCTGGTGGTTCTGTATGGCTGAGGAGTATCTTGTGCTCCAATCGCACAACTGTCCACAACAACAATCCCGTGAATCACGTTATGACCTAATTATGGCGTTTGGTTTATACCTATTGAGCTAACGCTGCAATTTTAAATAATATTTTCTTTGAATGTAATACAAGTGCCAGTTCTCTACCTGAGCTCTGACTAATAAACATGAAGTGAAAGTGTTTTCACTTAAAATTATATAATATTTACAATTTTAAAATTATTTTTTAAACTGTTGTACAAATTTATATAATTGTTTTTACTATTTTTGCTATTTATTTATTTTATAAAATTATTTTTTTGTGGATTTGGATTTAATATTTAATGGATATCAATTGCAATGGTAAGAAAATTTAATTCAATAATAATTGTAATTATTAAATTGCATTGCATAATATTTATAAAAATATTACTAAAGTATTGATGGTTTTAATATAATTCAACAAAATTTTGCTTATATTTAAAAATGAGTGTTATTGTTTATACACTTTTAAATTTTGTGATAAATCTGAATATTATTAATAAAGTATAAATTTTTATATTTATTTTATTAAATTTAATTATTTTTTATTTTTAAATAAGTTATTAGTTATTAAATAACTTAAGAAAATTTGTATATTTTATATTCACTTCTGCAATGTATACATTTTCTCTCTTTCTTTCTTTCTTTTCTATATATATATATATATATATATATATATATATATTATTTCTATGATATATATATATATTATTTCTATGATATATATATATTATTTCTATGATATATATATATTATTTCTATGATATATATATATTATTTCTATGATATATATATATTATTTCTATGATATATATATATATTATTTCTATGATATATATATATAAATTATTAAATTTTTGTACAAAATGAAACTATATAAAAAGCATTCAAATTTTTACATATTTGTTCGTCATTTCATGTTTTGTTTTAAATAAGTAATATAAGTATTAATTATAAATAAATTATAATTTAGTTTTATTTGAGTATCAAATAAATAAAAGGTAATATCAAAATGACCCCAATTTTGGCATCCCTTCAATTGAGTGGTTCCGCAGTGAAAGTGTTGTATATGTCTTGTATTTCAATTC